GACCAAATTTGTACAGAAACATCCATAGGGAAGTGAAATAAACTAAGTATGCCTCCATAGGCCTTAGGTGCAGGGCCCATCAAATCCTTCTCCTTTTTGTAGGAATGATGAAATTTTGTCCAAATTTGGTCTGAAGTATCTTTGGATGAAGGAAAATCAATACTGTGTAAATTGCAGGTCTCAGCCACTTGGGGCAGAGGGGTAGGACCCAATACAGGAAACAGAGGAATAGCTTTAAAATTCTCCTTTCTCTTTAGGAATGGTAGGATTTTGTTCCAACTGGATCTGGGGCATCCTTGGGTGAAAGGTAATCAATATCATATAAACAGTGAGTCGAGGCCAGTTAAGGTGTGGCTCAATAGGAGAAGAGAAGAAATTATTTCAAATTCTTCTGCTTTTGTAGGAGGATTTGGATTTTGACCAAATTTGATCTGAAGTATCCTTGAGTGAAGGGGGATCAATTTTGTATAAATGTTGGGTGTCCTTATTTGGTTTTAAAATCTCTTTTTTTGTGACTCATTTGTTTAATAACTTGTCAGTGTTAAATGGTTGTTTCATACATGTATTTAGTTAAAACCTCTTCCTTTGTTGTGTTGCATGAGAAATGATAAATGTTTAAGGCTATATTTCAAGTTTGAAGCCAATTCCTGGCCTTTATTTTACTATGTTTAGGCTTGTATATAAATTTAACTTAAATTTATAAATAATACTTGTAATGCAAATATACTGACAGTCTGACACTTTTAAATCTTGAATGGTCAGTTTAGAAACTAAGGATTTTGTCCTTACTTACATATAAATCCATAACTTACATTAATACTTACTATCATTTTGTGATATTATTTTTCTCTCTTCAGAGAGAAGGACTAACAACTTTGTTCAAAAGAATGACCTCCGTCCATTTTCAATGTCACAGAGGATAAATACATTACAAACTTTTAACAAATTCTTCTGAAAAACCAAAGGCTTTGGCTGATTAGATTTGACCAGTAACATGCTTTAATAAAGGACTACCAAGTTTGTTTATAAAATTGACCTTCATCTACATTAAAGGTCACTGGGGTCAAATATGCTTAAGAATTCTAAGAACAATTTCTGAATGATAACAGAAATATCCAGGATGGTTATATTTGGTCAGTGGCGGATAAAGAGCTACCGAATTACCAAAACGCATTGGTCATTACTTATAGACAATTTTTACTTTTCTGTAGCTATATTATAGCCCATATACAAGGTTACAGATGTGAGATGAAGTGATCCTCTTGTTTTTAGGTTGGCATCTATAATACAGTGCAATTGTTTACATTAATTATAGTGGGTGAAGACCATGAGATAAGAAGAGTTTATAATGAAAGACCAAATCAGTGCTATCTGTGAAAAGCCAGTCAGTAGATTAATAAGCAGCCCAAAATGACGTCCATTTTGTTAAATTAGGAAATGGATGTTGCAATTCTGCTTGTATTTCCATAGTATTCTTACATACCAGTGTATAATAAAATCATACAATAACTAGATTTTGACCAATAAGAGACCTGCAAATTTCAAGTATTTTGTTTAATCAATCAAAGTGGAAGTTGTAGTTATCCTAGTAGTGTCGTAATAAACCAACATGCCAAATTTCATAAAAATTGGGAAATATCTATGTTTCAATCAATCAGGTTTTAAGACTTGCTTTGTTAAAATGGAAATGAATTTCTGTTTTCCAATAATAAACATACATAAAATTTCATCAAAATTGGACAATATCTGTACTTCATTCAATCTGAGATAAAGAAATGACGGCCATTTTAGGAAACAGATGTTGCAGGTTAGTTTGTAATGTCATGAAATACCTAAATACAAGTTTCAAAGAAGTCGGACAATATCTTTCAAAGAATGAAATGTGTTTCTCTGGCAGTCATATTGAGATGAATAGCAGACATATTCATGGCTGTGTGGAAGATTAATTTATAAGCCCGACTTAAACAATAAACCATCCCTCCCTGCCACACCCATTCAAACTTATTGATGGAAATACTTAATGATAAGAAAACCATTTGAGGATCTGTTTTCAGTTCTTGAAGATTTGTTTATTTTTTTTTTTGTTTGTTACAGGTGTTGTAAATGTTCATGAACTGGTCTTCATTGAATGTACTCAATGATGGCACAAGATATTTTTATTAAGCACCTATTAGCAAATATCATTTGAAAAAGATCCCAAAGTATTATTAGATAGCAGTCAGTTACAGGTGGATAATGGACAATATGCTTGTGCTGTATTACTGTCGACATCCAAGATGGCTGCCTGTGGGCCACCTTGATTTCAAATCAGTCCAAAAAAGGTACAATGCACAACTAGGGACCAAAGGAAACCAATATCTATGAAATATCAGAAGGATCCATCCAGTACTTCCTCAGATATAGCAGTAACAAGATTTTACTCTCAAAATCCAAGATGGCTACCTGTCAGCCATCTTGATTTCGGATCAGTCCAAAAAGGTATAATGCATAACTTGGAACCAAAGGGAACCTGTATATGAAATTTGAGAAAGATCCATCCAGTACTTTCCAAGAAATAGCAGTAACAAACTTTTACATTCAAAATCCAAGATGGCTGCCTGTCGGCCATCTTGAATTCGAATCAGTCCAAAAAAGGAGGAACAATGCACAACTAGGGACCAAGGGGAATCTGCATATGGAATTTGAGAAAGATCCATCCAGTACTTTCCAAGAAATAGCGGTAACAAACTTTTACATCCAAAATCCAAGATGGCCACCTGTCGGCCATCTTGAATTCGAATCAGTCCAAAAAAGGAACAATGCACAACTAGGGACCAAGGGGAAACTGCATATGGAATTTGAGAAAGATCCATCCAGTACTTTCCAAGAAATAGCAGTAACAAACTTTTACATCCAAAATCCAAGATGGCCACCTGTCGGCCATCTTGAAATCGAATCAGTCCAAAAAAGGTACAATGCACAACTAGGGACTAAGGGGAAACTGCATATGAAATTTGAGAAAGATCCATCCAGTACTTTCCAAGAAATAGCAGTAACAAACTTTTATTTCCAAAATCCAAGATGGCTGCCTGTCGGCCATCTTGAATTCAAATCAGTCCAAAAAAGGAACAATGCACAACTAGGGACCAAGGGGAATCTGCATATGAAATTTGAGAAAGATCCATCCAGTACTTTCCAAGAAATAGCGGTAACAAACTTTTACATCCAAAATCCAAGATGGCCACCTGTCGGCCATCTTGAATTCGAATCAGTCCAAAAAAGGAACAATGCACAACTAGGGACCAAGGGGAAACTGCATATGGAATTTGAGAAAGATCCATCCAGTACTTTCCAAGAAATAGCAGTAACAAACTTTTACATCCAAAATCCAAGATGGCCACCTGTCGGCCATCTTGAAATCGAATCAGTCCAAAAAAGGTACAATGCACAACTAGGGACTAAGGGGAAACTGCATATGAAATTTGAGAAAGATCCATCCAGTACTTTCCAAGAAATAGCAGTAACAAACTTTTACTTCCAAAATCCAAGATGGCCACCTGTCGGCCATCTTGAATTCAAATCAGTCCAAAAAAGGAACAATGCACAACTAGGGACCAAGGGGAATCTGCATATGAAATTTGAGAAAGATCCATCCAGTACTTTCCAAGAAATAGCGGTAACAAACTTTTACATCCAAAATCCAAGATGGCCACCTGTCGGCCATCTTGAATTCGAATCAGTCCAAAAAAGGAACAATGCACAACTAGGGACCAAGGGGAAACTGCATATGGAATTTGAGAAAGATCCATCCATTACTTTCCAAGAAATAGCAGTAACAAACTTTTACATCCAAAATCCAAGATGGCCACCTGTCGGCCATCTTGAAATCGAATCAGTCCAAAAAAGGTACAATACACAACTAGGGACTAAGGGGAAACTGCATATGAAATTTGAGAAAGATCCATCCAGTACTTTCCAAGAAATAGCAGTAACAAACTTTTATTTCCAAAATCCAAGATGGCTGCCTGTCGGCCATCTTGAATTCGAATCAGTTCAAAAAAGGTACAATGCACAACTAGGGACCAAGGGGAAACTGCATATGAAATTTGAGGAAGATCCATCCAGTACTTTTCCAGAAATAGCGGTAACAAGAAGTGTTTACGGACGGACGGACCACGGACGCAGGGCGATTTGAATAACCCACCATCTATTAGATGGTGGGCTAAAAAGTAACAAAAAAAGTTGGATTCATTAAATTTTCCCTATTAAACACAGTTTTAACTGTTTTTTATGTTTTTAAATATATATTGACTTGGTGCAATTTTGATAATGTTTTCAAAGTGCATTGAACTTGTCCAAAAATTAATGTGAACTGAATTTTTCTTTCTACATGCATAATTTTTTCAAGGTGGGTTGCAACATCACATGTTATAACCCATTTTGACATTTTTTTCAAAATGTGTTGACTTGATCCAATTTTTAATGCATTTTGAATATTTTATTTTTCAATGCATGTGAAGCTTGTCCCAAATTTAATGCAATGTGGACCAAAATAAAATATTCAAAATGCATATTTTTTTCAAAGTGGGTTGAAAACACCATACCAACCCAATTTGAAAATCTTTTTCAAAGTGCATTGATTTGATCCAGATCTAATGTAATTTGAGATAATTTTCTAAGTATGTTGACCCCAATAAGGTAATAGTCTATGATAACATGTGATATTTGTATGCAGGTTTTTAACATGTACAGGGTATATTTATTTCGAAAGTGGTCAAGCGTGACCAAATGATTGATAAAAGTATTGCCACAATTTTTTTCATACCTTGATACTTTCAGGTAAGCTTATAATTGCTCAACAATCCCAGAAAACTCACATATCGCTGATTTGACCAAAGTTTGGTTTCTTCATTGAATCAATAAGGTATGGAGACACTTGGCAGATTATTTGAACTTTCTTGGACCTCAATATCCTAAAAACCCAAATATCACATCAACTAATCACAGACTTCCATATTTACCTTTGGCCACTGTCTACTCTCTTTCTTTTCCCCGAACGTCGTCCATTGCCAGTATCGGACTTGACCACGTCAGAAACATCACTCATAGGGCTGGCAGCACGACCAGATGAATTACTTTGGATATCATCATTTATTTTACTCCGTGATCTGGTCTGGTGGACAGATTGGCCAATACCTATCCCTCCAGAAGTGGAGCTTACAACCTCGAATATTGGTATTGAGGTTGTGCCCTGATTTACAGCAACTTGATTTTCATTGGCTGTTTCATCTTGAGTGGGTGTGGCCGGTGATTCAAAATTCTCCTCTAATTCCACTGAAACATACGAAACAATCATTAAGTATAATTCCCCTTCAATCCACACTTACATATGTAACATTAACTCTTCAAATTTTACTGCAGTACTTTAAAGCTCTTCTCGTCTTTTTCTGAAACATACTCAGGATATCAAATCCAATCCTCAAAATCCTACTGTTAAACACATAGTTGAAATTAAAGGAGTAACTATTAAACAGGACTTATACACAAACCTGCATTAGGAGCTGTGTTATCATTTCTGGCAACTTCTTCCCCTTGTGATGTCACTTCCTGTCCTTGTGATGTCACTTCCTGTCCTTGTGTTAGGTCAATATCTGGAGTGATATCAACCATCATCCCTATAGTGAAATCTGTCTCCACTGTTTCTGTTTCTACTGTTTCCTCCACTGTCATTTCTTCAACAACTAATTCTTCATAACTCTGACTGGAGAATGGTTGCTTTTTCTCAGTATAGATAGAAGTGAATTCATCTGATGTATACCTGTAATGAGATATATGTATACCTGTAATGAGATATATCATAAAGCCTTTTATCTGTTTTAAAAAGACCCAAGCACTGCCTGAAACATGCAAAACTTGTGTGCCACAATGACATTCTTTTGAGAGCATCAGGAAAAATAAAATGCACAGAAGTTTTGAATAAATAGTTAGTGCTGCAAGAAATTAAAACAAGACCTCTGACAGGAACATATGTGACTTCTTGGTTGGAAAAGTAATCCCAAGCAAGCACTTTCAATAAGAAAGCACTGTATGATGTATGAAATTTAAGTTTGATTAGCCAAAGGAGTCTCAAGTTATCACATGGAAATATAAGTGCAGACAGATGCATGCATGCCCGGACTAAGCCAAAATTAATATTCCCCTCAAACACATATCACAAGGATCATATCATTTGTGATTAACACAAAAACTTCACTGCAATCTGTACATACCGTCTTGTCCTGGTTCGCTGACGTCGCAGAGCTTCCTTTTTCTCCTGCACTTTCTGTTTAGTGAGTTCTTCCTTTAATTCTGCTTTTGTTTTTTTCTTCCTTTTTTCAGGAGAATCTGGATACTTCACATCCATGGGAGTCTCAATCTCTTCCTTGCTCACATCTGACATACATGCTTAAGATTTTTAGATATGTCAAATTATTGAATAAATCATTATTCGATTATTACTATTTTTCTTTTTTTTTTTTTAAACTGTAGAAAATCCATGTTTTTATTTTTTGATACAGTAAATTATCATTTATACAAAATAAACTTTTCTTAAGGCAACAGCAATTTTGACAGTAAGATGATACATGGAGATGTATGTGATATGAAATTCAGTACTTATATAAAAACAAATAAACATCCACAGGCATAACAAAATGTCCTAGCATTTTCCATATTTTGAAATACATTATCTAGATTTCAGTTGTAACTGTCTGTAAGATTTTAATGCCCCATTGCCAAGGCTTTGACTTTAGACCCCTGAATTGTAACAATGTTGAAAGTTTAATGTTATTGATAATTAATCATTGTGTAAAGTTTGACCAAACATCCATAAAAAAGAATGATGCACTGTATTTAAATTCAATCAGTTATTGATTTTCTATATGTAGCAAGGGTGATGTTGGCCTTGACCTTGGGCTTTTGAAACACCAAGAAATCCAATGTATATCCATATGTATAGAGTTTGACTAAACTGTTGCTAGGCACTTACATTGTATCAGGATGCAACTAGACACAATGTGACACAATGAGACTGGACACAACGGGACCTGACCCCTCCCCCTTTTATCTTAATATGGTCATAATCAATAAATATATATATACAGGAAGGTAAAACTTAAAACTTTCCTGAATCAAAAATAAAAATCAATTCAATTTTTTTGATAAAATTGAAAACCAGTCCATTCAGCTTTTTTCAAAATGTCATATCAATATCTATTCATAGAAAGCAATAAATTCCCAATGCCATTGCCTTAAGCTTAAATGGTTACTAGAAGTAAACGTTTTGATAATTACTCAAGAAATGGAACAAACACAACTTATAAAGGGCCATAACTCCAGTGATTCCTAATACTGTAAGCATAAAATTAATCTTTGCCATTTTACCCAAGATATTCAGGAGACACAAAAAGCCCACTCATCTGGCCTCCTTCTTCAGTGATAATAATATCTTCATCAACCATGGAACACAAGTCAAAATACAACCCCTAAAGTTTATATATAGGACACAGTATGAAACGAGATGAAATATATCGATATCGCCACATCTCCACTTAAAGAATTTCTTCCAGAATCAACAACCTGTGAAGTTCTTTGTGTTGTGGTTCATCTGCTAGGTTTCAGGAGCATCAGTACATTCTACATTCATTTACAGCTGGTTGCTGAAATGTTGTTTGAAACATGTTTGCAAATCAGCTGTAAAAGAATGTACTTTTTTGGAAACATGGCATCAGGAGTTGCTCCTCTTCTAACTATTTATTTTAAATTTTTGTCTTACCTTTCAAATCTTTGTCCATTTCCTCTTCTTTCTTTATTTCTTTTGACTTCTTTCTCTCCTCTCGTAGTTTAGCCTTCTCTTCCTCACGGTCCTTACGACGTGCCTCTAATTCTGCCCTTCTCTGTGCTCGCTGAACATATCTTTCCTCCTTCTCTCGTGCCTGAGGTCAAAAGGTCAGAATTAACAGGCCATTAGAAGGGACATGATAAAGAAAGTAGTGTCTACACTTCAATAAGGCTAGGAGACCAACGCGTTATCACTGAATAAAAAATAGAAGGCAGTTTTACTACAGGCAAATAATAAAGAACCTGTAGTCATTTCTACTGAACGGTATATATGGGTAGAGAGGAGAGAGAGGGGGTGGGGGCGGGGGGGTTGGGGGTTGGCTTACTACCTAATATGGACTTACTGTCTAACATGGACATAAATACAGTATTTATAGGGATAGTCCATCCCCTGAGCCAGAATTTGATACATCTAAATGGTTGTATTTCTCTATACAAACAGTAAATAAGCACTAATATCCATAAAGATAGTTGAAAAATAAAGAAAATACCATAGAGTGGAAAGTTTTTGCATGAATTTAATGTGCCAGGCCTCAATCCAGAATGCAAAAATTTTAAATTGTCAAATTTTAAATCATCAAAATTCAAATCACCAAAATTTTAAAAATAAAATAGAAAATAAAAAGATGTCCCAAGTATATACTGTCTTTCCCCAGAACTGAGAAACTTTCTTTTTACAGACATGCAGGAATACTGAGATAATAATTTAATGACTGTACAATACATACCTATGTATCAATGAGTTAATCATAAGAGAAGTTTACATAAATAAAAACTCTAGCTTGTCACCAATGGCTAAATCTATAAATTGTCAGATAATTACTTTTAGATTTCAGTGCAAAATTGACACATCTTATGAGAGCTAAGATTTCTCGCTACATGATAATTATACCACTTACGATTCTGGCTTTGCGTTCCTCTCTTGTCTCCTCATCATCACTGTCGCTGTAGTTGTACTGCAATGATATCAGGCGTCGTGGTTTTCCTGGTGTCACAGCTTGGGGTTTGACATTCTCTGCCACTTCTGTGACCTTTGGTGGAGTTGTAGCCTTTGAAGATTCTGTGACCTCTGCAGATTCTGTGACTAAATCTGTCACAGTTGCAGGAGACACTGTTTGAGGCTCAGCAGTGACAGCTAATTCTGTTTCTGTTGTTGATGTCTCTGATTTAGAGGGTGTTGTCTGTTTCTCCAATGGTATAGGTGACGATGCAGGTGATTCATTCAATGGTGACGTAGCTGGCCGTGGAGAAGTAACCTCAGGCAAATTGTCTTCACTGGTGACCATTTCATTCTCTTTAATTTCTGCATCAATCTGGTTTTGGACTTATAAAAGAAGAGAAAGAGATGGGGATGAATCTGTTGAATTATGATATTAATTATATACATCATAAGAGAAAAGTTATCAGCAGTTTTGAGTTCTTCGTCTATGGAATCAATTTTTCAGGTTTTTGGCAATGATATAATATTTTCAACAACTTACAATGAATGTTTAAAAAATTTGAGACTTTTGACAGTGGGACAAAATTTAAGTAGTTTTTTACTATTAAGCAAAGTATTGAACTATCATAAATGAGATCTTGTTTTAAGTTTTTAACTCTGGGACTAAGTTATGGACTTTTGACAATGATATGATATTAAGGATTTTTTCATCACTAAATATTTTCTTTTTTTTTTTTTTAACCATGGAGAAAGTTTTGCTTTTCTTTTACCATGAAGTAACTTTGAAATAACCATTTCCTACAACATACCTGATTCATCATCACCATGATGTGGACTATAGCACGGCGCTGGAATGTCATCATCTGAAAGGTCACTGGACAAACTGCTTGAGCCACCTTCACTGAACAGGGAGAGGTCACTAGTGTGGACTGAGCTAACTGACAGTTCAGACATGTCCGACATCTGGTCATCATCACGATTCCACTCAAATTTGTATGGACGCTTTGTATCTCTGTCCTCCTTGGAATCCACAACATTCTGACCAGTGCCATTTTCATCATCAGCTGTCTTGTATGTCTAAGGGAGATAACCATGTTCTCAGAGTTACTGACATACTTCTCATTTCTCAACCTAGTCATTAAGATTTAACTTCTTTCATAACTAGAATCAAAACAGGCTTCTTACACTTTACTTTTTCGCAATTAGCTCCTGAATTTTAAAAAAATGCTGTAAAACCACAAACAAACGCTGTATCAGTCTTTAAATAAGCTGCTATTTTGAGAAAGATGCAATTTGTTGCCATTGCTTCACCTCTTGGCCTTATTATAGGACAGATAAGGATTTTTTTGAACAATAGGAATTTTGAATCACAACACCATTTACTAAAACATGAATTACATGCATTTTATCTTTATAGAAAATCCATGCATTACTTTTCTAATGTTAGTTTAAAAAGTTAATGAAACACCCAAATCAGCATCTTATTACAGCCAAAGTAATGACATCATAATAGTGATCACATGACTAAAATGTAAAATTGTATCTAAAAATACACGTAAGTATGGGTATTATTCCTAACTTACTGACTGGGTATCCATACTCTCACTGTCTGTTGCAAACATAGTTAGATCTTGAGAGCTCTCATCCCCAGAGGTCTTCACATCAGAAACAACTGACTCACTATCAGACTTCTTCACTGGCTGTTTATTTTCCTCCTTTTTCTTCGGTGTAGGAGGCATGGCTGGTAGAGGTATATCCTCCAAGATGCTTTTTTCTTCCTTAAACAAAGACTTACTGACCTCTTGTTTAGGAACGATTTTTGGAACAGCTGGAGCTTCTTCCGTTCCGGGAGGAGGAGGGGTCTTTGGGATTGGAGGCAAAGGCGGCAGACTAGTTTTCGGTGGAGTAGGTGTATCAGCAACACTTGCACTGAGCGAGACTGATGGTGATGATACACCTAATGGACTCTGTGTAATAGCTGGACTAACTCCGAACTGTCCGAGCACCCCAGGAATGGGTGGATTTGTGGATGTTACTGTTGCATCGCTGCCAACAGAGGATGGGGTATCAAAGCCAGGGGGTTTGGTATAAATATTGGGCATGGTAAATCCACCCCAGGGATTTGGCATGTATGGAAAAGCCTGGGGAGGCATTCCGTAACCCAAAGGGAAAGGCATGGCCATTGGAAACGACATCATTCCTGGTGGGTAGGAGCTGATGGACGACTGCTGTTGCTGTTGTTGTGGAGTCTGCGGTGGCCATGCATTCCCTGTGAAAGTCTGTGGAAAGCCTGCCATGAGGGGAGGACTTCCAAAGGGTGTGACTGATTGAGGAAGGAGAGGTGTAGGCTGCTGTTGACTGGCTGGCTGCTGTTGCTGCTGAAAATCTGAAACAGATGGTGGATGTAATGATAAATATCCATCTGTATGTAAACAATTCACAATTACAGACCCTAACAATATGACAGTATGCTGCCATTAAGCTCCTCCTACACTTCACCAATGTCAATCTAACTTAACTTCATAGAGAAAGACAGATCACCTTTGTGAACATATCACTACATCACAGAAGGACTCCATAAAATTACAATAACGAATATGATAATGTCTTCTATGATTCATAAAGATTTCCATTCCTGATGGTACACCATTTATTTTATAGTATTCAAGAGAAGTAGAAAATATGTGCATTTGTCCAAAATTGTGAAAATTGTGAAATCTGTTGCAGCTGTACTAATGGTGACCATTTGCTTTATAGAGTGATAGGTCAACTTTTGTTCCATATACAAATATTGACTCATCTCTAATCATTCTCAATATGACAATGAAAGGTGGGCTTGACACAAGGACAAGCTGTACTAATTACCTGGGGGAGGCACACTCAGACTCATTAGACTCTGTAAATTCTGTTTTTGCTGATTTTTCTTTTGCTCCATTCGTTCCTTTCTCTTATCAGGGTCTATGTTGAGATGTTGACAAGCCACTTCATCGATCTTTGGCTTGATGACATTAAAAATCTTTGGATTGACAACTTGTTCTATAACTCTCTCCACACCAGTCGCCAACATACCAGACCTGTAATATACAATATAAATTCTCTACATACATCCAAGGGTGTGATAAAGGTGGTAGGTTGTTACTCATTACATATAATGATAGGAAAATGTGCACAGGGATTTTTGTGGATTTCTCTAAACTAAATCTTCTGTCACATAAGCATATATCCTAGAGGCTTTAGACAATATTTCAGCATGAAATGTTCAAAACTAAACTAGATTTTTTATGGGAGTCTTAAGCCAAAAAATAAAAAAACAAAACAAACTTATTACAAAATTCACTAAAAAGCTGCCAACCTGTTGTAATCCATTCAGGTGGTCATTAACAAGATGGGTTAGTAAAAGCTCATCAATTAAGTAAAAGTTTCGTTTTGATAAAGCCATCAGACTTTTATTCATGAATTCTGTTGATATTCTGTGCTGTGCTTAAATATTGACCATTTTCAGCCATAAAATTCCCTTTGCAAAATTTTGAAAAAAAAAAAAAAAAATAAAATATCAAGTGAGAATTAAAGAATTTTCAGGATTTTGGCAGGTATATGATATTGGTATTTGATGTGGCTATACATCAGGTGGTTGTGTTGCTCAGTGGTAAAACACTCATTTTCCTCCTGGGCACCTGAGGTGCGATTACCCAAAAAGGTCTGGTACTACGGTTTCTTCTTATGGTAAGAACCCTCATGCACTTTAATATGGGTAAGCAAGAGTGATTTTTATAAGCTTAAAGCATGTTGTGCAAATGTTGTAAAATGAAGTTCATATCTATATATAAGGTTGATAATTAATTTGTATTTTTAATTTGTAATTGTATTTGTAGTTGACATAGGCATGAAGTTTGTACTGTCAAATCTGGTGCCTGACTATAAACAATTACTGGTTGATCTGGCGTCGTAAGTTGTCCCTGAGATGGTTCTTGTTGAGGTTTGGACTCCATACTTGTCTTGTCAGGAAGCGTGACACATAGCCCTCTACTCTCTGACGCAGATTCTGAAAGGCAGGCTGAAAATGAAAACAGAAATGCTGTGAATGCTTGAAATTAACGACCAAAAAGACAACATATCTTTGCAACTTTCACCTCCAAATGAAAATGATAATCTAAAAATATTGTATTGTGAGTTTGACCATAGTGCTTAATTGTGATACCTATAATATCACATAACCCATAGCTATATACACCTCCATATGGTAACCATAAGTATTGATGGTATTATAATTGTGTAATAGAAGCAGAAAAGGCCCGTCCTTTTCCACTTCAATGAAGTATTGTGATATCTATTTGTAGTAATTTTAATTAACATCTGCTGCAAGAAGATATTGATGTGCTTATCAAAATTGTGTTGTTTTTTAAGTGTTGTAATTGTTTAAACTAATTGGGCATATTTAGAATCACATACTACCATACATAGAATATGCAGTTATCAGTCATACAGAATTTCGAGAATTTTATTCTCCGACTTAATAGAATTCTAAATACTTTGTGATAGTTTCGGGTACATGACTTTCACAGTCCTGTTCAACAGGCTCTTTATCCTCATCCCAGAGTATGTTCGTTTCACTATTTCCTATTTTCATATGGGCCACAGATCATACATGTCATCATTACACACTACGTTTCAATTTATAGTTCAAGCGCATCTACTCAAGTGGGATGATTTTTCGAATAAATAGCCAAATAAAACCAGATAATTAGATACGCTAAAATTGACAAAGCCCGAATGTTAAACACTGTTAACCGATTTTGCTTGTCAAGCTGCAACAATATGACTGGAATATCACCGTTCCAGTAATTTTAACACGATAAATTGTGTAAACTGTGTTCTACCTTTGTATCGACATCGGCTAGGCAGTCTCTCCGAAACTGATCAAAGAGCCCTTCCGATTTCAGTTTATCAAGAATGTCGCGCACAACCTTTGGGTCGGCTTCTGTGTCCTTTCCAATGTTCTTCGTTGACATTCTGACAGAGCGATTCTAGCCTAAACGGCTAAATTTTCAAAATGCACAGTTGTTACGAGAAAAGAACATAAAGTTTTAAAAAAATTGCCCCATGGCCTATTGGTGGACGCCATTTTCACAATTAAGGTGCGTTCGACTAGATATATATGGGTTATCGTTCTTGTTTGCAATATTGCAGCCATTATGAAAGGAAATATTTTGTATTCCATTTTTTGGTTAGTACCATACACAACATAGATGCAAATATGCAAAAATAGTTAAGTTAATTGAAAATTAGAATTTAAACAGAGAAATAAAAAACTTTACATCAGTCAATGTCTTTCTCACAATTTTCATTATCTTGCATTTTGTCGGAAACCCTGTTTTTATGTCGGAGTGCCGAAGTAGAATTAAAATGTCAAATCAACTGCGACATGTAAACATGGATTTTTGGAAGCAATTTTTTTTTTTTGTAGAAACCGGAGAAAATCGAATATATTGCTATCATCAGGTCAAATTATTCTAACGTTCTATCCATGTTTCCCAGTTTATCCGGATCTGGAACTGACTTCTGAAACTGATCGATAAAAAAGTCAATGAAACGTCACAATAAATCGGAGTTAAAATATCGTTGAGAGTCTGAGGGGATCAGTCAGCAGATCGTTGGCCAACGTAAGCTTAGTAGTAGTTTATTTTGTTTCTTAAAAACTGACCGATCTGTCATATCATAGTTTTCCCTTTTTTAGTATTCATCATGACGGCATTCGACTGGCCTCCCGTATGTTGTTCAGTGAGGTAGCTACCAGATAAAATAAGAAAACACACTAAGAAGACCTCTCCTCAAAATGACGATGCATATTCCTTCATATACTTCTGTATTGCAGTTAAACCCAGAACGTGTAATTCTTAGGGATAAGAAACTGTCTGTTTCTCCTTTGTGATGCTATAGTGGAGAATTTCGAGTCAAGTAGCCTTACTGTTTTCATAAACCATTTGTCAGAATACAAAACTAATAATTTAAAAATAAACAGTAGTGGATTGTGCTAACTTTTGTGACAAATAATTTCCTTTAACTTAATATTAATGCATATTTTAGCTATTTACACGTGAAATACCACCATATATTGTGTGCCACTTTCAGTGAATACTATGCCGGAAATAATCTTTAAATAAATGGCATTAAAAAGCCGAGTAATTTTCTTATTGACTCATGTAAGTTTCGGGATACGTCACTTTAATTTATAAGTATAGTTTTTGTTAGGAAAATGATACTATTCACTGCATTGATCGTCAAACTGGCTCTGGTAAGACTGGTCATTGCTAACTCCACACTAAGGACACTAGATATATATATCAGATCAGATACCAAACGTGATGGTGATTGGGATTCTATGACTTCACGGCTCAGTGAGTATTTATAAAAGCTTAAGTCAGAAAGGTCTCCACTGGGCCTAGTTTCTCATCCCTCCCTATTATACGACCCTGGTTCGACTATAACCCTGATTTGACAGTGTTTAGAACGGAAGCGGGCACTTTTAAGCGAACGTCATGGTGGTCGAGGAACTAGTTGAAACAGCAAATAAATCGCTATTAATCCACTAGAAACGAGTAAGGTCCCCAGAAATTTCATCTAAAATATTATTTAAACCAGAGACGTATATATCACATATATACGTCTCTGTTTAAACTGAAGGCATGATGGTGTTTTTGTCTGTAAAAAGTGGATGTTTCGGCAGAGGTTCTAAATATGGATGCCGATGTAACAATGGAACAAATATTGTTCAATTACGTGTTCGATACAGAACTTCAATTTCTGGTTTGAATTTAATTTCTTAAAATAAGGCCTGTGCAATTATCCTAACAAGCCAAACTCTTCCTACACCGGTCCGTGCATAGCTGGGACGTAACCTTAGGCCTAGTCTAAATTCCACTGTACACGTAATGCTAAAGTCATTTATTAAAACCAAGTTTTAAATAGCAAAATGTGACCAGCATTGCCACTGAAAGAGGACTGATGTAACACTGGAACTAGTGTTTTGTATTTCGCGCCATTGTGTGGTCACTGAGGCGCACTGTTGTTGATAAACACGAGGAGTAGTCATGGACGCTCACGTAGAGAGTTGACAGATCTAGAGATGGACAGAAGGAAAGACACGGTCTACTGGACGAACATGGAGCTGCACGTGGTGTGTTAGTAAACAAAATCACACTGTAAGATGACGAACTCAGCAAACAGAATATACGAAGGATGTGTTCGGGACGACCTTCCATCACTGGAATCGTCCATCATCCGTGTGTTCTCGAGCTCCACGTTCACGGGTGAGCTATATTTGAATGACGAGTATTGTGTATGTAAATTATGACAACCGCAGATGCGCAATGGTTCAAACCGATTTGTAAATATTTGTTTTTTAAATGTTGTTTGGTGTTGGTATTTGTGATAGTACATGTCATGTTAAATTCTGAATTACATTTGACTATAATAAGCTTATAATATGGACACAACTTTCAGATCTCTTTAAGCAGAGCTGATTATTAGGTCCTAATCACACACGTACAAGTCTTTCTGTAATCGATAGCCCAGTGGGTGTATTGACAGACCAAGCTTATTAATATACCAGTTCAGCTTTAGAAATAGAATTTGTGACAGGTATATGAAGCTTTTGACACAGTGACCTGAGGCCTTGTTACAGTCTTAGAGAATATTGATGAACCCTGGTCTGTATACATGTATGGTTTCCAGAAATTTCAAGGGGTTATATATTTTATGAAATTGACAACCCTCCATCATGTACATCAGAGGGGTGTTGTTTTTACAGAATATTGATTGAACCCCCCAGAACATTTAAGATCTTGTAAAAAGACCACCATAAGTGTAACAACAACGTGGTCGTGGACGCTTACATCATTTACTATCAAGTCTCTTAGCACATTATGATATTACATTTCCCTCTCTTTAACGAAATAATAAAGTGCATTAGGACATTAAATGAATTTAACCAAATAATGGTTTTGTCTGATGGTGTCTCTAACACAAATGAAGATCTCTGACTACAGTCCTGTTTACTGAGTATCTCCATTAATTTACGTAATATCAAATAATTTGGACTAGAAATACACTGACTTAATTATAAGAAATAGAACATAACCAATAAATTTGATATAAGCAGAACCCTGTTCTGCAAGACTGCACGGGGATTATTTTGCCCCAAAACACAGTGCAAGTCTTAACTAAAGACATGTTAACATTTTAACAGTTCTAGATCTGATGTTAGAACGCTAAAGAATTATGCTCCAAGGAAGCATCTCAATCTCCTATAGCTTCTACCCTTGGAGTGATCAACAGTACCAAATCTGTAATAGGAAAGAGTAATGAAAAACACCGAGCCACCGCTGGGGTTTGAATTAGTGACCCTTTGGTCTCTAGCCAGACACTCTACTGCTTGACTTAAGGGAAATTCCCACTAGCTGAGGCTAGTAAGGCGACCTGCACTCTCAACTATTACAGTTGCAAATCTGATCAGTATGCAATATTATCAGACATTTATAGAGAATGTTAGACCGATATTAAGCAAATAAAACCCTTTTCTGTATGTTATAGCCCAAAGAGTTATGGAAAATCAGTTCACCATGTTAAAAAGTCCTCCCTGTCATACTGGTTTTTTCTCAAGGAAATGATGTCACATTCCTGATAAGTGCTGTCAGAAAAAACAGTGACTGAGTTTTCTTTTCTGTAATCTTGTATATCAACATCAACTCCATACACCTTTTATAGATGTACTGCAGCGTGTTTCAGTCACAAATGTCTGAAACAAGCTGCTTATTAACACAGTGAAAAAGTGTTGTTTTCCTAAAATCATAGGGGAAAAATACTAAAAATTAAAGAAGTTATCCTCCAAATGTTAATGAACAATTGATTGCCCTTACAAGTTTAATAATGCATAGCTTCTCTAAAACACAAAAAAAACAGAAAATCATCAAATTATCATTGTGTATTATTTCTATTGGTTATGTCTGTAGTGTCCAGATCTGTAAAACATGAGAAACAAAAAGCCTTGAAAATAATTACAGGTTACATATAGGACTGACATTGGTTTGTATGTTATAGATAGGACTGACCTTGGTTTGGATATTATAAATAGGACAGATCTTGGTTAGGATGTTATAGATAGGACTGACATTGGTTTGGATAATATAAATAGGACAGATCTTGGTTAGAATATTATAGATAGGACTGATATTTGTTTGGATGTTATAGATAGGACTTACATTTGTTTGGATGTTATAGATGGAACTGACCTTGGTTTTTATGTCATAGATAGGACAGACCTTGGTTTGGATATTATAAATAGGACAGATCTTGGTTTGTATGTTATAGATAGGACTGACCTTGGTTTGAATGTTATAGATAGGACTGACCTTGGTTTGGATATTATAAATAGGACAGATCTTGGTTAGGATGTTATAGATAGGACTGATATTTGTTTGGATGTTATAAATAGGACTGACATTTGTTAGGATGTTATAGATAGGACTGACATTTGTTAGGATGTTATAGATAGGACTGACATTTGTTAGGATGTTATAGATAGGACTGACATTTGTTAGGATGTTATAGATAGGACTGACATTTGTTAGGATGTTATAGATAGGACTGACATTTGTTAGGATGTTATAAATAGGACTGACATTTGTTAGGATGTTATAGATAGGACTTACATTTGTTTGGATGTTATAGATGGAACTGACCTTGGTTTTTATGTCATAGATAGGACAGACCTTGGTTTGTAAGTTATGGATAGGACAGACCTTGGTTTGGATGTTATAGATAGGACTGATCTTTGTTAGGAGGTTATAGATAGGACTGACCTGTGTTAGGATGTTATAGATAGGACTGACGTTGATTTGGAGGTTATAGATAGGACTGACCTGTGTTAGGATGTTATAGAAAGGACTGACTTTGATTTGGAGGTTATAGATAGGACTGACCTGTGTTAGGATGTTATAGATAGGACTGACCTTGGTTTGTATGTTATAGATAGAACTGACCTTGGTTTGATTTAAGATATCTATAACTTTGTGTAAAATGTTGCAGATATGTCTGTGGAGAGGAATTTTCTCATGAAGAAATCCATTCCAAAGATTCGAGATTACTGCTTCATGAATGGACTCACTTTTCAGGTGAGTACAAGAAATTAAATTTACAATGGAACTTTATTTTGTATGGTTCTCTGGTAGGTATCTTCTGATATTGTCTGTTAAATATATTCCAGTTGGTGGACATGCGATGGGGTGTACGTGACGAGGCCTCCATTGACCACACCACCAATGAAGTTGTTCTGGGCGAAGTTGAGAAGTCTAAAAGGATATCACGTGGACCGTACATGTTGGTAAGTCGGGGACAGTGGTCTTAAGGTCAGAGAGCAGAGCAACAGATAAATGGTAGCTGGACAGTGGTATGAGGGGCTGAGAGCAGGGTAGCAGATAATTGGGAGTTGGGCTCTGGTCTTAGGTTCTGGGAGCAGGGTAGCAGATAATTGGGAGCTGGGCTGTGGTCTTGGGTTCTGAGGGCAGGGTAGCAGATAAATGAGAACTGGATATTGGTATTGGGGTAAGCAGGGTAGCAGATAATTGGGAGTTGGGCTGTGGTCTTAGGTTCTGGGAGCAGGGTGGCAGATAATTTGGAGTTGGGCTGTGGTCTTAGGTTCTGGGAGCAGGATGGCAGATAATTGGGAGTTGGGCCATGGTCTGGGATCAGAGTAGCAGATAATTGGGAGTTGGGCTGTGGTCTTAGGTTCTGGGAGCAGGGTGGCAGATAATTGGGAGTTGGGCCATGGTCTGGGATCAGAGTAGCAGATAATTGGGAGTTGGGCTGTGGTCTTAGGTTCTGGGAGCAGGGTGGCAGATAATTGGGAGTTGGGCTGTGGTCTTAGGTTCTGGGGGCAGGGCAGCAGATAAATGAGAGTTGGGCTGTGGTCTTGGGGTCAGCAGGGCAGAGTTGGGCTGTGGTCTTAGGTTCTGGGAGCAGGGTGGCAGATAATTGGGAGTTGGGCTGTGGTCTTCGGTTCTTGGAGCAGGGTTGCAGATAATTGGGAGTTGGGCCAGGGTCTGGGATCAGAGTAGCAGATAATTGGGAGTTGGGCTGTGGTCTTAGGTTCTGGGAGCAGGGTGGCAGATAATTGGGAGTTGGGCTGTGGTCTTAGGTTCTTGGAGCAGGGTGGCAGATAATTGGGAGTTGGGCTGTGGTCTGGGATCAGAGTAGCAGATAATTGGGAGTTGGGCTGTGGTCTTAGGTTCTTGGAGCAGGTTAGCAGATAATTGGGAGTTGGGCTGTGGTCTTAGGTTCTTGGAGCAGGTTAGCAGGAGCAGGGCAGCAGATAATTGGGAGTTGGGATGTGGTCGTAGGTTCTGGGAGCAGGGTGGCAGATAATTTGGAGTTGGGCTGTGGTCTTAGGTTCTGGGAGCAGGATGGCAGATAATTGGGAGTTGGGCTGTGGTCTTAGGTTCTGGGAGCAGGGTGGCAGATAAATGAGAACAGGATATTGGTATTGGGGTAAGGAGCAGGGCAGCAGATAATTGGGAGTTGGGCTGAGGTGGTTGGTTCTGGGTGCAGGGTAGCAGATAATTGGGAGTTGGGCTGTGGTCTTAGGTTCTGGGAGCAGGGTGGCAGATAATTGGGAGTTGGGCTGTGGTCTTAGGTTCTTGGAGCAGGGTGGCAGATAATTGGGAGTTGGGCCATGGTCTGGGATCAGAGTAGCAGATAATTGGGAGTTGGGCTGTGGTCTTAGGTTCTGGGAGCAGGTTAGCAGATAATTGGGAGTTGGGCTGTGGTCTTAGGTTCTGGGAGCAGGGTGGCAGATAAATGAGAACTGGATATTGGTATTGGGGTAACGAGCAGGGCAGCAGATAAATGAGAACTGGATATTGGTATTGGGGTAACGAGCAGGGCAGCAGATAAATGAGAACTGGATATTGGTATTGGGGTAAAGAGCAGGGCAGCAGATAATTGGGAGTTGGGATGTGGTCGTAGGTTCTGGGAGCAGGGTGGCAGATAATTTGGAGTTGGGCTGTGGTCTTAGGTTCTGGGAGCAGGATGGCAGATAATTGGGAGTTGGGCTGTGGTCTTAGGTTCTTGGAGCAGGGTGGCAGATAATTGGGAGTTGGGCCATGGTCTGGGATCAGAGTAGCAGATAATTGGGAGTTGGGCTGTGGTCTTCGGTTCTTGGAGCAGGGTGGCAGATAATTGGGAGTTGGGCTGTGGTCTTAGGTTCTGGGAGCAGGGTGGCAGATAAATGAGAACAGGATATTGGTATAGGGGTAAGGAGCAGGGCAGCAGATAATTGGGAGTTGGGCTGAGGTGGTTGGTTCTGGGTGCAGGGTAGCAGATAATTGGGAGTTGGGCTGTGGTCTTAGGTTCTTGGAGCAGGGTGGCAGGGTGGCATGTGGTTCTGGGAGCAGGGTGGCAGATAATTGGGAGTTGGGCTGTGGTCTTAGGTTCTAGAAGCAGGGTGGCAGATAATTGGGAGTTGGGCTGTGGTCTTGGTTCTGGAGCAGGGTGGCAGATAATTGGGAGTTGGGCCATGGTCTGGGAGCAGGGTAGCAGATAATTGGGAGCTGGGCTGTGGTCTTGGGTTCTGAGGGCAGGGTAGCAGATAAATGAGAACTGGATATTGGTATTGGGGTAACGAGCAGGGCAGCAGATAATTGGGAGTTGGGATGTGGTCGTAGGTTCTGGGAGCAGGATGGCAGATAATTGGGAGTTGGGCTGTGGTCTTCGGTTCTTGGAGCAGGGTGGCAGATAATTGGGAGTTGGGCTGTGGTCTTAGGTTCTTGGAGCAGGGTGGCAGATAATTGGGAGTTGGGCTGTGGTCTTAGGTTCTGGGAGCAGGTTAGCAGATAATTGGGAGTTGGGCTGTGGTCTTAGGTTCTGGGAGCAGGGTGGCAGATAATTGGGAGTTGGGCTGTGGTCTTGATCTTGGTATAGGGGGAAGGAGCAGGGCAGCAGATAATTGGGAGTTGGGCTGAGGTGGTTGGTTCTGGGTGCAGGGTAGCAGATAATTGGGAGTTGGGCTGTGGTCTTAGGTTCTTGGAGCAGGGTGGCAGATAATTGGGAGTTGGGCTGAGGTGGTTGGTTCTGGGTGCAGGTTAGCAGTGGTCTTAGGTTCTTGGATAGATTGGGAGTTGGGCTGTGGTCTTAGGTTCTGGGAGCAGGGTGGCAGATAATTGGGAGTTGGGCTGTGGTCTTAGGTTCTGAGGGCAGGGCAGCAGATAAATGAGAACTGGATATTGGTATTGGGGTAACGAGCAGGGCAGCAGATAATTGGGAGTTGGGCTGTGGTCTTAGGTTCTGGGAGCAGGGTGGCAGATAATTGGAAGTTGGGCTGTGGTCTTAGGTTATGAGAGCAGGGCAGCAGATAAATGAGAACAGGATATTGGTATTGGGGTAACGAGCAGGGCAGCAGATAACTGGGAGTTGGCAGATGATTGGAATGAATTTGTTTTCCTCTAAGAATCTAGTACTTGAATACTTTTGTTTTTAGGCCTTTCTTGGTGACAAATATGGCAGTCGACCTATGCCAAGTAAAATCGAGGCTGGAGAATACAAGCTGTTACGGAGAACGGCAATGAAGCTGGGCTATGATATCAGTCTAATGGATCAGTGGTTTAAACGGGATGACAACGCTGAACCTGCCATATTTTATATCGTCCCAATTACCAAGATTCTACCAAATTACGACAATGACTTGGAAGGGTTTGAAAAGCAACGTGAAAGTGTAAGCATCTTCTGTGTATAGTGTATAGATGGTAGTATTGGCTGGGAATTTAAATTCAGTATAAGCATGGTCTTCAAAGTGCTTAAAATGACATACCAAGCAAACATTTTGTAGTGTGTAAAAATCTCCAAAAGTTCCTGTGTATGTGGATGCTAACGTAAAGATATGTTTGAAAACTTAATCCCAATGAATTGGAGTTAACTAAGACAAACATCAATATTTCGCCTCCAAAATTAAACATCTATAAAATAACATAAACAATACCACAACTAGTTATAATTTTCATATATATCTGTTAAGTTTTACCTTTCAAGTTGAAGAATTTTAAAGAAATAGATTTAAGCAATTATTTCTCGGACATTAAATATAAAATGTTTTTCAAATTGTTCAAATTTCTTTTCCTTTCAATCACAGGTTTTGAACAATCTTGTAAATCCAGTATCAATAATTATCATAACAGAAGCCACATTTTTTGGAAATATCAATTATAATCTTACATCCTTGTATCAGCTCCTGTCTTTTGTCCACATGAAACAAAGTGCCAGTGAGCCTACGGTGTGCTGTAAGATTTGTCGTCTGTTCATCAACCTTAAACATATTGCATTGAAATATAAGCAAATGGGTACTCATATTTGGCTAGTGGGTACCTGGATTTGAGTTGTATGAAGTTTCATTATATGAGTGGCCTTGAACTGTTTAAGGTCACAGGGGTGAAATGTGTTCAGAATTAAAAACAATCTTCACAAGGTATGGCACAACCAGATTCTTGATATTGTGTCTACAGATACCTACGATGAAACATTATATTGTTTTCATGTACATGTATACATAACCTTGACATATTTTATCAGAGTAATTAGATTTAGAATTGGAATTAGAGAGAGAGAGAGATTTTTTTTTCTCTTTCTTGATCTGAAGGCCTGTAGTCTAGGGCTTGTGTTGTTAAACATTACTGATTCAGAATGCCTTAATCACTTTCAACAAATTTTGTTTGTAGCATCCCTTAGGAATTAGAAATCGTTTTGTCTTGAGAAAGAGTAGTTATCCTAGATGCTTATGGACTCAAAATCTAAATTGTAGAAATATTTAATGATAATGCTTGAAAGGAGAGTATGATCATGATAATTAATTACTAAAATATTCATCTAAACAACACATACCATTTGGGCCTGTTTTATTGTGTATGAAGATATGTTATCACACCTAGATTCAATGTCATGGTTACTATGTATCACAGGACAGGGAGAAGTGGTCCAGTGTGGATGCTAAGCTCACCAAAATGTTTCGTGCTGCTGCTGGTCAAGCTTATGATGAAGGCCTCATCGATAGAGAAACACGACACAAGTATTTTTACTCGGGTATATAACCAATTCATACAAATATCAAAACCTGTCTATAAAGGCCAGTCAAAGAAACAGCTTGAAATGGCCTTTATGAGCAGGTGTTCTTTCTTTACTTGAATGTTTAAATTTTCAGTTTTTTTGCATTACACCAGGACCAAAATAAGCAGCCTTGATAGATAGGAGTCTTTGTTATATAGGTTTGATTATAATGACTTACATTATGACAGGAGTTCACTCTCAATTTCATATCCCTCTTTCTAACCAACTGTAAACATTTTATTTTTTGTTGATGTAATTTTTTTTTTTTTTTTTTTTGAAGTTTTATGAAAATTTAAGATTTTCTTTTCTCATAAAAGGTATGAAACAGGCTTCGGATTTCTCAGGTTTTAAAATTTTATCAATTTAATCTGTTGTCAAAATATACAACTTTACTGTATATCTTTCTTTGGGGCCATTATAACTCAGACTAAAGAGCCTCAAGCATTTCAGCCTCAGGTGGAGTTGCTTAGTACCTGGTCCGAACCCTTCCGACAGTGTTTTATGTTTTTCTGGAAGTTTAGGTCATGGACTGTGCTGTAGTGGTTGTGTCCCTTAGCAAGACACTTTGCTGAAATTACTCTAGATAGCAAGCGAAAGGCCTCCTGTATGTTGTTCAGTGATGTGAACTCCAGCTACTTTTATAAGAGACCCTGTCTCAAAATGGCCTTGGCTGTTCATGTTGGATAAACCATTAAATCCGCATAATCTAACGGAAAAAATCTGTTAGATATTGTACAAAATAAGGATCAATAATCTGAAATGTATGTGAATTCTGATTGAGTTCTGTAACATAAAACAAACATGTACTACACATTAATTGACTAGACAAACCGATTGCTTTGCGTCCCCAAAGTATTTTCATCGGTGAGATCTGGCCCCATTTCTGTAAGTTCTTTTGTTTTTATAGAAGAAAGAAATGTCTATTTTTGAGTTTGATTACAGCAGTAGTGTTACTGATAAAAGACTATTTTCATTTACAGTGACAGAAGTGGAAATCACATCAGGCATACTTCAACCAGAATCTGTGAAAGACAAAGTCATTTGTTATTTTCGTTCGTTTTTGGATATCAACATCAACGACAAGCTTGCCTGTAAGTCACATGACCAGAATTTTTTATAATATTTATCTCATGTGTAATGTATCAACTTACAAACAAAAGAAATATCCTTGAACTTGTCTTGAAATAACTGGAGTCAAAAACTAGGACACTATGTTACCTTACAATAACATTAAATAGTTCCATATCTTGCTTTGTATGAACAAAATAACTTCCAAATCAGTCCAAGGTTTTGGAGATCTGGTTCCCCTCTCCTCCACCCCCACGCCAGGACTTATTTTCAAAATAGATTAACCAGGTAAATAAATTCTGAAGTGTTGTCAAGTCACCATATAAACAATACAGTACTGTGTACCTGGGGAAACAGAGATTATCTTATTTTGATATTTGAAATTTAATTTAAGCTTTTTGATTTAAAAAAATCCTAAATTGGCTCACAGATATATGAATCAATTCATACTTCAGCTCTGCTTTAACAAACTTTAGTCTACTTTTTATTTTCAAATGATTGGCAAAGAAGTGAAAGCTATGCGGTGGCAACAGCTTTCCTATATACAGTAAAGCCATTTGTAACTTTGTAGAGACTAAATGTTCGGACGGGACAGTTCATGTCATGAAGTCAAATAAAATGTTCTTAAAAAATTTAAAATGATAGGCAATAACATTGATTAAAGGCATATAGTTTTGAAAATTGAAAGAATAAAAGTTCTGATTTTTGAAATGTACAGGGAGATTTACAGATTTGATAGATGGCGCTGTAGATGATGAAGCCATGGAGTTGAGAGAGAGGCTCAAGTTCACGCAGGTTATGCCAAAGCTTGGCCCAGAGGAGATGCAGAAGTACAGCCTATATTGGTAAGTTCTAAATAACAGAAAATCAGTGTGTAAGAAGCTATTGATTAATAAACACATGGCTGTGATTTTAAATGTGGTATGGGAATAAATTGTGAAAGGTTGTATAATATTTGTGAAAAGAAAAAATCAAGTGTATGTATCATGTTTGTGTGTGGGGAGATTACTAAGGTATTGATGTTGGGGAAAATAACTTGATTTGTATAAGGGTAATGTAACGAAAGGGAGGCTGTTTCATAATCATTGTAAAATAAAGTTTATATTTCTAAGGGAGATAACTTTGTATTGTGAGGGGAGATAACAAGCTGTTTCAGTAGATTAGATAAAGGAATGGAGATAACTTCATGATGATACAGAAGATAACTGGATGGGGTTGTAAATGGAGATGACTATGCATGTCTATAAAATGGTTAAGTAAAGGAAGGGAGATAACTATGATACAATTTCGCTTGCAGGACCCCCGTGGGAGTCGACACCAGTAATGAAGATCACATGACCTACCTCAATAACATGTGTGAAGATTTTGAAAAAAAAATGATGCGTATGATTGAAAAATCATTGAAATTGAAACACAGGAAACATTTTGGTGTCAATGAGAAAATGTATGTGGAAGTTCTGCAGCACTTACATTTTGCCAAACATAAAAGTCAAACGTTTTGTGGAAGAGCTAGCTTGCTTGAGACAATCCGACAAAAAATGCTGATAACCCATAAAGTTGCAGATGCTGAAGACCAAAGTGATGATGAAGAAGACAAAGCCGTTAATGATGCTGATGCTTCATCCAATGTGTCCTTGTATCAATCATCAGACGGACAGATCTCCCAGAAAGACTATGATGCACTCAAACAGATACAAATGGAGCATGAACAAATTAAAGGGAGTTTAAAACAGCTTGGTATTGTTTACAATCACGCTGACATTGATCTTGATCATGAAAACGACCCAAGCCGTAATCCAAAAGCAGAATTGATCCGCTTGCCTGCAATAAAGACATACTGTCGGCCAATCGTTGTTTATGGCCATTCTGGGTCTGGAAAAACATCGGTGATGGCCAAGGTAGCTGAACTGAGTAAAACTTGGTTTCCAAATTCGGTGCAAATTGTCCGGTTTTTGGGAACTTCAGCAAATTCTTCTTCCATCCGTGATGTTCTTTTAGGTATTTGTTTTCAGATCTGGATGCTATACAAAGTGAAACCCCCATTAAACCTTGACCTTGAAAGTGATTTTATCTTCCTTTCCCAGTACCTGACATCTTTGCTTTGGAGGATTAACACTGAGAAAAGACCACTCCTCATCCTTCTGGACTCGGTTGACCAGCTCTCAATGTCTGATCATGCTAGTGCTATGCATTGGCTGCCCAATAAGGTGCCCCCCAGTGTTCGTATTATTGTATCTACCATACCAGAATATGAATGCCTAGAAAACCTTCGCTCTATGCTTCCATTACAAAACATGGTTCATGTTTCGTCATTGTCACAAGAAACGGCAGAGAATATGATAAAAAACACTCTTGAATCCAAAAACCGTCGACTTACAAAACTTCAGTGGCGCCACCTGCTTGAAAAGACTGCTAAGGTTGGGCAGCCACTTTATGTGAAGCTTTTGTCTGACCAGGCTGTGACTTGGAAGTCTTCGACTGCGATGTCGAAAGTCAATGTCGGCAACAACATCAAGGAAGCCATTTTGCATCTGTTTCAAGCCACAGAGAAAGAACATGGAGAGATCATAATTAATCATTTATATGGTAAGAATACGGACTAGTGGTTTGCTTCTCTCACATTAAGCCTAGTCGGTCTTTGCGGAAATTCTAGCTCTGATTCAGGTAGTGAGCTTACTGTAAACCACATAGATTTTATTTAGGGATTTTAGACATATTCATGGATACATGATTTCTCAAAGGCTGATCCAGAAATTACTTTAAACACCAATGATAAGCTGTTAGATACCAGGTCTCTGATCTCGGTAATCAAATCAACATAAATGCCATTCAGGGTTATTTGTGTACAAAAATTTGGAAGGATTTGAATTTGAAATTATTTTTCGCAGAAATTATATTTTCGCTACTTAATGGTACATTAACGTGACTGAAAATTTAATCAGTGAAATAATGAGACACATGTGTATTTGATGTTCTTTTATGTCAACATTGCAAATTTGCTAATTCTTTAAGGTATAATTTGGCCGTTTATTGTGAAATTTTTAACTTAAAATTATCAGTTATATGTACTGCCATTTTTTGTAGTAGAATATTTTTAAGACAGTCCCCTGTGTAATAGTTGTTATATTTTTCGTTGCTAGGTTACCTGTCTGCCGCACGTGATGGCTTGTCGCTTTCGGAGATAGAAGACATTCTCTCCCTTGATGATGAAGTACTACAAGACACATTTTTATACCACCTACCTCCAGACCCAGAAAACGTCCGCTTCCCATCGGCTGTACTCACTCGGGCACTGTCAAATGTTTTAGACTATCTCGTCGAACGAAGGTCTGGTGCAACATCAGTTTTGTCCTGGTACCATCGCCAGTTTACAGAGGTAATCCTTTGTTTGTGTTATATAAACCTAGAGTACGACATCTGTGTGAATGTGGAGATTCCAATGAGGGAAATAAATTTTTGAATTAAAAATCCTTCTCCTCTAGAATGATTAAAAAGATTTTAAACAGATTTCATTGAGATCATCATTTGGTTGGATGAAAGATTCTCAATATTATTTGCACTGAGGAAAATAGATCCTTTTGATTGTTGTGTTTGCTGTAACATCGTATAAGATTTTGTATCAGTTTGTGATGACTTCCCTTTGTGGTGGCTCTATATTATTTCAAATCCTAGCTGTCCTGGATTTTATTTTATTATCATTTTTTAAACATAACATTTTCCATATCATGACCAGATTTAGGTTATGCCAAAAAAAATGACCTCTTATAATCATTGCTATTAATAGAAATTTAAGTAAAGATAGTTTAAATTGAGGGGAAGGGTTAGGAGTTTCTTCTGTTTTTGAGGATGGAATTATGGTTAAAACCACGAAAAAAAACCCCAAATAAATTAAATTGAGAAAGAAAAAGTATTATATTCCTGATCTCTACAAAAAATATATTCCTTGTAAATCAAGATTTTAATGAAACCACAAAAATTTGAGCCATTGAAAACGTGATCCTTTACTGTACCAACAGATGATGTAATATTGTCCTGTTTATATTCTGGTTAGGACATAACTTTGAGCCAGACATTTGCACTTATCAAAGGAAAAATAAAGTATAATATTAACAAGTACATTCTCCTAGATTTTCCTGCACATACAACAAGCTGGCCCTTACAAGTATTTTGTTTTTGCAGGTGGCAGCAGAAAGGTATCTCTCTAGAGATCGAGCCATCAAGATCCATGCCACATTGGCTGACTTTTTCCAGGGAGTGTGGTATAAAAAGAGAAAACCGTTGAAGCTGTACAAAAGGAAAACAGCCAATTATCCAAACTCCATTCGCTCGGTACCAGATCAGCCTACTTTGTATTGTGCAAACATGTACAACACACGCAAAATTATTGAACTGCCTTTCCACCTGATAAAATGCCAACGGTACCAAGTATTTCGTGATGTCATTGCTTGTGATTTCAGTTTCCTTTATGCAACATGTAAGACAGTAGGTATCACCAACCTCATAGAAGATCTCCGCCTGTGTTTGGTTGCCATGGATACAGATGGTTACCTTGATGAGGAGGTTTACAATGACATCAAATGTGTGCATGAGATTTTGTTGATGGGTGTCAACATGATTCGTAAAGACACCAACAATCTTCCAATACAGGTATTCACCGTAATCTTTATTCGCCCTGAAAATTAGTTGTCCATTTTTCCATTCTTCCATGTGCAGAGCATAATTTCGCCGACAGGTAAGCATGGATCATGAAACTTGACGTGTACATTGATCATACTTTGACAATGTGCGATATACCAACTCCATAGCCCACAGCCCCTTAATTACAGAGTGATTGCCCATTTTTAAAATTGTATGATTTAATGGGGATAATAACAAAAGAATTACCTGGTTTCTAAGGATTGCTCAAAGGTATATAAATATATATATTAATTAATGTAATGAATAACAGTTTATTAAAAAATATCACACAGTTGCTTTGTTTTAGCAGAAATTTGGTTTAGAAGTCAGAACTCAGCATAAATTTGGTTTAGAAGTCATAATCCAGCAGAAATTTTGTTCAGAAGTCATTACTCATTAGAAATTTGGTTCAAGAATTTGATTCAGAAGTCATTTCTTTGAAAGTGGAAATTTTGATAGATTGAGGTCATATTTCTTTGATATATGGTTAGAAGTGGACTATATTTCAAATTTTTTTGAAGCAAAAATCTGAATCACATCAAAGTTTCTTTCAGTAACCACTTACGGACTAATTGAGGAAATCATTATTGTTTATCTAATGTCTAGGTGGTCTCCAGGCTTGGTCGCACAACAGTGAAGACAACCTGGTTAAACAATCTTGTAAAAGGAGCATATGGATGGTGCAAAACTACCTCTAACCCAGTACTGTCACCGCAGTCATACTGTATGCCACAACCAGGAGGTGTTCTTAGAATCACCATTGACCTGGAGATTTTCCTGACGGAAAGTAAGTGTGAATTTTGCCTGAACATTTTGGATAAAAACACTACTTAGTCACAAGCACCAGGAGCATCCTTTTGTATGAATGATGAGTAGTGTGCCAACTGTCTGTCCGTTGTTAATTCTATGGTGTGGTGTCCAGTATCTGGCGTCCACCAACCACCATCTGTCAACTCTTTGTCAAAAAAAACTACATATCATAAAGGGCTTTATTGATTTTGACCAAATTTGGTCAGAAGCTTCCTTTGGGGAACGGGAACCAATTTTGTATTAAGGATGGGTGGGGCCCAATATGGGAAATAGAGCAAAATCTTATGTCTTTCTGCTGAAATAATGCTAGGATTTTGTCAGAATTTTGTCCTATGATAAAGAGGACTTTTATAAAAATGCTTTGGCTGACTTTACTGGGAGCAGAGGGGTAGTTAAATTGAGAATAGATATATTCCTTTAGAATTCCTTCTCCTTTAGCAAAGTCAGGTGACCAATACCTACCCTACATGAAGCCCAGATTTGTGAATGACCAGCAGTTAAACAAAATGCTGTAATTTTTTTTAGAACTATTTTCGACCTTAGAGTACATATGATTAAAGTGCAGCCAAAAAAGTTGGTTGATTCCATACCATCTTACACACTGCATACATCAGCGCCAGTATGCTCCACGCTGGTCTTTGTCTGATGAAGGTGACTGTGTAGTCATGGAAATGCCACACTCTAATCTTCTATTGGTTGTGTTATAGGAACTTCAATTCAATGGAATGCTGTTAAGTCTCTTAATTCAAATTACTTACATTTATTTTCAGGATTACATGAGTCATTGAGTCAAAATTTGGCCCAGTTTAGATCATCTCCAATCAAGTATAAATGTACCTAATTTAGTGCAATATTGTTCAAGCACAAAATATTTTCAGCATGAAAAAACACTTAATAAGATTCAATTAAGACATGTTTTTCAGATCAAGAACTTAGTATGTTCCATATTTCATTCAGATTCCAGAGAGCGTGACTTGGGCCACATTATGTATCTTCAAGAGGATGTCAATCAACTGTTTGTGCTGACCCCGCCCACATCGAGATTTGACGACGCCTTCATTCATATGTTTGACCTAGCAGACAATGGCAGCCGTGTGTTCATGAGCAAATTGACCAGGAATTTCATGGCTGTCAATTTTTTGGCTGGAAAAAAGTATGTATAATAATTATTTAGAAAAAGTCTGTGAGACATGTGACCGTTCTCTTTACCAATTCATACTGTTTCTCTATTTGACAAATTGTTTTGAATACAAATGTAGACCATGACTTTTGAATACTGAAATAATTACTTAGCTTAGGTATTTCTACAGTTTACATCAGGATTAAATTTTATCAAAAATCCCAAAAAGGAAATTGTTGATGTGATGACATTTATTTAGGACAGGACGCCAAAGCCCTGAGTAACACTCTCTACCCTCCATACAAATATCAGGGACATAATAAGAGTTGTTGTCCTTTGCTGCGGTTTCATTGTCATTTCTCTACTTCCTGCAATATCATTCTTTTCAAACCAGGTCAAGGTCAAGGTCGAATCTTGGTACTGGTGACCTTGAAAAAAAAATAGGTCATAAAGAAACACGGAGCTACTTAATTTCACAGTATATGAATGTTAGTGTAGTCATTAATACCAAATGAAGGGTAATATGTGTGGTTGGACAATACAACCAATTGGACCTCTTGATGAAATATCATTGTTAAGGTTTAACTGCTGTATGTGTATAAAATTTCCTCATACAACTTTGTTTTGTTGTTACCTAAAAATAAATGTGTATTTTGAAGTAAAAGGTTGGCTTCTTATCAGCAATAGGCTTATAAATAAAGAAATTCCAAAAAAATGCTGTTCTATTTATAGATACATGCACCTGAAGGACACAAAAGGTCATGACATGTTGTTCTTGACGAAGACAGCTGCTCCTTTAGTGTTTCCACATGAGGCACACAGTGTTACTGCATCCAGGTCTGGAAAATACCTCATCTATTCTAGTCGTAAGTTTAGTTTCAATCATTTGTTAACAAATGTGTAGACCAATTAAAATAAATACAGGTTTTTGAAAACTGACCATATACTGAATAATGGGCTATTTTTGCCTTACATGCAAATTTATCATTTGGTGTCAAATCTAGAATGTCTTATTTTAGCCATTTCATAAGTTCTTTCCATTGAAGAGAGGTAAAAAAAATTCTATCATGTACTGTATACCAACCATTCACCCCTGTTTCATTTTCATCCTTTTCATACATGAACAGGGAGGGTGAATTTAAGATAGGGGTGAAAATTTGTTACACTTAAATAATCCTTTTATATGATCCTCAGAGGGTGAAATGAACATGAGGCAAAATCAAGTATAATGGTACAAGGGCTTGGGGCAAAAATATCTTAGTGTATAGAATCTCTTTCTCAATGTTTGCCATGTAATCTTCTGGCAAAAATAGTGAAAAATTAGACATTCAGTCATTCAGTGACAAGATCTCTTTTTAATCAAGGTCTATTGATAGGAATTTGGGTCAGAGGTTGAATTTTATACTTCGTAATTAAAGGGTGGTCTCTCTATAGTCGGAGACTGTTGTGCCTGTAAAAGGAACAAACATTACATAAATCATACATTTATATTTGAAAACTATTTGCAGTGCCTCTTACTAATTCCTGGCAAATATTACCCAGATTTTAAAAGAGAAGCATTCTTGTGAAAATGGCAGAAGTTTATGCTATTTTGAAAAAGCTATTTCCAAATTCAACTCTTTTAGTTTCAGCGAACACTGTTTTACTTAGCATTAAGTAAAGTGTGCCTTTTGTAACTCATCTGATATGTTTAAATTTCAGTTTCCAAAGTATATGTTTGTCTCAGTGATGCTCGTGGTGGTGTTACCAAAATCAAGCATGTTTTAGAAACAGATCAACGGGAAAAGCCTGTCGATAACCCTGATGATGAAAAAGCTGAAAATGAAGGAATCAAGAAAAAAATTCCTAAGCAAAAGCCATGTGAGGTGGTTAACCTGCTTACCTCCCCTGATGAGAAATATCTAGCGGTATTTACCACTGTATGCGGTTACTACAAGATATGGAATCTGGAGACAGGCGCATTTCTATTTGAAGCTAAAAATCCAGATGAAAATGAAAAGGATTTCTTTAGCTTTTCACACTCAGAATATAATAACATTGGAAACGCTTCGATCATTACTGACAGTAACATTCTGATTTATCGCAAAGATGGTTACCGTTTAAAAGGTCAGCTTTGTGTGTTTGATATTGGACAGGAAACATTCCTATACACATTTGACAGTGGATCAGACTACAAGCTGACATTGTTGTCGCTTCACCCGACGCAGCGTTTTATATCTGCCGCTACGTCAGAAACCATTTGCAGTAGTGGCAATAACGGCAAGGAATGGAAAATCTGGGACATTCAAAGTGGTGAAATGGTCACCAAGGCAACAGTACCAGAGTTGTATAATGACAGTTGGGGCATGGATTGCTTGAAACTTTTTGGTTCGGATAAAATATTTACAGTGACATCGCATCACAGAACTAATGGAGCAATATCAATATCTTACTGTGGTAATGTGGACAATCCATCACCCTCAGCGATCCCTTTCTGTGTCCTAACTGGTCACACCATGGACTTGGTACAGGTGTTAGTGGTAAGTTCACTCACAACATCATGCTGTATTTAACCTGTAGAAAGCCCAATGTGCCAATTCATAATCTGTTGTTCAAGGTATGGAGGTAAGTTTTGCAAGATAAATACTGTTATAATGCTGAAGCTACCATGAGTATGGATGGGGTTACAACTAAAAAGGGGATTTAATCTTCATAGATATGGAAACTCTTAAAAAATAAAATCTTGTCTGCAAGTGCAATATCCACAGATATTATTATTTTGACTTTTATAATAATTGCTAGAAGGAAAGCAAACTTTTTCCTGGTTTGTGATTGAAATGCTTTTCCATTTCAATACATCAATGAAATAAATTCAGAATTATATTTCATTTCAATATCTCAATATCATAAGATGTTCTCTTCCAAGAGTTTTCTTTTAAGATGATTTTTGCCAAAGATTTTAAAAACATTTATGTAAATATCAAACAAAATAAAGTGCCAAAATCAATTTTTCATTTTTCCGTGTATAGAGCTCAGACATGAAACAGCTGATCTCAGCTGCCAAGGACAACTGTGTGAAAACATGGGACCTCGACAAAATTCTGACCAAGTTCAACAGAGCAACTCAGGGTTGCCATGACGATGAAGAAATAGCCTCAAAAATGATACCAAAGTTTGAGGAGGAGCTCAGACAGATTGTCACCACTAATTCTCTAGGGGTCAACAGGTTTGCTTGTTTCTGAACAGTCTTAAAATAGATCAAGTTTGTGCCAGGACATGGTAGCTCAAACTATTACAGCCTCAAATATATACTGTCATAACATACGTTTGTGTGAACCAAATTTTGAGGTTTTTCAAAATGTTGTTGGCACTTCATTGCTAAGCAGCACTAAATCCACTAATGCTGAAAAGTCATATGAATTTTTATCTTGGACATAAAAATTTGTGGATTTAGAGTTACATTGAAAATAAAACCCCTACAAAAATAAAAAACAGTATCATCACATAATACCCTATCATGAGAACCACACTACATCCATTCCCTAAAGTTTGTTGCAACCACAAAAGTCAACATCTAATAACACTGTGATTTGCTGAAGGATTCTTTTGTTTCCATTGTGATGTCATACCCTCATGACATCAGATGTACTATGACAAAGATTGAGATATAGAATGTGAATATTGAAAATTTAAATCTTCTATTGGTCTTATGGTTTACAATTTCGTGATTTTATGTGATGAACAGAATCTCACATTTGTTTCCATTTATCATGGGATTATGAACTTTTTCTCATTTTTATCTCACCAGATACAGTGTAAATATATACCATGAAAACGAAGTTAATTCTATGCAGAAATCAAAATGGTTTTTATGCCGCCGCCATTTATGGCTGGGGGCATATAGCGTTGCCCATGTCCGTCCGTCCCGTCCCATCCCGTCCCGTCGCATCCCAAATCAGTATATATCACCTAACAACTTCATTCGGAAGGCAATTTTCATGAAACTTCATACAAATATCAAGTATGGAAAGACCTCATGCAGTGTTGAATTTCTCGGCATTCTAAAAAAAGATGGCCACCAGGGGGAGATAACTCAAAAAAGAGGAACATCATCTTATTTCTACATAATTTGGTACTTGTGGGTTTTAAGGCATAAGGAACTAATATACTCCCTCATTTTTTCCAGAGAACAAAATTCCAAATTCATGTACGTTAAATCTTACAGACATTTTCTAGTTTTTATTTCTTTGAAAAAACATCCTTTTTTCTTAAAGTTTTCTGTGAAACTGCAAAAAGTTTGCACCATCGGAAAAATACCCTTTGCACTATTTATTCAAATGATGATATTTATTCTGTTTTTAATTTGATATTGTTACAGTCAGACACAAGAAATTTACTTAGCCCTTTCGAGTGGTGAAATGGTGATTGAAGATCTGAAGTCAAATCATATTAAGAGTCGCGTGAGCTTGACATCGGAACCGTTGTCCTTGCTGTTTGTAGGGTCTGCCAGTGACCTTGTGATAGCTGCCACAGAGAAGGGAAACATTGTTGTTTGGAACATAGAAACAGGTAACTTCTCCTTGATTTATAGCTCCACTCAACTTGTTCCCCTTAATCTTGAATACTGTTGACATCATACAATATGGATATGAATTTGTATATCCAGAATGCCCACAAAAGCAACCAAAATAAAATCCCACAAAAATAAATACTTTACAGTAACTTGATCTCAGACCTGTATAGATAACGGATTCTATGGTTGTCTGCTTACAGAAGAAATCCAACATTCTCTCACGTGTAAACATAAAGTGTCCTGTATGGCAGAGGCCAGTGATGTCCTTGTGGCAGGACAGGCAGGAATGGAGGCTAAAGGCAGTATCTGGAATATAAGAACAGGTGAGAAACAGAATCTCTTGCATTTCTGATTACTGGGAAGTTACTTTGAACAAATAATTGAGTTATTTAATAGATTGTGGATATGATTCCATACTTATATACATTGTCATTTGATGTTTAATTCAATCCATATTTAATGATTCTGCTGGATAGGGAAGATGGATCCTGTTGTTTAATGTATAAAGTTGATGTGACAGGTGATACTGACATTTTCCACAGGTCATACTAATACCACTCATACTTATATTAAATACGGTCTATCACACAGCTGACAGAGCATGCTTCAGTTGGTAGAACATGTAATATCATGTTGGAGACCTGGGTTTGATTCCTATTGGGCGACTTGGCAGGAATGTGTATTTTTCCCAGTTCTTTTAAACAAATTATTCTATTTGACAGGTGACCTGCTGAGGGAATTGTCCCTTCTTTACTCCTTCTATACAGTGGCCATCAATTCTAGTGGAACTAAGGTAAGCTACGAAACAAATAGTTCTAGTGGAACCAAGGTAAGTTATACAATAATCCTAATGGAACCAAGGTAAGCTACACAACAATCCTTGTGGAACCAAGGTAAGCTACACAACAATCCTTGTGGAACCAAGGTAAGTTACACAACAATCCTAGTGGAACCAGGGTAAGTTTTACAGCAATTTTGATGGAACTAATTTCTTATCTTTATCAGTGATATCAATGCTTGTCTCAAAATTATGTATTCATTCTTTTACTTTGCAAGTATTCATAAAATAATCTGGCCTTTTCTCTTAGTAGAATCAGGGCCTGTAATGACCAACCAGTTATCAGTGTTTTCATTAAGATTTGACCAGATTCTGAAAATCACCCTTGATGCTTGATTGTTCAGGTCCTGGTTCCCGAAACTTTCCTTTTACATGGTAGAGTTCATAATACACTTGTCCTTCCTGGTCAGTCTGACCTCCTATGTGTTTTTTTATGTTACAGTTTGTATCCTGTATGTTTGATTTCCCTGTGGTGGTCAGTGTTAAAGAGGACACAGAAACCGATATGATGGACATGAACATAATGGACACACAGATGTCGGCAGCCAAATGCACAGCAGTCAGTCCTGATGAGACCCTTGCTTTATGCGGCTCAATTGATGGTAGCATCCGTGTGATCGAGATGACAGGAGCCTATAAATTTCGACTTGGACAGAAATCGACAGTAGTCACAGCATTGTTCTCTCCTGACAGTCAGTCAATTGTGTCTGGTGGTTACAAATCTATCTACATTTGGAACATGCATGATGGCTCTCTGAAGTTCAAGGTTCGAAAACATGACAATTTTGTTCTCAACATCAAGTTTGATCAGAAAGGAACCCATTTTCTAACAACAGGCAGGGACAAGAAAATTGTGATTTGGGATTTTCGACGTGGCATCTCCCTAACAACATTCTATGCAGATAGCCAAGTCGATCATGTTGAATTTACAAAGCGGGGATATGTTGTATTTGTTCCTGAGGGTGTTTCGTGTGCTGCTTCACTAAAACCCAATGCGGTCCTCAAACAAATGCTGAAGGGAAAATACAACCTAAACATAGGTGCCAATATCACTGATGCACAGGGTATGGCTCTTGGCTTCTCCTGTCAGAAAATACAGGCCAACAGTGAAAGTGGCATGTGTGATATTTTGTAACCATGGAAACATGGAAGTGGCACATGCCATATTTTGGAATACATGACATGATATGCTCCAAGTTACGAACTTGTAACCAAGGTAACAATGAATGAAAGTGTGACTTACTTAAAGATTTGGTTACCATAGTAATGACAAAATTGGGATATTTTTGACAGGGTTATCATATTTCAAAAATAAATTGGACTTATCTAGTTACAATAAAAGTGGGACATTTTGAGAGATGGATACCATAGTAACAATTAAAGAGGGACAATTTGAAATTTGTTACCATAGTTAAACAGGAATGGGACTTTTCTAGACTTGGTAACATGGTCATTACAAATGTGGAACTTTTATAAACCTGGTAAACATTCTTCAAGAAAACGACGGGATTTTCATTATTTTCGTAACCATGGTTACAGCAAAAGTATAAAAGTACAAAATTAGGAAACATGTTCCATTGTAACCCTGTTTATCAGAAAATGAGACTTCTGTAACTTTTTTAAGATGGTAAAAATTAAGATAAATCCTGGTTTTGATTTGTCAACAATTGTATAACATCATTACTGAAATCATATATTAGAAATAACAACTGTAGAGGCAAATAATGACTTGATTATAACCTTAACCAGGGATGTCTTGAAACCATGACAACTAGTTGATTTGTGAGATTTTCATTATGTTATATTGTATCCACATAATAGATTTTATATGCCATGTTTTTTGTGTTGAGGATGTTAAGCTGTTATCTTTACAATTTATATTCTACTATAAGCCTATAGGTCAACACATTACCTCTGCCAATAAAGTCAGAGGATGGGCTTATTACTGGACATTAAAATAGGATTTGTCAAAATTCTTCCAAACATATATTTCTAGACTTGGGATTATTACTTGAAAAATGTGGTGCAGATTTCCTTTGTTGTCGGTTGTTTGTTATCTCTATTATTTGTTTACTTTATGTGCAATTTTCTCAAATATTGATTTGCCATCGACCCATATACTGCTTTTCTAGATTGTTATATGACATACTTTGTAATTGCATTTATGTATGGTAAAATGATCCCTTTTTGTCTAGCTTTGTCAATCCAGCCTCCATTTATCATGATATCCCAATCTCTTTTGGGTGTTGACAGAAAAATTGACCTTACATGTACGTATTTTACTTTTAACCTTAATAGTCCCCCACCAGGGAACTATAGTTTTGTTTTATCTCTATCCATCCTTCTGCCACCTGTTAACTGGACTCTATCTCCTACACTATTGGTTCACCTTGGTGAGGTGGTGTGTTGAGTATCAAAAGTAGGTCACTCTGACCTACATTTTGACCTTTAGCCTTTATCAATTGAACAGTTTGTCAGGGCTCTATCCCAAACACTACTAATCACTGGAATATGTAACATTTATTGCCGTTTTAGCATTTACTATGGAAGAACAAATTTGTCTTTGTGTAGATTTACCACAAAAGTGCTAAAATTTGATTTGACTAAATTAAGTATCTTTATAGCCGTTGGTAAGGAAACAGATTTTGTCCAACAATCCCCGCTGGTAAAGAAGAATTATTTTTGTCATATAACAGGTACAACATGTTGTTATAGGTGTATGGCTCCTTAGGAAATCAGTCTCGGTGATTATAAAAAAAAACACGATGTTTTTTGTCTGTAAATGTTTAACACTTGTTGCCATGTCATGATGATTTAAACATATATGACCTTGAGGTCAACTATTACGGTTTGCAAGCTATTTTCCAAAAGTTTAACTGGATTGAGCAAGACTCTCTAATACAGATTGGGGTTGCTCTCCAGGTGACATTTCAGTGACTGACTTGAATATTTAGTACATAACGACTTATGAAGTTGTATATTGTCTATGTCACATAGTCAACTCGAAATTCTATGATACAGCAGGAATGCGAATACTTTTTATGATTTCTGAGCTTGTCAATTCATTCCATATTTGATAGTAAAGCACAATGTAAATCTTACATTGGCTCCCCTTCCACACAGGATATCCTTGATTTTTGTTACTTGTAGTTACAGGATGTTTAGACATTGTCTCACTGATGAACATTAATGTTGCAGTAATATTGTATCAATGACAGATTCTTATTCTGGGAGAGACTTCCTTTTAGTCAGAATAATTATTATTACTTTTTTGTGGGTTTTAGCTTCAAACGAGTTTGAATGGATGAACTCAACTTCAACTGCACTTCCTGTGAAATTATTGCTCCGAGGTTATAGACAACCAGACTGTTTTTCGTATGTTTAGAGATGAAGTACCATATCTCATCTCATTCCATTCCCAAGTACATGTATTGTGTTGTTTTGAATTCACAGAAAATGTTTTTTATTTTTTATATTTCTTTATAAAAAAAAAATTTAAATTTTTTATATTTCTTTATAAAAAAATTTATATTTTATTTTTTTCTTTATCGAGATGTTTTTTACCTGCTACAGGGTATCATGTGTTATGGATTTTTGTGTAAATATCTATTTCATTCTATGAGATCTCTTTATTACATTACCCAAAGGGTCATGTGATGTTACGACGTGGCATTCACCCATCAATAATCCATACATCACTTCATCGCCTTTTAACACACCAAGTGCCTGTAAGCTTATGTCATCCATCAAATTTTTACTTTCGTTGAGCCTTTAAGCTAAAAAATGTAATGACGCTGTCCATATGGTGTAAAATTTTCAAAATCCATCATCATCATGCAAAAGTATTCTGCCAAAAAATCTCCTCTTGCCTATCGCTACTGATGACATATAATGCCTAAATATTCATATTATATAGTTGGTTATATTCAGGGGAATTTCATTTACAATATTTGTGATAATGCAAGAAAACTCAAAATTAAATACTCGACAAATGTTTGTACAATAAATCAAAATCTATGAACATATCTCTGATTTCTGTAAAAACATCAATACAAATTATTAGACTAGTGTGAAATTAAATACCCATGAAGTAAATCTAAACTAGACAAACAACCAAGTATATGTCGTTAAATAAATATGTAAAACATCGGTTTCCTTTTTGTGCTAATTTTTGCATCTTCATACACTTCAATTTTCCAAATTTGAAAAGGGATAGAGTATGTTTGGTGATCATAAATATTAATATTTTCTTCAACTTACTAATTATAATTATACCCAATATGACAATATTGCTTAATTCTAGTGTCCTGATAAATACTTGAATTAAATTTGAGTTTTGATGTGAGGATAAGAAAATTTACAGATATCAAATTTTTAATTGAAAAAAAAAAAAAAACAGACTCGCACAAATTGAGGGTGAGGATGATTTTATTTTGAGACTAAATTCAAAAACAAGATGGTCTCTTGGCAAACATCCAAGATATTTGAAGTTTAGTACCACTATTTTTAAGAAAGTACTTCAGACACACGTCTTAAATTTGGGTATTGTGTAAAGTAACTTTGTGATGTATGTTAAAGGTTATTGATGTTTACCATCATATTAGCTCTATTCTTAACAGTGAGGACTGTAAAAATTTGTCATAATCCATCAAAATTCATATTGGAAAAAAGTTTTCTTTCATTATTTTTCCAAAAGTACTGCAGAGACCTGTCTTAAATTTGGTATGTTAGATCTCATTTGTCCTTATAAGAATTTTCAGTTTTGGGTGTGGTTTGAAGCACCTGGGTGAGCATGTGATATTTGGTAAAGGTTCATTTTCAAAGATATAGTTCATTGTCAATAACTGTATTCTTAATAGTAAGCACAGCAAAAATTTGTGATAATCTTGTTAAAATTCGTATCAGCTGAATAGAGGCCATTTCAATTCTAATCAGTCTTACAACTGAACTTACAGAACAAGGGATGAAAAGTAAATACATAAACAAAATTAAAGATATATCCTGTAATCAGAATTGGCTTATCCAGAAGATCTAAGGTGTGTAAATCAATCCTTACTCAGTGTGGTTTGTGTTTCTCGGGAGATCATGTGTCATCTAGTTAATACTCTGGGTAGCATTGTAGTGGGCCTCCAGCATATTGTTCAGGGAGGTAACCACCAGCTACTATGAGGAGACCCTGCCTCAACATGACCCCAATGGTTGATGGAGGGATAAACCTGACATAACCAAAGCAGTAGTGAGAAACATTTAAAGAACAGACCATGGACAAAGAGATATTTGAACAGCTCTGCATCTGATGACAGCAAACGAAAAAAATATCTTTCACAAACATGAAAGTATTCTTTTGAAGTGCCATGAAAATTTTGAAGCTGCACCATACCATCTAAATATGATTTTACAAAGGCTTAGCATAAAGTGCTAAATTCCTCAATTCTGCATGGTTACTTTAAACAAATTAGATATTCCTGTCCTTGCCTTTACTTGCCATTATTTGAACTATTCAGGTTAACAAGAAATATCTACAATAACTAGTAAATGTTGTTTCAATAAAAGCTGTTCAGACATTTCAATTTCATTTCTAACTGAACAGGAAAGAATGCAGTCAATTTGGATTCTATTCTGTTAACTGTTGTGAACCTCAAAAATATTGAAATAGATATTTAATCTAATTTACTTACAACATAACTGGGCTAATTTTGTTGTTTGTTGTCAAAACTGAAATATGTAATTTCACCAATGTCGTTTTTTTTTTCTTTTGCAATGAACTGCAGGAAATAGAAGCATATACTGTTTCTCATAAAATCATACGGTAAACACTGAACTGATGAAAAAAAAATGTCTTCTCCACAATGACCTCAAATAAGCGAAATCATTCATTTCTTATCTATCTAGTTCAATTATGAACTGGTGGGTAACATAGTAATTCTATGACATTTGTATTTTTCTTTGTTTTGAAATTAAATATTTTTGATAATTGTGATATTTTCTGTGTTAACACACAGTGATAGATTGTGATATTTCTTTGTTTATACACAATTTTACATATATATATACCGGGAAATTTCACATTGTGACAACAGGTGTGTTTATACATCTGTTTCTGATGTTGAAGTGAAGGTTTTAAAGTCTAAAAATTGTATTTTTGCACATTCAAAATAAAATCTGTTCACAGTTGCAATGTTCTTTCTGTGATTCCCATTTTGTATGGGCTGACTAGTCAAAATATTCAAAACTTTTGAAACAAAATGTTTCACTGGAAAGGGAAGTAGAATTTGTCCTCTAAAGTACTGACTTTTATCATGCTGTGACAAATTTGAATCAAATCCTACACAATTAGTTCATAATTTGAATAAGCATACCTGCAACATTTTATGATCATTCTCGGGACATTCAGTTAGTGTAGACAATCTTCAAATGTAAAATTTCAAAATGGTCACTGGAAGCTATCTCAGAAATGACAACTGGGATCCATATTTAACACATTCCATCTGAGAGTTAACCTCAGAGAAAAAGTTTAGGTGCAAATAAAAAGAAAATCCATAATGGCTGCTTGGCTGGATGCTACTTTAAATCTAGAATGGCTGCATGCCTCTCAATCCCTATCTTGGGTCCATAATGGCTGCACGGCTTTCAATCCCTATCTTAGGTCCATAATGGCAACATGGCTTTCAATCCCTATCTTAGGTCCATAATGGCTGCATGGCTTTCGATCCCTTAGTTCCATAATGGCTGCATGGCTTTCAATCCCTATCTTAGGTCCATAATGGCAACATGGCTTTCAATCCCTATCTTAGGTCCATAATGGCTGCACGGCTTTCAATCCCTATCTTAGTTCAATAATGGCTGCATGGCTTTCAATCCCTTAGTTCCATAATGGCTACATGGCTTTCAATCCCTATCTTAGTTCCATAATGGCTGCACGGCTTTCAATCCCTATCTTAGGTCCATAATGGCAGCATGCCTCTCAATCCCTATCTTAGGTCCATAATGGCTGCACGGCTTTCAATCACTATCTTAGGTCCATAATGGCAACATGGCTTTCAATCCCTATCTTAGTTCCATAATGGCTGCACGGCTTTCAATCCCTATCTTAGGTCCATAATGGCTGCACAGCTTTCAATCCCTATCTTAGGTCCATAATGGCTGTACGGCTTTCAATCCCGATCTTAGGTCCATAATGGCTGCACGGCTTTCAATCCCTATCTTTGGTCCATAATGGCTGCACGGCTTTCAGTCCCTATCTTAGGTTCATAATGGCTGCACAGCTTTCAATCCCTAACTGGTGCAGTATGGCATTAGTTTTCAATATATGCTGAAGCCTTAGATTCAGTTCAAAGCAGAGGCCTCTAAAATATTCTCTCTGTTATCATAACAACCAGTCTTGTTTCTACAGCTCTACAGTTCTACAGCTGGGAGTAAGTTAGGATCAATATGGGCAGACAATCAAGCCATTAGCCTTCACTCATAATTCTAACCAAGTTTGAAATATTTCCAAGGGAAATCAAACAAATTATGCTCAAAAATCTAGTTTTCCTATATAAGCTATAGTAAACTTTACCCCCACCCCATGGGGAAATGCGAGACCCTTGGGCCATGAAATTCACAATTTAGGTTAAGCAATTTAAGATGCTTCCATTCATGAAATAAAGAGTATTCTATTCTACCATATATGGATCTTGAGAAGATTTTTTAAATCAGAGTCAATTTGACCGCTTTTGGCCCTGTCCCTCAGATCCCTGCAGTTTCTGCAAAAATTCATTGAAATCATATCAGGGGTTTTAGAGAAGAAGTCGAAAGTGTTAAAATTGTTTATGGCCACAACATGCTGGATGAAGGGTATTAGAACAGGTGACCTACAAATAATGAAATTCTTAAAAACATGTTTTTTTTGTAGTTTTTTTCTTTGAAACTTTATTATTCAATTTTAAAAACAATAATGACACAGCTATGAATTTTGCATTCGAAACTGTTTTCTTTGACAAATGTTTGTAAAACCCTACATAGTAGTTCTTCTACAAAGCATGTTTTTAGCTGTGTTAAAACTATTGAGAAATACAAACTATAACCTATAAAATCTTTCAGGGGCACAGATACAGAAACGTAAATGTAAAGAACATTCAGATGCAAGAATTTTTTTATTCTGATGGAGAATCTGTTTAAGTCATGAAGAAACAAAACACAGAAACTATCTAAGATGTAGAAATCATTCACTAGATAAAGAAAAAAAATTACGGAAAACTGACCCGAGAAAAAAATATATTGGAAGAAAGTTATTTTGGAACCAAACAGAATTGCAGAAACATTTCATCTCCAAACTGCTACCGGACACTGCCAATTTTCATCATTTAAGCCCCCTTAGAAGAGGGTGAATTTCACAACATTGCGAAAAAAATTTGTCTCCATACCTTAAAATGGCAAATTTAGGGCTGGTAAAAAATATTTTTGTCACAGGTCAAAGTTCAGACGTATTTTCTAATCTGGATGTAGAAATAAATTGTGGTGTAAAAATGATGGTTAAATCAATTGTTGGTGTATAAATATCATAATGTAAAATATTTCTTTTTTTAGACAAAATGTTCTCATACAAACAGTTTAACACCATGACCAATGCTGATGAAAATTGAGAACTTAGACCAACTATGAAAATACAAATCAAATACATATAAGTAAGAATCTTTGGAAAATGCAAAGAAACATTAGGATCCAGTGGGAAATGTCAGGATAATCCTACAGAGTGACAAAGAAACATTAGGATCCAGTGGGAAATGTCAGGATAATCCTACAGAGCGACAAAGAAACATTAGGATCCAGTGGGAAATGTCAGGATAATCCTACAGAGTGACAAAGAAACATTAGGATCCAGTGGGAAATGTCAGGATAATCCTACAGAGTGACAAAGAAACATTAGGATCCAGTGGGAAATGTCAGGATAATCCTACAGAGCGACAAAGAAACATTAGGATCCAGTGGGAAATGTCAGGATAATCCTACAGAGCGACAAAGAAACATTAGGATCCAGTGGGAAACATAATCCTACAGGACAAATAAACATTAGGATCCAGTGGGAAATGTCAGGATAATCCTACAGAGCGACAAAGAAACATTAGGATCCAGTGGGAAATGTCAGGATAATCCTACAGAGCGACAAAGAAACATTAGGATCCAGTGGGAAATGTCAGGATAATCCTACAGAGCGACAAAGAAACATTAGGATCCAGTGGGAAATGTCAGGATAATCCTACAGAGTGAAATGGATCCAGTGGGAAATGTCAGGATAATCCTACAGAGCAAAGAAACATTAAGAAACATTAGGATCCAGTGGGAAATGTCAGGATAATCCTACAGAGCGACAAAGAAACATTAGGATCCAGTGGGAAATGTCAGGATAATCCTACAGAGTGACAAAGAAACATTAGGATCCAGTGGGAAATATCAGGATAATCCTACAGAGCGACAAAGAAACATTAGGATCCAGTGGGAAATATCAGGGTAATCCTACAGAGTGACAAATAAACATTGGGATCCAGTGGGAAATGTCAGGATAATCGTACAGAGCCACTGAACTTGTATCCAATATGGAAACAGTGACACAACCAAAAGTATCCAAAGATTGATACAAAAAAAAAACAGTGGTTTGTGAGTGAAATTCTGTATCTCATTCAGATCAATGTTATATTTGATATTCTTTAGTGTGGCAACATAATACATTATCACAAAATGCTTCTAACATAGAAGACACATTATCAAACTTGAGAGTAATTGTATTTTAGCAATGACTGCCAAAAGAAAAAAATGAACAGACAAAAATTGCTTGACATTCATGACTGAGAATGAAATTATCGATTTTAGTTGATTGACAGTTCAGCAAATGACACCAGAGGAATCAGTGATCTTGGTCACCGTCCAGAAAATGAAATCGTTAACCATGATTTTTGTAAGAGATTGCCCAGCACTAGTTGACCATTGCACTGTAAGACATCTACCATCACCTGTACAAGTCGATGGGAAACAACATAATCCCTTTTCTCACCTTCATACCAAGATTTTTTTTTTATTCTTGTTACAATCGTCATACACTCAAAGATTAAAAAGAAAAATACTTTCATCTTAAGTGGAGAGGGAGAAAAATCGTAGGTAAAATATTTCTAAATGTATCCCCAATTTTGGATTGAGGCGACATAGAATGACCCTGTCCAGCAGAGCTTGAATCACTAGTTTTGCCTTGAGGAGGATGGAAGATTAGAAATCATGCTTCACCTTAATCTATCGTTATGTCACTAGAGTGCTGTGTGAAGGCCGAGCGATATATATTGAGTTACTGAGAATACAGACTGTTAAAATGATCTATATATTTGTTTGGCAGATCCACCTCTGTATTATGGTTAAAATTGAAACTACAGACCGAAAACTTTAAAATGTCATCATTCTGTATCAAGTGTACACAAACACCCCTCAAACTATGTCTACACCCATACATCACACACACATATACAACTGTGCGCACACTCACAAGCACATACACACACAAACATACATCAATGGTAAGTTTTTGACATAACAGTCTGTGTGAATGTTAACACATCTAGTGAAGGAATCACATTAAGATTTTTGCCACGGTTTTTTGTCCAGGCCACGGTGATCTGCTACATGTTTATTCCGACACTTGTCCCCGTATACACAACCCGTCGTACGCCAGAAATAACACTCGTCACCATTCACTGGCCCCGACTGCTTTGGTAAGTTATCCACTGCTTTGGCTACAGCAACTTGTGTTTTATTGGAGGATGACAAAGGAGTGGAGGACCTGTAATATAAACATGGAAACTTTAACAAAGGCTTATCAAAATATAATGATCAAAACAAGCACAGCCAACGCTTAACATGTTGGCCTCTAATCCAGCCACCACTAATCACATTGTGCTTCTCATCCCACCACTAAACATGTTGTCCCTCTCACCCAACCACCACTAATAATACTGTCCCTCTAACCCAGCCAACCACTAATCCTGCTGTCCCTCTCACCCAGCCACTACTACTAATACTGTCCCTCTAACCCAGCCATCACAAATCCTGTTGTCCCACTAACCCAGCCACCACTAATCCTGTTGTCCCACTAACCCGGCCATCACTAATCACACTGTTTTTCCCATCCCGCCACTAATCCTGCTGTCCCACTAACCCAGCCACTACTTATCACATTGTTCTTCCCATCCCACCACTAATCCTGCTGTCCGTCTAACACAGCCACCACAATCCTGCTGTCTCTCTCACCCAGCTACCACTAATCCTGTTGTCAGTTTAACACAGCCACCACTAATCCTGCTGTCCCACTAACCCACCCATCACTAATCCTGTCCCTCTAACCCAGCCACCACTAATCCTGTTGTCAGTCTAACACAGCCACCACTAATCCTGTTGTCAGTCCAACACAGCCACCACTATTCATGCTGTCCCTTTAACCCAGCCACCACTAATCCTGCTGTCCTTCTAAGACAGCCACCACTAATCCTGCTGTCCCTCTAATCCAGCCACCACTAATCATGTTGTCCCTCTAACCCAGCCACCACTAATCCTGCTCTCTCTCTAACCCAGCCGCCACTACTTATGCTGTCCATCTAACCCACCCGCCACTAATCCTGATGTCCCTCTAACCCAGCCACCACTATTCATGTTGTCCCTCTAACCCAGCCACCACTAATCCTGCTCTCTCTCTAACCCAGCCACCACTGACTCTGCTGTCCCACTAATCCAGACACAACTAATCCTGATGTCAATCTAACACAGCCACCATTAATAATACTGTCCATCTAACCCACCCGCCACTAATCCTGCTGTCCCACTAACCCAGCCACCACTAATCCTGTCCCTCTAACCCAGCCATCACAAATCCTGCTGTCCCACTAACCCAGCCACCACTAATCCTGCTCTCTCTCTAACCCAGCCACCACTGACCCTGCTGTCCCACTAATCCAGACACAACTAATCCTGATGTCAATCTAACACAGCCACCATTAATAACACTGTCCATCTAACCCACCCGCCACTAATCCTGCTGTCCCACTAACCCAGCCACCACTAATAATACTGTCCCTCTAACCCAGCCATCACAAATCCTGCTGTCCCACTAACCCAGCCACCATTAATCCTGCTGTCCCATTAACTCAGCCACCACTTATACTGCTTTCCCACTAACCCAACCACCATTAATCCTGCTGTCCCACTAACCAAGCAACCACTGACCCTGCTGTCCAACTTATCCAGCCACCATTAATCCTGCTGTCCCACTAACCCAGCCACCACTATTCATGCTGTCCCATTAACCCAGACACCACTTATACTGCTGTCCTACTTACCCAGTCACCACTATTCATGCTGTTCCATTAACCCAGCCAACACTGACCCTGCTGTCCCTCTAACCCAGCCACCACTGACCCTGCTGTCCCTCTAACCCAGCCACCATTAATCCTGCTGTCCCACTAACCCAGTCACCACTATTCATGCAGTTCCACCAACCCAGTCACCACCGACCCTTCTGTCCCACTAATCCAGCCACCATTAATCCTTCTGTCCCTCTAACCAAGCCACCACTATTCATGCCGTTCCACCAACCCAGCCACCACTGACCCTTCTGTCCCACTAATCCAGCCACCACTGACCCTGCTGTCCCACTAATCCAGCCACTACTATTCATGCTGTCCCACTTATCCAGCCACCACTGAAGCAGTTTTTTACTTACCAAACCAAGCCATCACTGACCCTGCTGTCCCACTAATCCAGTTTCCCTATCAACCGAGCCATAGCTCTAACCCAGCAACATCAATATTATAATGATGCAACTAATGTTACGATGTAATTAATATTATCATAAAGAATTATATGATAATGATATCAATAAGTGCAAATATGAAATGTCATGTTATACGAAAAAATATTACTATTATGACACCTACATTATGATACTTCACTATAAATATACATTAATGATGCTATGAATATAGCAATGTTGCACTATACCAGTAAATATAATAATGATGCCTTAAATATAATGATTCTGTGCTATAAAAAAAATTTAAATGGTGCTACAAAAATTATATTGCACTATTAATGTTATTGTATCATGATGCTGCAATATATCTAATGATGCCAAAAATATTATGAAACTACACTTCAATGATGCCACTCAAGGTTAACGTTACGTTATGATGCTTTGTTCTGAATTTTAGGGTATGAATATACAATGAATGTAAGATATCATGGTGTATTTCATATTTAGTATACACCAGCACTGTAAAGGCCAATGACATTTAATAATAAATACTGAAGTAATGATAAAATGATAGTGCCATGCTTAACAAATTTACATCATATCCTTAACAAATTTACATCATATCCCCAAGTAAACAAACATCACTATATCCCTCTGTGAACAAACATCATCCCTCTGTGAACAAATAAAATCATATCCCCCTGTAAACAAACATCGCCATATCCCCCTGTAAACAAACATCACCATATCCCCCTGTAAACAAACATCGCCATATCCCCCTGTAAACAAACATCGCCATATCCCCCTGTAAACAAACATCACCATTTCCCCCTGTAAACAAACATCACCATATCCCTCTGTGAACAAATAAAATCATATCCCCCTGTAAACAAACATCATTATATCCCCTTGTAAACAAACATCATCATATCCCCCTGTAAACAAACATCATCATATCCCCCTGTAAACAAACATCATCATATCCCCCTGTAAACAAACATCGCCATATCCCCTTGTAAACAAACATCATCATATCCCCCTGTAAACAAACATCATCATATACCACTGTAAACAAACATCGCCATATCCCCCTGTAAACAAACATCGCCATATCCCCCTGTAAACAAACATCATCATATCCCCCTGTGAACAAACATCACCATATCCCCCTGTAAACAAACATCACCATATCTCTCTGTGAACAAATAAAATCATATCCCCCTGTAAACAAACATCGCCATATCCCCCTGTAAACAAACATCACCATATCCCCCTGTAAACAAACATCGCCATATCCCCCTGTAAACAAACATCGCCATATCCCCCTGTAAACAAACATCACCATTTCCCCCTGTAAACAAACATCGCCATATCCCCCTGTAAACAAACATCATTATATCCCCCTGTAAACAAACATCACCATATCCCCTTGTAAACAAACATCATCATATCCCCCTGTAAACAAACATCACCATATCCCTCTGTGAACAAATAAAATCATATCCCCCTGTAAACAAACATCATTATATCCCCTTGTAAACAAACATCATCATATCCCCCTGTAAACAAACATCATCATATCCCCCTGTAAACAAACATCATCATATCCCCCTGTAAACAAACATCGCCATATCCCCTTGTAAACAAACATCATCATATCCCCCTGTAAACAAACATCATCATATACCACTGTAAACAAACATCGCCATATCCCCCTGTAAACAAACATCGCCATATCCCCCTGTAAACAAACATCATCATATCCCCCTGTGAACAAACATCACCATATCCCCCTGTAAACAAACATCACCATATCCCTCTGTGAACAAATAAAATCATATCCCCCTGTAAACAAACATCGCCATATCCCCCTGTAAACAAACATCACCATATCCCCCTGTAAACAAACATCGCCATATCCCCCTGTAAACAAACATCACCACATCGCCATATCCCCCTGTAAACAAACATCATCATATACCACTGTAAACAAACATCACCATATCCCCTTGTAAACAAACATCATCATATCCCCCTGTAAACAAACATCACCATATCCCTCTGTGAACAATTAAAATCATATCCCCCTGTAAACAAACATCGCCATATCCCCTTGTAAACAAACATCATCATATCCCCCTGTAAACAAACATCACCATATCACCCTGTAAACAAACATCATCATATCCCCCTGTAAACAAACATCATTATATCCCCCTGTAAACAAACATCACCATTTCCCCCTGTAAACAAACATCATCATATACCACTGTGTATGGATCACTATATCCCCCTGTACACCAACATCTATATATCCCACCATATAAAAATATTAGTATAACCCCCTGTACACCAACATCTCTATATCCTATTGTATAAACATATCACTATATCCCCCCTGTACACCAACATCTATATATCCCACCATATAAACATATTAGTATAACCTCCTGTACACCAACATCTATATATCCCACCATATAAACATATCACTATATCCCCCTGTACACCAACATCTCTATATCTCACCATATAAACATATTAGTATAACCCCCTGTACACCAACATCTCTATATCGCATTGTATAAACATATCACTATATCCCCCCTGTACACCAACATCTCTATATCCCACCATATAAATATATCACTATATCCCCCTGTACACCAACATCTCTATATTGCATTGTATAAACATATCACTATATCCCCCCTGTACACCAACATCTCTATATCCCACCATATAAATATATCACTATATCCCCCTGTACACCAACATCTCTATATCGCATTGTATAAACATATCACTATATCCCCCCTGTACACCAACATCTCTATATCCCACCATATAAATATATCACTATAACCCCTTGTACACCAACATCTCTATATCCCACCATTAACACATATATCACTTTATCCCCCTGTACACCAACATCTCTATATCCCACCATTAACACATATATCACTTTATCCCCCTGTACACCAACATCTCTATATCCCACCATTAACACATATATCACTTTATCCCCCTGTACACCAACATCTATATATCCCACCATATAAACATATCACTATATCCCCTTGTACACCAACATCTCTATATCCCACCATTAACACATATATCACTTTATCCCCCTGTACATCAACATCTCTATATCCCACCATATAAACATATCATTATATCCCCCTGTACACCAACATCACTATATCCTATGGTATAAACATATCACTATATCCCCATGTACACCAACATCTTTATATCGCATTGTATAAACATATCACTTTATCCCCCTGTACACCAACATCTCTATATCCCACCATATAAATATATCACTATAACCCCTTGTACACCAACATCTCTATATCCCACCATTAACACATATATCACTTTATCCCCCTGTACACCAACATCACTATATCCTATGGTATAAACATATTAGTATAACCCCCTGTACACCAACATCTCTATATCGCATTGTATAAACATATCACTTTATCCCCCTGTACACCAACATCTCTATATCCCACCATATAAATATATCACTATAACCCCTTGTACACCAACATCTCTATATCCCACCATTAACACATATATCACTTTATCCCCCTGTACATCAACATCTCTATATCCCACCATATAAACATATCATTATATCCCCCTGTACACCAACATCACTATATCCTATGGTATAAACATATCACTATATCCCCATGTACACCAACATCTTTATATCCCACCATATAAATATATCACTATATCCCCCTGTATATCAACATCTCTATATCCTATGGTATAAACATATCACTATATCGTTATGTACAGACATATCACTATATTCCTCCGGTCAAATATCAGGACATAAGAAATTGAAAAGGATACCCATAAACACAACATACAACATTTATAGATCATGCTTAGTATACATAAATAGATCACAAGGTCACAACAAGCAAAAGTAAGGGGATGTATTGAAATTTGGTAAGCTAGCTGTTCAACAATTAACACTATGGGTAAAAATTCTATTGACAATAAGTCTATATAGTGAAATCTAGCAGCAAGCTGTCCAACGTTTATCATAGTGTGTAAAAAATGTCCATAGAAACGAAACGGAAGTAAAAATATAAATAATGAAATCTAGTATTGAAAAGTATAAAAGGGTATAAAGATTTAACAATTTTACAATCTGAAAATAATCGTTCAATGTAGGAACAGTTCATAGAGAAATAAATAAGTGCAGAGTTACCATGCAGCAGCAAACATCTCAATGTGACTCAAATGAGGCAATTCTCTTTCTGTACAAAATCATAAAGTGGCTCAGTCAATTTGACAGAAGGGAGTATTCAAATATCGATTTTGTTTGCTTGTTTGGAAATTTTGAGGTTCTTTTTCTATTTATTCTTTTTATGTTTTGTTGTTGGTGTTTTGTGTTGTAAGGGGATGGGGGAGCAGAAAGTGTTGAGAAAATAATACCAAAAATTATTACATACTTGAGAGAGGGATACCAATGCAGATAGCACATCCTCCATCCAGCACAGGGCCACACAGACGCAGCTCTGTGCTATCTGCATTGACTTGATCTGCAAGGGCCAAGTAAGGGAATTTAGCTTTATCAGTTTCTATAAGGACAACCACCAACATGAGTTTTGTCAAGGACAAACATTTAGTTGTCATGGAGGAGTACACATTTAGTTGTCATGAACAAGTACACATTTGGTAAACAAGGGCAAACGTAAAATATCAGGGACAGACACACATTTAGCTGTCAGGGACAAACAGTTGAAATATCCAGAAAAAAGCACACATTTTAGTTGTCAGGGACAAATACACCTCTGTAGTTGTTAGAGACAACCACCCATTTAACTGTCACGGACAAATACACATCTGTAGTTGTCAGGGACAAATACACCTCTGTAGTTGTAAGGGACAAGCACCCATTTAATTGTCACAGACAAATACACATCTGTAGTTGTCAGGGACAAATACACCTCTGTAGTTGTTGGGGACAAGCACCCATTTAATTGTCATGGACAAATACACATCTGTAGTTGTCAGGGACAAAGACACCTCTGTAGTTGTTGGAGACCAATCAGTCTTATTAAGTAGACAAGGACAACCAGAAAAGTTGTCAGGAACATATACACATGTTCAATTGTCAACAAAAAGTACACACTAAATTGTCAAGGACAAATCATTTCATCATCTTGAATTTTTGATGGAATAATACTCTTGCCTTGTTTGTGGCCACAACTACCAGAATGTCAGAATTTCTAAAACACATAAAGATTTCGTATTTCAGGCTACAACTACCAGAATGTCAGAATTTCTGAAACACATAAAGATTTTGTATTTCAGGCTACAACTACCAGAATGTCAGAATTTCTGAAACACATAAAGATTTTGTATTTCAGGCTACAACTACCAGAATGTCAGAATTTAAAAAATATATAGATTCTGTGTTCAATACAATAATCTTGCTCATCCCTAGCCTTCTATTTCTCAAACAGACCTGGTTACTGTTGACAAACTAACTCATAACAGCAGATTCTGTAAGAAACAAATGATTGCACACCCTCTGGAGTCCCCATCATATCTTACATGTGACCCCCTATACATTATCCACTACAACCAGTTTATGACCCCCTATGGAGCTCCTCCAGTAACTACTAAGTGAGAACCCCCCTATTTTACTCCATGTCCATACCAGGGAAACCTAACACTCAGATACTCCACTCAAGACGCAACATGCTATGAAGAGGATTTAGCTGTAGCACTGATACACATGATAACTTACCCTATTGTGATGGTGGCAGGTCCAGAGGACTTCTGGTGGTTTTTTCTAAGTGTGATGTTTCCACTTCCATTAACAATAGGATTGTCTGGAAACTTAATAAGGAGTTTCTGACCTCCACATTCGGCACCCTGTAGAAGACATCAACATTAAGTGATTATGATAATTAAACATCATCACACTTTGATTCGAACATGACTAAGTTGTAAAGTCAATATCATGCTGTAAAGACAGGATTATCTGTTAAGTCAACACAATCACCCTCTAAAATCAATCCTGAATACTCCCTAAAGATGACAGGATCATGTTTTGAGATCAATGATACTGCACTGTGAATTCAGCATTTCATGCTGTGAATTCAACATCACTTCACTGTGAATTTAACATTACAGCACTGTGAACTCCACATTACCGCACTGTGAATTCAACACTATCACAGTGTGAATTCAACATCATCAAGCTGTGAATTCAACATTATCAAGCTGTGAATTCAACATTTTCAAGCATTATCACCTTTCACCCTATCTTGAATATATTAACATAAATTTCTCCCCCATTCTGATAAAGCGGTTGAGAAGTCTTAACGGTTTTTTCTCTGTAAGAGTTACCCCTTCTGTAGTCCCAATCATCACAAAAAAATTACCAATACCACCAAGTTTTGTCCCAATCAGATTTCACAGTCTTTTAGAAGAAGTTTTTAAACACGTTTTACATTCTATAACCCCTATGTGACCATTCCCACACCAAGCTGATAATTACCACCGATGCATAACAACCAGACTTGATGACTTACCTGTAAATGCTGCATGGCTTTGCCAGCTGCCTCCTTTGTTTTATAATTTATAAAAGCACAATATTTTTCAGGAAGACATCGAACACTTGTAACAGCTCCATATCTATCAGATAAATAGGAGGATTAAAGACTCATATACAACCATATATGGTAGTGTTGAAGGTAGTTCCAAACTCATGACACATGATCAATTTTTCTCACATGAATGATGATTATTAACTGAATAGTAACTGAAAGTTATTCTGCAAACAAAGGAAATATTTACACCCACACAAAATACTTTTCCTGTTTTACATATTTACCCTACAATACCTAAAATAAATATTTACCCTAAAATGCATGAAATAATTATTTCAATTTTCAAATGAAACCATTGCTTTTGCATAGTCTATAAGCGAATTTTAAAATTACAAATTTTTTTCTAAGAAGTTTTCTGTTCTCTGAACAATTTATATCATACAGAGTAATGATGGGGTAACTCAAGGGTGCCATAAATTGAAATACATTTATATGTCGAAACATTAAGATGGTAACTTTACACTAGACCACATCACATAAACCACTTTCCTGTAGCATGGCAACCTATCCGTTCACAATATAATAATTAATATCAATATGTAAACCTATTGTAAACCAAACAACTTTTCCAATACTGTGAAATCATTCATTTTTGTGGGAGTTCTATTTTCATTCTTCATTCTATTTTCGTGCGTCTATTTCGTTCGTCTATGAACTATTGAATAACTATAAGCAGATTTATCAGATTATTTTACTCAACAAAATCTAGTGTATATGAAATAGGTTTTGGAAAAAAAAAAATAAATAAAATGAAATTGAGCCCCACAAAAATGCATGATTTTACAGTAACACAACACTTTCACCATTTTTTCCTCTTTATCAATAAACATTTTATCACTTACTTGGAAAAAATTCTAAAAAGTTTTTTGTCATCAACTTTGTCAGGAAGGACATTTCCTACCCATAGGGCCGTTAGTCCGTCTGGATTGCTGTGACTGAAACAATAGGAAATTCTTTTTTCTTTGTTTCACCTTCAATAACAACAAAAATGGTAAGATCTTATACTGTTTATCATCTAAGTATTTCACTCTATCTTCTAGCCATATGGATTACACTATATCACCCTGTCCTTATTATCCATGTACTTCCACAGGCTTTTCCTTCAGTCTCCCAGTCGTTGACATTACTCTATGACTCACCTCTCCAAAGGTTACCCTCGACCTCCTTTATATTACTATAGATCTATCAGATTCATTTTCACCATGTGTTAAAAGCACCATGGAATACATTCACATATCTAATCACTTAAATTACACTAAACTTTAACCCATTTAAAATTTTTAACTCTTTTGTAGAAACATGTGAAAGTTTCCCAGTATATAGTTTTCTAAACAACACTTACTCCATCTTGGCATCAGATTTTTTAGGTTGTGATGATGTCCTATTGTTTGCTATCGTAAAATCTTCATCATCATCAGAAACATAAACTTCTCCTCCTAAAACATTTTCCGCTGAAACAAACGAAAAACAGCATCAATCAAAAAGTCAGCTAAAGTGGTCAAATATTCACACTAAAGTGGATGTCAATCTGCAAACACCAATGTCAACTGCATGTCAATCTGTAGTTACCAATGTCAAGTGGGTATCAATCTGCAAACATCAATGACAACTGGATGTAATTTTGCAACCACCAATGTCAACTGGATGTCAATCTGTAGTTACCAATGTCAACTGGGTGTCAATCTGCAAACATCAATGTCAACTGGGTGTCAATCTGTGTCAACTGGGTGTCAATGTGTCAACTGGGTGTCAATCTGTAGTTACCAATGTCAACTGGATGTCAATCTGTAGTTACCAATGTCAACTGGATGTCAATCTGCAAACACCAATGTCAACTGGGTGTCAATCTGTAACCACCAATGTCAACTGGATGTCAATCTGCAGGCACCGATGTCAACTGGGTATCAATCTGCAAACATCAATGTCAACTGGGTGTCAATCTGCAACCACCAATGTCAACTGGATGTCAATCTGCAAACACCAATGTCAACTGGGTGTCAATCTGCAAACACCAATGTCAACTGGGTGTCAATCTGCAAACACCAATGTCAACTGGGTGTCAATCTGCAACCACCAATGTCAACTGGATGTCAATCTGCAAACACCAATGTCAACTGGGTGTCAATCTGCAACCACCAATGTCAACTGGGTGTCAATCTGCAAACACCAATGTCAACTGGGTGTCAATCTGCAAACACCAATGTCAACTGGGTGTCAAATGTCATTTGTTTACATCTGTATGGAGCCTTCATTTGCAGGTGACAAAAAAAAAATTATTTTGGCTCAAGAGACACTCACCAACTCCAGCTAGTAGAGAATCTAATGCAGACTGTACTGTTCCATGCTGTTTAATGGCCGCTTCCGCTTGTTGTCGTGAAAATCCCATATCCTGATAAATAATCACATAACATCATACAGTCGTCTATAATGTACACATAAGAGCCACAAATCCATTACAGTAGAAAGTGTGGTGTTCATTAGCTTTTCTCTGGCCTTCACTTCAGATGTGATTTTGTTACAAGATGTCAGCCCAATAATGAGACAAATTAATTCAGAACACATACAGGTATTTAATTTTCGTACACAACATCACAATCAATTCTGAGATTGTTTCAGCAAGTTACCCCATGATGTGAAGTTAATATGAAATATTGAACACATTCCTGGTTCCGTGTACTTACAGTAATTTGATGTGTCCGCACCCTCAGTAATTCCGTCACTGCATCTTCACAATTTTTGTCTAATTTCAAAACCTGTGTAAAGGCGTCTTCCGCCTCTGAAAACATCTGCAAACAAATCAAGGGTACATCAGTAGAAAACACAGGCATTTGTTAGAATGGATTTCTCATCTTGTCTCTTAGTTTTCTGTAGTATCACTAGTAACAGCAATTGTGAATATATCAAAAATTACAATTGTGGCAACAATCTTGAAACTCATCAAAAACTAAGTTACATACACATCAAGGGCTTGTACTGAACAAGTCTACAATTTATTTAATCAACTCAACTTGAGATAACTGCTTAATATGTTTTCATTACATGACTAGCCTGAGTCAATATTGGTTACTTACTCGTAGACCAGCTAGTGCTCGTCCTTTTCTAAAATAACCTTTTGGCCACTCTTTGGATAGATGTATGGCCTTTTCAGCATCTTTTAATGCTCTGTAATGAACAAAAGTTATAACCCTTATTAATTTGTACCTGATGGTGCAATTATCATCAGCCTTGGGTGTCACTTTGAGGACATGTCATTATTTCCTCCTATCTGTACACAGGGGATATCATCATTGTATCAGAAAATTTCAAAATATCTTGTCTTATTCTCTTAGTACTCTTTCAAAGGGTCTATATATAAATCTTTAATTTTTGTCTTTCTTGCTCTTTTTTATCAATTCTTAGACAGAATTATGGCTTTGTTTAAATTTTTGAAAATTTCTTATTGTTCTCACAAATAAAATGGGAATATTCTTATCTGAAACCTGTCATTAATTTGAATTGTGTGATCATATCACAAGACATTGTTGTCAGAGAAATGAAAGTCGCTGAAGAAAAGAGGGAACACATTTTGAGGTGGGTCACATTCTAGAACTTTCTCAGACAATGATTTTACTTACCTATCATATTGCTGTACTCTGTCATAACAGTAAGATCTGTTTCCAAAAAATCTGTGAATACAGAAAAATTATGTTTGTCAAATTTGGTTAAACTGCAGTTTAACACAACTAAGACAGCCATTACTTCATTTACATATCATTGCCTCGCAGAGATCATTTATTTATCCTTAAAGCTAGACAAAATTGATTAAACAACAATCTTAACTAAGGGCTATTGCAGTAAAATCTCGATCCCAGCCCCAGACTCCAGGTTTTGTTCAGGTATGCTATCTTTAGAATTAAACTGATAATTTGCTAAGAAGCAATATGCATAATCATAGAGTGGACAAAAGCAATTTATTGTGGAGTCCTTGGGTCAAGTAGATGTTTTACTGTCACAGCACCAACATACACTAATTTTTTCCTTATATCTAAAGGCAAATTTTCTTTGAAAGTCATGTAAATGAAGACCATAAGTCACATAGCATAGTCAGGCCAAATTGATATCTTGTTATCCTGAAATTCCCATTTTGTATTTTTAAGGAAAATACAGATCCATCTAATTAATGATCTGTAAGAATAATTCTAAATCTGATCCACTGCCAATATACATATTAAGCGTTACAATAAAGCTGGTATACAAACCTAAAATCGTTGGGGTCTAATTTGATTGCCTCGGAGAAAAGTTCTATTGCTGCATTATAGTGACCTAGCTGGGCCATCTCATTTCCTTTAACTAGAAATACAACCAAATATCAGTACAACAGGTCACCTATATTGATTTCTTTTCCTGCTGTTTTTATTGTGTTTGCAGCTCACTTTTAACAAACATGTTTTAATTTCTGCAAGCATGGTCAACTTACTCTCCAGAAATTCAAACCAACATCTGGGAAAACAATGAAATAATGAAGTCACATTAACATCACATAAAATGACATTACAATGCTTAGATTAAATTCAGTTTCAATTTTTTGATGTGAGAAATGATTTACACAGGTAAGTTTCAGACAGGTTTTGACAATTAGGATATGTATCTAGTCTTACCATTGACTGACAAAGATTTAACACCTTCCATTGCCAGACCTGTAAACCAGCCACTTCCATTAATCAGAGTGGTAATAAACTCCAATTATATTTACAAACAAAGCATGTCATTAGTACTTACTGGCTAATTGTCGACTGCGTAATACCACTGGATCTAGGTCCTCTGCCTGAAAGATAATTATATACAATTAAATAAAATCTCCTTTTTTCCCAAATATTTAATTATGAGAGATGAAAAATTTGAGGCTACATCAAAGAGGTAATACATGAACCTAAATAACTGGTACAAGTCTGTACATGTTGGATAAGAATCAGGCATCAAATAAAGAAACATTCAAATGCCACTTTTTTCTTTATTGAAAGGATTTAAAAAATCAACCCACAGGAGATTTATACCAGTCCTGGGCAATAAATATTGCAAAACACTTTGCAATTAATAATTCTTCTGTTAGTGTTTTCAGGTGAATACAAGGATTTATCTAACCTCGAAGGTGAATTTTTTTCTTGTAAAAAAAACAGGTAAATCATTGTTTTATTTATTATATGACAATTCATCCCTTCTGCTTTGTAAAAAAAATATTTTAGCACAGGTTACTGGATTGTTTTATTCCTTTATGAGATGCTGACAGGTTTGGACTGTTATATTCACTTGTGAGATTCCCCCTTGGGTTTGGGACTGGTATATTCACCCCACACAAACTCTATTTTGGTGTAACAATGCAATATATCTAGGCCCATGAGAGGTGTTTTTGACCAATCAGCACGAAGGAAAAATGAGTCAAATAATCATTGTAACATTGCACCCATTAGGGTATGTATGGAAGGGGTACAGTTCTATATTTCATCAGTGATTTCAATATTGTAATGATCCAATACAATCTTCATGTCCTTACTGTATATGGGTGAACTTTCATCCATTTCATCCTTTCATAAATAGGACGAAAATAAAAAGTGAGCCAATACAAAGTTAGACTTGAGGTTGAAAATAACCATGGGTGAAATTTTCCCAGTAAACTGTATTACTTTGCTTAAAGAGAATAACATTCAGCAGAAAAGGGAAAGAAAGAGATATCAATACCACAAAGCATTCAGTGATAAACAATTGATTATGTATTGGTCCCCCGGGCTTATTAGTAGATAGACTGGTAGCAGGCTCTTACATCATCTTCACTTCCTCCCTTCTTGTCTTTTTTTGATGAGTGTTCAGAGCTTTGTGGCACCCCGGATTTCTTTTTCTTATTAACAACTTTGGTAAAAAATGCTGAATGAGGATCAAAACCCTACAATAAAGCATTATATTTATCAATTAAAAATGTTATCATATTAAAAACAAAGTTTTCTATTTATCAATTAAAAATTTATCACATGAAAAACAAAGTTTTATATTTATCAATTAAAAATTTATCACATGAAAAACAAAGTTTTATATTTATCAATTAAAAATTTATCACATGAAAAACAAAGTGCTACATCTATCAATTAAAAAATTGAGCCGTTACATTTTTCAATCAAAAACTCCTTGACATGAAAGGAATGGCATCACTCTGAAATTTTCAGCGAGAAACATCCTCATGAGATTTAATCACTTCAAATAAATCACACTTTTGGAATAGTCAACTTATATATACAAAGTTTAAATAGATAATTTCATATCCAGCATATCTGGCTGTCTACACATGTGCAGAAATTCTTCTTCTAAACTGATGTCTATACCAAATAATCCATGATATATGCTGTAGGGGTTCAATTTGAAAAACAAATAAATAAATTTACTGAAATTTCCAAGTTCCAACACACTCATATATTAACAGGATTTTTGAATTTTTTTTTTCAACTTCTCCAGTACTATAAAAAGTATACTCACGGCTTCGTCTGAAGACGATGAAGAATCTCTGAAATATGAAAGTAATATGAAATTCAAATTTATCTCAACACCTCAACATCTCCAATATTTCAAAGAATTTTGTCAATATTAATCTAATCATATAGTCTTGTATATTTTTGCACCATCTGTTCCACTACATTAATGCCAACATCAAGTTTGATACATCTATATGAACAATAAATATGTCACAACAATCTATTTTCTTCATCAGTCACTTTAGGAACTGTTTGAACATAAATCAGATTTTTTTTTTACCTCGAAATTTTTTTCCCTTTAATCTTCTCAGAATTTTCCGAATCTTTTGTCTTTGTTTTAATTTTCTTGTCCTCCTGTAATTAGAATAGTCAGTTGACACCATCAAAATTAAAATACTTACTCGCAGTAATACCTCATTCAAATGGGCTGATAATCAAAATACTACAAGAAAATAGATCTTTTGGGATCGATACTCATACTAGACAAGATACAAAACTGCTGTGGGACCTAGGTACGTCAAATGCTACAAATGTCAAACTGAGCAATTCTGTTGAGGTAAATGATTCTACTTCCCCTTCTATACCCAGATAGAATGCATTAAAGATCATCACCAACAGAAAAACTAGCACTTAAGTCTGATGAAATTACATAGAAATGATGTATAATGATCATACAGCAGACAGGAAATACAGGCTATCATGACCATGGTAACAGTAAATACAGGTTGTTATAACTATGGTAACAGTAAATACAGGTTATTATGACCATGGTAACAGGAAATACAGGTTATTATGACTATGGTAACAGGAAATACAGGTTGCTGTGACCATGGAAAGAGGAAATACAGGTTATTATGACCGTAGTAACAGGAAATACTGGTTATGGAAAGTGGTCACCATGACTTAATTTAGCCAAACCTTTGCCTCCTAGTTTTAAAACTATTCAATTTGAGAACTTGCATGAAAAGAAAGATGAAACTACGATCCAAAACCAAATTTCCATCAGTGTTGACTGAAGCAAGAAGAATTACAGTGACCCAATTTCAGTGTCATGGTATTTTTAAGGAGTTAACTGCAAAACCATTTACGAATTAAGAACTGTATACTAGAATTCAATTATCAAGGACAGGTGCAAGAATGGATGAGTGGACACAAGAAAAATATTGCCACATTTTAATCAGCCATGAAATACCTCTATTTCTGGATTATCTCCCTTTTCTTGACGTTTACGCTCTCTTCTTCTCTGAAAGGTCGATGGAAAAGTTCTAATTAGTAATTAGGATAAAGTTTATTAAATATTTAAACAATGGCTAATTGATGACAACTTTCCAATTATAGCATAAAAGTATTGAAACCAAGGTAAAGCACTGATCAACACCAATATCAAGTTCTTATTAAACATAATGCAGAGATTATCATTAAATATCAGCAATAATAGACTTCTACATCAAAATTTCTCAACCAAACCTTTAACACCATAAAGCACCAACATCAAAAAAATTTTAACTAATATAAACTGACATGAACACCCTCACTGGTATGCTAAACAGAATCTGAATGGGTGTAGAATGTTAAGTTATGATCCTATGAGGTAAATACGAACCAAATCTGATGAGATATTATAGATTCAGAATAGTACAGGCATGGTTTAACATATGAAATCCTGCTTTATGCACTACAAGAAAATCCTTCAAAAATATTTTATCACCTACCATACATGAAACCCTTAAACTTCATAATATCTTTTCTGTACATGTACTTAAAATTATTATCTAACACTTCCATCGTTCTTTGAAATAAACATAAACAATCAATCCTGAAAACCAAACTAGGTATTTAGATTCTGTTTGCTACCTTTTTCTTTGCTTTTCTTTTTTCTGCTCTTTTCTTTTCTTTTTCTTCTTCTGTAATTAATTCCTCTGCATTTTTATTTATTTCCTGGAACAAAAATGTCTTAAAACTGATACTAAGAATACTGATAAATGCTGACATACATGAAAATTGTTGCTACTGATTCTGAAGGAACATTTGATCTAAAAAAATTGATGATATTTAACTACTTAAGCTCATTAGAAATGACAAAGCATATTACATCAATTATTTTGCCTAGTTTGAGAGAAATAAACTTCACCCTTGGTATAATATACAGTATTTGACTACATACTTTAGACACAGACCATTGGGCAGAGTGATGCCAATGAAACTCCTTTATCCCTGACAATCTTTCGAAATAAAACAAGTTTTAAATCATGTTATTTATAAACATTAACAAAAAAACTTCAATTTCTATTTTTCCCATTTCACTCACTTCTGCTGTTAGATGTTTATTACTGAATTCGGAAGCTGGAAAAGACAGAAAATTGTAAGATTTAATAATCACTATAACAAAGTGTAATATGACTTTTTACGAACATTTTAATGAAATTCTTAAATACTTTAATATACCTTTATTTGAATAGATACTTAACTTAAATCCAACATCATCTATCAACATTTTTGGCCAGTGACCAGAATGACACATTGTCATCATGAATCAATAAAGTAGACACTTTTCTATTTGGATTACCAAAAAACTGATTTTTAAATTCTAAATAAATATAACTCTGTCTGTGAGTGCATATTGAATCATATGTACATTTACTGACAATTTCCTATATGCATCATTTTTACTTTTCTCCCAATACTGTCACTGATTCAAGAATCTTACCTGTTTTGGCTTTTTTCATTTCTTGTTTTAATTTAAATTTATCTGGGAATAAATTTGAATACTGTATGTCATCATCAAAATCTTCATCGTCTTCACTGTCTGAGGTGTCATATCCAGACCCATTATAGGAATCTAAAGGTGAGAAACACACTTTATCGATATTAATTATATATCGTACAGACCCTTTATAAGAACCTGCAGGTGAAAAATACTAGATTATATAATGTACAGTATCAAAAATACACCTTATCTACACCAGATGACATTTGTTGAGTATGAACTCAAGAAGTGTACATTACCATTGGTCTATTACTGTTACTAGTGATACGTTTCATTCATGAAACACCTATTGACAAAAGTCAATATCTTTACATACTAAAGAAAACCTCAGTAGTGATGGAATTATCATTTTTACTTACTACCAACAGATCTTGGGAAAAATACTTCTTTAAAGAGGGCAAGCATCTGGTCCTTAAATAAAAGAATAATGTGTTAATATGATTTCTTAATACTCACTGACAGATTAGTCAGCAAATAACTTTAATGATGATAAATTGATAAAGTTGTCTCATGGACTGATGAAATCACTCAGGGATTAATGAAATCATTAAATTGGTTGATGAATCAGTGGATGAACTAGATTTACATCAACTTTAATGTAAGGCTCAGAGACTATAAGATTTCATAGAAGTTGACATGTTTGTTAACTAACAGTCTAAAGTCTGACTAGTACCAAAATATATCTAGTCACCTAAAGTTTGCTAGACATTTTCCCACTCATTCGGGAAAAAATTGATCAATTGGGAAGGAAAGTTTATGGCATAAATAAATATATCTTGGGAATTTGGCATTATAAAATAAATCTAATTGAGAAAGGGACCCATATTTGGCCTCATAAAGCCATCAGTAATAAACCTGGTTTGTGAATTAACATCCAGTTATCATCCACTTTTATGGTAAATTTAAGTCACTTGACAAAGCTGATAATATATTCAGCTGTATCCATAACAGTAGAATTTCTGAGTTCAGTGACAAAGTAGACTGATTTCACTTACTCCTTTGGTCATTTTGATAAAATATACTGCAATCAGGAATTTCATCATTCAATAAATAAATCTAATGAGAACATTGCTCAGATAAAGACAAATCATGATGTTAAACTCCTAAATGAATTTGTTGAAAAGAAACCATGATAAAACCATTGGAGTAATTTTCAAACTGTAACTACTCACCAGCGATGAAGGCATGTGGTCCTCATCTTCTCCAGATAGCCGCTTATAAGCTTTACTTATACTTTGGAAATTCTGAAAAGTTATTTACATATTTCAAATATATGCAGAGAGAAAATTCAATGTTTGATTGGCATGATATATATATCTTAAGATAAAATTATAAGCCATTATCATTTGAATAAGGTTTCAGATATACAATGTAATTGTAAGTTAACAACATGCACATGTAGATATACTTTTACGTAAATGAATGATAAATTTCATATTTTATATAAATGAATGACTGTACTAATTTGAAACTTAAAAATACCACTACCAGTGTGTTTGAGTTAAACTCTTTAAAGGCTAAGCAGACCAAACAGAAAACTGACATATTTTCCTTATTTGTCTTACTAAAACTTCAGAGTATTTCTACTTGACCGAACAGATTTTTGCCAGACATGTGAGAGGTCACACACAATTTGATACAATGACCAATGACAAAGTGTATTTTTACCACATATGACCTACTTTGATGGCATCATTTGAACTGCTTCCACTATGTTTGTCAGGATGCCATTTCAATGCCAATCTTTTATAACTGGTTCTTACAGAGTCTTGATCTGCACCTGTTGAATACACAAGTTAATAATTCCATGAAAACAAATAACAGAATCAGACTTTACACTGTAATAGAGTTGACTTATTTCGATCAATTTTGTTTGTATCTCTTGTATATAAGTATAATTTGCTTACAAATATTTTAATCAGACAGCTTAAAGAATAAAACTTCAGTGTCAGACTTACACATTTATGCTAGGTGTGAATTCCAATCAATTTGGGAATATTCTTGTATGTTTTAAGCAGACTGACGAGATCCTATTTCGATATTATTCTTTGAAATAAAAAGGCAGTAAGAAATTTATGATAAAGCATATCTGTATCGCATACATATAAGAAAAACATTTTTTTGTATATTTTGAATTGATGGATCAATATTTATGTGAATTATCAATTCTAAATTATCTTTTATCCACATTACAAGTCTGTGTCTGTCTCATCACCAAGCTTATATAACATGACTGGCCAGTTCACGAGATACTAATATAATTCGCCTAATTTTCATAAAAATGTAGGACTGCCTGTACTCTAGCTTGATACACAATTCTTTGCATCTTTGGATTTTGTCATGGTGAAATTGAAGGCTCGAGTTTATTTCCAACAAACAAAAAAATGACCAATCTTTATTTACTGATACATGTGTCCAGTATAAAAAGACAACAAAGCAACAATGCCAATTTTTTTATTATAAGAGTTTTCATCATTGCTTCAGAGTAATTTCCCTTCTTTAAATATCATGTGACCAGGTTAAAGACTCAATTCTCGGCAATGTATTGTCAGATTTCGGGGGCAAATGACTTAGTGTAGCAACGGAAAACATGTCCAAGAAATTTAAAAATGTTCTCATAATGAAAAATTACCTCACTACAGTAAGAGAATGTAGTGTAAACAACATTCCAAACCAAAAAAACAACATTGGATAAAATATTCAAACAGGATTCTTAGTTTAACTCTAAATTTATAGAAACTCTCCACCTAAAATTGGACATATATCAATAAGCACTGACCATGCTACAATGTTAACAGAGTTGCCAAAATGACATGCCTAAAATCACCTCCATTTCAAAAATGTTCCAAATCATGTTAACAGCCTTTGCCATGGGGTAGGATAGCACACATTCAAAATTCTGCATTCTCAGAAGTAAACATATGGCTCTCCTTTTGACATACTTCTGTCTTTTTGGCAACATATTTAAGCTCATCTTTCTTATAAACTAATATGATTTTTGTAAATTATGAAAAGATTCATAGAAAACTTTGTTTAAAAGTGTAAGCAAAAATCAAGACTTATTCAGATCCCTAAATAGGGAGGGCTCTGCAAGTGTGACAAAGGCAATGAACTCTGATTTTGAGGACACTCAAACAAGTCCTATTGTAATAGGATGGAGTATTGTAGAACACCTTGCTATGAGGTGTGGTTCCAACCAGCGTCCCTTCAGTCTCTAGTCAGACACCCTACCACACAAATGATGGGAAATTCATACTATAGTTGACGCTAGTAAGGCAACCTCTTTATTCAACTTCTACATCAGAATTTAAAACATATCCATGTTCGGGTAAATGACATAAGACAAGATGATAACATCAGTGGATGACACAACATTTACTAGAACATTCACTGCCAAGTCAATGACAGCAACAACAAACTGCTGTCTACAAAAGTGAAAATACATTTTGGTCATAGCCTATCAGAGTTTTCCAAGAATACTTTGGGTGTATTTTTAAATATAGTTATTTATCAAGAATACTCAAATCTTGAAAGGAATAAGATATAAAACTTCAGTGATAAATGGCTTTTAAATGTCTAATTTTGATACTTAATAGCGCCATACATAACTGTCGAGCTTATCCACCGGCCGGCCCGTTTACTAAAGGTCTCCTATTTCAGACTGCGTTAATTCATTTTAAACGAAATATGCACGCTTCACCTGTCAGTTAATCTTAACACTTTTGATAGACTTTTCAACCATATGTAAGTAAATTCATGATGAAAATAACGATAAATTGCTGAAATTAAAGCTGGTAAATATCAGTCACATTTTCACTTCATGACATTTCGCTGACGGTTCGGACACATGTCATACCGTGTATTATTTCCACGTCCAAACTGGGACAATCAAACAGAATTTTTAAGCTAAATTACATACCAACGGGCAATTCTAATATATCGTACGCTTCTTCTCTTGATAGAGCCATTATGGATTACAATCACAATACTATATTATTCGAAATCATGAAGATTTCAGTATATTTCTGATCGACGATTTCGTGGACACTTGTCTATCTACTAGCCGCCATTTTTTCTTGCAAGCATGTGAAGGATCACGTGATATATAGCGTTATTGTTCGATACATTGCGAGATAAAAACACAGCGGAAAAAAGTGGGCGTGTCCCTGTAATGATAGACGTTATAAAAATATCACACGTTGTCAAGTTGAAAGAGTATACCACACGTCCCTCTAACAATTAAGTTACACTCACAAATAAACTGTTAAGTAGATTAAATATCACCAGCAAATTTATTGTATGTTTTCATAAAATATGAATTTATCAATATCCCAGATGCATTTCAAAACCATTTAACCTCTTTATAAAACCGCCTGGCTATAACGACCAATTTTCTCTGCCCCACTTCTGTAATATTTACTGGTTGGGCTGTACAAAATATATAACTACAGCATGTAATCAAATGAATTATTTTGAACACCATTAGAGAGGAGCAGATAAAAATAAATTAGTGATATTTGATTCATTTACTTTTCGTCTGTGTAGCCTTTGGGTGATCACAGAAATTTAGAATGGAATATATCAATGTCTTAAAGTCTAGATGGAAGTCAAAGCACAAAGGAATGTGAACGCTAAAATACTGGAAGAGTTTGAAAAGTTATTTATCACATACGAGACAACATTGAATCCTAAAAACACAAACAGTTAACCATACTTGACCAAACATTTAGCCCGCCCCCCAAAAAAACTGATACTTTATGGCTAATTTATGTATTTTTTATGAGCTTGCTTTATAATTTTACAATTTCATTATTTGTTCAAAATGAAAAATAAAGGAAAGTTAGAAGATAAAATAAGATTATTTAATTGATATTGTGACTGAATATATATGGCATCTAACAACACCTTCCTGGATATTTTATAGCTTTCCATTTTGAAGCTAAAATTTCATATTTAAATCAAAATTATTGAAGAAGTATAAACAATTACCATAACTTAAAAATTAAAAACTAATATTAATCACTTACATAATTTGCCTCCTTAATTTCTCAGTAAATGAAGGTACATCAATTCAATCTGTAGGTAACTGTTGTGTTAAGGTCACCCCTGATTGGAGAGACTTGTTGCAGAAAGTCATCCCTGATTGGAGACTCCTATTGTGGCAGGTCACTCCTGACTAGAGACTTCTGTTGTAGAAAGTCACCCCTAATTGGAGACTCCTATTGTGGCAGGTCACTCCTGACAAGAGACTCCTGTTGTAGAGTCACTCCTGGTTGGAGACTCCTATTGTGGCAGGTCACTCCCAATTTGAGACTCCTGTTGTAGAAAGTCACCATTGATTGGAGACTCCTGTTGTGGCAAGTCACTCATGACTAGAGACTCCTGTTGTAGAAAGTCACCCCAGATTGGAGACTCCTATTGTGGCAGGTCACTCATGACGAGAGACACCTGTTGTAGAAAGTCACCCCTGATTGGAGACTCCTATTGTGGCAGGTCATTCTTGACTAGAGACTCCTGTTGTAGAAAGTCACCCCTGATTGGAGACTCCTATTGTGGCTGGTCACTCCTGATTTGAGACTCCTGTTGTAGAAAGTCACCCCTGATTGGAGACTCCTATTGTGGCAAGTCACTCATGACTAGAGACTCCTGTTGTAGAAAGTCAACCCTGATTGAAGACTCCTATTGTGGCAGGTCACTCCTGACTAGAGACTCCTGTTGTAGAAAGTCACCCCTGATTGGAGACTCCTATTGTGGCAGGTCACTCCTGACTAGAGACTCCTGTTGTAGAAAGTCAACCCTGATTGGAGACTCCTATTGTGCCAGGTCATTCTTGACTAGAGACTCCTGTTGCAGAAAGTCACCCCTGATTGGAGACTCCTATTGTGGCAGGTCACTCCTGATTTGAGACTCCTGTTGTAGAAAGTCACCCCTGATTGGAGACTCCTGTTGTAGAAAGTCACCCCTGATTGGAGACTCCTATTGTGGCAGGTCACTCCTGATTTGAGACTCCTGTTGTAGAAAGTCACCCCTGATTGGAGACTCCTATTGTGGCAAGTCACTCATGACTAGAGACTCCTGTTGTAGAAAGTCACCCCTGATTGGAGACTCCTATTGTGACAGGTCGATCCTGATTTGAGACTCCTATTGTGATAGGTCACCCCCTACTGGAGACTCCTATTGTGGCAGGTCATTCCTGACTAGAGACTCCTGTTGTAGAAAGTCACCCCTGATTGGAGACTCCTGTTGTGGCAGGTCACTCCTGATTTGAGACTCCTGTTGTAGAAAGTCACCCCTGATTGGAGACTCCTATTGTGGCTGGTCACTCCTGATTTGAGACTCCTGTTGTAGAAAGTCACCCCTGATTGGAGACTCCTATTGTGGCTGGTCACTCCTGATTGTTGTAGAAAGTCAGATTGGAGACTCCTATTGCCATGATTGAGACTCCTATTGTGGCAAGTCACTCATGACTAGAGACTCCTGTTGTAGAAAGTCACCCTTGATTGGAGACTCCTATTGTGGTAGTTCAATCCTGATTGGAGACTCCTGTTGTGATAGGACGCTCTTGATTGGAAACACCTGTTGTGATAGGTCAAACCTGATTGGAGTCTCCTATTGTGGCAGGTCACTCCTGATTTGAGACTCCTGTTGTGGTACGTCACTCCTGATTGGAGACCCCTGTTGTGGTAGTTCAATCCTGATTGGAGACTCCTGTTGTGATAGGACACTCTTGATTGGAAACACATGTTGTGGTAGGTAAAACCTGATTGGAGACTCCTATTGTGGCAGGTCACTCCTGATTGGAAACACCTGTTGTGATAGGACAGGACACCGATGATTGGAGACTCCTGTTTTGGTAGGTCACCCTTTTTTGAGACTCCTGTTGTGATAGATCTTGATTATTGATTGGAGACACCTTTTGTGATAGGTCAACCCTGATTGGAGACACTTTTTGTGATAGGACACTCCTGATTGGAGACTCCTGTTGTGGTAGGTCATCCCTGATTGGAGACTCTGGTTGTGATAGGACACTCCTGATTGGAGACTCCTGTTGTGATAGGGCATTCCTGATCGGAAACTCCTGATGTGGTAGGTGATGTCTGACTGGAGACTCCTGTTATAACAGGACAATCCTGATTGGAAAAACCTGTTGTGATAGGACATTCCCGATTGGAGACTCCTGTTGTGATAGGACACTCCTGATTGGAAACACCTGTTGTGGTAGGTAAAACCTGATTGGAGACTCCTGTTGTGGCAGGTCACTCCTGGAGACTCCTATTGTGATAGGTCATTCCTGACCCATTGTGGTAGGTAAAACCTGATTGGAGACTCCGATTGTGGCAGGTCACTCCTGATTGGAAACACCTGTTGTGATAGGACATTCCCGATTGGAGACTCCTGTTTTGGTAGGTCACCCTTTTTTGGAGACTCCTGTTGTGATAGATCTTTTATTGATTGGAGACACCTTTTGTGATAGGTCAACCCTGATTGGAGACACTTTTTGTGATAGGACACTCCTGATTGGAGACTCCTGTTGTGGTAGGTCATCCTGATTGGAGACTCCTGATTGGAGACTCCTGTTGTGATAGGACACTCCTGATTGGAGATTGCTGTTGTAGAAGGTCACCCATTTTTGGAGATTCCTGTTTTAGCAGGTCACTCCTGATTGGAGACTCCTGTTGTGATAGGACATTCATAATTGGAGACTTCTGTTGTGATAGGACATTCTTGATTGGAGATTCCTGTTGTAGCTGGTCACTCCTGTTGTGATAGGATATTCCTGATTGGAGACTCCTGTTGTGGTAGTTCAATCATGACCGGAGACTCCTGTTGTGTTAGGCCATCCCTGATTGCAGACTCCGGTTGTGATAGGACACTCCTGATTGAAGACTCCTATTGTGATAGGGCAGTCCTGATTGGAGACTCCTGTTGTGATACGGCATTTTTGATTGGAGATTCCTGTTGTGGTAGGTCACTCTTGATTGGAAAAACCTGTTGTGGTAGGTCAAACCTGATTGGAGACTCCTGTTGTGGTAGGTCAAACCTGATGTAGAAGGTCGCCCCTGATTGGAGACTCCTGTTGTGACAGGACACTCCTGATTGGAGACTCATGTTGTGGTAGGTCAACCCTGGTTGGAGACTCATGTTGTGGTAGGTCAACCATGATTGGAGACTCATGTTGTGGTAGGTCACTCCTGATTGGAGACTCATGGTGTGGTAGGTCACTCCTGATTTGAGACTCGTGTAGTGGTAGGACACTCCTGATTGGAGACTCCTGTTGTGGTAGGTCAAACCTGATTGGAGACTCCTGTTGTGGCAGGTCACTCCTGATTTGAGACTCCTGTTGTGGTAGGTCACTCCTGATGTAGAATGTCGCCCCTGATTGGAGAATCCTGTTGTAATAGGACACTCCTGATTGGAGACTCCTGTTGTGATAGGGCAGTCCTGATCGGAGACTCCTGATGTGGTAGGTGACGTCTGACTGGAGACTCCTGTTGTGACAGGACAATTCTGATTGGAAACACCTGTAGTGATAAGACATTCCCGATTGGAAACACCTGTTGTGGTAGGTCACCCTTTTTTGGAGACTCCTGTTGTGATAGGTCAACCCTGATTGGAGACACATTTTGTGATAAGTCAATCCTGATTGGAGACTCCTTTTGTGATAGGTTACTCCTGATATGTAAGGTCACCCCTGATTGGAGAATCCTGTTGTAGCAGGTCACTCCTGATTGGAAACTTCTGTTGTGATAGGTCAACCCTGACTAGAGACTCCTGTTGTGGTAGTTCAATCATGACCGGAGACTCCTGTTGTGGTAGGCCATCCCTGATTGCAGACTCCTGTTGTGATAGGTCACCCCTGACTAGAGACTCCTTTTGTAGCAGGTCACTCCTAATTGGAGACTCCAATTGTGATAGGACATTCCTGATTGGAGACACCTGTTGTGATACGGCATTTCTGATTTGAGATTTCTGTTGTGATACGGCACACTCCTGATTGGAGACTTCTGTTGTGACAGGACACTCCTGATTGGAGACTTCTGTTGTGATAGGACACTCCTGATTGGAGACTCCTGTTGTGATAGGTCACCCCTGACTAGAGACTCCTTTTGTAGCAGGTCACTCTTAATTGGAGACTCCTATTGTGATAGGACAGTCCTGATTGGAGACTCCTATTGTGACAGGACACTCCTGATTGGAGACTTCTGTTGTGACAGGACACTCCTGATTGGAGACTTCTGTTGTGATAGGACACTCCTGATTGGAGACTCCTGTTGTCATAGGTCACCCCTGACTAGAGACCCCTTTTGTAGCAGGTCACTCCTAATTAGAGACTCATATTGTGACAGGACAGTCCTCATTGGAGACACCTGTTGTGATACAGCATTTCTGATTGGAGATTCCTGTTGTGGTAGGTCCCTCTTGATTGGAAACACCTGTTGTGTAGGTCAAACCTGATTGGAGACTCCTAATGTGGCAGGTCACTCCTGATTTGAGACTTCTGTTGTGGTAGGTCAAACCTGATGTAGAAGGTCGCCCCTGATTGGAGAATCCCGTTGTGGTAGGTCACTTGATTTGAAACACCTGTTGTGGTAGGTCAAACCTGATGTAGAAGGTCGCCCCTGATTGGAGAATCCCGTTGTGGTAGGTCACTTGATTTGAAACACCTGTTGTGGTAGGTCAAACCTGATGTAGAAGGTCGCCCCTGATTGGAGAATCCCGTTGTGGTAGGTCACTTGATTTGAAACACCTGTTGTGGTAGGTCAAACCTGATGTAGAAGGTCGCCCCTGATTGGAGACTCCTGTTGTGACAGGACACACCTGATTGGAGACTCATGTTGTGGTAGGTCAACCATGATTGGAGACTCATGTTGTGGTAGGTCAACCCTGATTGGAGAGTCATGTTGTGGTAGGTCAACCATGATTGGAGACTCATGTTGTGGCAGTTCAATCCTGATTTGAGGATACTGAAATCTGTCAGATTTCATACTGATCAATATTACTTAAAGATGTACATCTCCCTTTTCTGTGTAGTTTTTTTAATCTTTTTAATTGACTTATGCCTCTTTGCTGTTGAGGTTAATAACATATTTGTGGGATTCACTTTTACCTCATGTTGAAATGGATTCAACCTTCAATATTTTCCCTTATAATTTTTCATATCATATTGGCTGTAATTTACACTTGAACTTGCTAGGAGTGTGCGTGTGTGTGAGAGAGAGAGAGAGGGGGGGAGTGTGAGGGTGTGTGTTTGTGAGAGAGAGAGGGAGTGTATGTGAGAGAGGGTGTGTGTTTTTTGTGTGTGTGTGTGTGAAATGCCATTTTCATATGTCACTTGTAACAATGGAGCCCCAATATATGCAACTTTCACTTAAAAGAGAAAAACAAATCCATTTATATAAATTGAGTGAAAATTATTTCATTTGAAAAACACTTCAGACAATATTGTGCACTGGAATTTCTATCACTGTTGAAATTCATATTTTGTAATCATGCCTCTATTTACAGTCATTGCCAAACCAAAGTCCGAAAATCCTTTAGCCGTTTCCATGAGATGTTGGTATTTACAAAAAACATGTTTATACCAATTAAACATCCTGTGTAAATGAGCCTAGTACACTTTTACATTTGGCAAAACTTATCCAACTCTTGGAAACAGAAAAATGGTAAAAATTTGTTGAATTCAGGAAAATTTGTATAAGTAACAAAGGGCGAATAGTTAAAGAAATATATATATATATATATATATATATATAGATTGATATATGGAATTATTCTCTACACTTTGGGTATGTGTGTTGTGAGCTGCTTACTTCCTGTGTTTGTTGTTGTGTTTGCACTTGCACTGTAAATATATGCGCTGTGGTGATAAATTGTAAGGTTTTAGGTAATGATTGAATTGAATTTGAGTATGCAGATTGGTCAAGTGTTGTTTTTTTGGTAGCTTGCTGAACTTCATATAATATGTCTTTGTATTGTAAGTGGGACCCACTTTTATTAATTTTTCTGAATACATGTCACTCCCATTAAGTACGTTTTAATCTTATGTTTAATATATAATAAGCAAGTAGAAGTTATCTCAGAAACTTTCTTAATCTCGTAGATATGCCAAATGATACACAAGTACAGCATTTATTTCTTTAACCTTTTCCAATACCATACTGACATCTGTTTATGCCTAAGACTGACTTAAAACATTTTTTTCCTTTTTTGCTCCAGATTCCCACTGTTTTGTCCTTATGTCAGCATTACTGACGAGTCTAAAAGCATGAAAACGCTGCTGAAGCAACTATTTGCCATATACTTCTGTAAAATTATATATCTTTGTGGGGCTCAGGTTTTGATGTTTTCCATAGCAATTTTTTTTCATACTCTTGTTTTTGTGGATATATATAGCTCAACAAATCTATGTATAACAATTCATGAATGATGAATTTGTAGATTAAGAGAAACAACAAAGTTAAAGAAAATATATCACTAATGAAAATGAATTATCTTACAGTATTTACTATCACTTGATTTAATCTCTAACTCAACAATTTTCCTCAGAGTTATGCCCCTTAGATATTGCATGAGTTTCCATATTTGATATAGATCAACAGCAGCTTACCAAAAACTGTATATAAAGATTTTTTATGCTCTTTTTTGTTGGTTACCATTTTCACATTTTGAGCTTGAAGCAAAAGAATGTACTTATCACAGAAGACATGAAATAGTCTTCGGTTCTCTGTATTTTTTTATTGAAGGTGTAATTTTTTTCAAATTTTATTCCATCATTAAAAAGAGTGAAACTTTGAGCCCCTTAAGAATGACAACTTTTACAGTATCTGTTATCATTCAGGTAGGAATTTTCAAAAAAAGAATGAAAAAAAAAAACACAAAATGGCAAATGGTAAATACTTCTTCTTTATCAAATTTATCAGAAATGTAACAAGTGAAACTGCAAATTTCATTTAATATCATTTAAAATACTAGAAACAGAAAAGAAAACAGACTACAATGTTCTAGTCTTTATAGCATCTATTAACATCGTGCTTTTGGCTATTTAACTATAAACAGCTACCTCATGATGTTTATATCTAATTTGATGGAACATCACCAGAACATTGATGTTTGTTGATGAGACAATCAGAGACAAAAAAACATGTAACCAACCAACAGAATTCCCCCCCCCCTCAAAAAAAACAAAAAAATGTCTTTGCGGATACAAGTTTGAACTCTTTGTTTAAAAAAAAATAGGCCAAGGTAATAGATCCATGTTACAGCCAATTCTGAAAAACCTTACTGTAAACTTGCATGGTTATTCAGTAGGGATACAAATGTTCTCAACGACTATCAAAAGTTCCACTGTTAATGTTGTACCATAGAAACGTATCACAACAGGGGAGGTAACAAGACATATACATATATCATAGCAGTCTAATTTATCATGAAGGACTATTTGTGCCATCATGTTTTTGAGTTAGAGTCTATATTTTGTAAGTCACTTCCACATAATTGCTCTGTGTTATATTCTGATTTCCCATCTATCTTATGGCAGTGGACACCCTCAGGATCTGGGTCATTCTCTCTGGTACTGTCATTATTAACATTATCATTGATGTTTTCCAATACATCTTTATTTTCTTCATGTTGCACCTCCTCTTCTTTTTCCTCTTCTTCTTCACTTTCCTCTTCTTCCTCTTCCTCATCTTCCTCCTCACCTTCCTCCTCATCGTCCTCATCTGAGGAGCTTTAAAATATTTAAATTTTCATATAAAATGCAGTTGAAACAGCATTTAATGATAATGTATTACAGTATGTAATTTGTATTAACCCGAAAGAACTATATACTTCAGAAGAAATTTTGGTACAGAATGTGTGCATTGTTTGACAAGTCTTGTTTTAGAAATAATGCATTATATTACGTTTATTATTCTCCAGGTGTTCAAAACAAACTCTTAAACAAGAAACCAAGACCTTTATCAGTTAAATAGATATACAATACTGGAAGACATGAATCAAGAACTGTGAACAGCACTCTCTGAGAAATAATGGCAACAAAAATTGTGTAAGGTAATTTAATATCGAAAATAACCATCTATCATCTTTTTGAGAAATACCTATAACATATTCTGTTAGTGATAATGACCAATCCACCTACCTGTCACGGGCCCAATTGTTAAGGGGACGGTTTGGGTTGTATCCTTCTAGGTCCATGTCTAAATCTGTCAAATCTGCAAAGAGAGTATCATATATATAGTCTTACATGTACTAAGTAGATTTATTACTGACAAGCTAAACTTAACCACAAAATTAAGTGGCAATGACATTTTTTTTATGAAAAAATGCAAAAATTGAGTCCAAAGAAAATATGTGATTTAACAGTATACCAAGCTTACAGTATAGTAATTTTCAAGGTATGAAAAGAAATCTGTATTACAGTACCATGTTCTGATATATTGTAAAGTCATTCAATTTTGTGAGGGTTTTTATATTCACTGATTTTTTGGGTACCATACATTGACAAGTGTTGTATGTCCATGAAATGATAAAATTGAAGGATAAATTACTAGTGAACTTGGTACTACACACACAGCAGTAGTAAGATATCTCCAATGTTTAAAATTATAGTGAAAAACATTGTAGGCTATTACGGCATGAAAAGTTATAATACGATAGGCTATTCTGGTTTGAAAATTATTGAAATGTTTTAATGGAAATATGAACCTGTGTTGCGTTGTAAGCTCCTCTCCTCTGCTATCTTATCTAAGTACTCCTGCTGGGCAAGCACGACCGCGGCACCATCTTTACACTCAGCATACAGAGACAGTAGTTCTTCGTTTACAGTGTAGAAAGAGCCACCCCACTTAAATTTTGCCAACAGTACCTCACCCAATTCCTTGAAACCTGTAAACCATACAACATTTTATGTAGAAAAAAAATGTATTACAAACATATCTATCTTACAATAACTGATAAAAAAGAGCACAAACTCCTGAAGCCAGGTTGGCCAACAGTGTATTCTAGTTGGAATATACTATTGGTCTGTCTGGCTTCAGGAGCTATCGCTCATCTTTTATATCTGTTTACTACTTTTTAAGAAACTTCTGTATAGCATTAGGTATCCTCCTGAAGCCTAGAAGATGAACCTCAACACACGTCAAATTAGCAGAATGTTGATTCTCTGGAAATTTCTCCAACTGGAAATTTTTCTTGTCAGATATCTTTCAAAAAATGTAGGGGGCCACCACATTGTCAATGAGTCAAGCCAGGAAACTAGCATAATCTGTCTATTTTAAGATACTGTATTTACCCTTAAACACTGGTGGGAGACCTTATTGCAGGACAATGAAGTAGTTTGGCACTCCGAGTTTCTCAAGAAATTAGGGGACAGACCAGTCTGTGCTAATATCATTTTTGTCTTTGAGCAAAGCATTCATCCTTATTGCTCTGGATGACATGTGATGGGCCTCCCATATGTTGTTCAGTGTGGTAGCCACCATCTACTCAAATGACGTGGAGTGTTCATGGACAATAAAACATCACATTGTTAGCATGTTGGTGGGCTTATCACTGAACATGGGCTTATCATTGGATAAGCGCTGTACCTGTGATATACAGTGCTGCAGCATAGGCCTCTACACACGATAGGGTACAGGGTTTTCCATAGTTGATAGGATTAGTTGCTACGAGGTAAGGTAAAAGACGTGGGTAGCCTCCCTTCATCTTTTCAAATGGTGTTTCTTCAAGCTTTGCCCAAGAACAATCAACAACAGCCAGACCGTAACTCAGGATGATATTTCTGTAACATAAAATATTCACTGGTCTAGTCAGAATTAGCAACACTTATCAGGAAACCCTTTTATTCTTTCCAGTTGGCATTATTCCAATCTTTCACACTTATTCATCTAACTCACCATACTCACTTTTGTTGAAGTCACCATAAGTCTTTGCCTACTATTAATGTGTCTACTTCATTTATTGGTGCAAACTCCTTTTACTTGAAGATTTTTTTATAGTTACTGTTAATATACTTCTTTTGGTGCAATAAAAAATCTTAATTGAATTCATGTACTCACAATACACAATGTAATTGCTATATTAATGATATACAGAAAATGCAATCAGTGCTTTCATATTTTAGTACAAAATCTTCAGCCTGAAAAGCACTAATACAAAATTACTGCAAAAATATGTACATTTACAGCACTTTATTATAAAAAATAAAATTCTGTCGTCATTTGCTGAACCAGTTTGCTTTAAGAATTTTCATCTTTTTTCACAAAATCAAAAACAAACTAACAACAACAAAACAAGAAAGGAAAAAATTTGAAAATTGACAAATTGCCTTCCCTAACTTTGAATTAGTAAGTTGGCATGGAATGATGATATACTCAAAACATTTTAGAAAATGGGAAAAAATTTAAGTATGAAATCTTTCTTCTCCTAATGAAATTGTGCATAGAGTATATGGTATATTATCAGAACTGTTATTTTTTTAATGTAGATTTTCCCAGTTGGTGGACAGTCTCGGACTTTTATTCACATTCAAAACTTTTTAGTTTTACACACCAACAAGCAAAATCCAATTGACTGGCCAAATACTAAATCAGTAGGGTTTTGTCTCTTTATTTGTTCAGAAGAAGCTTTGTCACATATTTAAAACATCTGACACTGGTGATTTTGGATGCTGGTGAAGATTGTTGATCTGATGGCCAGAAGTAAGATGCCATTAATTACAAAGATCTAGAAAATATCAACATGAAGGACAATTTTATTCCAAACTTTACCTGTCTTCTGCAGAGACACATTTCTTTCCCATGGGTGAGAGAATTAGACCATTAAATTTTTGTCTAAGACCTAGTGTTCGGACATATCCCAGGCGTCCAAGTTTCCGACCACTGCACTTTTTTGGATCACACTGTTCTAAGTCCCACATGGCAAGACTGAAGGGGAACCTGCCCTCTTCCACTTCCTCTGTAATAGAAAATATCCCAATATAATACTCATTATCCCTTTTCAGCAAAGAAATGGAAGAAGACAACCAGGTATGGGAGGTCTAGGGTAAACTTCTCTTCTGTATTTGAACAAGGCCTTTGACAGATATATATACATGCATAAACTCTATAGAGATTATTACACTGCCATTGTGAACAATTAAAAACTAATTGTCTAATGTTAATAAAAAGAAAATCAAAGCTGGTCAATATAAACTGACATTAAAAAGTTTAGGACACAATCACCTTATTATGTTGAGAGAATCTACTATTAAGTAGTATATAATATTACTTCTTGTGGAAAAAAGTAAAATAAATAACTAATGCATCAGAGATTTTTGTCTGGACTTTTTATGATCAGTCCACAATTTTGATAATTCCTAATACTTAAAACATTCAGTTGGGTCTCAAAATCTGAGTGAGACCCACTTGAAAAGTGTGGGACTCAAATATCCTGAGTCCAAATGTAATAGTGAAATGAAAATTCCAAATTTTGTATGTCCAGCTTACACCAGTAAGATAAAACCTAGTCAACCTACCCAGAGCTTGTGACATGTCAGCTAAGAATTCTGCACCATCCAACTTTCTCTGTCTCTGTTTTGAACGATCATGTTTGTATGAAGCTTTACCCTTCCCACGATGATGTGATTTTTTCTGATGAGCCATGTCAATTTAAACTTTGAAACCTGAAATTTAAGAATTCTTTTTAAAAACTTGACTCACAATTATTCACATTATGATTTGACACAAGTACATGACAAAATACCAATCATCACACCAAGACTTTAAAACATACATACTGGGAAATCAATCATTTTTGTGGAGGATTAATCTTCTTTGATTTCATGAGCACTCTTAACCATTGAATTTATATAATCAGATTTGAAGAGGAATATTCATCCATGAATTCAAGAGTCCTTGAAACAGTGCTTTTTTTTTTGTAAAACCACAAAAATTGAGTCACATGAAAATATATGATTTGACAATGCATAAACCTTAAAGCTTATTGATATTGGTATCCAAATCAGATCCAATACACTGAAGTACTACCTGGTATATCACATCATGATAATGTCTTTGTCAAATATCAATGTACCCGATACCTCAAATAAAATTGCTCAAAAACCAGTCCTAAGTTTATTAAAAACAAATCATGTTAGGTATACTGCATAAACACATCTAGAAAAATCCAAAATCATTAAAAAGAGAAAGAAACAGAACCACTGAAGAGACATGGCATATCTTAAACAATATTACCCAAAAAGGACTGAGTTACTTTCCCTTGAAAACCTTTATAACTTGAGGTGGAAATTATATTACAAGGTTTCACACTTTCACTCATTTTGACCAATCACATAATATGGTTGAATATGTATATTCCGGTAACTTTGAATGTTTTGTGGTGAAAACGAATTGCGAAAATGCCAGCGTGTTGGTCTGTGCATAATCCTGCGTGCATCAGTGAATATCTGTGAAAACAATTCAGTGTATTGCTGGCTGTCATGTGTCCCCATCAACAACACCTACTGTCTTTGACCTCGCATTAGTCCAATACCTTCTTGGTGAGTGTCACGATTCAATATCACTGTGACATCCAAGCGGAATGAAAGAATATGCTTTTGGTATTAATGATATTCTCTTAGATATGACGAGTGTCATCGCGTGTCATTTTATGGGGGCTGCCATTAACGTAAAGCTATCACTGACTCTGTTTGGAGTGCTTGTTTCGTATTTTATATACTGGCGCGTATTCTGTAAATGAAGTCCATTCGATGACACGATTTATTTAAATTCAACTTGAAGATATTTATTGTTTTAAGTGCTTTATACTTTACGGTAACATAGCGCTCGTTTTCCGAACCAGATTCGTTTTGTTTTTGTTTCGATTACGATGATTCATTTCTTAATATAACTGAGGAAACGAACCAATCACATACCCGGTAATTGTGGGTGTGTCATGTATCGCCCCAATTAAAATCAAAGTACTTGCAGTGCTGGAAGAACAAAAATCTTTTATATAAATATACATCGACAAATTTGGAGAAAAAATATCCAAGTAAATAACGAAAACCAAGAGTTCAACTATCGATCTGCATCGTTCATCTGGCATATATTCAAAACTTTCCTCAATAGCACTGACCTTCAAGTAGGCCTACACAATATATTAGTCACGGATATTTTTCACTTTGAGTAAGTAAAACATTGATTGAAAGCTTAAATGAATACTGTTACATATAAAATTGAGAAAAAATTTTACTCATATGATCTTATGAATAAAAAAAATGAAAAAAAAACAACTAGGATGACTCTGAGTACAAGGCTATAAATGAACTATTTCGCGATAAAGCAGTATCTTAATTTCGATTGAATATAAATCAAATACCTTAGTAGCTGGATGTATCACATTTAATCAGCACATACCCAGATACTTAGGATAACCGATAAAGGCCACCAGTTCCAACTGGGGTCCAGGGACGACACAAACAGTGAAAAAAGAGACATTCGGTTCAGGTTAAGAAGGGGTATTTCATAAAAAACAAAAGTACCATAAACAAGAGATCAACTATACAGCAAGAAAGGTTAAGTAATTGATTAAGCTGCATCATTCAATTGTTTCGTCCTTTCAGGAATGATGCTACGGGCCTTAAAACCTAGGAGGCAACAGAGGGGGTTGAAACTAAAGAAAAGACAGATAAAAATGGTAAAAAAAAAAAACAAAAAAAACTGCAAGAGAGGTTGGGGGAGTGTAATAGAGCTTTAAAAAGTAATAACTTTCGAACTTGTGATAATTTTAGAAGAACGTCAAATGGAATACTATATTCCTCACTTGAATAAATACAGGTCACGTGAAACCTTAAGGACTAAAAGTTCCGATCGAAGCAGTGTCTGTAACCAATGTTCGACGCTCCTAATGATACATGTGTTACTGAAGTATGTTTCACAGGAAGCTGGCACTGACAAACGGACCGGTCTGTGTCTGACGCGGTTGTCTTTGGAAATAACATTTTACCCTTGTCGCTTTGGAGGTGATGCGATGAACCTCCCTAATGTTGTTCAATCAGGTAGCTGTCAGTTACTACAAAGAGACATAACCTAAAAAAAAAAGGCTCATTCAAATGACGTTAAACCCACCATACAAACAATATAGACCGTGTGTATAGATATAAAACTGAGAAGTCTTTTAATTAAATGGAAAAAATAAAAAAAAATTATTCATAAGATCATATGCAGGCAATGAACGAACCATGCATGCATTTTTAACTTTACGCGTTTTTATGTAATATGTTAAAGATGTTGTGTAGGTCTGTCTCATCAAACATGAAACAAGAACATCAAGAGCATACCAAAATGGCAACATAATCATAATTCAAACTCAAATTCCATAAGATTAGGGCAAAAATATGAACATGGAGAATAAGACCAGGTGTTCCGGATACAAACGGTTGCCCATAATAGGGATTATTCTCCGACAGTCACAATAGATAAATAATTTTACAGTGTCATTTTTAGAGGCAACGCAAAGGGATATTTAGAATCGTTTCATTACATTTTACATTAGGAATTTTAAAGGGTAACTACTTTTGATGGCAATTTTAATGTGTGAACCACAATGTTCAGTTACCAAAGCCGTAACTTCAATTAACGATTGAAATTAATTTTCTTGGTCTGTTCTTTTAATGTGATGATAACATTTTTAATTCCAGACAAAATATCAAGAATGTAGAGATATATTAGATTTGTGGTTTGGCGGTGAATACAATGTATTTTAAGTTAGTCTCAATAATTCAAATTGTAAGTTAAAGATAGTTGTGACAAAATCAAATATTCCCAGGTGTACAGGTGGTTGGTATCTTATCATATTCGTCCTTCCAAAATCAACTATCGGTGATGAAACACGACCATGATAATATAGAATAAATCGATGCAAAAGCCGGAAACTTTTCGTTTGGAGTCTAATAGTAGTCTATCTATGCAGCGCCGTCTGCAGTGTATTTTCGTAAACATTTCCTTTTAGCGCGATGTCGGACTCGAGTTCTGACGAGGGCAGTGGTCCCGTCTCGTGGACACCCTACTGCCAGAGGGACGATTGGAATGACGTGGTTCCCGTCCCTCAGGATGACGGACCACACCCTGTTGTGCAGATTGCATATTCTGAAAAATGTAAGTAAACACCAGTAGACCGATGTTTTGTTGATATTTATGCCGGCTATTATTCATTTGTTTGTTGTCATGACCATTTATAGTCGAGTGAACTCACGTGTTAATTTGTTAAGTGGAATTTGATATTCGGTCAGGACTTGTGTGGTTGAGTTTGTCTGTTTGTAATAATGATAAGAATATGGATATCGTGAAACTAAAATTCTAAAATAAAGTTGAAATAATAATAATGTTAATATGCCTAATAATAATATTAGTTACTGGAATGTTCGTTATACTTCAGGAAAATACTATGACCACCCTCTGAGATATCAACACTGTAGTGTAATATAATTTCCTTCAAAAGACATGTATCGAAACTCCCCATGATAGTTGTACCATATTTATAAGCCAATAATTGGTAATATTGCCACCAAGATCTACATGTGGGTATAAATATGACGGGACAAATGCAGAAGAGTCCTATTCGATTACCAAAAATACAACATTAAATTTCCCTAAGTTACAGGGAATTTTGTGTAACAGGCCACATTGTTTCATTTCACCGGCTCACTTGGTTCATCAGTCTTTTCTTCTGTGTGCACAAGATAATCACAGCTTGCTGTGTCTTGTTTGTTTACATTTGTCAAACACGTAAAGGTAGCCTGATTTATTGGTGTTCAGTAGAATTACTATTAAATTTTTATTTTCTTTTTCATAGCCCTGCAGTAAGCCCTTCTCTGACTTTAAATCAGAATATTTATGTTGGCATCAGGACATATTGCAGAAAAAAACAGTAATTTGTTTACATTTCAAAAAATCAAAGTGTGTCTCACTAAAAGATAAGTTAATATCGGGATATCTACATATATTGCATATTTAAGTTCCCCATGCTAATTTGACTGTGTAGGACAGTATGTCATTTGTCCTGGAACTCGTAGGAAGAAAATCACTGTTCAGTAATGTTAGTAGTTTGTTTCCTATTAATTGAGAGTTCCTTATTATTGCCTTGGTGTAATTAAATTTATATCTAAGTTGGTCACCTGTGAACCTGAGTCTCATATGCTATGATACTAATTTCCCCTCCCCGCCTTTTGTTCTTTTTTTTTTACTTTCATTGAATTATGTACATTGAGCTCATCACACCAGCTAGCATGTTACTCAATTATTTATGTGGTGAACTGACAAATGGGTTGTCATGTAATAGGAATTTGTAAACACAAAAACCCTAAATGGGGTCAAACTTTTCCAAGCTTTTGAAATATCTAGAGCTGTCAACCACATATGTTAACTATACAGCCTGATTCAGTACAATTTCATGATGTTCTATATTTATAAAATAAGGCCAACTATATCATAAGCTGTCAATAAAAGATTAAAGTGTACTAATTTTAATAAGTGCAATTATATCTGCCTTTAAGAAACCAACCCATGGCCAGAGAATATGTTTCCTTTTTTGGGCTTTTAGTGATGGGACATTGATCAGATATAAAAATGATCTTATCATTTAACCTCATCTAATGCAATGATCAGTTGTAATTGTTCATAAGTGATTATCTGTATCATAATGTTTTCTTTTGCTTTAGCTAAAACCAATTGCTAATATGTATAACAAAGATTGATGTCAATTGCCAATATTATCCATTCTTATGTAAATTCTAGGTAAGTGACATATTTTACGTTGAAGTTACAAAACAGAAAACATTACTGCTGCAGAGAATGTATTAACCTTCTATGAAAATTGAACACTCAGTCAGCTTATTATGTGATTGATTAACTACATTGAAAATTCTTTCCAATTTGAACTGATAATTGAGTACTTATTTCAAATGATTTCCTATCACTGTCAAGTACTGGATAAAATTGGTAATTCATTTTGTATCATCTAACTTTCATGTTTGATATTGTCAGTATTTGAATTCTAGATACATGTATGATCAACAATTGTTACAGTTTTTATCCTGCAATAAGTCTATGGGCAAATATATTACTTCTTACCAGGTACTCAAAATCTAAGGGTACACTTTACAGACATTGTAATATATTGGTTTATAATATTGTTGAAAAGTATGGTAATGTGAATGATTGGGCTTATTACAAGACATTAGCACAGCTTACTGCATGATCAAACTAGTAGTCATAGACTATTAAATGTAAAAAAAAAATTGAGCTGCTGAAAATCTAATGTAATTAAGTCAACAAATTATATCATATTATCAATAATTGATTGGTGATAATCCAAGAACCTCCTTTTGGAAGACTTTATACTTCTATCTGACCAAACTAGAGTGATAGGATTAAAACATATCTGACTTTAGAGTATTTCTAAGATTAACATGTATACAGGTAGGTTTGGTTTAAGTATTGTAAATTATTCTGACATCCCAGTGGTTTTTTGGACTCATATATTTGAGTCATTGACTCGTGCTTGGCATGAGGGACTCAATTAAATTTAGAGTACCAACTACATTTCTTTTTAACTGGACTGGAAATTTTTAAATGGTGCTCTGGAATCATCAGAAAAAAAATCCTACAAAAATGAATGATTGAAGAAGTTAAAGGTGGTGGTGGTGAAGGATGGGGATGTGAGACTGCTTCCACAGATCCCAAGCACAATTGACCTTGATATTTCAATTATTTTGTAGTTAAGGATGTGTATGACTACTTCCGAGCTGTGATATCCAAACATGAGATCAGTGAACGGGCACTCAGTCTTACAAAGGATGCTGCAGAGCTCAATCCTGCCAACTATACAGTCTGGTAGGTTTGTCACCACCATTGTGAAGTGCATTCATGGTCTGGTAGGTTTGTTACCTCAGTGCTTCTGGTTTTCTTCTGCTTTGAACACTCATCATGGGCTGATAAGAGGATTCTAATCAATAAAGCCTGACAATATGATTTCATGAGACCATTCATGTGATATAAATCTTATCACATGGATTCCTGCCAACAGATTTTGGTTATAGTATTGTGACCTTTCTGGCTCTAATTCTGTGTAAATGTAGACACGTGTACTCATGTCACATGTATTTCTAGTCAGTGTTTGAAAGGAAAATCTGGGAATCTGAGCACATTGTGCCTTTTTCGGTAATTTTTAGTCAAAAAATTTAAATTGAAAGTTAGTTTCAGTTTTAAGTGCCCATTTTGCCCCTCATGATCATGTCTTCGTGACTTTTGGTGTATATGAATATGTTTACTTGTATAGGCTAGATGTGGGTCAAAGGTGTGTATGTTTTGGTGACCTTTCTGGCACTAAATATATGAATATAGACATGTGCTCTGGTATCACATGTGTATATATATATATATATATACATACATACAATGTTGATTAGTCTAAGTAAATATACAAGCCAGACATGTTCTAATATTATATGTACAATTGTACTTCTGGCTGGTATTGGAATATATATACATGTATATATTACAAGTATGAATGACTATAAAGGATCTGGCTTACTATGGCTTTTTTAAATATATGCAAGTCAAGTGCATATGCAGTGCCAAGGTTTTTTCCACTCATTTGGGATGGAAATTTTTAAGGAGTAAACTACATGTTTTGTGAATTTGGTCATATTATGAAATAAATCCAGTTGGGAATTTGAATGGGGCCCATAGTTGGCCCCATTGAGCCCCCGGAAGAAGCTCTGCATGCATATATAAGAAGTTGATTAAAAGTATGATATACATGTAATCAATGTTTGTTACAGGAATGGCTCTACATGTTCAGAACTAATGTACTAATATCTTACATGTTTTTTCCATGTGACCATAATTATTCTTGTTCCTTTTATATTGCTGGTAGGTCAGACTCAGACTAATGTAGAATATATATTATCAACAAAGTAAAAGTGATTACAAAGACTTAAAGGAACATCCTACACTGTATGTAATATTGATATTGAAAGGCATTTCCCTAGACAGAGAATAAACAAGAATGATTTGCCAAGAATGTTTGTTTGTTTGTTTGCTTGTGTTGGGTTTTTATAAACAAGAATGATTTGCCAAGAGTGTTTGTTAGTTAATTTGGTTGTTTACTGGGTTTATTACCCCGAGAACAGTCAGGGGTAGGAATGCTAGACTTATTGTGATGGTCTGGGATTTTACAGGCATTACCGTCGAGTTCTTCTGAAGGCATTAAAGAAGGATATTGCAAAAGAGCTGAGCTACATCTCCGAGGTTATTGAAGACCATCCTAAAAACTACCAAGTATGGTAAGTGATAACGAGATTGGGTTTTTCAATCAAGGGTATCTCATGGATCTTGTAAATTGGTAATACAGTCACAGTTTGGGGATTTCTGATGTCCTGCCATTTAAGTGGGAGGGATCAGAACAGATATAGTGATACCAATGTTTGTCCATTTTGAATCAATGTCATATCTTGAGAACCTCTCATGAGACAACATATTTGGTTATACTTACCCCATAGTATGCTGTACATAGGAGCAAAGTATTCATATACACATATTTTCCAGGTCTCAATCAATTACTTTCATTATTTCATTAAAATGAAGAGGAGAAATATGAGGGGAGGGATGATACTATTTTTATGATAAACTGATATCCATTACAGTTGTTGTATCAAATTATCAGCTAATGTTATTTTACTTTTCTGTAATAAGTCAGTCACATAGGCTTTGAACCAGACGTAGTGTACTGGTCCCTCCTAGTGTACTGTGCCTAGCGTAAGATAAATAGAATAATGCTGAAGTATTTACCTAGCTGTTTAAAGTTGGGGAGGGGAAGATCACCAGTCAATTGTTGACTTTTCTCATGAGTGATATTTAGTCTGTGTTGACACAAGTATTATTGGCCAGAAATATCGTCCCCTATGAACAAGATGTGGAGTTTAATACTGTAAAAAAAGCACCAAGAAACAAGCATTTGAAGGACAGAATACCACTAATCATCTAATGAATTTAGTTTGAAGGAACAAGTTTTAAGTTTTTAGACATGTGTCTACTGAACCTAGTACATCCTATATCAGAGGGTAAACAGGGTATAGATTGTACCATCAACATTAAGAGACCAAGACATGTGTCTACTTAACCTAGTACATTCTATATCAGAGGGTAAACAGGGTATAGATTGTACCATCAACATTAAGAGACCAAGACATGTGTCTACTTAACCTAGTACATTCTATATCAGAAGGTAAACAGGGTATAGATTGTACCATCAACATTTAGAGACCAAGACATGTGTCTACTTAACATAGTACATTCTATATCAGAGGGTAAACATGGTATAGATTGTACCATCAACATTAAGAGACCAAGACATGTGTCTACTGAACCTAGTACATTCTATATCAGAAGGTAAACAGGGTATAGATTGTACCATCAACATTTAGAGACCAAGACATGTGTCTACTTAACCTAGTACATTCTATATCAGAGGGTAAACAGGGTATAGATTGTACCATCAACATTTAGGGACCAAGACATGTGTCTACTTAACATAGTACATTCTATATCAGAGGGTAAACATGGTATAGATTGTACCATCAACATTTAGGGACCAAGACATGTGTCTACTGAACCTAGTACATTCTATATCAGAGGGTAAGACAGGATAAACAAGGTATAGATTGTACCATCAACATTTAGGAACCAAGACATGTGTCTACTTAACCTAGTACATTCTATATCAGAGGGTAAACAGGGTATAGATTGTACCATCAACATTTAGGGACCAAGACATGTGTCTACTTATCCTAGTACATTCTATATCAGAGGGTAAGCATTACCACTCACTGTCGCATTTATCAGGCAATAAGTCCATGTCCAAACATTGAAAAGTTCAATGTTGGAAGTCTGGGCTTAATGCAGGAAAAATATAGTACATGTGCAGGACTTTTGCCAGATGTTTACTTTGTGGCATTTCCAAAATGCATGGCTAAACACCTGAATAGCAATATAAAGTATCAGTGGGCTGGTTGTTTTATACTCCCTACACTTGGAGATGTTATATGGCTTGGTGGCGTTATACTGAGTATGACAGAAGTGTACCAACATTTTATAGGCATCACCGCCGTGTCATGGTCGAGTGGCTCAGTGACCCTTCACAGGAGCTCAAGTTTACTTCTCAGATACTGCGAGGGGATGCTAAAAACTACCATGCCTGGCAACACAGGTAAGTTAACCTTACTTCATTAAAAAAAACACCATGCCAGGCAAAAGGTAGGTAAATCTTACCTAGCCAAAGATTTAACGAGCAGAACTACACAAGGTAGGCCCATATACATACATTTCCTATTCTGTTTTTATCTGTTACAGACAATGGGTGATTCAGCACTTTAGTCTATGGGAGGGCGAGCTCAACTACGTTGATGCACTTCTTCAGGATGATTTACGAAACAACTCTGCCTGGAATCAGCGCTACTTTGTGGTCAGCAATACAACAGGATTTACAGGCGAGAGCCTGGAGGAGGAAGTCAGGTATTCATTAATGTTAATTAGCATTGATAAGCAGGTAAATTAAGTGATGTGTTAGATTCATTGCAGGGAAACATATTTTCACCAATTGAATCTTTATAGGATAAACTTGTGTATAAACGATTATCTATATGATGAGTGAAAACAAATGTTTATGATTGTAAATCTGATCTTTTTCAGATATGCTCAAGAATTTATTAAGAAGGCTCCAAACAATGAAAGTGCATGGAATTACTTAAAAGGGTAAGGTTGTCAATATTGAATGTGTTCGTAGTAACTATTGTTATGCTCCGCTCACCTTGATATATGTTATATGACCTTTTGTGACCTCAGATTAAGCCAATCAAATGATGTTACACATGCACAGATTGCATTATGACATAACAATGAAGATCATAGATTTATAGAGCTGAAATGACTTAAAGTTTGACAAGAAAAGTACATTTTCTGCAACATTTGCCTGAATTATTAATCATATGATGGAAATGATATTTAATTAAACATATCTTCAATATCTTATGAATCTACATATAGTCCGAAATTGCTTATTTTCACTTTGCAAGCTCATTTGAAAATTCTTAAGACTTGTTTGATAGTCACAAATATAATTGAAACTCTTGTAAGATTTTACATATACCACTGGGTCAATACTCGACATAGAAACATTTGTAAGATTTTATATATACCACTGGGTCAATACTCGACATAGGAACATTTGTAAGATTTTATATACCACTGGGTCAGTACTCTGCATAGAAACATTTGTAATATTTTATATATACCACTGGGTCAATACTCGACATAGGAACATTTGTAAGATTTTATATACCTATACCAATGGGTCAATACTTGGCATAGAAACATTTGTAAGATTTTACATATACCACTGGGTCAATACTCGACATAGGAATATTTGTAAGATTTTATATACCACTGGGTCAGTACTCTGCATAGAAACATTTGTAATATTTTATATATACCACTGGGTCAATACTCGACAGGAACATTTGTAAGATTTTATATATACCACTGGGTCAATACTCGACATGGGAACATTTGTAAGATTTTACATATACCACTGGGTCAATACTCGACATAGGAACATTTGTAAGATTTTACATATACCACTGGGTCAGTACCCTGCATAGAAACATTTGTAAGATTTTATATATACCACTGGGTCAATACTCGACATAGGAACATTTGTAATATTTTATATATACCACTGGGTCAATACTCGACATAGAAACATTTGTAAGATTTCATATATACCACTGGGTCAATACTCGACATAGAAAAATTTGTAAGATTTTATATATACCACTGGGTCAATACTCGACATAGGAACATTTGTAAGATTTTATATATACCACTGGGTCAATACTCTGCATAGAAACATTTGTAAGATTTTATATATACCACTGGGTCAATACTCTACATAGGAACATTTGTAAGATTTTACATATACCACTGGGTCAATACTCGACATAGGAACATTTGTAAGATTTTACATATACCACTGGGTCAGTACTCTGCATAGAAACATTTGTAAGATTTTACATATACCACTGGGTCAGTACTCTGCATAAAAACATTTGTAAGATTTTATATATACCACTGGGTCCATACCACTGGGTCAATACTCGACATAGAAACATTTGTAAGATTTTATATATACCACTGGGTCAATACTCTGCATAGAAACATTTGTAAGATTTTATATATACCACTGGGTCAATACTCTACATAGGAACATTTGTAAGATTTTACATATACCACTGGGTCAATACTCGACATAGAAACATTTGTAAGATTTTATATATACCACTGGGTCAATACTTGACATAGGAACATTTGTAAGATTTTATATACCTATACCACTGGGTCAATACTCGACATAGGAACATTTGTAAGATTTTACATATACCACTGGGTCAATACTCGACATAGGAACATTTGTAAGATTTTATATATACCACTGGGTCAATACTCAACATAGGAACATTTGTAAGATTTTACATATACCACTGGGTCAATACTCGACATAGGAACATTTGTAAGATTTTATATATACCACTGGGTCAATACTCAACATAGGAACATTTGTAAGATTTTATATATACCACTGGGTCAATACTCTGCATAGAAACATTTGTAAGATTTTATATATACCACTGGGTCAATACTCTACATAGGAACATTTGTAAGATTTTACATATACCACTGGGTCAATACTCTACATAGGAACATTTGTAAGATTTTACATATACCACTGGGTCAGTACTCTGCATAAAAACATTTGTAAGATTTTATATATACCACTGGGTCCATACTCGACATAGAAACATTTGTAAGATTTTATATATACCACTGGGTCAATACTCTGCATAGAAACATTTGTAAGATTTTATATATACCACTGGGTCAATACTCTACATAGGAACATTTGTAGATTTTATATATACCACTGGGTCAATACTCTACATAGGAACATTTGTAAGATTTTACATATACCACTGGGTCAATACTCGACATAGAAACATTTGTAAGATTTTATATATACCACTGGGTCAATACTCGACATAGGAACATTTGTAAGATTTTACATATAGCACTGGGTCAATACTCGACATAGGAACATTTGTAAGATTTTATATACCTATACCACTGGGTCAATACTCGACATAGGAACATTTGTAAGATTTTACATATACCACTGGGTCAGTACCCTGCATAGAAACATTTGTAAGATTTTACATATACCACTGGGTCAATACTCGACATAGGAACATTTGTAAGATTTTATATACCTATACCACTGGGTCAATACTCGACATAGAAACATTTGTAAGATTTTATATATCTATACCACTGGGTCAATACTCGACATAGGAACATTTGTAAGATTTTACATATACCACTGGGTCAATACTCGACATAGGAACATTTGTAAGATTTTATATACCTATACCACTCGGTTAATACTCTACATATGCCTCAGAGAGTCAGTGACACTGATTGGTGTGGCTTCTACAATTTGTAGCTGAAAAAGCTACATGAAATATCTAGATATAATGATGATACTGTTACTGTGGTATGTTGGTTACAATTTCATCAGAGATTTGATATAGGTGAGGTGTCATTGTTATCTTCTCGAGTTTTCTCTCAATAGTTAGAAAGTTTCATGTAACCAAAAAATCAGGGGAGGTAACTTATAAATGCTGGGGAGGGATAGATGTATGGTGTAGCAATATATTGCTTAGAATTACTTACTGTCATAATATTTGGATAAATTTTAAAATTTCTTCTTTGGATTCAAAATGAGGATATCAATACCTTCAAATAAAACAATGAACTGTAATACTTAGAGATATAAAGATGGTTACACTAATGTATGGTTTCTGTATAGGGCCCTGATGGACCATGACTTGAGTCAGTATCCAGGTCTGATGGACTTCTGTCTACAGCTGTATGAGAGCCGGTATCGCTCGCCATACTTAATGGGATGTATGGTGGATACATATGAGGAGATGCTAGAGAAGGATTGTGACGACAGAAACAGTGTGCTAGACAAGGCCACTGCAGTAAGTAAAAGCAGAATTAGACTTTAACTGTGTGTTTTTTCACAAACAGACTAAACATCACTGCAAACTGTGTCTCATTTGTAAATTGGGATGATGTGTCAGTTTTGAAATTATGTTTGAAATAGCTGTACTGTTATTATTCCTTAGACTTGTGTTGTGAATTTTTGAATGCTGTATCATGCTTTGATATTGCTAAATCAGCCTTCACTTCAACAAGGTCAAGGCAAAAAGTATGCTCTTTAAGAAAGGATTTTAATTGTGGGTGCAGGAAATGGCAGGCTTTAGGGAATTAGTGGTCAATATGGTTGGGTAATAAGTAGCCATTTATTTTCATACAAAATAAAAAGAGTGATAATGGATATTGTTCTGATGTTATACTATTTTTTGTTTCCCCAGCTGTGTAAGTCCCTGGCAGAAGAGTTTGACACCATCAGGAGTGAATACTGGAATTATGTATCAAGAGTGTTATCTACAAAATACGGAAATACAAATTCGGACACAACACAGATTCCTTCTGCTCCTTCCTAGTCCAAGTGCTTTAATCATATATATTTATACCTTTCTTCCCCAACCAGAAAGATTTCCTTAACCGATCCAAGATTTCTCCATGACTTGTGAATCAAATGCACGGAAAATACTTCATTTTTTTCTTGCTAAAATATCAAGGAAGTTTAAGAAGAAACCTGTGAGAATGGGAATGTTATATTGCTATAAGTCTGTATTATATAGACTGATCATATACAGTTGGAAGTCCTTGGACATGTGATCCGCACCAGAGTCTCCGGAAGGCTGATGATCTCATACCTACATTAGGTATACAAATATTACATATCTCACAAAGAGGATTTTTGTTTTCATTTCATACATCATGGATGGAATGTGTAGGAATTTTTCATTGTAGGGAGTAAAAAGAGAAAGAACTGGAAAGGCTCATCAATTAATTTGATTGATATATTTGCCACACAACCTGGAATATTTTTTACATGTGAAACAGAATTTTTTGTGCTGCATTGAAACCTAAATGGACAATATTTTGATTTAATATCTCTTTCTTTTGTGATGTCACAATTCATGTGATGTCATGGAGGTGTGATGTCATGAAAATAGATCTTTTGATTAGATGTCTTGATGATGCTTTTACATGGAAACATTTACATACTTTAAGATCAGAATCACAAATTTCATGGCTTTACAAAAATATACATTTTCCTTGGCACTTGCTTTACTGGGTAAATCGTGCTCACAAAATCCAGTAGTGCTCTAATCCATGTCAACTTTTATCTGTGTATGATTTTGTGGACATATAAATTCATGGAGTGGTCAGGAATTCAATGAAAATAAATTCCCATGAAAATTTATAATTTTGAGTAGTTTTAATGAAACTCACCACAACTATATTGTTAATATTGAATTCAGTAATTTTTGGGACTTGCATACTTGAGTTCTGAACTCATGATTTTCCTGTGAAACTCCCTCAAATTTTGAAGTCCAACTATCTTTTTAGAAAAGAGATTCATCAAATTTTTTGAAGTGGTGTTCTGTACTTGCTAGAAAAAATCCTACAGAATTTAATGAAAAAAAAATTTAATATTTGTTGAAATTAAAATTACATGTAATACATATTTACATAGAAGTTTCTTGAATGTACTTTTGATATACTGAAAGGAGAAACCTTATGTGTACATGAAATCAAATGCACTAGGTATGATGTAAATTAATTCTAGAGCTTTCATATGTTTTTCTGCTGGTTCTGCAATAATTGGGGATGGGCTTTTTATTTACCAGATATTGGTTAATTTTCAGATAATTCGGAATATAAGATAAAGTAATGATTGGTTGTGATGCTCGTAATTTGACCCGTAGAATAACATAGCTATTGTAAGGTTGTTGAGGTTTGTTTGCATAGGTAATTACCTCATGAGCACTCAGGGTAATTTTGAGGCTAGATCTCCTTGTAGTGGTTGGTGACCATCTCGCTGAACAACATATGGGAGACCCGTCACATGCCATTCAGAGCAATAAGGGCAAAGTGTCAAGCCAACGGACACAATGATATCAACACAAAATGGTGCTTTGTGAACTATGCACCTCAGATTTTCATGAAAGGTTAAGTAGGCCAGCGCTCTACAACTATCGTGGCTTCTTGGTGCAGAGGGGATATCTACAGTTTATAATGAGATTAGAACTTTTCGAGTTCCGAGGTACTTGTCCAGTAGTGAGCAAGGAAGATGACCTTGTCTAATAGTGAGCGAGGACGATGACCTTGTCTAATAGTGAGCAAGGACGATGACCTTGTTTAATAGTGAGCGAGGAAGATGGCCATGTTTAATAGTGAGCGAGGAAGATGGCCATGTTTAATAGTATGCGAGGAAGATGGCCCTGTTTAATATGGAGCAGGGAAGATGGCCCTGTTTAATAGTATGCGAGGAAGATGGTCTTGTTTTATAGTGAGCGAGGAAGATGACCTTGTTTAATATTGAGCAGGGAAGATGGCCTTCTTTAATAGTGAGCAGGGAAGATGGCCTTCTTTAATAGTGAGCAGGGAAGATGGCCTTCTTTAATATTGAGCAGGGAAGATAACCTTGTTTAATAGTGAGCAGGGAAGATGGCCTTCTTTAATAGTGAACAAGCTGGAAAATCATGATAATGAAATAGAAAGCTCTATTATTAAACATTATAGATGAATAGATGGAATTAATTTCTGTTCAAAAATCTGGATTATGTTGTGTAAGCTCACCTAGCACAAAGAACTGGTGTATAGGTTAGCATAAGTACAAAGATCTCCTCAAGATGTCTGTTTATTTGGTGCAAAGGTCAGGTAGAGTTATCACCTCATTAGATGACAAGTCTGATTAAATGACAAGGTCTCATTGAGGTTTACATTCACCTGGCTCAAAACAATAGTCAAGGCATTAACTTGTTTAAAGATGTGTTCAAATGGTAAGGGTTCACCATGTTACTGTTGTATTAGACATGTTTAGTTGGTGACTATTATGATGGTATGACATAATCATATTGGAGTTGTGACTGTAAGCATTTTCAATGTAAGGTTATAAATTATATGTGTAAAGCTTTGGTGTACACTAGGTACAGTATTTCTGGTATGTAACAATTATGGCAAAAAAATTCAGACTAGAAATGCTTGTATGTTATTGATTTTGTATGTACATGTATTTGTAAATGACGATCATGTGTTTATTTCTTTTATAGTCGTTTTGTTTGTAACATACAGTATTTACAATGATTTTGTATTATCAAGAAATGAAGCCTTGAATTGAGTACTATATGATATGTTATATGCAAATAAAATGGAAAGATAGAGGAAGATCTCCATACAACATAAACAAAGCATATTTCATTGTTGTTGTTACAGGCAGCACCAGTTATTGTGTGACGCGTGTACACCTTCACATTAGTGAATTTTGTTTGTAGAGGTCGATGAAATACTGGACAATTTTGCTTTGATTACTGGAGTACCAGTGCTGCGGGGAATCAAACCCCATACATCTTGGTGAAAGGCGAGTGTGCTACCTGACCACCCATAGAAATAGGAGTAGTAAAAAAACCTAAATTTTGTAAAAAGGAGTAAAACAAATATATTAATGATAATTTTTTAAAGGGTTAATTAGAAATAATTCACAAGGTGGTTCCCCTCCTTTGATCCTATGTTAATTAAATATTGTATATATTGGATACTTTTCCCCACTTCTCAGACAAAAAAGTTTTTTTTATTTTATTTACTGTATTTATAATTATAATTGTGATTTAATAGGGATGTAGGAAAAATTACTTACATACCCATACATGTTTAGTATTGATCAAATCCATATCTGTGAAGATATCGAACTAGAGATTTCCAGTTATCACAAACTTAGGGACTGTTGGCTTCGGTGCCCTATCACAGCCTCATGCACTAAAATCATTTTCAAGAATAGTACATATTATCTTTGTGGAAATGATAAATTTTAGTTTAAAACATTTTAAGTTTTAGATCAAAATTTTACATCAGAGATTGCCAAATTTTCTTTAACTGAAAGCTCCAGTCCAAGTCTGTTAAAAGATTTGACAGGTATGTGACCCGTGTGTATGGCGACCAATGTTTCCTAGCCCATCAATAGTTTCCCACTAACACCCTGCATCCTGGAAACTGAAGTGAAACAATACCATTAAGAATGGTAGAAATGACGATGCATTTTATACAAGAGATAATGAAGGAATTGATTTAAAGTGCCAAAAGATATGTCCATAGATAACATTTACTGGTATCCATAGATTAAATTTATTGGTGCCAGAAATCTAAATGTTCAAATCTTTTCTCTGAAATGTTACACAGTGACAACCTGTTCAAAAAAGCATCAACATGTGAAACAATAGTTAATAGAAGAGCTTAATTGGTTAGAGGATAATTTCAACTACTGTAATTTTAATTTAGACTATTGTCTCCCTAAATTCCTCTTACTCTGTGATTAGGTGCATGGTTGATGAGATTTTTGTAAACAACTGGTATTTATTTGGGATTATGTATCAATGTATAGAGCAGAGGGTGCTATCATTGTCTGAACCAATAACCCGTACTCATTTTTCTACGTCATGTTGTTACAATAAATATATCCTCTTATGTTCTTGTGAATTTGTTATTTTTACATCTGTTACAATACAGAATGAAAGTTGGATCTGTGTTGCTTGCAGTTGCTTAAACTGTATTGAGTATTTCTCTCGTATGAAAAGTAAGTCCATAGGTAAGATATTATCCCGGAAATCAGCTTTACCAAAGAAATTATTCATCCAGAATTTACTCAACCACAATTCTCTATCGAGATTATGATCACTATCTGCATCCCTGGATTATTTCTATGGCAAAATTGAAGGTGCCATGTGTGACACTTTGAGGATAAGAAAAGACTAGTTCGATCTGGTTTGATTTTGAAATGTTCCAGAGGTGCAGAGAGTGATTATGAGGGTAGCCCGAAAGTATCAAGAATGGTAGCTCTAGAGAAATAGCAATTATAATATTTCTTTACAGTTTGTGTACAGAGTACGGATGAGGGGTGATTTGAAGATGATGATGCTGGGCTTATTGTTAGTCCCCTACTACTAATCACTGGTACTTCTTTCTTAAGGCATGGGTTCACCTGCTGTTTATTCTTGACATTATAATTTCACATTTGGTGGGGAACTGTGCTGAATTGTCTTATTTAAACATGGTATATATATCCTGACAATGTGATTATCTATTATTCTTGACCAATCAAATACATGCATGCATCAAATGAACTGGAATTGCACCTTCTACTTGCCACAATATATCACCTGATCAGGGAAATTACCTCTTTAGCTCCATCGGTTGAGGTTAAGACTAGTAAACCTGAGGTTCCCCGGTTCAAATTCTAGCAGAAACATTGAAATAAAGACTAGCTGTTTATATACGTGTATATTTCAGTTACTTTTCTTTGGTATAGTGATCTAATTTACCAAGCAAGAAAAACACTTTTAATAATTGAGATCTTAAGTCGATAATTTTTTCATGCATCATATTTGTCCTGATACAAGCCCAGAGGAATGAAAAAAAGGGTGGGCTTATTAATAACACTTTAATAGCATGCAATATATAAGGTTAACTTGCTATTGATTTCTTGATTGATACAGTAGGAGAAATGACAAAACCAATTACATCAAAATTAGTACAGAGAACTCAATAAAAAATGACGGTTAGTATACAAGTAGTGACATGGCTGAACTATATACTTAATTCAATTATGTAGTAACACCCCATCAAACAACACAATCCAAAAATAATGCTTTATCATAAATTTGTTTACAGTAAACTTAAAACAACAAAATGTTAACATCACAGCTTATAATCAGTAAAAATGTGGTCAGAAAAATGACTGAAAAACATAATTTGTATTTGAATTCATAAACAAATTTCAGAACAGCTGTATAAGCATTAAAGTCAAAAAACTATTCTTTTAAGCATAATTGTCATCTTTAAAATTAAAAATAATTTGATAAGCAATACTATGGCAGAATTATGATTTTACCTGAATTATGATTATGACTGAAAAACATCATTTGCATTTGAATTTATAAACAAATTTCAGAACAGATGTATAAGCATACAAGTCAAAAAACTATTCTTTTAAGCATGATTGTCATCTTTAAAATCAAAAATAATTTGATAAGCAATACTACAATAGCATTATGATTATACTTGAATAAGAAAAGGAAAAATATCCAAGATCAACTGATGTCAAAATAACGAATAATCACACTTCCAATAATTCAAATAATTTCACACTCAATAATTACCAAAATTTACACAAGAATCTTTATTCCTTCTGCAGTTTCACTCAACTTTGACTCAAAGTTCCTGTACTTAGCCATGCTAAGTAGATAATGTTTATCCCACACAAAGCATTCACAACCTGGGAAGGATGTATTTGGCTGCCATGGCAACTAGTGGAGACCCAGTGGGGACTCCTGGAAAGGGTCCAGACGATCCCGCAATGTCCAAATGTGAATAGGGAAGGGGCTGCTTAGAGTCGATACCATGCTGTAATAATAAATGTTTGTTCATTATCTCTCTATGGTATATTGTCCAAACAAAGATATATGGACGGCTGTGTATTGACAAGTGTCATAGAAAATAAACTATATTCTGGTGTGGGTAAAGAAAGAGAAACGAGGCAAATAAGGCTGTAACTTTTCTTTCTGCCTTAAGCAAAATAGATTGCAATTAAATGACAATAAATTATATTCACCTTGCAACATTCATTTAAAACAAAAACCATTGGAACTTCTGAATTATATATTGAAACTGGCATTAGTCCTTAACTTAAGGCACACAAACAAAATCATTGCTACATATAGAATGATGGCAATTTGGTTAATTCAGAATATCTTCAATACAATAATTAAAATTCCATTTTGATATTTGCAAGTACATGAAAATGATTTTGTGAATTAAATTTTTAACAGGCACATTAGTAATTAAAACCACAATAAAACAAATGTGACAGCAAAAACATCACCTTGTCAAGGCCTGAAGACATGATGAGGAAGGCAGAGGGAGACTGATGTCCTCGGGCTGTGGCTGATGAGGGCGCATTGTTACACTGAAGGACATCCTCATACTCTGACTTCCCAGTGTGGAACTCAAAATCCTAGAAACAGGGTATTTGGAAAAATGACATGTTGAATTAGAAAATTGAAGTCTATTAAGATGATTTATTGCAGTGATTTCAATTTAAAAGTAATACACATGGTATATAAACTGGACTCATCATTTTTTAAAATTGATCATTTCATTCATATGAATATAAAATAAAATTACTTCAATGAATATATATCAGTTTCAAACTCAAAACAACCATTATTATTATCAGTGATTTCTATGAATGTTTGTATACAAATTTGCATCATGAAAGACATATTACATTATTGGTCTCTCAAAGCTTGGAGTGAAGGGTATGATTATTCACACCAATAAACAGTACAGAGAAAGAGGCCAAATGATCAAAGAAGAGAAGACTTGGCAGAAAGCCTACATGGAGAGCAAATGTAAGGGCACATAGAGGGGCAGAAGTTGCTTCCAGCTTGATACGGAAGAAGAGTAAGGGAAGATGGAGAGGTCACCATTTATCAGTCCCAGCGCTACACACAATGTGATGGGACACAAGTAGGCATCACCACCCATTGTGATGCAGCAGGATGAACGAGGAAGTTGTGTAAACATTTAGCACAAAAAGGCAACAACAGCAGGTAGCAGCAAGAGTGGACCAGTCTCTTTTTCGGCCTCATCAAACCAACAGGTGCATCTCTGGAGGGGGTCTTAATGTGTCAAAAATAGTCACCTAAACATAGGCCGGGCCAGGTTACTTCAGAGTATTCAAATTATCAAATTCTATGTTCCATGTTTCATTTTGTTCTGATAGTGCCAGGGTTAAGAATATACATATGTATTTTACTTTGCTCTAAACTTATCAGATGTGTAAATGGAAAGTATGAAATCTATTTCTTTCGATCACTTTGGATTTCCTCAGTCACCTCTCCGACTTACAAAGTTCAGGCCCATAGCATCACTGAGTCCTAGAAGGACAAAACAGCTGTATGATGAAGTTTAAATCATTGTTTGGCTCTACTGTATTTAACTCTAAATCTGTATTTAAATGTGATATTCACTTGTGTGTCTTTTGTACAATCTTAGATTCTTCCACGACAAATCGTAGAAGGAAGCAGAGAACAATGTTCATTTAAACCCCAAAACTAAGGTCTTACTTCACGCCTGATTGTGGAGACTTCAAATGGATCGCCCCAGATGTCTCCAATTTCCTGCATGTTGCGAGCCGTGTTGAGCTGACGAGCTGGTCCATTATCCATGATGATCTGAAAGAAGATAGGTGACGTGCACATATTTCGCAATCAGAACAGTTCAATAATTAGTAATATCTTCTACCTATTCATCTGGTAGCAGAGCCAATCCATATCTACTGCAGTAAAATCACTCGAGTCAATCGAGGTTGCACTAATGCTTTCAAACTTACAAATAATGTGTGAACTTTGCATAATCAAATTTTAGTGTATTGTCAATTTATTTTGAGCGTGAAAACCACCAAAATATGATTACTGCAAAAATATGTACATTTACTGTATTCAAACACTGATATCAAATTCATTTTGCATTCTTTAACCTTAGCACTGTTTAAACAGAAACTTTGCAATATTCTGAAGTACAAACACAAAATTCTGTGATGAGTTTCATAAAATTTAAAAATTACAGCATCCTGCAATGTCTATGACCTTATGAACTCTGCGTTTACATCTGGGGATTCTTTTACTTTAGACGGTGGAATTTACATCAATTTGGATTTCAAGAAATGTTTGAAAGAAGTGATGGATGGACAGAATCAAGTGGCACATGAACTTGCTGTGTGTTCTTTACATTATGAATGCAAAAGCTGAACAAGTTACCGAATATTTTGGCCCCATTGCACGAATAGCATGTCCAGTCAGTGTTGCTATGGTGAACAATTCTGGGTTGATAGCATCAACAGCCTGAAGAAATAAAGCATTTATAAACTGAATCCTACTCTGGAAAGAGTGACATCACAGAAGGGTCCATCAACATTCAATGCTTTAACTGACATATTGTTTTATGCCATTTTCTCTCAATACAGAAATAATGTCACACATAATAGAATCAAAATAAATCTCCATGATCTATTTTTAGACACAACATTGCCACACAGTGGATAAGTTATTAACATTATAAATTGTATTGTTTTCCATTGATGTCAAGCTTTAGCATGATGCTTACCATTTCCTTACAGTGACACAATACATCTGCCATCACCATACGACCTTCAGCGTCAGTGTTGCCGACACGAACTCGAACCCCAGCCCTGGAGGTTATGATTTCATCTGCCACATAACACTCTAAAAAAAAACAAACAGGTACATTAAATCAAGAAAATGTTACAGAATTTTATTTGCTAGTTACTGTATATGTACCCAAGTTTTAAATGTAAAAATGTTATTGCTCTTTTTGAAAATTAGCTCAATCTGCACATTCCTAATACCCTATAGTCAGTTAATTTTGAAGAAAAGATATATTAAAACAACATGAAGAAACTGAACTAAGCACAATCATATTTTAGTGCAATTCTTTCAGCACTAAAATAATAACACCACTAAAACATATATGTATGTTTACAGTATATCTTGGTTTTTATGTAAATTTTTCATATTTTTGTTGTATCCCTGCATGTTATGTATGAATTCTTCCCAGTTGCACTGATTTTAATCTCCTTGAATACTTTGCGGAAATATATTTTCGTGAATCTTATTTTTAGATTTTAAAAGTATTATGAACACAGGATGGTTGTAGTGTTTAATGAATAATAAATGGCACAAATAAATCACTCTCAAATATTTGTTGGTTAACAGTAAATATTGGCACAAAGTCAGCTCAGAATAAGCACATATCGTTGTTGATTTCCGAAATCTACTTAATTGATCAAATTAGGTGATTTGTGTACTCCCTCCTCATATTTTATACTTGTTTATAGGTTTTCATACTCAAGTCACCTAGCATCACTGATAATTCCTTAGGTGAATAAAATAGCTATATATTATTTGTCATACACTGTCAATATTCCTCTATTAATTAATGTTTGTGATAATCACTTGTATCTAACACAAAACCCTTTAGACAAAGTACTTAATATATATATGACTGGCGAGTATTTTAAAACTTTATTGTATGGGAGTAAAGGATGAATGAAAATATAATTGGCTTAAAACATGACAAGACTTTTATAACCTCACATGACCCTTGTTGACTGTACATTCACTATATACCTGATCCAACACTGTTTCTGACCATACAAAGGGCTCCTACAACTTTAATCCCTTTTGGCTTCATTTCTGATAATGTCTGAAATAAAATCACACTACTTTTATTTACACTCTACTGCAACAATCTTGAATGGTAAATATCAAAATATACACATTATTCCCTCCACCATTGCAAATTTGTCATTTGACCTAGATAGAATATAATTTGACCTAGTTATTGAACAATGGTATTGATCAGCTTAATATATTGGTGTCATTTGATTTTGATATTGACATCATTTGACCTCGATTTGACCTTGATTCATCTCAAAATCCTTTGACCTAAATACCACAATCATTTGACCTAGATATCAGTAACTAATGGTGTTTTTATTGACATTATTTGGCCCTACTATAGGATCCATTTGACCTGATATAAGTAATTTCTGATGAAGATATTGACATCATTTAGCCTTGATACTGGATTCATTTGACCTAATATAAGTAACATTTGATATGTTATTGACATCATTTGGCCTTGATATTTCATCGATTCTACCTGATATAAGTAATTTCTGATGAAGATATTGACATCATTTAGCCTTGATACTGGATTCATTTGACCTGATATAAGTAACATTTGACATAAATATTGGTATCGGTACAAGTCAACTTAAACATTAGTATATGACTATTGTATTAAACTCTTGTGTATGCCTTGTTCACCTTGAAGAATCCTGCCACTGTGGCTGCTCCACATTTGTCTCTGTGCATACCAGCCATCACTCCTCCAGCTTTTATGTCAGCTCCGCCAGTGTCATAGGTAATCCCCTAAAAAGTAACCACAAAGGAATACTGACAAAACAAAACACAGAACAACACCAACACATCAGGGACCGATGTCAGGTCATATCTCTTCTCCATGATGCAAGTAATCTGCTCCAAATGCTGTAAGTCATAGATTAACAAACCAATCACTGATTGGAATCAAGGTAATTACAACAAGATTACTGTGAATTACTTAGGTTTGACGAATACTTTATAACAGGAACAGACATATTCGCTAATACATGATGTCATGAACTCAGATCTAGAAATGACCTCAATGATGATGAGCTTTAAGAGACTTGGGGTCTTTGTATTGATGTGAAAAATAAACCCACATCAAATATACTGATAAGTGATTTACAGCATGTTCTAAGAAATAGATTTCAGGAAGACTAAGGTCTTTTAAATTAAATTAATCATCTTAACCACAATGTGTCAACATTAAGTACTAGTTTGGCAAATGTCACATTAATGGGAATATGACCTTGGATTCTGTAGATGAGGAAAGAGGAATGTTACTATCAAGAAATGGAAACCACATTTAAAATTTTATGTACCTTTCCAACCAAAAACAAGGTTTTCTCCACTTTGCCTTCCCCTTCGTATTCAAGGAAGATCAGGCGGCCACAGTGTCGGTCTACTTCTGCAAATAAATTTAAATGAAAAATTAAAATTAAAAAGAAATTGGACAGGGGCTCACAAAAATGTATATGTGTACCTCCTATTTCCTTAATTATCATTAATTTCAGGGGTGGTCAAGTGTGACTTTTGACTTTTTACTAACTGACCAACTACCAAAAAAAAAATGATCCTCAAGAACTTAATGCAATGATACTATGGTATGAGGATGAATCTTTGTGCAAAAGATTCTCTGACAGAATTAATAGGTTACAAGCTTCTCAGTAACATTGATCTGACCTAGATGAGCTTGATATTGGGTTTAACTTTTCTACGACTATAACTAGTTTGTAGTACTTACTACTAGCACATCTGTTAACTGCAGATAACAGCGGGTATTCTTGTTTGAACTGACCAGCATCAGCGTGCACTGTCACCTACAAATTATTGAAATATTTGTCAAGATCACAGTAAACAAACTCCAGCCTCACTGTCAGATCACAGCATAAACCTCCAGCCTCACTATCAGATCCCAGTTACAATCTCCAGCCTCTCTGTCAGATCACAGTTACAACCTCCAGCCTCTCTGTCAGATCACAGTACACAACCTCCTGCCTCTCTGTCATATCACCGAACACAACCTCCTGCCTCACTGTCAGATCACAATACACAACCTCCTGCCTCTCTGTCATATCACCGAACACAACCTCCTGCCTCACTGTCAAATCACAGTTACAACCTCTCACATCATTATCAAACCACAGTATAGAGCCTTCAACCTCACTGTCAGATCAACAAAGTCTGTGGAATGTGGATCACAATACACAACCTCCTGCCTCTCTGTCATATCACAGTACATAACCTCCTGCCTCTCTGTCAGATCACAATACACAACCTCCTGCCTCTCTGTCATATCACCGAACACAACCTCCTGCCTCTCTGTCATATCACCGAACACAACCTACTGCCTCTCTGTCAGATCACAATACACAACCTCCTGCGTCTCTGTCATATCACCGAACACAACCTCCTGCCTCTCTGTCAGATCACAATACACAACCTACTGCCTCTCTGTCAGATCACAATACACAACCTCCTGCCTCTCTGTCATATCACCGAACACAACCTCCTGCCTCTCTGTCATATCACCGAACACAACCTCCTGCCTCACTGTCAAATCACAGTTACAACCTCTCACATCATTATCAAACCACATTATAGAGCCTTCAACCTCACTGTCAGATCACCAAAGTCTGTGGAATGTGAATCACAGTACACAACCTCCTGCCTCTCTGTCATATCACCGAACACAACCTCCTGCCTCACTGTCAAATCACAGTTACAACCTCTCACATCACTATCAAACCACAGTATAGAGCCTTCAACCTCACTGTCAGATCACCAAAGTCTGTGGAATGTGGATCACAGTACACAACCTCCTGCCTCTCTGTCATATCACCGAACACAACCTCCTGCCTCACTGTCAAATCACAGTTACAACCTCTCACATCACTATCAAACCACAGTATAGAGCCTTCAACCTCACTGTCAGATCAACAAAGTCTGTGGAATGTGGATCACAGTACACAACCTCCTGCCTCTCTGTCATATCACCGAACACAACCTCCTGCCTCACTGTCAAATCACAGTTACAACCTCTCACATCACTATCAAACCACAGTATAGAGCCTTCAACCTCACTGTCAGATCAACAAAGTCTGTGGAATGTGGATCACAGTACACAACCTCCTGCCTCTCTGTCATATCACCGAACACAACCTCCTGCCTCACTGTCAAATCACAGTTACAACCTCTCACATCATTATCAAACCACAGTGTAGAGCCTTCAACCTCACTGTCAGATCACCAAAGTCTGTGGAATGTGGATCACAGTACACAACCTCCTGCCTCTCTGTCATATCACCGAACACAACCTCCTGCCTCACTGTCAAATCACAGTTACAACCTCTCACATCACTATCAAACCACAGTATAGAGCCTTCAACCTCACTGTCAGATCAACAAAGTCTGTGGAATGTGGATCACAATACACAACCTCCTGCCTCTCTGTCATATCACCGAACACAACCTCCTGCCTCACTGTCAAATCACAGTTACAACCTCTCACATCACTATCAAACCACAGTATAGAGCCTTCAACCTCACTGTCAGATCAACAAAGTCTGTGGAATGTGGATCACAGTACACAACCTCCTGCCTCTCTGTCATATCACCGAACACAACCTCCTGCCTCACTGTCAAATCACAGTTACAACCTCTCACATCACTATCAAACCACAGTATAGAGCCTTCAACCTCACTGTCAGATCACCAAAGTCTGTGGAATGTGGATCACAGTACACAACCTCCTGCCTCTCTGTCATATCACCGAACACAACCTCCTGCCTCACTGTCAAATCACAGTTACAACCTCTCACATCACTATCAAACCACAGTATAGAGCCTTCAACCTCACTGTCAGATCAACAAAGTCTGTGGAATGTGGATCACAGTACACAACCTCCTGCCTCTCTGTCATATCACCGAACACAACCTCCTGCCTCACTGTCAAATCACAGTTACAACCTCTCACATCATTATCAAACCACAGTGTAGAGCCTTCAACCTCACTGTCAGATCACCAAAGTCTGTGGAATGTGGATCACAGTACACAACCTCCTGCCTCTCTGTCATATCACCGAACACAACCTCCTGCCTCACTGTCAAATCACAGTTACAACCTCTCACATCACTATCAAACCACAGTATAGAGCCTTCAACCTCACTGTCAGATCACCAAAGTCTGTGGAATGTGGATCACAATACACAACCTCCTGCCTCTCTGTCATATCACCGAACACAACCTCCTGCCTCACTGTCAAATCACAGTTACAACCTCTCACATCACTATCAAACCACAGTATAGAGCCTTCAACCTCACTGTCAGATCACCAGTCTGTGGAATTTGGATTAAGTATTGTACCAAATAACAGTTAATCTGACTGTAGACATGTGGACAAAAGCAGATGGTCAGTCCCAAAACATGACATGATATCTGTAACATTTAGAAGCATTTTGCTTATACCCCTTTACCTGTAACATTATAAGCCTTGGAAGAATGAATTTTCTCTCTTTTCACATCCCACCCACATACTCTAGGGGATTCATGCTTAGCACAACATGTATAAAACTGTTTATTTCCTTGTTGAGTAGAATTTCTTTTCCTGCAATAATGCGGTCATGATTTTCATGAATAAGACATCCTTAAAATTTGCTTCAAACTTTCTATAAAACTGGAAGCAATCAAATAGATAAAACCTTTCCATCATATACTGTGGATTCATTTATTTTCGTTGGGTTCAATTTTCGTTGTTTCTACAAATTAGACAGTTTCGTGGACTCATAAATTCGTGGATTTTTGATTCTGTGGGAAAAAAATAAAAACGTTAGAGTTTTCTCTTTTTGCTTCCAGTCGAAATTTTTTCTGTTTGTATTAAGGCTATGTTCACAGGAATTAACACTAATGACAAGAATAAAAGAACGTTTTTTTTCAAGATGGCGTCCTGTGTTTTTATAACGCTGTTTACAACAGTCTCGCATTAAAATATCAAACCACCAATCAGTATATATCCTGGCGTGTAATCAATCGGTAATTATCAGAAACAATTGTTTTCAGTGGATAAACATTGTGTGCCGATCAGTCGGTGTACCGCAGTCATATGAAAACACCACGCGTATCGATTGGACCATGTGTGTAAACAGGTGTGTAAACAAGATCTGCATTATTAATAATTATTGTGAACCTGTAGTCGGATAGAAATACGGATCCAATCTTCAATCGACAGGATGGTCCGATCAAGCCTAGTGTCCACAGTGTCGCTAACAACTGCGATCCCATCATACTTAGCATCACAATGGGTACTTACCCTTTGTTATGTTTAATAATATATAATTATATATCGTTGACACCAATTTAGCGTATCCATGTCGAGCCTCAGACTACCTGACTCCCGACTAATTACGGGGCTTCTGTCATTACCGGTGGACGTTTCCGGTGTCGGCAAAGATTACTTGGTCAAATTTCAAAATTACTTTAGTAAGTAGTTCATATTTCGTTGTGTTTTTAAATTCGTGGATTTGCTCATCCACGAAAACAACGAAAATTGGACCCCCACGAAATAAAATGAATCCACAGTATTAAAAAGAATTATAAATAAACATATTATTTCACTGCTTTTATTGAATTAAGTCAGGAAAACTTTATTCTCACTTTCATAAATTCTTCAGTTTTTTTAATTTTTTTTAAAAATGGTTGTAATCGGATCAGTAATTTCTATAGAATATATCCGTGACACCTGACACTTACTTTGACAGATGTATTGCGGAACATTGCAGTTACATACTCCTCCACACGTGGGGCAGCCATGCGTTCTGGGTCTGATCCCCCAATGTCTCGTGTTGCAATTCTGTTGATCATATTCAAGAATGATAAGAGGAGAGTTATTTCCCCCTTTCAATTTCCTGTCCATCATATGTTAATAAGAGTCCTGGATTATAAGTATATATGCATTCTATACAAGGCCAGCATCCTTTTTTGTAATACCATACATGGTCCTATATTTAAGCCTTCTTTAAAATGGCAGTGTGATCAATGAGCCTAAGACATGGGCCCATTTAAGACGTTTGACTCTAGATCATAGCTATATCATTTGGGATGTGGGATATTTTCAAGGAATTACCAGTTCTTAATGTGTTGCCGTTGAATCACAAATGTTTCTTGATTTGGCAGCTTTTTAAGCAAAATGTTTCTTGGTGTGTTGATAACTATTTCAAGGCAGATTATTTTGGATTTGTTCATTTCATGAGCCACATTATTCTAAATGCAACTATTTGATCGATAATGATACAACTATTTTAAGCCATATCACAATTTCAAAAAAAATGTTTTCTGCCATAATGGTTCAGACTATCACTTTTTTATCTACATGGTTGCAAAACATTCTTAACATTTAGCCAAATAGTTTTGGATGAGTTCATTTTAAGTCAAATAGTTACTGTGGATGACTAAAACCATCTGATTCTCGATATGGCTACTTCTTAGCCACATTACCATATACCGGGTACACACTTTTTATAGTTGGTTACATTCACAAGGGCTTAAATTTCTTCATTTTTCAACTGAAGGGAAACTCCCTCTAGCTGATGCAAGTAAGGTGACCTGGCCCTACTTGTATAAAATATCTCCATTTCAGATTTCCTCAAGCCCAGATTTTCCTCAGCTAATATCTCCTTGAAAATACCTTGTATGAAAATTCCTCAAGGAATTTCAGGACATCCTAGCCGAGGACTTCCTCCTGTTCCTTGAGAAAATTTTATACAAGCCGTTTTTGAGGAGATATCAGCTGAGGAAAATCTCGACTTGAGGAAATCTCAAGTTGAGATGTTTTATACAAGTGGGGACAGGTCACCTATGAAATATTAGCCCCACAAAATTCAACAACAATAAAATAGATTATTATGGCCCATCTTTTAACTATAAAGCGTTCAGATTTCATTTAAATCATTTAACAGATTTGCCACACTATTGATGTTTTAATTACCTTCCTCTCTCCAAACCGTTGGCAAGATCGATCCCTTGTGTCACTCGTTTCAGGTCGTTACACCAAACACCAAGCTTTGAGATTTTGGGGCACTTATCTGGAACATCCTCACGTATTTCAAGAGGCTAAAATACAAAATGATAATACATCTATAATACAAACAGTGCCTCGATATGAACTAAAACTCATACCTGCCAATTTTTCAAAATTCTCATATGAATAAATGTGCATGAGCAACACTTGATGATACTTTATACATCACAGCATTTGTCAAAGGAAAAATTATCAAATAGAATTGTCACACCTGGAATGATTCATATTAATACAGGACTTATCCTCATCAATCAATTAAGAGGCCTCCATTTTGTCAATGTGAACCCAAACCCCAACACCTAACCCCATCTCTCACCCAGTATCCTACATTTTCTTGTCCGCTGAAATACTGAAAGGCTATAATAGTGGACATAAAACCCTTTAGATAGTCTTTGATTGGATACAGTTGATGTTGACTTAAATAAAAAAAAAAAACGGTCTTGCAGATGCATATATTTTAGATACAGTGACAGCTAAAACAGGTTGTTTTTGATAAAATACTCTGATAAAAGATCCTAGTTGTAATTAAGTCAACGATTCAGTAAAGAGAGTGAGAGGCACAACTACATGATATAATCAGTTGTTTGCTGTTTTGTTGAAATTGACTCGGTAGTGTAGAAGAAGATTAGGAGTGACAGGAGTATAATAATGACCTCATATTGTATATTAGAGACTCTATGAGAGGGCAATCAGATTTAGATATGTTGATACATTGTGAGTGTTGTAAAATTACTATTTTTCAAATATGTAAAAGGGGCAGCGTGGAGGGGGAGTAGTGTTAAAGAAACAGGTCAGTGTGGCTTGTACTTGGTGTTAAATACAGTCCCTGTAGAGCCTGTTAAATATCCTGTCGAAGAGTTTAATTTCTGGTGGGGGACACTTTGACAGAAATGTGTGTTTTTTCTAGTTCTTCACAATTGGTTTTAATTTCCACTGATTACAAGCGTATTCTTAATCAACAAATTCATATGTCTACATAACTCTAAAACAGCTAAGAATAAAAATTATTTTACCATTCTCCCATTTCATGAGTACTATTTACCATCAACAAAGTCAAACATTAATGAAAATGTATATTTTTCGAAAAACTGTGAAACTTGAGCCCCCACAAAATATGATAATACAGGAATAGAAAAGTCAATACCTTACCACATAGACAGCCTGTAGTACACCGAGTGTTGTTACACTTCCAGCCTTAGGGAAACTATCGTCTATAGGTCGTACCAGTAGGGGGTGCTTACACCCTGCCTGTATCGCCCTGAAATATGCATTGTAGGATAAGATAAGTAAGGGATAGATTATATACTGTAAAAAATACTTATTCTGGCGAAATCAAATATATAAGTATGCAAATAAGCACAATGAATTCACATATTCACAATAATATTAGCGTAGAAAATGCTTTAAAGAATTACCACCTTTACAGTATATGAAATTGTCCAGCATTATAAACATGAGTAAGAAATTAAAAACAATCAAATTAAATTTAATTAGATTAAATCAAATTAAAAAAAGTAAACAATTCAGTTTCTTTGGTTTATTTTCATTTTGAAAGTCTCAATGTCCAAAAAAAACAACTTCAAAAATTAAAGGGAAAATACTGAGTACAGTAGCCTGTTATATGATTTCAGCGCAAAACACATTCTGTTGGTTTTAATTTCCTTGCAACATGGCATGCAAGGAATAACTGTCTTATTGGATGTGTTTCAGATATGATCAAGTGCAGGGTTAAAAATGGTACTTCATTATACTCAGGGCTCTCGATCTGCCAGATTTGGGGCCGAATTCCCAATGCAAAATAGGATCTTTTTTTCCCCAATTTAGACCCCAAGTTTTCCCAATTCTAAGGAAAACACCATTATTTTTCCCAATTCTAAGGGCCCTGGGCCCCAGTCCCAAAATGGGGTGTGAGAGCCCTGATAGTGTTCTGTTGGTGAAACTGAATGAGCTGAGTAAATGTGATTTATGAAAACCATCTATCATCTAGACATTAAGATCAACTGGAAAAGAAAAGAGTTACCTCAGAATGCCTTTACTCCCAGCATCAGCAAATCGTCGCACGTCATCATAGTCCCGGTTCAGGGGTCCAGTAGGGGAAAATATCTAAACAAAATACTCATTATTCAGTGTATAGAATTATTTCTGTTAATATGGAGTCTTAATTGAGATGGTTAAATTAACAGGGCAATGGTCACAATAACAGGAAGATGGTGACATTAAGAGGGAGATGGTGACATTAACAGGGACATGGTCACATACACAGGGGATGGTTACATTAACAGGGAGATGGTTGCACTGACAGCAAAATTGTCAAGCTAACAGGGATATGGTTAAGTTAACAGGGCAATGGTCATAACAACAGCAAAATTGTCAAATTAATGGGGAGATGATGAAATTAACAGAGAGATGGTGACATGAACAGGGATATGGTTACATTAACTGGGAGATGGTCATATTAACAGGGGGAGGGGTTGATTACTTTACCAGGGAGATTATGACATTGACAGGGAGATGGCTATGATAACAGGAAGGTGGTCTCACAAACATGGAGATCATCATATTAATTAGGAGATTGTCACATTATCAAGACGAAAACATATATGTATGACTCACCAACCGTCTTGACGGGACAACATCTGTATCGATCAGTGTCACCTCCTTACCAAAGGACAAATCCACCTACAAAACCATGCAAGCACACTTAAATCATACAATATCCAGGTGGTAATTGCATAAAGTTAAAGACAAACATGGTGATATCCTGGTTATTTATGATGGCAAGGTACTAACTTGGTGATAACTCTCCAACGGAGCCTTCAAACATTCCAGGTTGTCATTGACACCAGATAATTTGGCGACACTATCTGTAACCACGACAACGCCATCAAACTGTGGATCCTTGACATCAAGGCATGGAATGAGTTCAGGAAGCCTTTAAAAAAAGAAATTCACAACCACTACATAGTTAGATAACTGTTGTAACAAGATGTCCTTGTGTGATAATATATTTTTCAACACAAAGCCTAACATCTACATGTACTTCAATTGTTCATTAACTAAAACAGATGAATTTAACAAATATCTAATTTAAGTTTTGTTGTTTTGTGTAAAAAATATAAGCTGACCTTTTGTTTTCTTTCATTTTATTATCATCATTAGATATGCTATTGTGTATGATAGTTACTGGAACCAGTGTTAATGTAAAGACCTGTACCTACATATATTTATAGAAAAATGGTCCACATCATAATTACGTGTACATATGCATGGTATTCCTGGAATCACATTATTTTTTTTTTCCTTTGAAACCATTTGCTATGTAAACAGTCCAGTCACCGCAATTACCCGATTCATGCACAAGCACATTTGCCTACACATATATCAATGATATTCTACTCACACACAGAAATATATGGGATCAGGCGATAAAGCCTTTCACCTACTGCGGACCTTTTTGTGGCCTGTACTTTTTTATCATTATTAGATATGCTATTGTGTCAGATACTTACCGGAACCAGTGTTAATGTAAAGACCTGTACCTACATATATTTATAGAAAAATGGTCCACATCATAATTACGTGTACATATGCATGGTATTCCTGGAATCACATTTTTTTTTTTTCCTTTGAAACCATTTGCTATGAAAACAGTCCAGTCACCGCAATTACCCGATTCATGCACAAGCACATTTGCCTACACATATATCAATGATATTCTACTCACACACAGAAATATATGGGATCAGGCGATAAAGCCTTTCACCTACTGCGGACCTTTTTGTGGCCTGTACTTTTTTATCATTATTAGATATGCTATTGTGTCAGATACTTACCGGAACCAGTGTTAATGTAAAGACCTGTACCTACATATATTTATAGAAAAATGGTCCACATCATAATTACGTGTACCTATGCATGGTATTCCTGGAATCACATTTTTTCCCCTTAGAAACGGTTTGCTATGTTAACAGTCCAGTCACCGCAATCAAACAATTCATGCACAAGCACATTTGCCTACATATATACTCACACACATAAATAAATAGGGTCAGGCGATAAAGCATTTCACCTACTGCGGACATTTTCGTTACCTGTACTTACTCTATCGGTAAAAGCACAGACTCAGATATAGACATATACATCCAAGTCCGTGATACAGGGATACCTGTCTGTTGTCAGACACGTGCCCATGTCGTTTTTCCCTCGTCCAAAACTGGGTTTGGTCCCGTGTCATCCATGGGATGTCTAACAATGGACACACTTACCCGGTATTCTCCATGCTGCAAAAAGCGCCTCCACCCTCGTCGTTGGTCCGGCTGTAACTGAACAGAAAGTAGGATCACACGTCACTGTCCCATATATAGAACATTGTCGTAAACCGAATTTACCCGAGTGAGATAATACCACGTGACTATAACAGTCTTTCCCGCAGAAAAGTAAAAGGTGACCGTGACGTCAACAAGACAAATGATAATATGAGCAGACGATAAGATCGAAAACTGAAAGGTCGTAATAGTGGACGTAAAACCTGTTAAAATAGATAGATAAGATTTACGTACGACAAACAAGATCACCAGTATTTGCTCCTTGATACAAGAAAGGATTTGCATGGATAAGTTCTACCAAATAGTAAATACAGACTTGTGTCGAATCAAACTCCTCTTATACAGACGGTGCTTTGACTCGGAAACTGAACAGTTGTGGTACAAATACCCCACAAAGATATTCATTTATGTGCACTGAAATAAATTTCTCCAACATTTGAAATACATGTGAAACACCAAACAAATACAATGAGCTAGGAACTATGCGCTACCTGTAATGTTGAAACACCTTTGATTAACAAAATATAAAACGTACACTACCGTTTGTAATCTACGGAGCCCGTTAACTGACATGCTCCATACTTATTTTTTTCGTTTTTTCGAAATAATATTTCGTTTAAACGAATTATTATTTCGAAAAAAACGAATTATTATTTCGAAAAACCGATTTAATATTTCGTTTAAACGAATTATTATTTCGAAAAAACGAAATAATATTTCTAATAAACGAATTAATATTTCGTTTAAACGAAATAATATTTCGAAAAAAAAACGAAATAAAATAAGTATGGAGCATGTCAGTTAACGGGCTCCGTAGTAATCTTTGTGATAGTGCTTGACATCGAACACCTTGATATTGCCATGCACGGAAGGCGTATAAATATTTATGTAGAGAACAGCTGGACGTGTAAAACGTGTTTGTTATCATTGAACTTATCGATCGTTTTACAAGAACACAAACGATGAATTGAAAACTTTACTCTCAATTGAATTTTGAAAAAAATGGAACAACACTTTTTAACCAATGACGTGTATTTTTTTAGTTGTGGCAAGTATCTACCACTCCTCGAACAGACCTAAAACTGTACTTCACTCGGGTAACAGAAACACTAATATCCACTTCCCCCAACGTAAGATTAGGACATGTGTTTTCAAGAATAAAAAAATGCAGGAAGTTTGGAGTTGGAGTTTGCTATCATCAACCAATGACAATGACCACATTCGCTTGTTCGCCGCGAAAAGGCGCATGCTTTTTACAGTTTTTATTTCGCTCATTGGGGCATTTTCTCTTTGAAAATCATATGAAACGTTGCATAGTTTCTTAAAATGAAATAAAACTGCATTTTTTCCAGAAAATGAATCAGCGTTGTTTTATCAAAGCGAATGATGCTTTTTCCCAACGCCACCGAGAATGGCACTATTTCGCCAAAAATATAAAAAAAAACGCATTTCAAGACAGCACTGAAAGTAAACATTTTCGAGGGTTCGATGCGAAAAATAAAAAAAAAATGACCTTAAACATCGATCCTCGATACGTTCGGAGGGGTATACACTCACTAAAGCTCTCTGCGACCCTGAGCCATTTCAGGGCAAAATTGAAAGCTTTATGTGCGACACCTTGTGGACAAGGTGAGGAGACTTGTTTGATCCTTCGATGTACACCAAACGAATTTCAAGGTCGCATAACGATATATTGTACTGGCTTTGAAGTTGAGGAGCATATTTTTCAAAACCCATTCTAGACCAATCAAATTACTCGACTTGTGTCTTCAATTTTGCCGTGAAATTTTCCTGGATGCAGAGAGCGATAACGAACGTAATACCTTGCGCATCAAGGGCGGACCTTGAACAGCCACTATACATTTACATACCTATCAAATAGTAAATATAGGCTGCATGAACTTGCATCAAATCAAACTCTACTTTCAAAGGAGAGTCTACTCGCGTGCTGAATTTCATTGTTAAACAGTACTTAGAAACTGAGCAGTTATGGTAAAATATGCCACACAAATTCTATTTTTCCTACATTTGAAATTCATATGAATCATTTATCAAATAAAATCGACTGGGAACCATGTGTTACATTAATGCTAAAACACATTTGACTAACAAAAGATCAAATGTGCGTTACGGTCTTTAGTTCCTGTCAGAGACATATATAACACATATATACGTGATATATACGTCTCTGTACCTGTGATAGTGCTTGACTTGTGGACAGCTGATATCGCCATGCACGGATGGCGTATTTATCGTAGGTAGGACTTTATACAGTTAAAAAAATTACTTTCGGGTGATCCACTTCTCCAATCGCGAGTCCTTGACTCGGCTCCCCACTCCTCCACAATAAGGTCAGTGATACAGCTCCCGACCCCTACCCACTCCTCCACACCAAGGTCAGTGATACAGCTCCCGCCCCTTCCTCCACTCCTCCACACCAAGGTCAGTAATACAGCTCCCGGTCCTTCCCCCACTCCTCCACAACAAGGTCAGTAATACAGCTCCCGCCCCTTCCGCCACTCGCCGCACCAAGGTCTGTGATACAACTCCCCACCCTACCCCTCCCCACTCCTCCGCACCAAGGTCAGTGATACAGCTCCCGACCCGTCACCCCTCCTCGGCACCACGGTCAGTGATTCAACTACCGACCACTCCCTAATCCTCCGCACCAAGGTCAGTGATACAGCTCCCAACCTATCCCCACTCCTCCGCACCAAGGTCAGTGACACAGCTCCGGACCCTTCCCCAATCCTCCCCAACACGGTCTGTGATACAGTTTCCGACCCCTCCCCACTACGGTCTGTTATACAGTTTCCGACCCCTCCCCACCACGGTCCGCGATACAGTTCCCGACCCCTCCCCACCACGGTCCGTAATACAGTTACCGACCCCTCCCCACCACGGCCCCTGATACAGCTCTTCGCTACGACCTGCGATAGTGTTCCCGACCCCTCCCCACCACGGTCCGTGATACATTTCCCGACCCCTCCCCACCACGGTCCGTGATACATTTCCTGACCCCCGCCCCCCCCCCCCCCCCCCCCCCCCCACCACGGTCCGTGATACATTTCCCGACCCCTCCCCAACACGGTCCGTGATACAGTTCCCGACCCCTTCCCATCACGGTCCGTGATACAGTTCCCGACCCCTTCTCACCAAGGCCCGTGATACAGTTCCCGACCCCTTCCCACCACGGCCCTTGATACAGTTCCCGACCCATTCCCACCACGGCCCTTGATACAGCTCCCCACCACGCCCATTATACAGGACTAAGTCCATGATAAATCATTAAGAATTGTGGGAATGGTCGATTTCAGGGGCAATAATCTGTTTTTTTTTAAAGGCACATGTCCCGCGAAATGAATCAAGCAAACAATGCGATAACTGATAATTTTTTTGTTCGTGACGACAAAACGCGATTTAACGGCGCCTCTTTTGGTGACGATAAGGCGAAAAATCGAAAGCGTCACCTCTCAACCACCATACTGTTCGATCAAATCACGCCTTGTAACCTAGCCTCAAACAAAGAACTTCTGTGCTATTTGAAACTGAACTATTATGGAGAAATACTCCACATATTTATCTACCAAATTTCAGATTTCATACATAAACAACAAGAAAATATCAACATGTCAACATAATCTTTATTCAAATTTTCATTCAATTAAGATATGAAAACACCAATTTCTTTCATTTAGGCAAGATATGAAAAAAAGAGTGATTTACATGGAGACTCCTTAAAAAGTACAAAGAGAAGAAGAAAAAGTGTTCCGTAGCCATGGAAACGTCTTCTGCTTCATCGACTGCACCCGCCATGTCAATTATATATTTATCAAATAAAGAGGGGAAGGGATCATAACTTAACGTCGCCAGAACAGTGACGTTCGTCGGTGAGACGATCTTCGGACGCGTCAGGGTCACGGAGCCGGAAAACCTGTCAACCAACCAGACCATCATTCTGATATCCTTGAGTCGTTTCACCAATCAAACTATCAAGTATCGAACACCTCGGACTTCTTACAGCACACAGAAATAGAAAATCTCCCGTGAGATCTTGATGGCAGCCAGGAAACTTCCCCATCCCGCATCTCTAAAAACCCCGATTGGGAACAAGGTTTAGATGATCTGAGGTTGTGGAGACAGGATCTTTATTGTCTATAAATGGAAATGTTAAGATAATTGGAATAATTTTACTTATTTCCTTGCCATGGAAATTAAGGTTATGTAGATTTTACATTTGTATTACCTGTACTATGTACTAGTTCAAATTATCTTACTGTTTTAAGAAGGGGATACCTATACGGAAGCCGGTTAGTGCCAATTTTTTCATGAGTTAAATTTTTTTAAAGTCGTAATTACGACTTAGCATCTCGTAATTATGACTAAACATCTCGTAATTACGACATAGCTATCTCGTAATCACAACTTAGTTATCTCGATATTACGACATAATTATCTAGTAATTACGACTTGGTTATCTTGTGATATTACGACAAAGACCGAACTGTTTTGCGGCAATGTTTACTTCCGTCAAATGGTAAGTTTATGCAAACATGTATACTTTTTCTTTTTCCTTCAGGGCTGGGGAACCTCCCGATGCCATCTGTCAAAAACACGTGTGTGAGTCGACGAAAGTAAACATTGCCGCAAAACAGTTCGGTCTTTGTCGTAATATCACAAGATGACTAAGTTGTAATAACGAGATAACAAAGTCGTAATTATGAGATAGTTAAGTCGTAAATACGAGATAACGTAATCGGAATTACGAGAGAGTATGTCGTAAATACGAGATAACTAAGTCGTAATCACTAGATAATTATGTCGTAATATCGAGATAACTAAGTCGTAATTACAAGATAGCTATGTCGTAATTACGACACCAAAGTCGTAATTACGACTTAAAAAAAAATTAACTCATGAAAAAAGTGGCACTAACCGGCTTCCGTATACCTATGACCTGTGTTACAACAACAAAAACTACTGCCTTGTAGAATTCAGTTGGTCATTAATGCCATGCAAAAATGAACAGCAGACCCGTCTAGATTTTCTTGAAGAAAGACGAAGTTTATATGTCTGAATTAAGAAAAATTACGTTTCACAATTTCCGAAGGCAGTTGATTACTGATGCCCTCGACAGATGTATGCTGTTCATAAATGTGTTGAAAACTGTACACAGGACACATATGAAACAAACAATAACTAAACTGCGACAAACCGATGTTTCCTCCTCTAGGACTCGTCAGTGATGTTAACGATCTAGATTTTGAAGTTGATGATGCGACTGAGCAAAACCCAAAGTGATCGAAAATTTCATAAACTTCGTAATTTTCATAGATCGGGTAATATCAGAACAATGTCATGACCACGTGTATATGTACATTTTAACAACATGCACCCTAAATGTAGTGCAGTATATATTCTGTAAGTAACTTGTTTCAAAAAGTTCTATATTATTCAACAAAATAGTCCCGTAATTATTCGGTTTCTATTGGACAGTCAGATTTGAAAAAAGAAAGGTATTATTTATTCGCCCTTTTCACTTTATACTTGACATTTTTTTTCTTTAGAAAGTTATAATATTTCTATATGCAACTGATTTTAAACCAATTTTCCACATGTGATCAAATCCCCTATTTCAAATTGATCTTCATAGCCTCTCAACACGTACATATTTCTTGATATATTTAACATTATGTGTGAACATCAAAAGAACGAGGTCTGAATACATCATCATCATTTAATGTCATGTACCAACCGAGTTCGCCTTTATTTTGTATTAACCTTCATTTTCTTGTTATCGTATGCAGAATCCTTGTCCCATTTCAAACTAGCTCCAATGAAACACTTGATTCCTTCTGGTTTTATTTCCACAAGAAAAGTAATTTCCATTTTCTATTTAGTTTATAAAATTCAATTTTCAACAATATTACAAGTACATTTGATACCAATGGGATGGGAAAACAAGCTTTGAGCTTATTCTAATTTTTTCCTCTATTTAACCATGCCCCCCCCCCCCCCCCCCCCCGGGCCCTCGTGGATCATACATTATAATTATTAAAGATTTCGTATCCCTGATCCAGTAAATATACAGTATTTATAATCATTGTGATTTACACTCTGGACAGTAAGTCAGTAACACATGCCCCCCGAATGACAAACTTAAGTCCCTTTGGAAACTACTCATTTCCATATCCTAGTAATTTTTCTTCAGATGACAATATTATGTAAAAGGTATATAAATCACTGATATTTGTTTTACAGAACTGCAACATAGTCACTTGTTTATACTTATATGTTTCTACATGCTCCTCAAGTGTTTTTATCCAAGGGAGTTAACTCATTTTTACATCTGCAAGTTGCTGGATTTTCTTAAATCACCCTTATATATAATACAATACAACTCTTTCTATCTTTAATTCCATAATCACTTCTCGCACTTCATTTTTAATAATAAATGTGTATGAAAATTCTAATATTTCAATAGAAGGTGCATGCCCTGTGACCTTGAAGAAAGGTAAGTACAATTTCATTTGAACATTTCTGAGTTAACATGACAAGCTCCTGGACAATTTGTTTGTTTATTATTGTTTCACGTCCCATTAACAACTGGGGCCATTTAAGGATGTGCCAGGTTTGGGTGGTGGAGGAAAGCTGCAAATCCCGGAGAAATAACATCGACCTTGCAGCTAGGTACTGGCAACTCCCCAACGTAGGATTCGAACCCGTGACCCAGGGGTGTAAGGTGATAAAGGCGGTCAGACACCTTAGGACAAATACGCTGACTGATGCATGTTACAATGCAACATGTACAGCCAAGTACAAAATCTTTAGTGAAATATTTAACACAGACAACTCAGACAGGTTTTGTATACAGTACTAATATTTTATTTATTTCATTTGTACTCATGTTTTCTGACCAGGTGAATTATCACTCATCACAATTTTATCTCACAATAACCAGATACATATAGTAAACTTTCACACAGTGATATAATATCTACAAATATTGCAGAACAGTACCTTGACAACTCTTTGAAATGGGAAACTAGTGGCAAGGGCTAATGTTTAAAAATTATTTGAATAAAGACCAATAATTGCAATCTCTACAGTACAACATTTTATTGTTTTGCTACTTTCATTTTTTATGATTTTCATTCAATGTTATTTAAGAATCTCTACAACAAGAAATAGTCGAAATAACTTTGAAAAATTTTTACTTAAGAATGAAAAATTCTATCTAAGTGTAGTGTTATTACAGCTGACAACATAAAATAAAGCATGCTTTTAAAGTCACTGTCCCATTGAACCAATTTTCAATCTTTAATATGGGCAGGGTTGTTTGGGTGCTGGGTTAATCATTCAGGGTAATTCTGAGGCAAGGTCTCTTTATCATAATCTGGTTGTTACCTCACAGAACAACATATAGGAGACCCATCATTTGCAATCCAGAGCAATTAGGGTAAAGTATCCTAAGGATGCAACAGTCATCACCAAAGCATAGACAGACACCTTTCTCATCTTCCCGTGAAACAGAAACTATCAGATTATAGAGTTTTGCACCATGCACCTCAGATCTTCACATGAGGTTACAAAGGTCAAAGTTCAAGACAGGGTTTGAGCAAGGAAGAAAGGAGATAGACACATCTTTATCTTATTATTTTTTGTGTGTGTTTCTAGCACAGAGATAAAATAAGAAGGCGGTGGCATTCACCTCATTGTGTATACAGGTCAGAGGTTGTAACAGAAGGTGATGTTTTTTTTCTGGATGATATTTCTTCACTGCTTCAGAATTCATTGATCATTGAATTCAATCAAAATCATGTAGAGATATTTTTTCTTTTTTTTTTGATCTGGGAGGGAGTGGGGAGGGACTCCTAAAGGACACAATATAGACCTTATTGGTCAGACATCACATATATATGAATTCAAATGTATAAATGATATTTAATGCATATTCTAGAACATAATTTTATTCAGTAAGTTTTTAAATAAAATTAACAAATTTTGATTTATTTGAAAGTTATGAAATATTACATGATCCTAGGAGTTTCCATGATGTGAGCGAATCATGATGTCGTCAATATCAGGAAACCCTGGTAAAATCAGGTGAATTGTACAAACTATTTCTATGATTCTTAAAACTGTCGTCATTTTAAAGTAAAAATATTTATTGAGCTTAGAAATCAAATCAATCATGAATACAAATAACAGAAAAAGTCTACAACAATAGTTTGTCCAGTTTTACCCCAAAAGTTAGAATTCTTCATCAGATACTCATAATTTTGAATGAAAAGTAGAGCAAACAAAAGACAAAAAATTAAAAAAAACCAACAAAAAACCCTTATAAAACAAGAAAGTGAAAGGATACAAAACAAGCAGAGGTTCCCCAAGCAATAAAATAGCCATTAATTCTTCCAGTTATAAAAGTTTACAGATTCTGTTTGTACAAAGAAAATGAAATGAATGATAAAAGAAGCGGTAGAGAAATTCCGCAAAATTATATAAAACTGTGTCCAGGGCGGGAGAAAGGAAACCCTCGGACATAATCAATATATACAACTTAGTGTGGCAAAGGACAGCCATTCCTTGTGAAATCAACAAAAATATTTCTTCAGTTGATTTTCAGAATAAAGAAGTTGATAAAAGTCCTAGAAGGTGAAGTAGTCAATAGAATATATTAATATTAAATGTTTTTAAAATCTGTGAGGTAAGTTTATTAAAGTAAAGTAATAATCATTTCAAAATCATAATTTAAATTTCATTTCTAAAATGAAATTACAATAAAATTTATTTGAGGTAATCAAACTATTGCAGCCTATCTTTAATAGAGTGCAAAATCATACATTTTCATGGGGCTCTAATTTCGTGGTTTTCCAAAAATATACATTTTTGTTGGCACTTGATTCCGTGAATGAATTATTCACTAGTACTATAATCCATGTCAGCTTAAATCTATTAATCATTTCATTGACTTTTCAAATTTGAGGATTTGGAGTCCCCATGAAATCCATGACAATAAATTCCCCACAAAAGTAACAATTTTACGGTAAGATTTTCAACATCCCTCCAAGAAAATGTTCAACATTCTGAAAAAAATACCTATTCCAAACAACTTTTGTTCAACACCCGGTGTTCATCATCATTCAAACAAGGTTCCATCATTCAAGATGTTTGACAATCATTAGACAAAATTTTCAATATTACATACATGAAAGTGGCATTCTCTGTATGAAATCTTCAGCATCATTTTCATACAGAATATTCAAGCCTTTCTTCACATGTTCAATATTTATCATACAAGATATTCAACAATCTCCATTCATCATTTCCTGCACCAGATATTCAATATTCCTCAAAAAAGTTCAACATTCTGTCGATAGATGACCAATATTCCAGACACAAAATATTCTAAGAATTCTATTCCCCACACAAGATTTTCAACATTCTGGGAACAAAAGAAAAGCTCAACATTCTTCAGATTGTCAACATTCCTTAATAAAATGTCAGACATTCTTCATACAAAGTATTCAACTTTTTTCAGTCATTATTCTTTTCATCTGATGTTCAACATTCATACCAAAGTTCAACATTTTTTAGATTCTAAACATTCTTTGAATGAAATAGATAGTCAACATTTTTATTCCCCACACAAGATGTTATAAATTTTGTGAATGAAAGGAAAGTTCAAAATTCTAAAGATGCTAAACATTCCTTGAAAGAGACGTTTGACATTCCCCATACAATATATTCAATCAACATTTTCTTTCATCATTCCGGGCACGAGATGTTCCACTTTCTTGAACAATATTCAGCATTCATAAGATTCTCAACATTTCTGACATAAGATAGTATACTATAGATACCAACCTCTATCACATCAAACTCTATATACACTGAACTAGTATGGCCCTTTGATTCCCTGTCAATACAACAATAACACTATACATATCACAGTCTAGAGCTTTGACCTGGCTTTCTGAAGGTCTATGTAGGGCTTTGGTAGAGGAAACAAGGCCATGTCTCGTTTGAAGTCTGCTATGTCCCTCACAATAATCGGCTGAAATGAAACAAGAACATGTATTAGGATTTTTAATAAATGAAATTTTCATTACAGTTTTGTGTTTGAATTAAAGATTACTGGAGAAACTGTCTCTGCCACAGGTATTATTGTAGGTCTGACTGTCTGATGTGACCTTACCTGTGGCCATTCTGGAGTGGAGGCCAGACTGTCAGGGGTGTTGTCTGAGGTCTGACTGTCTGGTGTGCCCTTACCTGTGGCCATTCTGGTGTGGAGGCCAAACTGTCAGGGGTGTTGTCTGAGGTCTGACTGTCTGGTGTGGCCTTACCTGTGGCCATTCTGGTGTGGTGGCCAGACTGTCAGAGGTGTTGTCTGAGGTCTGACTGTCTGGTGTGGCCTTACCTGTGGTAGTTCTGGTGTGGAGGCCAGACTGTCAGAGGGGTTGTCCGAGGTCTGACTGTCTGGTGTGACCTTACCTGTGGAAGCTCTGGTGTTGAGGCCAGACTGTCAGGGGTGCTGTCGGATGTCTGACTGTCTGGTGTGCCAGCTCCCTCTACAGTTGACATCACATGTACAGATAGCTTGTGTCTCTTAGGAGCCCCAACACATATATGATCCTGATGGAACAAACAAATTCTTGAAAAGGAGGTGTTTCCCGTTTACTTTAAAATTACTTTTAGGTCCTTTTATGTTAGTCACTTTCCATTGTGAATAATAATCTTTATCAATATAATATTAATAGAGTTGGTCTAGAGCTTACAGAGTGAAGAGCTTGAAAATGACAATGGTATTACCAGTCATTTTTTGAAGTTTGTATGACTGTGAAATTCGCTACTTACTATCAATGAATCAGCAAAATTTTAGATAAAAAAGAGAAACTTCTAAAATTCTTCATGCTCTGACAAACCTTAAAAAGTATGACACATTGGATGCTGGAAATTCAAATACAGATTTACACAGCAATATAATGAGCTTCACAAAAAGCCAGGAATTAAATAAATACAAACCTTGTAAAAACTGTAAACATCATTCTTTTTTATTCCTTTCAGGAATGCAACTTCTATATCATCTGAAATAACAATGGTAACTTATTGAAGAATTAAAAGGATACATAAAATAACAATGAAGTGATATGAATTGTGACCTTGACCTTGAATAGAGTAACTAGTGACCTTGAGTAGTTATTTAGCATAACAATGGGAAGTGACCTTGGCAGCTTTAGGGAGCTATTGTCTAGAGATAGGATTATGACCTTGATCTTGTGGAAAGTACAGGAATATGACCTTGCACAAAAGGTCAGAGTAAAGTCTGAAATGACCCTGATGACCTCAAGGAAATAGAGTCTAATGATAGGAAAATTATCCTGACACTTGCGATAGTATCCTGTGAAGAAACTCAGATAGCTTACCTCTGTCAAAGTTGAATTGTTGAGACACAATTTCTCCCCAATATCGAGACTGTTGTCCACTGATCTTTTTTGGTTTCTCTAGCCGTTTGGCAGCCAGTGCTGTCACATGCTTCTGAAAACTTTCCTCTGTCATGTCTTTAATATAAGCCTGGGATGTTTGAAAATATGTAATGTATTATAGGTTACAATTGGCACTAACTCTGTATATAAAGTGGGGTATCTGTGGCAAACAATGGGTAATAACTGTATATACTGAAGGGTATCAGAGGAAAACACATGTTAGTAACTCTGTATACATGGTAGGGTATCAGGTGTAAACAATGGGGATTTTCCATATTTTTCATTCCAATTTTTATTTCAATTAACCGTATTGATCAAAGTTTAATTGTTGCAAAAGTTTCCCTGTAGAAAGTTTATTACCCATTTGGAGACCTTTAAATTGGTAGGTCACGTGACCTTTTAAAATTGATCACATGACCTTGTAGTGTTAATTCCATGACCTTATATTGTGATCCCCTCTTTAGGAACACTTACATCCATGCTCTGAAGAAAAGCCTCAACTCTGTTCTCCACATATTGTGGTTTACGGTCAGACTGTACGATGATTCTCATGCCCTGAACACCGCTGGTACGACGTATTCCACTGAACACAATGTATCCTGTTCAGAAAACAACAACCACATGTTGATATAGAACAGTCTTTTCAATGAGTATTATGGTAAAATTTCACCAAACAACACTTAACATGCTAGATTTCATTAAAAAGTATGAAGACTCATACTTTTTCTATTATTTTACCAAAAATAAGATGTATATACATAATACATATCTACAAATGATTGTGTACTCAAGCTTTTTATGGAGTAGACAGCTATATATTGTCCAGGGGGTTCCATTTTTAGCGATATTCCAAAGTAAAAAATTGAAATAAGTAACTTTGAAAACTTTGAAAAAAAAATCTACACTTTGTTTCATGATTTCAGTGGGAAATAAAATCTTTTTTCTTTTAAATTTTTCTGTAAAAAAGCAAAAAATATGTGTCCAGATTAACAAACTTCCTACATAGTGACTTTTCATATCAAAACTTAATTTCAAATAAGACCTAATTACCTAGTTGTTCCTTGGTACGTAGTATATCGAAGCATGGTTCACCGATGATCTGTATGAAGAGTTCTAACAGCATGTTGGTATTGGTGAGTTGTACACCACACTGGTAGTAAATCTCTATACTAGAACTCTTGTGTACCTGGTTTTTCTCCTCACACACATAGTAACACCCTGTAAAATAACAAACATGTAGTCAGGAGTGGGCTTATTGCAGCACAATAAAATAGAAGGTATTAGTAATTCTCCTGAACAACACTTTAATCATGTAGGTGAGCTTATTACTAGACATGGGCTTATTGATGCTATTGTTTTCACTTTACTTACCGTCTGGCATTTGTAGCTCTCTGAAATGTTTTTTCTGACTAGGTAGCAGTGACCTAGTTCCACTCTGCTTTTGTAGAATGTCTTCAATCATTTCTGTCACCTCAAGAGCTTTCTATAACACAAATATATTAGACTAATTCATTTCCAATAAAATGACACAGGAGTTAATCTAGAGGCTTAATCCATACATCATGTTGATAATTAGTGAGAAGAACCAAAAACAATTTGCATTTATAAACAATAATTCCAACATCAGGGCAAAACTTACTGATAATTTATGAAATGTGTATTTAAAACGGCATGTTAACATTTTGAGAGAAAATTTATTTATAAAGCTGTCTAGGTAAATACCCCCTACCTGTTTGGTAAAGTTCCCATAAATGAGTCCCTCTAGGTAGAGTTTGGACAGCAGATCTGGTATAAAGGCCTGTAGCTTCTCATCAGTGATATCTACAAAACAGTATCTCCAACTGATTCTAACTGACCATAACTAAAACCAACAGCCATATAAGTCAATATGATAAGCACCTTATTCATTCAAAATGTAAACTTATCTAATCTCTAAGGTTAAGTTATTTATCATCAACAAAGAAATTATCTCCGACTTGTTCACCTGTCTTATGATAATTTATGAACACCTCCAATGGTCCACTTGATCTTTGACCTCTTGTAATCTACCTTCCTGAGCTTGCGTCAGCTCCTCACTGGTCCACTTGACCTTTGACCTCTGGTAACCTACCTTCTAGAGCTGGCACCAGCTCCTCATTGGTTCACTTCATCTCTGACCTCAGGAAACCTACCTTCAAGAGCTCACATCAGTTCCTTGTTGGTCCACTTGACCTTTGACATCCTACCTTCCAGAACTTGCATCAGATCCTAATTGATCCACTTGACCTTTTACCTCTGGTAACCTACCTTCCAGAGCTTGCATCAGCTCTTCATTGGTCCACTTGACCTCTGACATTAGGATATTCGTGTAGTAAATTGCATGTCTGTGAGGCTGCTCAGCTTGAAAGTTTCGCATTGACCTTGCATACTAAAAATAGATCACAAACATTGTGAAGTAAAACTGTAACTCTACTTATTTCAGCACGAGTCTTATTTTAGTGCTTTTTTCACGGTGAAAGCATTGTGATAAATTATGAGTGCACTAAGTGTTACTTCTGTACATTATTTATACAAAGCAATTATTACTGATGTGCAAAGTCATCGTTGCTGTAATTTGTCGAAATGTGTTAATGAGCTAAATAAAGTACATTCACAGTAGTTTTACTTTTGTAAAGTAAATCCATCAACTTAAGACATTTGAAATAGACCACCAACTTTTGACGTGAAAGTTGATAACTGACTAAACATATTGCCATTTAACTAATATATAGACAAAAGACCTTGTATACTTAATTACTGTATAGACAATTATTTTCATGGGACAGTTTTTGCTAATTCATTGTACATTAACATGATTGCAAAAAGAAAGAATAACATGTATGTGTATAAGAGGTCATCTTACATCCAGATTACCAGGAGGTCATCTTACATCCTGATTACCAATACTTAATTCCTAAAAATACTATTTTATTGCTTTAAAAGAAAATTGTGATAATTTTGACCCATGAAAATTACCATTTCCTTGAATATAGCAAAACGTTTTGGATCAACTTTAAACGTCGTCAACTTTTCCATAATTTTCCGAAGGAGCACATCCTGTTTTTCATTATAGCCTCCCACAGCCAGCTGTAAAAGTAGAACAGGAATTAAAGAATAACTGGTCAGTATCATAATATGTAAACAGCCATTACAACATTATTTCATAAAACTGTAACTGTGAGCCAGTTTCACAATATATAGCTAGAATCAATTCATGTATTTACACTTATCAGGAGATCGTCATATCTACACTTATTAGGAGGTCATCATATCTACACTTATCAGGAGGTCCTCATATCTACACTTATCAGGAGATCATTACATCGAAGATAAAATATTACATTACAACCTGTTTAAAATAACAACCATTATAAATCACACACTGTCATATAGTCCCTCTATGAATCATGTCTTATTTGGTAGTATATGATAATAACCTTCCAACAAGAAACTCCCTGTCTATGAAAAACACCACTAATGTAGTAGTATCCAGATTATCAACAGTGATTCAGCATTTTAGTATTAACTACTTACAGTGTTTATAATGTTTACAAATAGTTTGAAGTATATATAGATTGAGAATCTATGTATACATGTAGATATATATATATATATGATAACATCAAAGAACTTTGACACAGATCCTTACTACTGTAAACATCATACACTTTCATGGGACTCAATTTCCATGATTTTTCAAAATCACTATTTTGTGGACATTTCATTTCCTGGATAAAATTCGTTCCATAAATGTATTTATACTAATTATGAGAGTTGGTGGACATATGACTTTTGATTAACAGTATCCATGAAATCAACAGAAATAAATCCCCCACAAAAAAGAATGATTTTACAGTATTTCACATTCAAGAAGTACCAAATATATATAGTATTTATCAACGCCCTACTTATGTCCTTGAATTTTAAGTAATGGGTGGAAGCCCTGGGTATATTGTAGGGCAAATATATCAACGATTTGTTTTCAGAAATATATATGTATATACATATACAGCCATTTAAACATAACCAGTACATATTTATATCAGAAAGGAAATTTACACTGACAATACAGCTTGCATGAATTGATAAATATTCAATATAGGTTTATTTATAAGTACTCCAAGCTCAAAGAAACATGTCATATTCTCCCTCAAACATTCTCAGATTTTTCTGAGTAGTGGTTCTATTTGGGGTGAAAACTTTAAGCAATTTCCACTAATCACAAAATTAGCATTGTTGACCACTTCCAGTGTCAGCTATAGGAAATTTAATGGGTTTTATTGGAGCCAACAAACCTAGGTATTGGCTGCATTTGATGGAGTTTGGGGTGAGGAAAACTTGTGAAGAAGTCTTCATTTAACCTAATGGTATGAGATTCGTTTAGTGAGTGAATGGTTGTTTGAGACCCAGTAAGGTATTTTTCAATTGTTCTTTTCTAATCTACTCCTATTTCACCTATTTGAAATGTCCTAAATAACCCTGAAAATGATATATGACAAAATAAAAAAATCAGGATCTTTAAAATTTTCTTAAACCTGGCACCACACAAGTTAAGTGAGGGAGAATGTAGACACTGACAGACATGCCGTAGATGGTACAGTTGAGGTCGTAGTGTAAACCAGCCAGCTCAGCGTCATATGCATACTCATTTAATGCATCTTTGAACAGCGTTACAAACAGATTGGTCATGTTGCAGTTGGTTGGATCAGAGTATGCCAATGGACTGAAACAGAGGAAAACAAACTCAATTTCCTTTGAAATCTCATTGCAGGAAAAGATTACAATTCTCTTATATTGACTGGTCAGATAGTCAGTGATGGGACACACTTCAGGTAACGAATATATTCTTAGGATTATTATTTGTAAACAGTAATGAGATCCCAGAAGGATCTTTGCACCAACCATCGTTTGATCTTTATTCTTTAAAAGTTGGATCTTTTCACTCCTTTTGTCATATTTCCTCTGTTTTTGTTCTTAATTATACATTAGAAAATTCCTCTCAAGAAATAGTAATAATAATCTCCAGATTAAAAGATGGTTGTCTGTCGGCCATTTTGTTTTTCTGAACCATTCTAAATTTAAAAGGCCACAGCAAGGGACCAAGGGGAACCTTCATATGAAATATGAGTAATATCCATCTAAGGTTTCTTAAGAACCAGTTAAAACACAAATTGTTTACAAACGAGCAGGCACACGATGAACAAAGACGACCACCTGATGATGACAGATGGCAGACTTAAATGTAAAGTAAAATCTGTGAATATTTCAGTCATAATCAAGATCTCAGATTATAGATTATAAATCATACTGGTAGCTGTCTGTTTAAATACTTTTATATATCATTGCTTAGGAGACAACCTCAATATATTCATTGATGTCTAAAAAGTAACTAAAGGGTTTTCGCAAGAAATTTTGGTTTCATTAAATTGCTTTGCATCTTAATCTAAATAGCATTACCACTGGTATGGTGCCACTTAAATGTCCCGATACCTAGTTTTACATATGTCCAGATACCTAGTTTTACAGTTCAAAGTGCTTGTAACACACAAGTGAATAATTTAAGGAGGTGACTGATCACATCATACATGTGATACCAGGTTTATTGTTGCTTTACAACTACTAACAGCCCAAGTCATTTAAGGGCATGACAAGTTTGGGTGGTGGAGGAAAGCCTAGCCCAGGTCATTTAAGGGCATGACAAGTTTGGGTGTTGGAGGAAATCTGCAGTTCCCAGAGAAAAACCATCAACCTGTGGCCAGTACCTGGTGGCTATCCCACATAGGCCTGGAACCTGCAACCTAAAGGTGGAAGGCTACTGATAAAGACTGTCAGGCACCTTAACCACCCAGTCACTGCGGCCCACATGTGACATCCAAGTGTTACTTTGACTGACCAAGTCAACTTTGTAAAACAGTAATGTGTATGATCCAGCTTAATAGTGATATTCTTGATTGACAATAAATATTCTACTTTGACCAAACAGTAAGTATCATTCTTTACAAACTAGAGGAAAATAAAACTGTTTCAAATAAAACGAGATTAGTGGAAAATCTGCATCAAAGGATCATGGGCAAGCGATATCTAATTATTCAACAACACATCTCTGGATACGTGTTTGTAGTTAGAACAGCTGTCACTTTTATGGAACATAATAATTCAGCGGGTTTTTTTAATGATTTCTGCACATCAGTTTTGGAGGTATAAAATTGGTTTGTGTACATGTGTCAAAAATCCAAATGTAAACAAGAGAATTAAATCCAGGACTAATTGATAAAAATTGTGAATCCCAATGACAATTTAGCAGTAAAAGCATACACCCTGTAAACTAAAATGAATGGAAAGATTTTAAATGTTGGATTTCCTGTACCTTTAAATACAAGTTTTTATCACAAACTTTGATTGTTGTTACAAAATTGTTACAATAGCATTTGAATACTAAAGTCCAAATTTTGATATTTATGTACACATAAAATTTTCAGAGTACAAAAGAGTTGTTAATTGATTGAAAATGATGAAATTATCTCAAAGGCAGGATGAAATGTCTGATTTATAAATATATTTATTATCATATTTGTGGTAAATGCACATAGAGTGTGTGACAATGGACTCTGAACAAGTTCCATTTTGTCCATTTTGTGATTATATCAAGTTCACAAAAGATACAAATAACCATTTAACTAGTTATTAGGTAAATAGAATCTATCACTGAAGTAACGTATTGACACAACTTGCCATCTCATCTTGTTCTGTCCTCAAAATATGCATATTCACAAAACTAAAGGAGGCAGAACTTACTTTCGCCATCGTCTGTTAGATGAGATGCTGTGGACTTCATACATTAATGCATTATATAGAACTATGAAAAATCATGGCCAAAACCCTTTAATATACTAAGGGCTCTAATAATGGTGCATCGAATTCTGTTAACTATAAAATGTATTCACATGGATTTCTTAGAAATATGATCTGAATTGAAAGTAATTGCATCTGTTTTACCTGCTGATTTCAAAGTTGATGCAGGCTTTTGGAAGAAGGAAGGTGTCATCTTGTTTAAACCACAACCGCGTGAGGGCACCGTCCTAAAAAAGTAATGAATTTATTTCATATATTTTCATAAAATGGAAAATGTCTACATGACACTCACATGGAAACAAGTTTTGACACCCATTTGTGAATATCATATGAATTCATTTGATGATACAATGGGGTAAAAGAACTAAAATTTATTAAGATGTTCTCAAGACTTGACACGAAAATGGAACAGAACCTAATGGGGCAGTACTAATATATACGGATAATAGTAACCCCCTCCTCCCACAAAAAAATGATTAGGAAAAATTCTTCTTCTCCAGAACTGCTTTTAAGAATTGTATTAAGAAATAAGCTGTTAAATAAAATTAACAATAAAAACTCTTTCATAGTCATGTTTAAAGTCCATACCCTACATACAATACTGTAAAACCATTAATTTTCATGGAGGATTTATTTTCGTTGGTTTTGTGCATACTTTTAATATACAAATACATATATCCCTGAACTGTTCAATTTGTAAATTAAGTACATATACAGATTTATATTTATCCACAAAGTCAAATGTCCATGAAATATGCATTTTTTTCAAAAACCAGAAAAATTGAGCCCCCTGAAAATTTATGATTTTACAGTAAGTAATGTTGGAACAAATATTGTGTTTATTACCATAGTTACTGTAAGAAAGCAGTGTTCCATGGCAGTAAAATACATGTACTTAATACTACATTACAATCCTCACTTACCTTTACCATTTCTGGGAGAGGACTTGGCTAAAATGAAAAAATAAAATGAATCAAAGATTAACAAGTTATTGCCAAAAAGACTCTAAAGATAAAGAATCTGTATAGACTATTTTACTTGGACCCTCTGTGGTGAGAAATTTGGGCAAAAATGCTCATCTTATCATTGATTTCTTTTTCTAAATGGAGCTATTGCTATTAAATAAAATTCTTGCTGTGCATGACTGCTTCCATTGGTTAAATCATCTAACTACTAAGGTGACAGACTGTACGCCATATTGATGTAAATTGATTACTATTGTGATGCAAATTAATTGCCCTAGTCATATCAATTATTCAATATAACTAAAACACTTTTGGAGAAAATAATGAACTTGTCTTTCTATACAAATTTGTATTTGCATTTAAAAGAACAATAATTGGAATACCAACATTTTTCTGAGATGTCACAATTGTTGAATTTATCAATGGTATACTTTCATGCTATCTACAATATCAGCTGAAGAACTGTATAGATAAATCCCTGTATTTAAAAAAATGTATAAACATTACATTAGTGCAAGATAAATTTTGCACTAACATCAACTTCTCGAGGTGCCAGATCAAAGACTGTTGGTATGAACTCATTTCTAGCTGGCAGTGTGAGTTTGTCATTCAGTCCACAGGAAGCCCATTGCTGAAAGAGAATAACTAATGATAAATATAGGTTTCAAAATGTGACCGAGCAAATATTGTAAGTATCAACAACAACAGTGCTCAACTATCAGAACAACATAAACCATGCATTTAAAATCATTTTAGCAGTGACATTAGAGAAACTCATTTATAAAACTTTTAATGTTTGTTTTAGACAAGGTTCATATCAAAATTAGTAATTTTTTCAGCAGTACCAGGTACTAGAAAAGTAATTCTTCAACCTGGTTAGCTGATGATGTGAAGAGATTGTCTTCTATTTTATTAAATTTTCAGGTACAACATTTCTATATCTACAACTGGGCCACTTTGTACTTACCTAAACCAACCTACCCGTGAGTTTTACTAATTAATTGTATAACTTTACCGATTATAGAGTTTTAACCTACCTACCTGTGCGTTTTAACTAACTTCTTCGTGAGTTTCAATGAACCGAATTTTTAACTAATTTACATTAATGTTTTGCCTGACCTACATGTAAGTTTTACCTGTTTACCTACCTGAAGTTTTGCCTCGGTTAATTCTTCAACCAAGTACTCTGTACCATACCACTTTTCTTTCTGGTTGACCCGTTCCTGGAACTTTTTCCCAATAACACCAATCCTATGAACAAATGGAAAACATGAACATTACCATATCAGACATTCAACCATCCAATTTTATCTATTAACAATAGGATTAAAACAGCTGACTTTGATAAACATTGTTTATAAAATTGCAGCACCTAGTCTTTTTACATGTACAGTGACAACTCTTTATATCAAAACAAATAACAGTGCCCCGTATCTATGTGTCAATACATACGGCACCGCCCCGTATCTATGTGTCAATACATACAGCACCGCCCCGTATCTATGTGTCAATACATACAGCACCTCCTATCCAAGTGTCAATACCTACAGCAGTGCTCCATATATATGTGTCAATACATACAGCAGTGCCACGTATATATGTGTCAATACATACAGCAGTACCCCTATCTATGTGTCCTTACAGACAGCAGCATCCCCTATCTATGAGTCCTGACAGACAGCAGGAACCCCTATCTATGAGTCCTGACAGACAGCAGCTACCCCTATCTATGGGTCCTGACAGACAGCAGCTACCCTTATCTATGTGTCCTGACAGACATCAGCTACCCCTATCAATGAGTCCTGACAGAAAGCAGCTACCCCTATCTATGTGTCCTGACAGACAGCAGCAACCCCTATCTATGTGTCCTGACAGACAGCAGCAACCCCTATCAATGAGTCCTGACAGACAGCAGCAACCCCTATCTATGTATCCTTACAGACAGCAGCAACCCCTATCTATGAGTCCTGACAGACAGCAGGAACCCCTATCTATGAGTCCTGACAGACAGCAGCAACCCCTATCTATGTGTCCTGACAGACATCAGCTACCCCTATCTATGTGTCCTGACAGACAGCAGCTACCTCTATCTATGTGTCCTGACAGACAGCAGCAACCTCTATCTATGTGTCCTGACAGACATCAGCTACCCCTATCTATGTGTCCTGACAGACAGCAGCTACCTCTATCTATGTGTCCTGACAGACAGCAGCTACCCCTATCTATGTGTCCTGACAGACAGCAGCAACCCCTATCTATGGGTCCTGGCAGACAGCAGCTACCCTTATCTATGTGTCCTGACAGACATCAGCTACCCCTATCAATGAGTCCTGACAGAAAGCAGCTACCCCTATCTATGTGTCCTGACAGACAGCAGCAACCCCTATCAATGAGTCCTGACAGACAGCAGCAACCCCTATCTATGTGTCCTTACAGACAGCAGCAACCCCTATCTATGAGTCCTGACAGACAGCAGGAACCCCTATCTATGAGTCCTGACAGACAGCAGCAACCCCTATCTATGTGTCCTGACAGACAGCAGCTACCCTTATCTATGTGTCCTGACAGACAGCAGCTACCCCTATCTATGGGTCCTGACAGACATCAGCAACCCCTATCTATGTGTCCTGACAGACAGCAGCTACCCCTATCAATGAGTCCTGACAGACAGCAGCAACCCCTATCTATGTGTCCTGACAGACAGCAGCTACCCCTATCTATGGGTCCTGACAGACAGCAGCAACCCCTATCAATGAGTCCTGACAGACAGCAGCAACCCCTATCTATGTGTCCTTACAGACAGCAGCATCCCCTATCTATGAGTCCTGACAGACAGCAGGAACCCCTATCTATGAGTCCTGACAGACAGCAGCTACCCCTATCTATGGGTCCTGACAGACAGCAGCTACCCTTATCTATGTGTCCTGACAGACAGCAGCTACCCCTATCAATGAGTCCTGACAGACAGCAGCAACCTCTATCTATGTGTCCTGACAGACAGCAGCTACCCCTATCTATGGGTCCTGACAGACAGCAGCAACCCCTATCAATGAGTCCTGACAGACAGCAGCTACCCTTATCTATGTGTCCTGACAGACATCAGCTACCCCTATCAATGAGTCCTGACAGAAAGCAGGAACCCCTATCTATGAGTCCTGACAGACAGCAGCTACCCCTATCTATGGGTCCTGACAGACAGCAGCTACCCTTATCTATGTGTCCTGACAGACATCAGCTACCCCTATCAATGAGTCCTGACAGAAAGCAGCTACCCCTATCTATGTGTCCTGACAGACAGCAGCAACCCCTATCTATGTGTCCTGACAGACAGCAGCTACCCTTATCTATGTGTCCTGACAGACAGCAGCTACCCCTATCTATGGGTCCTGACAGACAGTAGCAACCCCTATCTATGTGTCCTGACAGACAGCAGTGTCCCCTATCTATGTGTCCTGACAGACAGCAGCTACCCCTATCTATGTGTCCTGACAGACATCAGCAACCCCTATCAATGAGTCCTGACATACAGCAGCAACCTCTATCAATGTGTCCTGACAGACAACAAAGACCTCTACCTTTCCACAGCTTTGACATCAGACTGAGCTTAATGAACATTTTTGTTACCTCATGTTATCAGGTGTGATTTTTTCCAGGATCATGTTGATGAGGTCTGGACGGAATTCTGTGAGGAGGTAAGGTCCACTTAGTGCTTCTGTCTCTGGATAGTCCTGTAACAGAACGACAAATGTAACCAACATCTGAAAATCATCTTTTGAATTAGTGTCATAATTCCTCTTTTTTAACATTCTCTATTGCAACAACACTTTACAAACAATATTAAAATCACATGAAAATTGAAGATAAAATAAATGTCAAAATTTTTAAAAATCCCTCTAAGCCTTGAAATTTTTGACAGATCTGTGTTAACATCCTGACACCTGAGGCAATTAGTAGTTTTATTATTTTTACATGCTTTCGATCAAGTTCAACTTCATGACATCTAGCAAAGTAGTAATACAAATGATAGTCTAAACCTTCACTGTTGTTGAAAACAGGAGAAAAGCAACTAAATCAAAATTCATTTCATAAATTTAAAAAACAAATTAAGAAAACGATCATAGCTTGCTTACATGTAAACTGCCAGAAAGACCAGACACATAGTTTCTAGGTTTTTCCTTGTCCTTGAACCTAAAGGTCATGGCACTTAGATCCTGAAAAGAACCAATTGGAAAACATGCAGTCCATCATATTTAGCTGTTTTTCCAACATTTATGGAAACAGTATTTTAAACAATTTAACAATCAATGTCAAAATTTGGAATAAATGTCACAGCGACCTACATTTGATGTCCTAGTCTAGTAAGTATGCTTTAGGATGTGTATATGTATGAAGTTTGAGCACTACATCACAACAGTGCAGTGGAACTACATACAAAACCTGCCATATTTGTGCAGCACCACGCCCATTCCTGCTAATATGCCTACCAAAATTGATAACAGTTTACATAAAAAAAAATCGAAAATATCAGAACACTATATATCACCATATCATAGTCTTGTGATAAACCCACCCAGAACACTCAAGTCAGAGACAACATTTACCAATTCCTCCCCCGGAAGAAGAAACCAAAATGTCTTACAGACTGAAGGAAAGACAGACGGATGGAAAACTAAAACAAATATTCTATTTACATAGTTTACAACAAAACACATCCAATTTCTATTGTTTCATTAAACTGAAATCACCTATATGTATATACTGTATGTCAAATGTTGGGCTCACCTGACATTCCTTGAATATCCACTCCTGTGGCCCAGACTTCCGTAACAAATTAACATACTGGTAAGTCAGTGTGACAATGTCATCCACATGTTCTACAATCAGAATTATATAAATCTTTTTATCAAAAATTAATATGTGGCCAGATCATTCATTTACATGTTCTACACCCAGAATTTGTATAAATCTTTCCACCAAATCGACATCTGGCCATATCATTGATTTGAGTGTAAAATTCTTATCTGTGTCCAAAAAAAGCCATTAGTACCAAACTTTTAATACCTTTACTTAAACATCAATTTATCTATAGATCATTGTAATTGGAAGTCTCTAAAGTACTGATTGTACAAGATCCAAATTCTCTCATGAATCCAATACCAGTGTTTGTCCTTTTTGGGAAACACTGTAAAGGTTGTTTTTTACCAATATTGAATTTTTTGATGTTTTTATATTGAAGGTATTGATTTTCCACAGTTTTAATTCAAATATTGAAATATCTTGAGAAAAGACTGAGAAAAGATGTTGCTTTTTTAAAACTAGCATGAGACAAAAGTGTTCATTCAGTAGCTACAAATGTCAGTCTTGGAGTAAACAAAGAATGTGTCAAATTTTAGAGGAAAGCATCAAATATCTATCACTTAGACACTAGTTTGTTAGTTTGTTTATTGGGTTTATCGTTGATTACCTCACTGAACAACATACAGGAGGCCATGCCATCCAGAGCAACCTGGGTAAAGCATCCTACCCAAGGATACGGTCACATCAGCACAGAGAGGTGTATTTCTCAGTCTCCTGAGAAACCGAGAAACACAAACCACCACAGGCTGGTAAAGTCAAACCACATACCTGGAGTCTTCAACTGAGGTTGTCTAGGTAATATTCTACTGACAAAATTATTGTGAACCCTGAACACTAAAGAGTATGCACGTAGTGTATTATTTACATGTTTATACCGCTGAAGAGTATGATTTAATTTCATTAATTTTGTGTGTACTGAGTAAAAAAACTGTGAACATTTCAGCCAGCAGTTTTTACAGCATGTTATAAACATTAAAATGACGTTACCTATGCCTTCTTCTGTCAAATCAACATCAACCTTGAAAAACATGAATCCTTTAGCTCCGTTAGACTGACCGCCACAAAGAGTGTTCACCCATCCTGTACGTACAGAGGACATGCGTATATGAAATATTACTGACAATTAAATAGGAGATAAATGACATTGAATTTGTCAGTCTGCTATAAATCCCACCCCCAAGAGTGGAAGAACAGAGGACTTAATCATATAAATGTTACTAACAATTAGTAAATAAATGACACTGAATTTTTCACTCCGCTATTAAGCCCACCCCAGACTGAGAGTAAGAAGATATTGACATCAAATGCATTGAAAATATATCCACCTTTCACCTTTGGTTCATTTACTGAAAATATGGCAGTACTGTTACTTTAAGTATTAACTGAGTAGTACAAGAAATGCTTTACCTTTTGCTTTGAGTTCAGACAATAGACTGCCAGGCCCCTCATGGCCAACCAGATGTCCTAGATAATGGCCAGGCTATAACATAATCAATACACAGTGGGTTTTTACTTAAACTTTGATGTAAAATCAGTAGTAAAAAAAAATCACAGTCAAATTTTTTATTAGGAACTCTTTTGAAACAGAGGTAATTTTAGACATCATTGGAGTAACTCCATACAAATATACAAGGTGGCAAATATCAAATTACTCTCTGTTGCTGTTCTAGGATCTCAAAACTATCATTACCATATACACATATCATTATGGCAGGTTCCAAAAACAGAGATTAAACTGATAATGCTCTTCTTCAAATTGTTAAACAAAACAATAAAGTAAACAATATTTACTAAGAGTTTCTCTCGATTCAGTTTGGAATCTGCGATTTTAAATCTACATTATTGAGGTACTTTTTGATGTGAGAATATTTGTAGATGTTTCAAGATTTGAATTTTTCTCTTTCAGACCAAGATTCCGTTGTCATAACGTCATATAATTGACGAAATAAGTTTTTTTTAACTCCAGCGCAAGAGATTCAAAGAAGGGAATTAACTCCTCAGCAATCTGGATAATTCCTAGTACGCCATGAATGGCCTGTAATATTTACTATTTGATGAAAGTTATTCTTCATTATGATTTCCTTGAGACTCTAAATGTTTAACAAAATCAGATCTGGTCCACTTGATAATTTAAAACAAAATAATTATTAAAAGTATTTGATATTTTTTCTGGAAACAAAAAGGAGTAGAAGAAATCTCAAAATTTACCAAATATAGTTTACAGTATTAAAGTACATGCTTAATTCAAGTATGAATGCACGTGTAGATAGGGTTTGGGATTGGGGTACTCACATTTGATGCGTAATATGGATGGAGGTCGGGAATTGACCAAGACAGAGAAAGATTCCGTACATCCTTCACAGGCAATGCATAACAAATCGTCTGGTCAAAATGAAAATGTCACAGGTTAAATAAGGAGATTAGTAACAGTTTCAAAATATTTTTGGAAAACATATGCCTGTTGATTTTCATTACATGTATTAGATATAAAGATGACTCTTTGTGTGTGGCACCCCCTGTGGGTTTTTCTTATGTCTCCTTCACACAGGATACAGAAGAGCCCCAAGAATAAGGTCTGCTGTATTCTGCTGTGTGATTGTAGAGGCAACGTACAGTGAGCTCCCCCTACAGAACCAAGGTTATTTTTGGGGTGCATGTGTCTTCTAATAAAGGGGCTTTGAAAATACCAAAATAGATCTGCTGCCCCTGTAGTAACACTTTGTGTTTTTTCCCCTTTTCTACTATCTGCTCTTTCTTGATATGCCTTCTTTTCGTCTCATCTTGTCTGTCTTGACACCAATGCTATAACATTAAACCCCTCTAAAATATTCATTCAAAATACTGTCACATTCCACATGGTGTTGAAAGTCTGATGAATAAATGATGTAGCTAAAGCATTAATCATGTGACATTCTACAATATAATGAATATACATCATTAAACAGGTTCCCTTCATATTACCAAGGGGATTGCAGTTCCTACAACACGGTACCTTGCATTGCTCTGGCCCATAAGGGTGTTCTGTCCACTCTGGAACACTTGCATTCTTGTTTATCACATCAGCTAATAGGGGGGCTACAAGATCCGTTAAGGCATCCAAAGATTCTGTAACAAACATCACCAAACACAAACTGTCATTTTGTCATATAGATTCATCCAATAACGTCTAGCATAATGGCTACTTCATGAACATTCAACTATGATGATTACTTCATGAATATTCAAATATGATGATGGTTCATAAATATTCACCTATGGTATCTAACTCCTGAATATTCAACTATGATAATTACTTCCATATTCAACAATGGTGATTGATTCCTTAATATTCAATTATGGTGATTTCTTCATAAATATTTAATTGATAATTTCCCTGTACTGCACTTAAATCTAAAATACAAAATGCATGTACATGCCAAACTATAACAGTGTGTTTCCCAGACTTAAAGAGTTAGAATTTCATTGATATGTTAATACTTTACAGCTTTCAGGTGAGATACTGACCAGGAGACTGAGAGTTTATCAGCTTTTGCAATGAACAATACATTTCAGTTTTGCAATTTAAACTCACCTTTGCCAAGAATAGAAAGTGCCATGATATTTGATGAATAATATTTGGAATGGAATTTGAGGAGTTCTTCACGAACATCTTGACCTCGGCTCTTTGGTATAGTATCCAGACTGTCTTTGTTTCCTACAAAAAACATTGATGTAGAAGAAAACATGTGATTGGTGAAACCTTTTTCAGTATAACAGCCACTTTTGATGTAAGTACTATTATAGAAGAAATTAAATAGGAAAAAACTTTCTGCAAAGATCTTTACTTGTGCGATTTCAAGACTTCTCATTAAATATGCATCCTTTTCATTTCAAGCTTTTAGCAAAAATGTGAAAAAAGGTAACTTAAAAAAAATCCCAAACTTTACAGCATATCAGGATCAATCAGTCCAGTAAATGTATTACCAGTGCCAAATTTGATATAATCATGATCAGGTTTTGCTAACGATCTGTCCAGTTGATGAAGACGCCAGGGATCACTTTGGAGATTTTTGTCATTTTCTGAGTTGACAGCATTGATCTCTCGCTCTGTGGCAGATGGTGTAAATAGAGGGCCAAGGAAAAACTGTGCAAACCTATAGAAAAAAGCATTTCATGTCAAATATTACAATAAACTTTGCCATTAAACATATTTTCTACACTGTGGTAAGAAAGAAAAAGTCATCATAGGGTCAAATTTGGGACCCTGGCTCTCTGATAACTTTATTCATTTGATTTTCTGTTGAATCAGGATGGGAAAGGCATCTTTTTACACCAAAATCTAAATATACAATTGTATCTTTTTCACTCATCGTTACCTATACCTGGTATCCCCCAATGTAATTGCTAGCTAATTATTGTTCTTGAAAAAGTCCTACCATAAGTCATAATTTGTGAACAGGTCCTGTTACAGAAGGCTAAATCCATGTTTGATCCCTGTGACCTTGAAAGTTGGTACTTAAGATCAGTTGTTTGAATGAAAATTGACAACCTGTCATATAATGGGCATATGATGACAGCAGGCGTCTTAGTAATCAAGGAAATGATGCCAGAAACGTTGACAGATGACAGACATTGAAATCACTTGGCAGATAAATGATTAATGATGGCAATTTAACAAGGTTATTCTCTAGAATTATGACTGTATTTCATCTTTCACAAAGATTTTTGATGAAAAGATGAAAGAAGATTTCACTGTATAAAGATGGCAGAATAGAAAGACTTGCTGTATAACAAAATCAGTTTTCTGTCTAGTAAGTTTAACTGTATAATCGTGGCTACACAACAAAGTTTTACTGTATAATTGTGGCTACACAACAAAGTTTTACCGAATAATTGTGGCTACACAACAAAGTTTTACTGTATAATGGTGGCAACATAAAGTTTTACTGTATAATGGTGGCTACATAACAAAGTTTTACTGTATAATTGTGGCTACACAACAAAGTTTTACTGTATAATTGTGGCTACACAACAAAGTTTTACCGAATAATTGTGGCTACACAACAAAGTTTTACTGTATAATGGTGGCAACATAAAGTTTTACTGTATAATTGTGGCTACACAACAAAGTTTTACCGAATAATTGTGGCTACACAACAAAGTTTTACTGTATAATTGTGGCTACATAACAAAGTTTTAGTGTATAATTGTGGCTACACAACAAAGTTTTACCGAATAATTGTGGCTACACAACAAAGTTTTACTGTATAATTGTGGTCTAATGATGGTTTATATCATACTTTATATTGAGACAGCTGACTGATGAGTTACCAATATCCAGAGTCATTTCCGTGATCAATATTTCTACATCTATAAATTTTGTTTACAGCACCTACTCACTCTAGAATAATGAATTGATACTTTAAATTCTCTCGCTTGAAACTATCGATTCCATAGGTTGTATACACTTAAGGATAACAAATTCTAAACATCATTTGCCTGGTGTGACTAAAATGAGAGTAAACTGTAGATTTGAAACTGAAATGAGAGAAAACACTGATTTTAATCTAACTGGAAAGGCAAAAAGTTGTGAAAAATATCAAGGTGTCCTCTAACTATATATCATTTTCACTCACCTGTCCAAAGCTCCAGCCAGGGAATCAGGAGCCACATCAAAGTAAAAGTTAGTATGCTCTCCAGAAGTATAGGCATTAGAGCTGCCACCGTTCTCGTTCAAAAACTAAAATGTTTACGTAGGAATAACATAAAATCACATATATTTATATTTAATAAAAAAAATAGAAAGTTTCTGAAACTAACATTCTGACAACTTGTTCCTAAAAAACGATGAGATACCATGTAGATGGTAATTTCCATGGATCAAAATTTTTCACAACTTTTTAATAAAAAGGAAAAATTATGTAATACCTAATGCACATGTCAGGGTTTTCCATAATTTTGTTAGTAGTAGGCTGTGTAGTGAAAGTAGGAGGCTGGCCTGCCGTGTACGTGTAGTCGTGTACGGAACATTATTACGGAACTGGATTGTGTAGACGGCCAAATGATCAAAGTAGCCGGTCAAACTGGCCGGCGACCGGCTCTTATGGAAAACCCTGCATGTGTTATCTAACGCACACATTAAATCTTTGCAAACATGTTAATATACATATGAAATAGTAAAAACATCATCCACATAAAAAAAACAGGCTATTACAAACATATATATTTGTTTATCATATATCTTATTCAAAGAGCTATCTATATACAATGTACCTAGTTCATTTGATCCGAATTGAAAACGTTTTCATACCACTATGCAATTACCATGCTTTCATTTGAAGATAAACCCTCCCCTGACTTTGAAAAACTGCTTTGTGAATTATACACGAAAAGTGCAATATATGTATCTGAATTTTTAGGTCAGTAATAACGGCCCATATTATACAAAGCAAATGTAAGTCTGCACAGACAGACAGAGTCAGTGTTCAGGCTCATGTAGCCAGTTTAAAAATATCCTTAAATTATTGCTACAGAAAATACAAGACAGTTACAGGCAAAACTAACATGAGTTTCTCAATTTTCATCAACCACTGGTTATCTCTTACTAGTTTTTGAACGACCACAGCCAGATGAATTATGCTTTACATTCATAGTATGTTTAAACTAATATCCAGACTGCAAACAAGGTTCTACAGCCAGACTAATGAGGTTCCATTTTCACAAAAACATAACATACATTACCTTGTTGTATTCATTTTCTTGTTCATACTGAAAATAAAATTAAGAAATTCATCAATGTTAAAAGTTTTTGGTGATGAAAGCTGTTTTAAACTATAGGTCCATAATATAGACACAGATTCCTCCATTTTACAAACTAGAAAATGATTTAGTACAGAACCTGATGTTATGATACCATGGTGTAATAAGCTGTTGAGAGGTTCTTATGGCATTTATTGATACTAAACACAGTTGATATAACTGCCCATAAAGACATTGTAGCTGTGCTATAAGAACTGGTACATCATAATTTAAAGTGTACAATTAAGAAACAAGTGTCATGTTTACATAGAGGAAAATGTTAGACAATTAAACAAGAAATTAAATGAGCCAGCAATCACTGATGAATCCAAAAATTTGGCCAAAAAATTGTAATTTAATCTGAAATCATGTAATGTGAGCTCAAAGTTGTAATTTAAAATAACAAATTTTTAATAATTCTTAATTCATTTTTATTTTACAACATTTCAGCTTATTTTACATCTTTTTTCATATTTTACATTCTACTATGTCAGATTAAATTACAGGTTTGTCAGGTGATATTCCAGGTTTCATATTATATTACAGGTTTTATTTTACCAGTAGCTCTGACGCTCTGTTCACTAGCCAGCAGTATGCCACAGAGGGTTCCTAATGCCCAAACATTATTCATAGACACAAACCTCATTTGTAACATTCAAAACCAAGTTCAAATGTATTCGGCTGAAGTACCATGATAACTGGTGATTCATCAAAAACTTAACAAACAACTCTGTTACTCCATCAAGAAAACATTTTAAAAGAATGTGGCCATTATATCATTTCCAGGTTACAATCTGTGAATGATTTTAATCATTGTGATCAAGTTAAAGGGCATTAAATTCATTTTGTTGTACCTAAGGTTTCAGATGCTGAAAGTCAAACTAAGTAGGATTGATTATACATGTAGCTCTTTGAGAGAATTTGAAACAGAATTTGCAACGGCAGTCTAAAATTTGGGAAATGACACATGAAACATGATTACTGAGTGACCGAACATTACCTTTTGGTTCTGTTCTTTTGATCAGAACTGGAACATTCAGCGTATCACTTGCCATCGTTACACTAACAACATATTTAACATAAACATACCTTTTTGGTACCCAAGAAAAGCATGTGTTCACAGAAATGTGCCAAACCCGGAAGCTCCCAAGGATCTGACATGGAACCTGATGAAAACAAAAACAAGTTAGATGTCACAAAACCTGTTGTATGCCATCAGGAGCAATATCAAAGTAAAGTATAGTTCCCAAGGAAAAATACATGAGAGCACAGACAGGCCTATTTCTCAGCATCGTAAGAAATACAAACTGCAATGGATATATATAGGGAGCATGGAATCCATATTTTAAGATCGCCAGCTGGGTTACCTCATCCAATTCTTGACCTACTTTTCAAAAATTAGCCATCATGGCCCGTTTTGGACATCATCAATGGTTTCAAACATAATGATAGTATTAATCTGACACATGTACATGTCATGAATTTTAAAATGCAAATTTATGTTTAAAAGTGCTAGATAATACAATTCAATAAATCTGATGAATCATGATATAATACAGGTATTGTATAGACCTTTAACTGAATATAGCATTACACTAAATTATCAATCGGTAGTTTGCCTGATGTTTAAGTTCAGTTCTTTGAAATAAAATCAAAAATGAAAGTAGAAATATCTTGCAAGCTTCAGGGAGAACTCCAGTTATTTGTGCTGGTATATCAATCCACAAACATTGACACACACTGAACAGTTCTTTGAGATAGATCTGTGTCCAGGTAAGGATGTGGTAATATATCTGACATCAGGGTGGGTTGCTCGAGAGATCTAGTAGAATGGTTAGCCAGTACAAGGCCATAAATGTATCATCATTGCCATGTCTAGGTGCGAATAAGATGAAAGCTTATTCAGCAATAACAACAGTGTTTGACAAAAAGCTGGGTATATCTTGTAATAGCCCATCAAGGGTCAGAAACGGATGTCTTGCAGCAATTAATTTGGCATGGTGGTTTCATTGGCTGTAGAGAGATGTGACTACATAATTACCTATACATATTAGTTTGGTGGGTTAGGTATAATATAAGGTAGGCCTGAAAGGATGTTGAATAGTGATAATCATAATCTATCACCAAATAAAGAGTGAAATAGGGCTTATTAGATATCATATTAAGTCAGTTACTCTAAGGCTATCCTAGAATTTTTCATACATTGTCGTAATGTCCATATATAGAAATATTTCTGTTGTAGTAAAGCATATGTCCAGCAGTGCCAACTGTGATCAATTCAGAGATATTCTAACTCTATTTCAAAGGGGGCTGTTCCATTTCAATTTTAATGACATAGCAGTATTTTCTTCTAATTTGGAAAATATGTGCTTTCTTATCAACCATAAAAATGACATCAACATATATTTTTGCTGAATGTTTATTAAGCTTCATTTGACACTTTTCCTTCTTTTTCATTGTGATTATCATTTTTTCCCTATCAATTGATGTACAGGAACATCTTAATGATTTCTGATTGGGAAAGTATCAACAAAAACTGAAGAAAATACAACATACTTTCTCTTGGGGAAGGATCTTTATTATTACCTCAAATGTAGCCAGAAAAAATTGTTGTAGGTCATTTTGATACATTATCATTGTATGTATTCTAAAATGGCAGCATTTACAGTTGTTGACAAAATATACCACTGATATTTTATATTAGTATTAGTAGATGTCACTAAAGTACCAAAACAACTAACTGGCTAAACATGTTGATAATAAAGATATTTGTAACTTTAAATGTGAGATACAATTACTCATCACATACAAAACAAATACTTTCATAGAAAATGACTATCAACAGCAAGATTTTAAATTTTGAACATCTTCTATCAAATCGATGAAATTTGTATATCTGTACAATTCACTGAAGAAATTTCAAGCTCTGAAACAAGAGATTGTCACTGGCATAAGTTTCGGATACTGTACCCAGAATAACATTAAACAGATATACAATGTAGTTATAATATGTTTCATGATGGCTCAAAAGTTCAGGTCAAGGTGAATGACACTATCTTGTTCCTTGTTTCACATAATCATTATATGCTAAAATTCCATGCATATGAAGACGCTTATAAAATTGTATAACACCAAAGTGGTTTTTTTATGTATTCGTAGTGACAAATATGAACCATACCACAAATTGACTTGCTCACTGTACACTGTTACACATAAATAACATCAGTAGTATAAAACACATAAGATGAAGGTAAATATCCTGCAAAAAATATCATAACATTACCAAGTTTTGTTCAGGTTAACAAATCTCCTTCCGAGTGTGAAAAAAAACCCCAAAACAACCAAACAAAATTCTGACCAAGTTTGAATTAAAATCAAATAAATTAAGCTCTGAAATGTAATTTTCACACACTGGTATGTCAATTACAAACAATTCTACCTCCTCCCCAAGGACAAAATGTAAAATTATGGATAATGACATTCCTAATTTTGATAAACCATCTTGATGCCCTTCATGGATGTATTTTATGCTACCGTATCTTAGTGGTGTGAAGATTCTGAAATTTGAGTCAATTTAACTCCTACTCATCCAGCCCCTGGAGGTCAGTTAGGTCATTATACGCATTACATCAAACAGTCATCCTATACAAATAATTCTAACCAAGTCTGAATGGTAATTAAATAATTTTATGTCAATATGACCACTTTTGATACCATTTTTACTGTTCCTTGTGGATGAGGAACATGTAATACACAATTCTGGTTTACCATTAGCAATGAAAGACTTCTTTGAAAGTTCATTAGAACTGATTTTTTCAAAGAAGTCGAAAATATTCCCGGACATTAAAAATACTATTATCTTACCAATGTTAATATCCATAGCAGCTGCAGATTTGTCTGTGTCAGGATCACTGATAATCATCACCTTTAGACCATTGTTGAGTTCAAGGCCACGATACTGTCGCTTGTCCTGTGGTGATTTTATGATATTGTCATGATGGATGACTGCCTTTACATGCTTACTCGCCATACTGGACAAACACCTGGAAAAGCTGAAAGTTTGATTTATGTCTTAAAAGAAACTGATTAAATAAAAAGAATCTGACAATGCAAAATAAATTTTCTTTGTAAGAGACTCTTTATACATATTATCAGCAGTTACAGATGAGGTTAAACTTTTGTGAAAAATATGCAAACTACCCTATTATGTGTCAGATAGAGTATCGATTTATTGCTAAAAATAGCCAAAATCAATTTATAGCAACTTTCGCAATATATTATTTAAGTCGCAAAAATTTATGAAAAGGTAAATATTTTTTTAATAAAAATTAATTTAATAAATTTGAAAAAGCTAAACTGAAGTGATTTTGGCTATTTTTAGTAACAAATCCATACCCCCGTTTAATAGACTAGTTTGCGCATTACATGCAAATTTGTGATTTTCCCTGCCCCGGTTAATGAATTTTAGGCAATGGTAACATTAACCCTAATGTAGGAAATAAGTGGTAATAACCACTGCTCTAGAAATCCAACTTATCATATATATGTAAGAAATAAAACTCTTATTAAAACTACAATATCACAAACCAATAATCTCAAAACTCATACTCATACTCAAAATTCATACCATCTGCTACTTTTACCACTGAAATCATTTAGCAAGAATAAACACAAGTGGGTTTTTGAAAATAGCTTCACCAGTATGTAGATACTTTTGCTGATAACAGAAACTAGATTTACACAATTCATTCATATATACTGTTTGTTTCGAAATGTAGTTTGTTACAGACTTACAATATATAGGGATAAGAAACTAGGCCCTGCCTGGGGTTAGCTTTTGTGTTTGTATACTGAGCTGTGAAATCCCCTATTCTCCATGTTGTTATCTAACCTTACTTACTAATGCCCCATTCACTTCTATGCTGATCACAGCCATTTTTCTGGGCTAGTGAGAAGTGAATATCATTTTTTTTTTTTTATTTTGTTTTTCAAGATTTTACAAAGGTATGCAACACACGATATATACTAGACTCACATACACATACACACCCTGGCACACATCACACTACACCCATGTACACTTACTCAAAACATGCACTCATTATTTCCTACTCTTTCCTCTTTGCTGACATGACATACAATGTACTACTGTGTTTCATTCACAAGCCCCAATAATAATACAAACTCAATGACTGCTGTCATCATCATCATCATCATCATCATCATCATCATCATCATCATCATCATCATCACATAGTTATCATCATGATCATCGTATCATCATTACTTCATTATCATGATCATCACCATATCATCATCATCATCATCATCATCATCATCATCATCACTATCATATCATCATCAGCAGTAACACATATTCAGTATCGTAATCATCATATCATCATCACCACTTCATCATCAACCTTTCATCCTCATTATCACATCATACACTGATCAACAACAGAGCTGTTTATTATTATTTGTGTTTTGCCTCATCATCATCTATTCACACCTAATCCCCAAACTTTATTCAAAATTATATGTTTTCAATAGTGTAATCCCAAACCAGAAGTGCAAGCATGGATTGGGAGTAGCGAGATACGCCCCACATAACAGCCTTTCCATGTTGCAACTTCTGCTTGTTTGAAACAAAGTGTAATTCACATTAAAAAAAACATAAAAAAAAGAAAAAAAAACCTTTGTAAATAATTGAGGTGTGAATAGCTGGTGATGATTCTTTGTTATCTGCCCTTGTTGTCAAAGATTACACAGAGCATAGTACAGCCAGACTAAATGATATCATAGAGGAAATATCAATAATTAACATTATACATAGATTGCTCTCTCTCACTGAATCATTCTCTACAATTACAGAATATCATTTTCTCCTCCTCAACAACGACGACGACGACAACAACAACAACAACAACAACAAATTGAGTCAATCAGGTTTGGGCAACCCCTTACACTGGTTATAGTCCTGCATTAGAGGGATAGTTATATGTATAATGCTTTACATGTGTAATTAAGTAATAATTAGTTTCTCAAATGCAGGGTAATTTCACAATAGACACACATGAAGTTCTTTTAAATTTTCAACAAAAAAGAATGTCATATTTTTTTACATGGTCCAATAACTAGTGAAACATTTTTTACATAAAAAGTTAATAATTCAATCGTCTTAATTTGCTATTTATTATTTTTTTTTTTATTTTATTTTTTTTATTTGGTAAAACACAATATTAAAATACATACAAACATGTAAAGTAACAATTTTGTTGAACCAGGATAACACAGTAAAGTCCGAAGACTTATTTCCGCTGTGGTCCCTTTTCATGAAAATCTCAAAATATTTCTCTTCCATTAAATGCTTATCAACTAGTGTGGCTAAAAATAGAACACAGGTGAATTCATGCTCACCTATGTCATATGCACTAAATGCTCCCATTGGATATACACTGCAGCCAATGGAGATCAAAGTCAATGATATAAATAGTCATTTTAACACAAAGGTTGATAACAAAAATGGATATTTCTTAGAGAAGTTTCATATATTGTCTGTCACTTGATCATGGTAAAAAGGTGATATTCTTTTTCGTTGAAAAAAAATTAAAAAGAAAAAAAAATCATATTTCTATTTCAATATGACCCCGCATTTGAGTAATTGGTAAATAAAAGCAGTTAGAACTATCCCTCAGATGCAGGACTATTACTGATATGTGGGGATACACCCTTGCTATCAATAGGAAAATTGCTCAGTTTTAAATGCCACCTATTTGAAGATGATTTTCTTCAAAGTTTTGACTGAAAGTGTTATACAATAAAATAGTGGTATTTCAGTTTTTAATAGCTTAAATATGAATTTTGTTGCACAAATATCATAAAGTAAACAGAAAGTATTTGTCAAAAAGTTTCCATAAATCAAAATGAAAATTATTAAGTTTTCTACTACCGTACACTTTGAAAAGAATAATTATGAAATTGAAAGAAGGCTTTGTAAACGCAGCAAGGCTATTTAACTTTAACATTATCAATTCACAATTGCATTGAAAAGAGATAAAGACCGTTTCTAACCCTTCTGCATTATGTGTTCCTTATTTCAATCAACATACTCAATTTATTAACAAAGGAAATTCAAAAAATCTTTGGAAACAATTTAAGGGCTTGGGCTATGAAAGAGGCAGGAAATCAAATCCTAAAACAGTTTTACATATTGATGGTGAAAACTGCCATGATGTTGTTACCATAGCCAACCATTTCAACAAATTTTTCACAACTATTGCTTCAAAACTTGTAGATAAATTACCTTTATGTAAAGGAATTTATCATTATTCTACCAAATTATTTCATGATTTTTACTCTAAAAGGAATCCAAAAGGCGTAAAATTTCATCTTCGCCATGTTTCAGAAGCTTTTGTTTATAAAGAGCTATGTAACCTAAATGTATGTAAAAGTACAGGCCTCGACCAAATTCCTGCCAGATTTCTGAGGGACGCTGCACCAATGATCAAAATTCCAGTCACATTTTTAATTAACCTTTCAATATCTGAAGGCGTAGTTCCGGACGATCTAAAAACTGCGAAAGTCATTCCTTTATTCAAAAAGAAAGATAGACTGCAGGCGGAAAATTACCGTCCTGTCAGCATTTTTAAGCATCGTGTCTAAAATTTTGGAAAAAGCCGTTTACAACCAATTAGAAACTTTTCTTGCTAAAAATAATTTATTGTATGAACTCCAATCTGGCTTTAGGAAGTCATACTCTACTGATTCTTGTTTAATTTATTTAATTGATCGAATCAAATCTCAAACAGCCAAAGGTCTTTATACAGGCATGGTCCTACTTGATTTACAAAAAGCGTTCGACACGGTGAACCATTCGATCCTATGTGAGAAATTGAAAATCATTGGTGTCGAGTCCTGCAACTGGTTTAAATCATACTTAGAAAATCGATCCCAATTAGTGAGTTTAAATGGAGTGACCTCCGCAATGGACAACATCCATTGTGGGGTCCCCCAGGGTAGCTTACTGGGCCCTCTTTTATTCTGATTTATGTAAATGACATGCGGATAAGTATAGACATTTCCTGTAAACTACTTCTGTATGCTGATGACAGTGCAATTATTTTTTCACATCACTGTCCCAAAACAATCTCTTCAAAATTCAAAATACCTCGGTGTTACGATAGATAAATTTCTATCTGGAGAGGAAATTGTCTCCAACATTATCCACAAAATCAACCAAAGACTTAAATTTTTGTACAGAAATAGTAAATGTCTATCTCTAAAATCTCGAAAAACTTTATGTTCTGCTCTGATTCAGTGCCACTTTGATTATGCGTGCACCTCCTGGTATGAAGGAATTACTAAGAAACTCAAAGGTATACTCCAGACTACCCAAAACAAAATGGTCCGCTTTATTCTTAACCTTGATAACAGAACAAGGATCACTGTCACTGAATTAGAAAAACTAGGCATGCTTAATGTAGAACGAAGGGTCTGTCAACTTCGCCTCAACCATACTTTTAACATCTATAATGGTAAATGTCCACAATATTTATATGAACTTTTCTCTCTAAACAAAAACTGTTGTGGTACTAGATCTGGAACAATGAACTTCTCAATAAAAAACGTTAAAAGCATAGAAAGTTCTTCCTTTTCTACTTCGGCCGCAAAAGATTGGAATTCCCTTCCAGAAAATATTAAAAATTCTAAAAATAAATATCATTTTAAAAACAAAGTAAAACATTTTCTGATGCTACAATCAAAAGGTGAATTTGACAACCCCTTCGTCTACTATTGAGCTCAACCTCCACTTCTTTGCGTCTGATTGAACGGGTAGTGATGTTATATTATTGTTCATATTATATTATATTATTGATCATGTTATATTATTATGTAATACCTCTTCAAATCCCATCCTTTTTCATAATGCCCTGAAATGTGCCAAAACATTTTATTCACTTTCAGTATTTGTTTTCATATCTTCTATGTAAATGTAATTTTCTTTCAAATATAGTGCTCTGTTTCATTTATAGTTCATGAAAATTAAATAAAGAAAATTAATTCAATCTCATTTCCATGGCTTTACATCCCAACCGGAAGGATTACACCTTAAATGGACCCCATTGGAAATAAGCCTATTTTAAAGGCTTTGTGGGTAATCCAAGGCCAAAGGCATTTTCATCTGGTTTTATCAAATTTCTCTCTTTTTGATTGATATTTCTAAATTTTCAACTATTTTACTTAGAAGATTTGCAAGCACAGTGTAATTTAATTTCTGCGATACTAGTTTAAACTGTGATATTTCAAGGTATGTGAAATTCTTCTGTGATATCTTATATTTTATAATTAATAATTTTAAGAAATCCACAATAATTTATTACTGATTTTAATTGTTATGGAATTGCTTATGTAATATTTGTAATGTGTAATTTTATTATGCCTTTGACTGAATAAACAATAAATAAATTATTTGCCCATCTCATTTAGCAATTTATGCCATCAATTTGTTATGATATGCCTTCTTTAAGATCACTATGACTTCATATACACGAATGTTCTTGAGCTACAATGTTTGAAATTAAAGCGCATCCGTATAACTTGTACATGAAGCTCAATTCATATAAATCAGCTGTGAAATTGTTACATCCGATCACAGGCTGACCAGTGTCTCGAATTCAGTTAATTAGCAAACCCTATCATAAAATATTAAAGCAACAGTATAGTTTTTTGGTACCTTTGTAGTTTTAACGAGCTCCTCAGCACAAAGAGACTTCTTGGAACTTGGTTTATCAGTAGCATACGCAAGTGTTTGTGCAATATCATTCACAGATCCTATATCACTCTCCTTCATTGGAGGTAAAATTATTTTGCGAAAATATAAATTTAAAATCCTTGGCGGCCCGGAGCTTATCCGTGATATTTATTTCACTTCATGGTATAAATCTGTACCATGCATGTGTACAGAACACCATCAGAGTTCTTGTAATTTTATGTAGATCAAATTTATTAATAAAAGTTGTAAGTGTTGATTTGACTATTTTTTGTTGTTTGTATGAACATCTCGTATTGTATCACGAATTCCAAAATGATTACTGTAGCAGAACTGAGTGCAGTTGTCACTTATACCAGTCGATTAAACCCTTTCTATACTATAAAAAAAACAAACATATCATTTAAAGATATCAAATATGAACAGGTATAACAGTTCCTTCCTTATTCAATACTATTTTTTCCCAAATTGACATCAACGGTAAAGCAATGGTAAATATCACGTTTGGATATCAGAAAAAATAGCTCACTGTCGTAATTAAGTGGAATAGTTTACCCAGAGATGTAAAATACATTATTATAGGTCCATTGTTTATCAAATATATTACAGATGCAACTGATGTTAAAGATTGAAATATTAACCGACAGTCATTGGAAACCAAAAAAAAAACCATTAAATAAAACTTTTTTGTTAAACTTTGTAATACAGTGTACATCAGAAGTAAACAAGTCATTATTGTATATAGTTCATCGATATGGATATCGATGCTCTCATGACCAGTATCTATTCAAAATTTTTCATATTAGTTCAAATTAGATAAAAAGGAGTTGTCTCCCATGGTCCAGTATTGGTGTTGGAATTACCTACTTTCGGTTTCGTTTCAAATTCCGCTTATCGATTGTGGAATGACGGATGATGATTCTGTTGCTAATAATTGACAATCTGAATCGTGAAAATCAATAGCTGTAAGATATACACAAATTTATGGATATTTAGTCATATGATTGAACACGTATGGATTGTCCACAATTCTGTGTACAGGTACTAAAGGGAGTTCCTCTGGCGTCTACACCACGCGGCAAATATTTTGACAGATAAATAATTTCCGTGAAAATATCTCAAGTATGATGTAGGATTCAGAAGGAACGAATATTTTTATTTGTGTACGATATAAGATGAATATAGGCAACGCATTGCTTGCATTTCTAAACAATTTTACCTATCTTTTTTTTAAAATGAGTTGGTCGTTGTGGATTGTATGTGACCAGGTGAACTATTTCACCTAATTCAATAATGTAATTTATTTTTCAGTTAATTTACTGTATTTTAGATTAGTGTACATGTAGGCCAAGTTGTGTATTGTAAAGTTATTATGCAAATTAGGGTCTAAGTATATATTGACGAATTTTTAGTGTATAATTGCAGTGCACCTGTATTATGTGTAAGGCAGAGTAAGAACTGGTTATATCTATACACAGGCACTGGTGATGTATATGGAAAGTGGTAACCACTTAATGGAGTATCAGTGTTGTATATGTTCTATGTATAGCAGGGTTTTCCATAGTTTTGTTAGTAGTAGGCTGTGTAGTGAAAGTAGGATGCTGGCCTGCCGTGTACGTGTAGTCGTGTACAGAACATTAATACGGAACTGGATTGGTGTAGGCGGGCAAATGATCAAAGTAGCCGGTCAAATTGGCTGGCGACCGGCTCTTATGGAAAACCCTGGTATAGGTATGGTCATGTGACCTACCTACCTAAGTATTGTTCAGTATTACCTGTACTGTCCATGTCTTGTCTGCATGACATTTGTATGTAATGTCCATAACTAACTTGACCCATGACATGAACTTTTAATTGACCTTTTATTTTATTTGCTGTATTTTTGGAGGGAAAGTTCTTTGTGTAAATTGTCAGAAGGAAAAGAGCCTTAGCTGGAGATAAGTGTGTTTCTCACCTCTCATAATAATGTGATATATACAGAAACTAAACCCTTTTAGTACTTATCCTAGTAGATCGGGTTAAGGTGTATGATCTGCAACCCATAGTCGAGGTTCAATCTTTATACGCTACTACTTGGATTATATAGATTGCAGGTGGTAAAGCTCAATAAACGAACGAACCTGACCTGGTTGTCCTAGTCATTTTCTTAGACCCATGTGCAACCCGGTTACATGTACATAATACAGGGTCTGTCTTTCAGGAAGTTTGTTTGGCTCAAATTGCAGAGCTGTCAATGAATCAAATTATTCATATCATTAAGAGATATAATCATTTCAAATTATTGATATCAATAATTCATTTAATGATAAGATAATTCTGTGTATTCAATGTTATCAATTAAGTTTAGTTAATGATGTCAATGAATTGATGAGATCACTAAACATATTATTGATATCACTAATTCAAATAAATGATATCAGCAAATCAAATTACTGATTTTGATAATTTTCAGGAATTATCGATATCACTTGATGCATTTATTCCAATAAATTATGTCAGTAAATGAATTCGTGGTATGGCATTTTGTTGTGATAAATACTAAAATGGCACTCAATAGTTTTGTCATTTCCTGTTCGGGAACTTGATAGGAATGTATATTTTTCCTTGTTATATATGTAGATAGTTCTGATTAAATTCAATTTGCTATAACATTCACTGACCAAAGTATAAAAAATTTTACTTCAGATATCCAAAGGTTTCTTTTAAAAGGAAAGATCAGTTTGACATTTGCGCAGTGTTGAACATAATCCTCTCTTCCAGGCGACAGAGCTTACTTCTTTGTCTGAGTTGGTAGAGCCATGGGTTATCATGCCAGAGACCAAGCTTTGATTTGGCTAGAGGAATTTGGCAGAAATGTTTTAGTTGTTTGCAGCTAATAGTTCCTTAACTGTCAGAATCCCTTAGATTAACCACAAAACTTCATATATATATAAATTCCATAAATCCATAGATATATTTATTATCTTGTCCTCCACTAGATAAATCAAAATAAACACAAATGCAATCAAAATTGTTTGATGTGCCATACTGTTTCAGTTTTCTGCTGGTCCAAAGGACCACTGAACTTATGGCGTGGTGTGATGTCAATCCTCTGACTATCCATCATCTGTAAAGTGTTCCTAAAATTTGCTACTAGTTATAAACAACTGAGCTGATTTTGGTTAAATTTGGTCAGAAGCATCCTAAGTTGAATTGGAATCACTTTGCATAAATGGTGGATCTAGACCTTCAGGAATCTGAGGGACAGGACCCAGTAGTGGAACATTAGCAAATCCTTTGAAATTCCTATTAAGTGATGACATGATTTTATCTGAATATGGTCTAAAGCATCAATGGAACTGAATTTGTATAAATGGTGGATCTGACCCTTGTGGGCTTCAGGGACAGGGCCAAATAAGGGATATAGAGGGAAAGCTGTAAAATGTTTCTTCTGTTTGTATGAAGTTGTCTTGCCAAGAAGTATATTTAGGGATGAAGGTAATCAGACTGGAAAGGAGAAATCTAGCAAATTCTTAAAATATTTCTTCATTACTCTAGGAATGTCAGGGTTTCATCCATATATGGTCTGAAAATCCCTTGGCTGAGGTGACCTCTATGTGATATACTGTGTATATTTGGGTATGACCATTTAGGGGAAGAGGGATAGGGTTATATAGCAGAAACAGAAGAAATATTAAAATCTTATTTTGAAAGAACTTTCACTTAATTCTGTGAAGAGTATCCATGGGTAAAGGGGACTTGATTTGTGAACATATGAACAACCACAACCCAACAAACTAAACCCCCACCCCCACCCCACCCCCTCCAAAAAAGTCAAGGTTAGCCTCTTGTTTATATGCAATGAATACATTATATATTTGCAGCATAAGTAATCTGTGTAACACAGGAAGATGGCAGGAAAGCTGAAGATAATCGATAGCAATGGTGAATTAATTCCGGATTTAGAACCAAGAGAGGTAAGCAATTGATGGGATGAAAGAAACAATACAAAAGACAGACAAATGAAGAGAAATGGTCAATAAAATATATAGAATTACATTGCCAAAAAATGAATGATACAGCTGTTTCATCATTGTCAGTACACCAGGGATTATGCTCACTTTTACTTCTGCACCCCTGGAATGTTTCATGGCAAAATTGAAGGCACAAGCAAAGTAATTTGATTAAAGGCTGAATTGATCCTCTGAAGATTACAAATCACAGACACCCAACTGCAAATCCAGTATAGATAGAACCTTCAATTTTGCCATGACATGTTCCAGGGGTAGAGAGAGCAATAGTGAGCATAACCCCTGGAGTATTGAGGATGCTGTTTTGTCCTTCGAGGACTTGTGAGTGTTGCCAGGGACCTATACCATTGAAACCTCAGGAGGTGGTTGAGGAAAATTCAATCCTTTAAGATAATCGTGGTGTCAGTTACATGTAAATTGTTGTCTTAAAGTCAGTTCCTGACATGTTTGACTTTTCCTGTTTCCTGTTTCAAATAATTGTCCTTTTGTCTAGGTAGCAGTTGTCATGTTATAAAGATGCTTTTCATTCATTGTGGTGTAAATTAAACGTCACACTTTTGACCAAGTAATATTTTTTTTCAGTGATTGTGTCAGTGTTAGGAGGCTAGTCTGTTGTTTATCTAATATCCAGAGGTTGTCATGTTGTCGGGAAGGCTCACTCTTATCCAGCACTTGTCCGGTTGTATAGAAGTTGCACTATTGTACAGAAGTTGTCTTGTTGTATAGAAGCTGTTATGATGACTGGATATTGTCCTCTTATCAAGTAGTTGTCACGCTACCTAGAAATTGCCATGTAATCCAATACACATTGACTTAAAGATGGCTTGATGCCGTGCATCATCATTTTCTCTTAAAAGTTGTCCCATCGTCCAGTAATTGGCTGTCATGTTGTTTACAAGTTTACATAATGTCCAGATGTTGTCATCATTTAAAGAAGTTGTCATGCTGACTCAGTAGATGCCATGTTGTCCATAGATTATGTTGTGTAAAAGTGGTCCTGCTGTCTGGAACTTGCTCTGTTGTTCAATGGATGACATGTTGTTTAGAAATTGTCATGCTGTCTAGAAGTTGCCCTGTTGTTCAATGGTTGTCATCATGTAGAGAAGATATTTTGTTGTCTGGCAGTTATCCTTTTGTTTAGAAGTTTCCTGTTGTCCATTAGTAGTCATGTTGTCTAGAAGTTTCCTGTTGTCCATTAGTTGTCATGTTGTCTAGAAATTTCCTGTTGTCCATTAGTTGTCATGTTGTCTGGAAGTTTCCTGTTGTCCATTAGTTGTCATGTTGTCTGGAAGTTTCCTGTTGTCCATTAGTTGTCATGTTGTCTGGAAGTTTCCTGTAGTACATTAGTTGTCGTGTTGTCTAGAAGTTTCCTGTTGTCCATTAGTTGTCATGTTGATTAGAAGTTTCCTGTTGTCCATTAGTTGTCGTGTTGTCTAGAAGTTTCCTGTTGTCCATTAGTTGTCATGTTGATTAGAAGTTTCCTGTTGTCCATTAGTTGTCATGTTGATTAGAAGTTTCCTGTTGTCCATTAGTTGTCATGTTGATTAGAAGTTTCTTGTTGTCCATTAGTTGTCATGTTGATTAGAAGTTTCCTGTTGTCCATTAGTTGTCATGTTGTCTAGAAGTTTCCTGTTGTCCATTAGTTGTCGTGTTGTCTAGAAGTTTCCTGTTGTCCATTAGTTGTCATGTTGATTAGAAGTTTCCTGTTGTCCATTAGTTGTCATGTTGTCTAGAAGTTTCCTGTTGTCCATTAGTTGTCATGTTGTCTGGAAGTTTCCTGTTGTCCATTAGTTGTCATGTTGTCTGGAAGTTTCCTGTTGTCCATTAGTTGTCCTGTTGTGTAGAAATTTCCTGTTGTCCATTAGTTGTCATGTTGATTAGAAGTTTCCTATTTTCCATTAGTTGTCATGTTGTCTGGAAGTTTCCTGTTGTCCATTAGTTGTCATGTTGTCTAGAAGTTTCCTGTTGTCCATTAGTTGTCATGTTGATTAGAAGTTTCCTGTTGTCCATTAGTTGTCCTGTTGTGTAGAAGTTTCCTGTTGTCCATTAGTTGTCATGTTGATTAGAAGTTTCCTGTTTTCCATTAAATGTCCTTGTGTGCATCCATTGTCCTGTTGTGTATTAGTTATCCAGTTATCTAGAAGCTTCTTGTTGTCCATAAGTAGCTGTCCTGTTTTGTATTAGTTATCTTGTTGTCTAGGGTGGAGATTGTCCCCAGGGCTAACTTCTTAATGTTATTTTGTTTATATTTCAGATATTACTGAAGAGTTTCAATGAAGATGAGTCACAAAAGCTGCTTGAAATTTTTAATGAGGAATTAAATGATTTAGAGAAAATTTTCAGAGTCAAAAGAGGACAGGAAGGACCAAAAGTAGAAATTTATTGTAATCCTGCAAAAGAAACAAAATGTCAAAGGGAAGTGGATAGACTTCTGGAACTAGTACAAGGTTTGAATGTTGAAGGGATAGATTGCCGGAGTCAGATAAAGTCTAAAGATGACATTTTGAGAATTCTGAATAAGGAAGTTGGAGTTGTTTGCATCCCCTCTAAGATGGACGGAAATATCCTCCGAATTTATGCCAAAAATAAAAATGACCTTTATCGAGCAACAAAAAAATTAACTGGTTCTGTAGATAAAACTGGACATAAAGCAAGCAGCAGAGAAGGCCGATCATTTTCCAACCATTCATATGGTTTAGGTGATTCTGATGTAGTGTGTGGAGGCAGGGAGGCCCGTGCTACTGATGGTGTTAAGACCTTCCGAACCAGCAATGGACTTATTGTAAAAATATATAGAGGTGCTATCACAAAGCTGAGTGTTGATGCAGTGGTAAATGCAGCCAACGAACATCTGGCAAATGGAGCAGGGGTAGCTGGGGCACTTTCCAAAGCAGGTGGTCATAACTTTGACAAGGAATGCCACAGATTCATTCAGAAGAATGGCACTATCCCTGTTACAAAAAATGTTGTAACAGGGGCAGGGGCTATGAATTATGATGGAGTGATACATGCAGTGGGACCTCAATGGTACAGCTACAGAGATAAGGTGGACTGTGTGAAGGACGTCCGAAAGACTGTTGTTGAAATACTGAATACTTCAGAGAAGTCTGGATACAGAAATGTTGCTATGCCACCTATAAGCTCAGGTGAGAAGGCTTTAGGTACAGAATATAAAACAAGAAATTCAAACATACAACCAATCTACAACTTGACAACCAATTAAAAAGACTATCAAACAACGGATTGACATTGTACACCAAACAGCAGATTGACATTGTACACCAAACAACATATTGACATTGTACACCAAACAACAGATTGACATTTTACACCAAACAACGGATTGACATTGTACACCAAACAGCAGATTGACATTGTACACCAAACAACATATTGACATTGTACACCAAACAACAGATTGACATTGTACACCAAACAGCAGATTGACATTGTACACCAAACAACATATTGACATTGTACACCAAACAACATATTGACATTGTGCACCAAACAACATATTGACATTGTACACCAAACAACAGATTGGCATTGTACACCAAACAACAGATTGACATTGTACACCAAACAACATATTGACATTGTGCACCAAACAACCAAATGACATTGGTCACCAAACAACCAACTGACATTGTACACCAAACAACAGATTGACATTGTTTACTAAACAACAGAATGACATTGTACACCAAACAACCGGTTGATATTACTCTCCCAACAACCAATTGGCATTGTACACCAAACAGCAAATAAAAATAAACCAGTAAACAGCAAATTTACAAAGACAACGAAACAACAGTTTGATAAAGACATAGAAACATTTACACAGACAACCAATTGACAACAGATTGAACCAAATCTGAACCAATCGACACAGAATAGCAAAGTGCAAAGTTTGAATGAAACATACTGTAACACTGTCAAGTGATTGTAGTCAGTGAGAGAGAAATTTAATCTATCAATATTTGGTTTTGTCTGGTTTTCAAATCTATGTCAACTTGAAACATTCACACAATGTATTCATGTTGTTTGCAATGATACTACACCAAGCAATATGATTGTTAGCTCACTTTGTCCTCTTGTTTGTCTTTTGTCCTTCATCCATTGTGTATCGTCCATCTGTTGTCTATCAACCTTTTTTCAAAAATTGCTACTAGTCTTAAATGACCAAGTGGATATTGACCATATTTGGTCAGCAGCATCTTTGGGTGATGGGAAACAATTTTGTATAAATGAAGGGTCATTGTTTACAGGGGCCTGACAACAGGGGACATTTTGAAATCCTATTCTCAATAAGCCACGTAAGCAATACAGATCCCATGACCTCTTGTCCATTAGTGTTTTCTTAAAATGGTTATAAATAGTGGAAGTCTATTTTGTGTTACAGGACTGTTTGGTGTGCCCACTGACCTTTGTGCTGCCATGTATGTCCTTGGAATCATTGACTTCTCAAAAAACGTTGCCAACCTGAATAGCCTCAAAGAGTTCCATATCATTGATATTAAGGATGAGATCCTAAATATGGTGATGCAGTATTATCAAGAATGGAAACAGAATCCCTCTGCATTATCTCCTAGCATGTTAGTTTCTCAACATCCAGAGGTTAACAAAGGAGACAACTACAACAGGAGCTGGGAAGACAAGAAGGATTGGAACACAAGACAAGGTCGCTGGCATAGCCAAAGTCAAACCCAAGGTCATGGTGGAAGTCAAGGTCATAACCAAAGTGTCAGAGGATCTAGTTGTAATGCAGGTCATCAAGGTAGCAAAGATTACAACCACAGTTATGGAAGAGGTCAGGGTCGTTACAAAGGTTGTGATGGTAGTCAGGGGTATCCTGATGATCATAGCCAACAAAACAGAGGAAGGCAACAACACATTGAACCTCCTGTCAAAAAAGATGCTGGTTCTTTCATTTTCAGAAGAAAGTTGAAGGTTTTGATTTATTCTGGAAACATTCTTCATTGTAACGTTGAAGCCATTGTGGCCACAGATGGTAGAGACAAAAAGGGAGCTATTTCTACAGCTTTAGAAAAAGAAAATGGTTCAAGTCTGTGGACAAAATTTAAAGATATCTCAAATGTTTTCTCTTCAAAACACCTTGGACAAATCACTACAGTAAAACCAAATAAAATGAAACATCTGCGATGTATTTATTACATCATCATGAATCGGTTCTCGCGCTCTGTTCCTCCTTCACTTGAACAACTGAGATATCTGAAAAGTATTGTTTTAAGACTCCTAGCTCAAGCCAATGAATTTGCATTAATGGATGAGAAGAGGAAGAAGAAATCAAACTATCAGCCACTAGAGAAGATGGCAATGTCTATTCCTGGGGCAGGTACAATGAACTGTTGTGTCCATATCAATGTGGGGGTGGGGTTCAAGTAAATGTCAGAGAGATTGTCAGAGGATGTGTGAGAGGGAACTAGAGGTAGGTGTAAGGTGTAAGTATACTATCCTTGAATGAGATTTTTCTCTCTGTCTGCTCCAGTCAACTCAACTGCAATTGCCAAGTGGCAGCTCTGGCTGTATGCTCCCTTTGGAGTTGAGAAAGATCATGAAAAGTAGCAAAAGTTCACTAACCACAGATGATAATTGTGATATACAGTATATTTATCTGAGCTATAATTATCCAAATTACATAATAACTATCATTTGAAAAACTTATACAATGTGATGGAAGATTTGATATTATAGACCCTAGTCTGGATTTGGTCTCTGGACGTGAGAGCAGTTTATTGAGTTTAAAGGTTGCTATTGGCAAGTGACCTTGAAATACCTTTTTAATGGCAATCCTTTTAAACATGATGTGATTCTAACGCAACATTGGTTTGTAGCATAAGGTAAAAGTCAATAAAACAACGAGTTATCAAATCTGATATAAGAAGCAATATTTTTGAGTGCAATTTCAAGTGCCTCTTGCCTCTTCAAGTTGCAGAACAAGCTTAAATTTCAGTTCCTGGTCACTCATTTTACAGAGTTATTGCCCTTTGAACTTTCTCAAAATTTCCATTTTCCTTGTAGGGAATGAGGGGTAGAAGATTTGTCATGCCTACAGATATTCATCTTCTGAACTAAAATTTGGTACACTTTAATGATAAGTTACAGATCAAATTTAAAATCTGCTGTAAAGTAATTGTATAACATTAGACAATTATTTACATTTTAGGATCATTGGAAACCCCACAGTATGTTGAAAAGTGTTCTGAGGTCATGTTCGAAGCCTTTGAAGAGTTCACTTGGAAGAATAAACAAATCTATTTGAAGGAAGTTCATCTGGTTGACTTAAGGGAAGATGTTATCACCAAAGTTTTGCAAGAAACATTCAACAAAAAGGTTTTGAGTCTAAGGTCTTTGCCACTGCCACCACCACATCAGCCAACCCCGCTTCGTAAAACACAACAGTTTGAAGTATCTGGACACTATGACACAATCCCATATGAAGGGTCAATGAGGAAATTGAATCCAGAACAAAACCGTAAAATTGATGAGTGGAAAAGCAAGGCATGCTCAAGGACTCTTGATATTGATCAGTATGTCACCAAGAAGAAAGGCAATATGAAGATAATTGGTGGAGATTACAGCACAAAGCAAGGTGGATCCACAGGGGCCACATGCGGTGATGACACAGAAGATGGTTGCATAATATGTATGGACACTTTTGATGAACCAGTGAAACTAAAGAAATGTGGTCACATGTTCTGCAAAGATTGCATTTCTGAATCGTTTAAGCAGAAGCCGGTTTGTCCAGTGTGTACCACGGTGTACACAGTTGTACAGGGTGATCAGCCAGTTGATGGAATCGCCTGCGTCTATGAAGAGAACAGCTCACTTCCAGGCTATTCTGGCAATAAAACACTTATCATCAACTATGTTTTCTCAGATGGCACACAAGATGTGAGTTGAATATAACTAATACTTTTAATAACTGATTCTTCATCCTATAATTACATCACAGATCTTAATCCTTTAATTACATAAAACATCTTCATCCTTTAATTACATTATGCATCTTCATCCTTTAATTTCATCACACTACTTCATCCAATTACATAAAACATCTTCATCCTTTAATTTCATCACACAACTTCATCCTTTAATTTCATCACACTACTTCATCCTTTAATCTCATCACACTACTTCATCCTTTAATTTCATCTCACTTCTTCAACCTTTAATTTCATCACACTTCTTCATCCTTTAATTACATCACGTGATATTGTTGGATTACAATACTTTGCTGGAAACAACCTTTGACCAAAGTCTTTTTATGCTATCAGCTTTGACTTGTCCATCCTTTCACTCCTTCATTCCTTTACGCTTTTGAAGTCTGTGACTCATCCTTACTTTGACCTTTAAGGTTTTTACTTTTCCTTTCTTGGACTCTTTGTGTGAAATTTTTCCAACTTTTGATACTCTGATTAATTCCTGAATTCATTCATTCTCTGGCCTTTCACTGATTTCAGTATTTACAAGACTCATGCTTCTTTTGGTTCTCCCATTCATCAAGTTCTAAATTTTTCACACCTCATCCTTGATTTGCAAAAGTAGGTACGTTTATTTAATGCTGATTCTGTTTTGAGACAGGAAGAACACCCTAACCCAAGATGTGGTTATAAGGGCCTCAATCGTAAGGCGTACCTTCCTGGCACGAAGAAGGGTCGTGAGGTCCTCCAGATGCTCAAAGAAGCTTTTGAGCAAAGACTGATTTTTACCATTGGTCAGTCGCGAACGACAGGAGAAAATAACGTTGTCACCTGGAATGACATCCATCACAAGACACGTCGCGAGGGTGGCTCAGATAGGTTAGAAGTCAAAATTGAAACATATCAGTGACTATGGTACACTTATTTCTACCACAATAATTGGTGTTATTCAACCCACAAGGTACCAATTACATTATCATTACAACAGATGTTTAAACAAGAAAACAAATCACACATGGATAAATCTCTTAAAGCATTTTGATTGGTTGACTCAGTGAACTTTGACTGCAAGGGTGCTTCATGCACTCATGGAAGTTAAAAGGTGTAAAATTGGTAATATGTGATTATTTTTATTATAATGTGATTTTATATGGATTTCTAATGAAAATAACAAACATGTTAATTATATATCATTTGTGAAAAATTATACACTTTCCAAATATACTAGCGGTAAAAAGAAACGCAAGTTCAGTTTTGGTAATATAAGTTTTTTATCCGTAGACCAAATGTTGGGAAATGTGACACATAAATACCTCAGTGTACTGTCTAAGTAATCGTCGGTTTAAATTCGGTCAACCTGTTACCACAGGCGACGCTGCACAATTTGAGCAGATTTTCCAACAAAGCATGCGTCCGTAGCACTACCACGTGCTATCAACTTGAAAACCATACCAAATCCAAGTTTTGATCAGCACACATCCAGTGCACAACATTTCATTCCAAGGCAATTAATAAGCTGCATGCTGCGAATGTCCGAAGTTGATAGGGGTAGGGCTATTGCCTGAATTTTACAGGGCCAATCGCAAGGTCTCGTCGCCAAGCAATTTGGAGTCCATGAGTCAACGATAGCTCGATTAGTTGGGCGTTTCAGGGCCACAGGAAGATTAACTGACCTACTTCAAGATCAGGGCATACGTCTCTCACACCTACGTAACCGATTTCAGACAGTGATGGAGACAGTAAGTCATATTGTAGGCACTCATGGTCGCTGAGTGTGTCCAAGAACAGTTAGGAATCGGTTACGGGAGTTCAATTTAAGGCCATGACGTCCCTACGTTGGTTCGCAACTTACACCCAGGCATCGTCAACGTCGAATGCAATGGCTGCGTGCACATGCACTAAATCGGTTTCGCTCGGCCTGCTGGAGACGTGTGTTATTTACGAATGAGTCTCGGTTCACGTTGTACAGGTCAGATGGACGAAAACATTGCTATCGACGTCGCGGTGAGCGATATTTTGATACGTGCGTTAAAGAAAACGACAGATTCGAGGGAGGATCTGTTATGGTTTGGACGGGGATTTATCATGGCAAGAAAACACCTCTCGTGAGCATCCAAGGCAATTTTACAGCTGTCCGATATTGGGATCAGGTCCTCATTCCTCATGTCCTTCCATTAATCCAAACACGAAACCTTACGTTGCAGCAAGATAATGCGAGGCCGCACATTGCTAGGGTGTGTCGTAACTTGCTCAACCAAAACAATGTCCCAGTACTTGACTGGCCACCCTACAGTCCAGATCTGTCCCCCATTGAGCATTTGTGGGACAAGCTGGACAGGAGGCTCAGGAAGCGCGTCCGAAACAATGTCACTCAGCTCATGCAGGCCCTTCTTCAGGAGTGGAATAACATCCACAAAGGACCATAAACAATTTGATGGGGTCAATGGTAAGGACTGTTAGAGCAGCGGCTGCAGCTCGAGGTGGGCACACCCGCTATTGATTTTGATCAGGAAATGGCGCAGGGTATCCACGTTTAAACGCTATCCATGCCAACGCCGTCTGTGTTAAGACAACAGAACTTATCAAATTTTAATCAGTAATGAAGGATTAATATAAACATCTTAACAATGATATGATCATCCATAAAACATTTGAAATATTTACCATCGGACAAAAACTTGCGTTTTTTTTTTCCTTTAGTATATATAATGAATTTTTGAAATTTCCAGTTTTTTATATTAACTAGCGGCGTTTCACTACAGGTCCTATCAATACCCTCCAGCTGTTATCATAAACATAACACATGGGTACAGAACAAGTCGATTCTTTCTCTGAATAGCTCTTTTATTGTGGTAGAAACAGGTCACACAAACTCCTAGTTTAGCAGGTGATATTTCTTTCATTCTTGTTATCAATATTTTTCACAAGTTAAAAACAAAAATACTAGCTAAAGCATGCCTCTTTTGCAATTTTTGAAAAAGAACTTGTGTGAAAGAAATATTGTATACAGTAATCACTTCTTGTGTGAACTTGTGTGAAAGAAATATTGTATACAGTAATCACTTCTTGTGTGATCTCTCATATATTTCTTCATTGTCTCATTATTTCACTTAACAGTGTACTTCAAAATTTGTGTTATTTAAATTTCTAAATTGTGAAATAAAAAGAAATAAACATCAGACTTTAATTACAACAGGATTTTGTAATGGAGACAATGAAGATCCAAAGTTTATTAATGACATGAAAATATGATTTTTAAATTATATCATTGTTAAATCACCTAACAAATGGATATGAAATTTGTTACATATCATATCAGATTTATGAAACCGATCATAGTTTTTATCTTTCTGTTCACAGAGGCTCACAGTCTAACTAAAATAAACACCTTTCCAATTCTTTTCATAATTTGGTATAAAATCTAAAAAAACCAAAAAAACTTGTGCAAGATCTGGTTTAAGTGTATTGTCTCCCTTGTATTGAAGGTTTGGTTACCCAGACGACAACTATCTTGACCGTGTCACAGAGGAACTGAATGCCAAAGGAATAGGTTTGTAGCTCCTTGAAGCCTACAACAAGCTCCCATACTAGACACATCTCCTGAGATCAACAATTCTTCAAGCGAGGTGAAAACATTGACCTTGCTGCTGTTGGTCCATTGATCAAACACACACTGTCAGCATGGCCTGTTTCAACAAGTGTTGGAACAATCTTCTTCATTGTAAAGTGATCATTGACATCAGCTCACTATATATAGCTCAGACTGTAAAAGTCCATACCATATAGCCATTATTTTCAAGGGGATGATATTTTCACTATTTCGAGGTACATTAACATGATCGCAAAAATTTAATCAATGAAATAATGTGACACTGTGTATAAGATGTCTTCTTACATGCAGATCGTGAAATTTTGATTTTTTAAAAATATAATTTGATTGTTGTCAAAGAAAATCATGAAAAATTTTGACCCAAGAAATTTTCAGCTATACAGTATTTTATTAGTAATGTTTTTTGTGTTTAACATATTGCCCTAAAATATGATAGCACAATTTCTGATTGTTGTTTATTTACTTATGTAATTACTTATTTACTTACTAATTTCCTAGAAATTTGATAAAGTGCTTGATATTCATAAAGTATTGATACATACATATACACACACACACACACCCCACCACCACACACACACTCACATGCACACATACCTACCTACATACATACATATATTTTAAGCAATTTGTTGATTATTTTAAGTGTTAAGTTGACATTTATCAAAATTTATATATTGGAAACATATTTACAGGATTTAAGTTAAGAGTTGAAATCCAGAAAATTAATGAATTGATGTATTTATGAATTAAGTTTATACATGTTGTTTATTTGAAAGATTTGCACCACTTATTGTTTTCATGATGTTAATTTTGTCTTAGGATCATCTTCCAGTTTTCAGTCAGTTTCTTTCAAACTCAAAAGGCTTACATCACAATGACACGAAGTGAAATTTCTTACATAGCAGTTTGATTCAACAATATTTGAAGGAGTTAATGCCCTTTGTTTTTTTTTTTTTTTTTTTTACAATATTTTTTTTAACATTTAGAGTTTTCAACCAATTTCTTTGAGACATTGTAGACTTGAAAACCACACCATGATATTATGTTATGTTATTTAGTTTTTCACTAATCTCTTTAAAACCTCATATGATTTGATTAATCAGTAAAATATATAGCACTGTTTTCCCTCTTGATATTTTGATAAATTATTACATGTTCCATATTTGTATTCTTTTCACTACAACAAATCCTGAATATTTCTTTGGCATGGGACTAATATAGCTTTGAATAATGACTGTTCAACCAAGTGGCTCTTCAATTTTAAAATCAAATTTGGCCTAGCTGTCTAGTTTCAATGAAGGCAGTCTAATCTAATGCCAGTAATTCAGTTTATACGTAGGAGTTCTTCATTCATATCGCCATATATATGTATATCATTAAGCGCATGAGAAACTTATCATTATCCATTGTAATGACCAATATAAAGGTTATTGAGTCAATTACACTTGCAACTGTAAACTTTAAATATGAATTGTTTTGATTATGAGCAACCTGGCGGAAGGTGCTGCAGAAGGAGCACAGCTCCTGTCCATCAGTCCCTGCCTCATTCCTTAAATGTTCTCATTAAACTTCACACACTTGTAAAACATCGAATTATCTTAGACAAATTCGAGTTTCAGGGTTGAGAGGTCAAATTCATTGTTAGTATCATTATTAGCGCTCTTGCAACTTCATTCATGACAGGACTTTGATCAAATCTCCCACTTTTACAAATGTACATAACAAATTTGAGACTTGAAAAAATGAAACACATCCATGATATGAATTACTATTAAGTAGTCAATTCAGATGTCTCTAATCATCTAAGAGTATTTCAGTAATTAAAGTTTCAGAATAAAAAAAATAGCAGAAAGTGTTATGAAATCTCGTTCATATTGTTTATAAACAGTAGTCACATACAAATATAACTTGTCAAAGCATCTTTTGATGGTTTATTTATTTACATATCTTTTGTTTTATTTTTGTTTTTGTTTTTTTTTGCTCACCTGGCCCAAAGGGCCAAGTGAGCTTATACTGTGGCTGGTATGTTCCTAAGATTAAGCCAGACAAAGTTTGCAAAAAGAAATGACCTTGACCATTAGTCAAGTTCACAAGGGTCAAATTTGTTAAAACCATTAAACAATTTTATCATGTGAACTAATATGCCTAAATGCATGATATTTGACTGGTAATTTCCTAGGATGAAGCAAAAAAAAATTGAGAAATGACCTTGACTTATATTCAAGGTAACATGGGTCGTATTTGTTAAAACCTTTAAACAATTCTATCATGTGAAATAATAGGCCTAGATGCATGATATTTGGCTGGTATGTTCCTAGGATGAAGCAAGAAAAAAATTGAGAAAAGAAATGACCTTGACTTATATTCAAGGTAACATGGGTCGTATTTGTTAAAACCTTTAAACAATTCTATCATGTGAAATAATAGGCCTAGATGCATGATATTTGGCTGGTATGTTCTTAGGATGAAGCCCAACAAATGTTTGAAAGAGAAATTACCTTGATCTGTGTTCAAGGTCACAGGGATCATATTTTTAAAAACATTAAAATGACTTCTTCTCATGAGCTAAAAAGGCCAAGACGCATAATGTTTGGCTGGTATATATATACAAGGTGTGCTCTGCAGGCCCATTTGGCCTCATGTTGTATTATCATTTTATAATTTTACATTTACATTTTATGTGAAGTAAACATTAACTCGTGTAACTTTGTGATTTCTGTCAACATCAAACTTTTGAAGTTGTATTAGGATGGTTGTGTCAACAGATGGAGGCCAATACACTCGCTTTTCATCAAGGCAATCGAGCTTCGATTCCTTGTAAGATTTTAATGTACATGGTCAATTTGGTCAGGGTTTTTGCTGGCTACTTCATCTGCCTCCCGTAGTTGCACCTGTAAATTCTTCCATCTTGGCCAACAAACAGAAATACAAGATTATATATATACTGTATAGTCAGCTAATTTCACATGGATATTTTCACTGTATATTAACATGATTGTGAAAATTTGATCTGTGAAATAAATATTAAAGAATTGTATAAAGATCATCAAAACTGTCTATGCGTGGGTTTCCAAAGAAGAACTTGCTGGCTTACTCCTCTGGAACATCTGCTCTTATACTCCTCAGTAGTTTCCAAGTAAATTTTCTATTTGTTCATATTTTCCCCTAGTTTTATTGAATTTGAGTTTTGATTATGATTCAGCTGACATTTTGGTATTTTATTGTTGGTTTTGATGAAATGGTATGCAAATAGAGGCGACCAAAACTTCAAGTAAGTACTCTAAATTGTGAGCATTTATGAAATAAGGACTGCTGTAATGTGATACAGCATATTAAACCCGACAGAAAATTGTAACAGAGTTTTAAATATTGTAGATACCTCCATGGATATGAGAATATCATGTATTCTTACCATTTGGGTTAAATATCAAGAATAAACAATTTTAAAAGCGTGCAAAGTAGATTTGTGCACTATCTGTATCTGTATTGCTGCGATATATTCCAGAATAGTGTATTCTCCAAAATGTCCTACTAGTCCTTTGCTTACCGGCTTCTACTGTTGCAGATTTTGCTCCCATATTTTCATTTGCCTGAATTTTTTTGTTATAGTTCTTTATTAAATTTATACACCAATATAATCACAATAAACACTTTTTTTTTGGTTTGAATTCTGCCTTTCACCTAGTTGTCTGGGGTTTGATTCCCAGAATGGATGTGAAAAGGCATGGGGTTACCTGCCCAACCATGTGGGTTTTTCCTGTGTACTCAGTTTCCTCCCACAGTAAGACCCTTTGCGTGCTTTCATCCAGGCCAACAAGATTGATTAATATATAAGTTGGAAAATTTTGCTTAAATAAAAAGTTTAAAGTTGTTTTTTTGTTACATGTTGTTTATCGTGTGTAGCCCTCCTGCATCAAATCGCCCGATGTCCACAATGCTTCCTCCATCCCTGTCAGTAAAAAACTTCTGTTATCACTATTTTTGAGAAATTCTAGATGGATCTTCTTAAAACTTTATATGTAAGCTTCCCTTTATCTTAGTTTTGACCATTTGCTTTTAGGATTGATCAGAAAAACACAATGGCTTACAGGTCACCATATTGGATTTCAACAATGAAAGTTTGTCATCGCTTTTTTCTTGAGAATTGATAGGTGGATCTCTATCAATTTTCATATATATGTTCCCCTTGGTCCCTGATTGTTTGATTTTGGGACTGATCAGAGAAAAAAAGACCGACAGAGAAGTACTTAATTGATCTCTCCAAATTTCATTTGACAAGTGGTCAGTTTGGATTTTGGGGTGTAAATCATGTTTGTTTAGAGAGGCCCTCTTTGCAATTTTTTTTTTCAAAATTTGTTGCCCAGCAACAGATCACATATTTTCACTCAAAACTTCAATTGATTAAAAATTTACACATGGTGTCTGTGGGAAACTACAAAAAAAAAAAAAAAAAAAATCATACCAATAAGTTACATGGTGCTGACATAGTTATTGTCCACCAGGAGTGAAAGGAGTGAAGATGCTAAAAGACAGAAAATTAACCAGAATTTTATCCAAAATCGAACCAAATGAAACATATATATGGATGGAGAGATAAAATGTTGTATCTAAATTAAATTACCTCTGGGGAGGAAAGAAATTTACTGGGAAAGGTGTGGTTTGATAACATTCAAAGAAAACTTAAATTTCAATGTTATTGATTGTTTCAAAATTAAATATATCCCACATTACCCCTGGAATCAAATAGAAGGGTCAAAACAGTGCCATATTGAAAACAGTATAAACTGAAAAATGTAATGAAATGACTCGGTAAACCAGTATCATTGTACACATAATCCAAATGTAAACTGTACAAAAACAATAACTGCTGTCCCATGCAAAGGCTTCTTACCAAGTTTGAATGAAAAGAAATTACACCTAAAAATTGAATTTTCTTATATGAAATCTTCCATTCATTGGAATGGATCATTGGCAACCATGTCACTCAATTGGTAGAGAGTCGGTCTAGAGTTTTGAGGGTTCTGGTTCAAAACCTGATCTGGCAGTGCATTTTTTACTCCTGTTACATTACTGTCTAGATCTGTCCGTTGTGTCGTATTTGACAGGGTCTCGTTTTATACACTGTGCATGTATTTTTCTTATTCAAACATAGTTATTTATTCTAAATAATAAATGGGATAAGTTATCACAAACTAGGACCACCTTCTCTCCTATAGATCTATTACAATCTGCATAGAATGTGGTCAAAGACAAAAGAATTGGTACACCACTACAACTATCAGACGAGGCGTTTCGACGTCCTGTGGGTATAGGTTTGTTGGTGTATAGGAGGAATCTGAGGAGGATACTGGAGTATTCTCGTAGAGCTTGACCAAAGGAAGGCAAACATAAGTAAGTAATGATGGATGGCCTAGCCATCTGAATCATCTTAATTAAGACCCACAGAGTTCCTGATGTTGATGCTCCATCACTCGCCCTCTTGTAATTAGCATAATAAGTCAATATTAATGGAGTGCATATAAATGGTGGCCACTGATCATCTATGAGGACTTGAAACTACAAGGGGCATTCTCAATATTTAAGTTTTCAGAAGTTGAACTGGCCACTATACTTGCACACAGGATTTTTTCAGAAAAATGTTAATTGGAAAAAGTCATAAAAAATTGAGGAATTGATAAATAAAACTACTTAATTAATTTGTTGGAATGAGGAAATACAGCAGATGGTGATACAACAGGTGATCTGCTTCATACACAGAAATACCATACAATGTTACTAGGTATTGTGAAATGCCTTAAGACTTCCAACACATCACACCAAAATAACCGAAATTGATACTTCATTACTGATAGCATTTCATGTTTATTTAGAAACAATAAATATAGCAGAATTCGTATTACATTGTTCCACTTTCTATACATACACAATAAAGTACAGAATGCTTACATTTTGTTTATAAGGAACTGTAAGGACAAGAATGCATGCACAGCTGAATGTGACAATTTTATACATGAATGAAAGTGGAATTCAAGACTGAGGCTCAATTCAAGTTAATATGTATAAAATATCACAAAAGTATTAAATGTCGGTTCTTCAGGAATTCTGACATCACAACTTGATTTCATCACAGACTTCCTACTACAGAGAGATTGTTACACCCTGAAAGACTCCAGACTCTAATTCAGCCTGTTAAAATATTTTCATAAAAAATGCAACAAATTTCTCATTACAGGATAAAGAATTGTTTTTACTGTAAATGTGATTTATTAAAGTAATTATTAGCTTACTTCAGGCTCACCAAAAGTAGCTACATAAAATCTTATATTAAATGAAAACTCTGCTAAGAATGTGTTGTATTTTTACAATGATTGAGGTTGTAGGACGATACAACCTACAGCTTTTCATAGAGAACCAAAATCTGCCCCCAATGTTAATAATTTGTTGGTCTATCAGGTATGTCCATAGGATTTATAGGATAATTCTAAATTGACAACATACATAGTTGGATGTTGTTATAAACTCTGTATGTGTGACACTTCTAGGATTTGTAGGAGAAAATAGGAAACCAATTGCAAAAAAATGGAATTTCGAGTAACCCCTATCTCATCTTGAATTCATTTTTTCATGAATTTGGGTTATCTCCATATCATCAACTTTTTATGGCTAAATTAACATGCTAACACAACAAAGCTACATGCATTCCAAAGGCTGAGCTTAAACAAAGCTTACATACAAATTCATCAAGATGCAAGGCACAATATATCTCCAGGAATGGAGTAATAAAGCTCTATCAAAAGGAAAAATGTCCACATTTCCCAGACTCGTCTTTGACTCCTCTGTCTCCGCTCACATATACTATTTCTATAACATCCCATGATAAACATGTGCCAATGATAAAACTTCTTTTTAAAGTAAATTTTTCCAAGTCCTTTGGATGCTCAGTTTCAAAATCTGAAGGATTTGTGTATAAAATATTATCAAATATTCTCAGGTGATTTAAATATGTTGGTTTTGTAGTCAGAAAATGGAAGGACACTTCACTGATTAACAAAGCTGTTTGGTCTTAAGTAGGCACTGGTCCATAAAAATTCTGTCATGACGTTTCCGCATTCTCTGATGTGTATGTTCCTTCCCACATATCATCTTTTTGTTTTTTCATCAGCTTCTTCTTTTCTGCAAGCCAAAAGTACAAAAATGTGCACTTAAACTTTATATCCCCACAACCTTGAACTATTTCTTCACTTGCAAGTATGGAGGACCACACAGCATCCGTAGGAAGAATTTAAACTGTTTAAAAGTTGATATGTTTATCATACTAGTTATGCCATCCTTAGAACAGAGTAACTATTCAAATTACCGCACTTATATACTATCTCTACCTAGCAATTACTTATGTTATTTACAGTTATTTGAGGATTCTCAGCTGCTCACCTAGCACTTCCATTCGCACCTGACAATTTTGGACATCATTCTTACAATGAATTTCCCAATTAATAAATTATGTGCCACCTTCTCAGTTTCAGAGAGTTTCACAGTCCTCATTGTGGCAGTATGCCTTCTCCTTCATGTATACTGAGTAACTTTTACCCCTGTAGATGTTACAACTCTTTGAGATTGATGTTATGAACTTTAATTCATCAAGCAGCAACAACATTTCCAATATTCTCTGTCAACAAAAAATAGCCAGTTTATCTTGTTGATTACAATAATTCTAGGTAGTTGTGACATATTTTTAATTATATAATTTCACAGAGTTCCACAACCCTCATTGTGGCAGTACCAACTTCCCTGTGGTTACTGTTAAATTTACCTCCATAGATTTGTAACTCTATGAAATTATACAACACAAGGTCTAGTCTATTGCTGCTTGATGTCTTTCCTTTTTGGTCGCTGCAGAGCAATTCTGCTTTACACTGCAGAGCAATTCTGCCTTAAGCTGAAGAGCAATTCTGCACTATGTTTAGCCTTCGCTAGCCATCTTTTTAACTAATCAGAGCAGCTGAGATAGTCTTCAAGCCAAGTAGAGTTAGGTGTATTGTATGTCTGTTATATTACATGTATGTATATATATGTTGTCTATATTCAGTTTTGTTTGTTTGAATTAATACAAGTTAAGAAAAAAATTATTGTCTTTGTTATTATTGCTGGTATAAATTACAGTTGACATCATAGATGACACACAGGTTACAATGACGTAGTCTATTAGTGACATCATGATGTACGAACCATGGTTGAATTAGGCCAGATATTGTAATGATACGCATGTTGACAATATACATTATAGGAATCTACCATAGATATTGGATCTCGTTTTATTAATTTATCATTTGTGTTAAATACTTTACCATCCATCATGCCATATTAAATTTTCAATCTTTTGTTTTCTGTTAGTTATAGAGTAATTGTAGGCACACTAGAATGCTCTTATTTGCAGCCTTCTTTTGCCTCAAAAATATGTATTTAAGCAAAAAGGAATTTTATTACCGTAATTTAAACCAAAATAAAGTTTAATTTTACCAAAATATGCAATATCTGCTACATCACTTAAATGTTTGAGGACAGTAAATTGATGAATCCCTTGTTATTCTCTGTAATGCCACAATACCTTTGGCTTGTCGAAGCTTTTGACGTTCAAGGTCCCTCTGCTCTCGCGATACCTTTGAGGCCAGCCCTAGGGCTCCAGTCACAAGCCTTCTGGCAGTCAGAGCTGAAGTCTCTGGACGTGGTTTGTAAGGCTGCAGGAACTCTGTATTATATTGTTCATAAATGCCATAGGTCAAATATAGAAAGATATTAGAAAAGCATTTGATGTACCATGTAACACAAATATGATTTAAGTCACAACACACACTATACAGTCTGATTATGATGAACTAGTTTTTATGTCAGAAGTCTCTTGTCTCTTACATGTAATACAATTATAAAAAGATATCACCAGCAAAAGACTAAGATTATGATCAAATCAGTTTTAACATGAACAGCAGTATTTCATTTTTGATAACACTAAAAGCTGTAATCGTGTTCAATAACACGAACAGTTGTAATCTTGTGCAATAGCATGAACAGTTGTAATCGTGTTTGATAACATGAAGAGTTGTAATCGTGTTCGATAACATGAACAGTTGTAATCGTGTTTGATAACATGAACAGTTGTAGTCTTGATTGAAATGTTTACAAATCATCCCATATCTAGATATCTAATAGTACCCTGTATTATAAAATGATACAACTGAGCTTGAAAATGACACATCTTATCAACATCTACAATGTCTCCACTTTCCCATGACTCGAAGGTATGAACTCTGCCCTATGAAAACATACAACGTACCAATGCATCGCTTGGCTTTCTCTTTGCTCTGTCGTGCTGCTTCAGACAAGGCCCTGACCTTCAGCAAGGGGTGATTCAGTGTCAGGGCACTCTGGGCTGTAACCAAATTCATACACAAATCATATATATGAAAATAAAAATTCAAAAATTTCTGAAAACCGGCAATTACACAACACCCTACACAGGTTGTCACAAGACAATAATAAAACCTTTGTGGGCATTTTTTTAAATCTCAGATTACCTATAGAAATGGATAGGATACTTGTCAGGCATGGGATTATTTATTCTCCATACTCTAGATGTTACAATAACTTTTACTCTCTGTACACCTGGAGCAAACCATGGCAAAATCGAAGGTTCCATGTGCGACACCTCGTGCACAAGACGAAAAGACTAGTTTGATCCTTTGATGTACGTCAAAAGAATCTCAAGGTCGCATAATGGTATACTGAAAAGGCTTTGACGTTGGGTGTTGCTTCAAAGGATCATATCAACCTGTAATTGGTCAGTTTTTATGTTCTCCAAAGGGAGAGCATATAGTCACCATTTTGTCCGTCCATCAAAATTTTGTCCAGAGCATAACACAAAAACTATAAAAGGTATCAACATAAAACTTCATAGGTTGATAGGTCTCAATAAGGAGAAGTGCAGCGCACCAGAACCATCCTTCTCTTTTGAATAATTTAGAAGTAATTGACCTTTATTCATTTCAATACTTGAATTTTGTCTGGAGCATTACACTATAACTAACTATAAGAGGTATCAACATGAAACTTCCCAGGTAGATAGATCTCGATAAGTAGGAGGGCAGTGCACAAGAATCATAACTCTTATTTTCACACTTAAATTTTGTCCCAATTGTGGTGCATAACCTGTCTTTGACAGCACTTGTTTTCTCCTGGAACCAATCAAATTATTTCCCTTGTGCCTTCAATTTTGCCATGACATGTTCCAGGGGTGCAGACAACAAAAGTGATTTTAACCTTTGGAGTAATGAAGATGGGTATTATTGCCAGATGAATAGTGTTTGACCATGATTATCAGGTTTTGTAAACATGGCGGCAAATATATGCTCCATGAAACTTTTCAGAGCATAAAAAATTGAGGAGGTAAGCAATTAATATCGTATTTATCAAGCTCCAGTCAACTGGATGGATAGCCATACACCCTTGTTCCAGTTTACCCTTCTTAACTATCAGGCAAAACACATCATTAACCTATTGCACACATAAATATTTACCTGCTACGACACTGTTAAACACTCCTAAAGCATGGGTATCATCTACCCACTTAATGTCAAAACCTTTGCTTCTGAAACAAACAAAACAATCATCTGGTAACCAAGACAAAACCACCTGGTAACCAAGACTAAAGCTACTTGAGTGCTACAATGAAAAATCCACCCATCATCAGCATTTTGGAATCCTTCAAATCCTATGTTTTTTTTCTGTTGAGAACAGGTACATAACCAGTGATCTAAGACAGATCTTGGTTCCAAAAATCATGTTATTTATTTGATCTGAGTTCAATATTTTCCTTTTTCCCTCATCTTTCCAACCTGTTCCAAAATCAAATATTGTTAATGAAATAAATTTTGTTCAATCAAATTTTATCGCACTATCACTTTTTGAAGAATTAGGGCAATGATACAATATAGATAAGCACTTACACAATTATTGCAATATAAAAATCAATTTACAGAAGCTGAAATTAGTGCAGTCATATTTTAGTGCAAAACTTTCAACTCTGTATGTTTACAGTATGCACAACTAGGGACTACAGAGAAAATACATGTGAAATCTAAAAATGATCCATCTAATAGTTCTGAAGAAAAAACCATTGTACACTTCGCTGTCAAAATGCAAGATGGCCACCTGTTGGTCATTTTGTCAAAGGGAAACCCTACAAATTTGAGAATGATCCATCAAAAAATGGCAGTAATCAACTATAACTGACAAATTCAAGATGGCCACCATCCAACCATTTTGGTACTTCAGTCAGTCCCAAAATAAATATTGCACATCTAGAAACCAAGGGGAACATACACTTCAAATTTGAGAATTATCCATCCAGAACTTTTTAGGTAATAGAAATTACAAGAATTATTTAAAGATGAACAATTGACTAATCAAGAAGTATTTGAATGCTTCATAATCTGATAAAATGGATGAGAATTACACAAAAACAGCAAATCTGATCTATTGAAAATAAATATTCATATTATTTTTGCATGAAATTGTTAATTCCAATTATCGTGAGGTCAGAGTTGGAATATTATTATCATTTCCATCCATCCACCTGTCCCTACATTATCATCAGAAGATAAGCTGTGCTTGATAAAATTGAAAACAAAACTATGCATGAACCTGTCTTACTTAAACTGCTGAAATGCTGACATCAAGTCCTCTGTTTTTAACTCTGGTGGAAAGTCATATATCTCTATCACATGTCCAACATCTGGAAAAGTAAAAATATATGAAAAAGCAATTGATCTCTCAAGATAAATATCTCTCAAAATAGATATAATGTTGAAATAAGTGATCTCTTAGGATAGATATGTCAAAACAGGTGATCTCTTGTCAAAACAAGTGATCTCTCAAACAGATATCATGTCATAATAGATGATCTCTCAAGGTAGATATCCTGTCAAAACAGAAAGTCTCTTAAGACAAATGTCTTTCAAGACATCTGGTCTCTCAAGATACAAATAAGATACAAGATACAAGATAAAAAAAGTGTGATATCTGATGCAGTAACCCAAATCTGAATTAAATGTTACATTTCAGGGAGACTAATCTTTGCCTAATGTTAGAATTAAATTTAGATACATAACAAAAAGATGTTCACAAGATAGATATTCTTTAGAGGCAGATGACCTCTGGACATATACATCCTTATAGGACTGGTGGTCTTTAAAGTGTATCAACAGAATCTCATTAGGAATGGTTACACCTTACCCTCTCGACTAAGATCTGGATCTCGTGGTTTATAGCTGAGGTAGTCAATAATTGGTTTCTTTATTTTGACTTTCCCAATGGCAGAGGTCAACTGAAAAGTAAAATACTATGGTATAGTATTACATTCTTGACAGACAGCAAACAGGGAAAAACACATCTTTTTCTTCCTCATCAGTCAACAAACTGTCTTAAACAAAGGGTTGATATTACAGACTTGGACCCGAGCTTTAGGCAATTTTGAACATGTGGTTCACTTATCCTTACCTCCTCCATGGCAACGGGATCTAAACATTCACCCTCATCATCAAACATCTTGTCCCATGAATCATCATCTTCCTCTTCATCTTTTCCTTCTTCACCACTGCAAACATCTTAAAATTACAGGACACATTAAATTATATGTTAAAGTGTCATCAACAGCAATGACTACACAGAAACTCATTTTCAATTTTCATGACTTCACTGAAATTAACAACAAGTTTCAATATATCCACAACTGTCTACCCTCAAAACATAAGAAATCAAAACAGAAACTATAAACAGAAACTCTCAGGAATACTAACTCTTATAATCCATAGAAATGAAAAATCAACATAAACAAAAGTGCATTTTGTACAAAGATTGGTACCCAATGATGTGAAATAATCAAACAGACATTTTTCAAATCATCCTACCGTTATCTACATCCATGTGTTCTGTACCCTCAGTCTTCTTGTCTGTATCGCATGAAGTACTGGATGGAACTACGGTTTGCTCCTCCTGCATCCATTCTAAATCTGCCATCGTTGTCACTTTGTCAGATATCTCTTGTCTCTGTTCCTCCTTCACCAATCCTAAATCTGTCATCGTTGTCAGTTCATCAGATAACTCATGCATTTTTGCCTTCTTGCTATGATCAGTACTTTTATCAAACTTTTCCTTAAAATTTGTTTCTATCTTGGTAATGTCTTGTGCAGAAGTAACAGTTTGTTGGTGACTGCCATCCTTATGTCCCTGTGTAGCAGTTGATATCAGATCAGAATCCATCCTGTCAACAGGAATCACCTTAGTAGTCGATTCTACACTGTTTCCACTTTGTTGTGATGTCAGCGATTCCCTCTCAACCACTGTCCGAACCTCATCCACTGACTGACAAAATTTGTCCGATTTTACACAAATCTTATCTCCATTGGAAGAGCAAAGATCACTACTAGATTTGTCATTAAGGTCAGCCTTATTACCATGGAAACCTCTTTTGTTATCGTCTTCACTGTCAAAACCATGAGGATTGCCACAAGAGGAAACAAATGGATCACTTACAGCAGATACACAAGTGACAGGAATATTTATATCAGACAGAGCAGGGCCTGGAACATGTCTATCTGAAGGACTAGGACCTGGAACATGTCTATCTGAAGGACTAGGCCCTGGAACATGTTTGTCTGAAGGACTAGGACCTGGAACATGTCTATCTGAAGGACTAGGCCCTTGAACATGTTTGTCTGAAGGACTAGGACCTGGAACATGTCTATCTGAAGGACTAGGACCTGGAACATGTTTGTCTGAAGGACTAGGACCTGAAACATGTCTATCTGAAGGACTAGGACCTGGAACATGTCTATCTGAAGTACTAGGCCCTGGAACATGTTTGTCTGAAGGACTAGGGTCTGAAACATGTCTGTCTGAAGTACTATGGTCTGAAACATTTACATCTGAAGTACTAGGCCCTAGAACATGAATATCTGATACACTAGGGCCTTGAACATGTATATATTTTTCACTAGGGCCTTGAACATGTATATCTGATACACTAGGGTCTTCGGCATGTGTAATATCTGAAGTACTAGGTCTTGATTCACATACATCCAATATACTTTGCTCACAATTAACCACATCTGCTTCACTAGGGTCGGAATAATTTGATAACCTACACTGTTCTTGAGGACTACCTGACAAGGCACAGTTTTGTTCCATTTCTCTGTCATCCCTGCTCTTCAGCTTACTGACAGAATTGTTCAATTTTACTCTTTTGACTTTTGTTCTATGATGCGAGTCACTACTCAATTTACTTTCATCCGTGCCTACCTCTCTGGCATCAGCAGCGTATTCTGTATCCATAGAATTTTGCTTCTCCTGACCACAGCTGAGTGGATGTAATGGGCCAGGCATTTCCTGTGATCTTCCACTGTTATTATGTTTCTGGTGTGGTGGCACATACACCTGAATCTTTGATCTAGACTTCCTCGGCTGAGACACCTGTTTGGCTTTTGACAGATTTGTAGACTGAGGGAATGTTTGTTCTGCAGGTTTACTGACAACTTCAGGAAAACCTTCGTCATAACTGGAAGATGTGTTATGACACTTTTCCAGACCACTGTGAATTTCTTTGTTACAGAGCTGACCATCCATTGTCCCACCACCTACGTCTGATATCCTACCATCTACATCCTGCTTTGCAAGATCATTATTCCTCAACCTATTTTCCACAACATTGTGACGGGAATCCCCATCACTAGGATGCACTACTGTATCATCACATTCTTGGAGTTGATTAACAGGTATTTGCTGTTGTCTCCGTCCTCGAGGTACATAGATCTGAGCATCTGGTCTTTTGTTCCTTGTTCTGAAAAAAAGCCCACAGTAGAAATAGTCATTTACAAGAATTCTTTATTCAGTTATTACACCACTTAGCAACAAATACTTCAAACACTTAGATAATTTGTTTTAACTACTTAAACATGCTTTCCTCTTAAAATAGTGAAAGTGAATTGTAGAGAAGAACGTTATTTCTTCAGAGAGAATCAGGTTACTCTATATTTGTACATTCTCTAAGATAATACATAGTTTTCTTGTTTTATATGGTTGAATCTCTGTTGAATCAGTTTACCCTTAATTCTTAAGACATCCTCTAAAATAATATAAAGTTTTCTTATATATGGTTGAATCATGTGTTTACAATAGTACCTTGTGTTCTGCCCTCGTCCCCTTCTTGATAGAGGGACATCTTTTGAGGGTGGAGAAATACCAACGCCCCTAGGTGATTTGTACTCATGCCTTTCATTTGTCTGTGGTTCTGTTCTCAAACCATCCCTGGGTCTGTTCCTTAGGTCATCTTTAAATCTGCCCTCTGTTCCAAGACCTTCCCTTGGTCTATCCTCTGTCCTTGTGCCATCTCTATGTCTGTTCTGCTCTTTGTTGTCCAACTGAGACCCGGGGCTTGACCATCGCCCCCGCCCCCTTCCTCTAGCCGAAGGGGGCCGATTCAATGACATCAATCTTTCTTCTTTTGAAGGGCAACTGAAACAACAAGGATGAACATAAATGTTATTCAGAAAACTAAATGGAAGTATGTGCACTACATGGACAATGTCCCTGAACAAAGACACTGTTGAGTCATATCGTTTAAACATACATGAAACATAAAAACCTATGTTATATCTAGATTATAAGCAGGAAATATGGTATTTACATGTGACTGATATACATGCATGTCTCTTCTCCTTGAAAACAAAATACTTGTTTCTCATTTTGGAAATCAATCTACAAGTATAAACACAGAAAATAATCTAGACCCTGAAAACACAATGTCCTGACAAGGTAATTAATTATAACTGTGGATAATCTAACCATAGTATATAAAATAGATGCATCAATAAGTAAACAGGTCTTTAGATACCAATAAATAATCTTCGGCTGATTAATACTCAATCTTTTCCTTGTAAATAAACTTTAACATTAGTGTGCCTAGACTAAAAGAATCTTACATGAGTCTGCTCTGTGGATAGATATATATTAACTAGAGTATAAAAGTTTAGCTTGTCAGCTTGAGGCTTGCTGATGGTTGTTTGTCAGAACTGTCCCTAACCTACAGAGAAGATGTTTAGTGGTTGATTTGTCAGGAGTGTCTCTAACCTACAGAGGTGTGTAGTTATTGATTTGTCAGAGCTGTCCCTAACCTACAAAGGTGTTTAGTTGTTGATAAGTCAGAACTGTCTCTAACATACAGAGAAGGTGTGTAGTTTTTGGTTAAGTTCAGAATAAGTAACCTAAAGACATCTCCCGAGAGACAGATAGAGGGTTATCTGGACTGCCCTGACCTAAGGTGTGTAGTTGTTAGTATGCCTACACTAGACTAACCTAGTGAGATCTTCTTGGAGGCAGACAGTGGTTCGTCTCGACTGTCCTTCACCTACAGAGAAGGTGTGAAGTATTTGGTAGTCCTCAGCGACTTTGTGGATCAACAGTCGATGGAAACTGCTAAGTGGAGGAAACAGCAATATGCTGTAAAGAATAACTCAGTCATAAATATATCAACACAAATACGGTCAGAACTAAAAAGATGGATTTTAAGTTAGGGTTCTATTTAATAGGTAGGAAACATAACTATTTCAACTGGATAATATCACTTAAAGCATTATTCAATGTAAAGTTGATTAAAACAACTCAAAAGGTATCTATCAAAGTATCCTATTTTGAATGTTCATGCTGACTTTTTTGTGTAAAGTTTCATCACGAAATCCCTTAAGAAATAAGGTCAATTGAGTAAATCTGATGACAGTGATTCAGGGTGAAACACAACCACACTATCTGCCATAAACTTCCATAAAAATAAAAAAATGAAACAAAAATGCTGATGCTATTACAGAAACAAAAGGACCCAACAAAATATTGGTATTATGTACATGTTTCAAGCTGCTTACTCATAATGTCTCCATTTCAAGATTTTTATAATTATGCATAGGAGAATGGAAATTTCTTAGAAGTACCTTACACTTCCTATAACTGGATACTTAGATCAAAATATCAATAAACACTGATAAATGCTGAACATGCTCTATTTTCATAGAAAAATGGACCTGCTGATACATGGAATAAATTATCATATGTGCATCATCAGCAAGCCTAAATGTATGATACAGTCAACGTTCTGAGTGAAAGTAAGTAATTTCTACTAATAAAAGATTGCTTAAACTGGAAATCTTACAAGATCTTTATTCACATGTAACTAACAAAAGCTCATTTGCCCAGGTTCCAATGGGATAATTAACGCCTGTATAACTGTGATAAAGTTATAACATTTCATGATGAAATTTATTATAGTTTGCTAAATGTATACATAGGAAACAACAAGACTAGTTGCCCATGAAATGAAAACTCAATATGGCTACATCAGTAAAATTACCTCTTTGAAGTGTAGCATCTAAGGAAGTGTTCAATGTCTTTATTAACAAAGTCAATGAACTGTTCCTCTTCTGAACTCAAAATCCGATTCAAGAAGGACATCCAGCGTCAATCTACAATGAGCCAGTAAACTTTGATTTTATTTAATACCAAAAAGCATTATTTATATATTTGTTCTGAAGCCAATAATTTGATGGATCCAACAGAATTCAATGCATTAAAACATATGCATTAATAAGTGTCATACTTTATGCATTAAGAACCAACATCAAAATCAATACATTTCATTTGCCGACTATCACCGATAGCAATAATGCATGTAAATTTTTACTTGGGAAGTGAATTATTTTAAGATGAGAGTCTCAAGCTTGCAGGCATATTCAAATTGAAATTATATAAAAGGTACAGTATGTTGACTGATTTGTGTTTAATACTGTTTTGAATATGCATGTATACTTAAACATAAAATTCTTCACAAAATGCAAGTTGTATACTTGCTGGGTTTACTGCCCATCGAGAACCACAGACTCATTTTGAGGTGAGGGTCTTTTTACAGTTGATGCTGGCTAACTCACTGAACAGTGTACCTCTAACATACTATCCTGTGCAAAAATGAGAATAAAGTGTTTTGTCTAATGACAGCACAAGAAAGACCATGATCTCATCTTCCTAAAAAACATATACTGCCTGGTTAAGGATCAAACCCTGCACCTCAGATCTTTATCAGTAGAATGCCTGGCTAGAGACTGAAGGGTCACTAGTTCAAACTATGTTGGTGTCAGGGTGTTTTTCCATTACTTTTTCCAATTACATTAATGTGATGTTATACCAACTGAGTTACCACCCACAACAAAGTTGTTTCAAATACAATTCATACATAATGAAAGATATTATGAGAAGATACAAAATGTACATATAATAGGAGGAACTGTGAAGACTTCTCCACACAACAACATGTTTGTTTGAACTGTAATCAAAGTCTTCTCTTCACAGTGGCCATACATAATATATATCAGATCTTATCTACAAACTGTACATCTTAGTTATTCCCCATTCAAAACTAGGCTTCTCGCATTTGTATGATTATATAAGTTACCACTGAATGGACAACTTGACAAGTGGAAAGTAAAGCTCATTTTCATTAAAATGTTGATAGCTGGAACAGACAGTATCTAGTTGTAAAAACTGCTTATTATCTTTCCTAATTTGTAAAGATATTTCTCTTATTCTGATTAGCGACCTGGAAGATGTATAATTAGCTGGGATGAGCGGTATGGGGAGAAGTATATATCAACATCCGCTAAAAATAACTCCACATCATGTATAGCTTCTATATAATGTTGAGCATACCCAAAAAAGTAACTAGAAGCCACATGCACCTGTATCAGGTACCTGTGCAAGAAAGCAGCTACCTAGAAAGCAGGTTTATGTATGCAGTCGCGAGTTGATCATCCGAATGTGCATTGTTTGGTTAACACGATCCGTTGACATGTATAGTAATGCCTACAATTATCACGCACTTTTCATTAAGATAAACTGTACCCAGATTAAAAGATAGGTACATCAGCTATTGTATCAGCTTTCATCATAGTCCGGAAACATCAAATACACGAAAACGTCACCATAACACGACTAAAACGTCATCAGAAAACGGGTATATGAACTAAACAACTCAACAAATACCGGTGACTAGTAATCCGGAACATATGGTTAAGAGCTGACTCTAATCTTACTTGTTTCGGTTGATTGATATTAAATTGCCTTCAACCGTTCTCACACACTATATTCGATCAGTGTACTGACAGCTGGAAGCGGCTTGGACTTTTACAAAAACTTACCGTATATAAAAACAAAAATATTAACATGGCACAGACGTTTTCATGCATTGATTGCAAGCTAAGATGGCAGCAACACTTAAAAACGTTAGTGATTGTGATTTGGAATTTTAATTGACATGTTGATATTTCCTTCATCATATTACAATCACATACACCATCTATTCAACCTTACATACTAATCACTTCTGCCACATTCACGTCATTGGCACAATCACCTGTGACCACCACGCATAATCACTTCCCGGTAACTTCGCACAATCTTCATCATAACCAATCTCATAACCACTTATACCTACATCACCTGACATTACCACTTCATTCACCTCAAAGCCACCACAAGTATCACTACAGCTTAAACCTACACATTCTGGCGTGTCCTCTTCCACCATCTTTCTACCATCACCATCACAATACACTCACTGCATCCTATACCTAAACAATATATTAGAACCCCCATTACTACAATGGTCCTACTACCACACTCAAATAGCGTGACATCCTGGCTAAATAAATCCGCCACCACAATATCCACACTGCCATCACAATTCCCTAGGCAATCACCATTTGCAACACCTGGTATAACTTAATTTTACCATTTGGCATTACAAGTTATGCGATCATCATCATCATCATCATCATCATCATCATCATACTCCTGCAACAGCCGACACTTATACCACATGGCATAACCACATTCGCGACCACCGTAAAGTCATCATCATCATCATCATCATCATCCTCATCATCATCATCACCATCATATCCAAATCGTTACCGAAACTTACATACCCGACATTAAGACTTCGGCGACCACGAAACATCACCATCATCAACATTCATATTGGTGTTTGTCTTCCTTGTGACAAGACTTTTCAGGTGGTACCAACATTTTTGACATTGTGACATTGACCGTGACCTTTGACCTACATTTGAAACCCTTTAGCACTGGCCATAGCTTTTGCACCGTAAGAGGTAGGACATGTGTGTTCCTTGTGACAGGACCTCTTGCTAGGTCTTTTTTTGTGGTACCAAAATTTTTGACCATCTGATCTTGTAAAAAATCATTACCACAATGAAGACATATGTGCTTGACAAAATGTGCATGCAATTAGCATAAACCTTACACAGTACAGGTCTAATGCCCCGCCCCACTTCAGATTTTCATAAACGTATCCTGTTTCTGATCAATTCTAAGGCTGAAATTAAACTGCAATCCATTTAATATGTAGACAATGTGGTTATAAAGTCAAAGAGCGTTTGACCACCAGCACGGACAGATTTTAAAATATCTTTAAAACCTGATTATATTTATCTTGTAGACTTAACATCGTAATATCCATTTCGGGGTGTGGTTTATGACTGGTGTGGATGGCACAGGTGGGATGACCCATATTGAAAATGATGTAGCATTTCAAAGATACAGAAATTGGCAGTGAGATCTATCACATTATGCATAACACATACTCAAAAATATTAAATATACGTATAAACAAGACAACAAAATAAATAAATAAATAAATAGAATAAACGCGACCATTAACGTATATGTATATGCGGTTATGTGAAAATACTAAAACACTGTTTCACACCAATAACAATTCACGGAAATCATCATTGTTGACGGTGGTAAATTAGCGGTAAGATAATGAAGTAGTTGAAAGCATAGAAAGCGTTGAAAACCTTGTCGGTCAAAAGATTCACTTTTTACACGAAGAAACCTTTGATGCAGTTAACAGAAGATTTCGCGAATACTGGAAACAAACTTTTCATTGTAGAATTAAAGGTATCTTTATTATTTCCTGGTGTGTTTCCTCGGCCTTAATTAAAGGATTCGATGTTCAGCATGGACAAAAAATGACAAACAAATCTTTATTGTGTCAGTAAACTGTTTGAATGTAACAAAAACATATACACTGCAGTCTGCCAAAATGTATTTTTTTAACGAAATACTTGTTTTCACTTAATTCACAATATCACTTAATTCTAACGACTATACAAGGATATAAACATGAATATTAGTCAGAATAAGTCATTATAAATATATAATTTGGAATTAAATACATAAATGAACGAATAAATATGCTCATCCCCCTGCCGAGCGTCGAACCCCTTGGCCACGCCCATGGATTACCTGTGTTATTAGATTGTTGACAGAATGCAACACGTGTTCCACAAGATCTTGGTCGATTGCAACAGATGCTTTAAAATCAATTATTCACAACATGTAGTAGTATTCGGATGATCAATTTCAGAGACAAGACTTGTATACTAGTGTATCAAGAGAACCAAGGTATTGGAAGGTCTATAGTAAACAGTGACCGAGCATGTCTCATGCGTGTGATACGTCACAGCTGCTGATATAGTCGCGCCCTAAAATTAATCTCTGTCTACCACACGCAACAACATTCACGGTATCTTGGATTTTACTCGTATGTACAAATGTAAGTAGTAGTCTTATTCAATTTCCCTTTGCTGTGTTTAGTGAACATTTTATATGTGATTTTTTTCGACACATAAATACATGGCTACAAATATTTGTGATCGAAATTATTTTGAATTTAAACAGCAGGAAGGAATAATTCCAAATCTTCAATCAATAATTTGCACAATTTTGTTGTTATTCTTTTAAATGATTCATTTGGAGAAAAGACTGTTTCAGGAATTCCGATAAAGGTTACTCTGCGTTTTTAAATTATAAAATAAGAAAAGATAAACATAAACGTTATGAAATAATTAAAAAAACATAACTAATCAATAATATGAATTAGGCCTACTTAAAACTACTTGAGAGCAACAAGGACATAACACAATATTTGTTATCAGGTCGAAGATATAGCCTGACTGAGGTAAGTGGAATGAAAGTAAAATATATATTTCAGGTTAGATCGTGATAAATAGCTAAAAAGCAAATACATAACGAAATATACAAATTAATCTTTATAAAAAACATGAAATGTTTAGTAAGATAAATAGATAAATGAATAAATAAACAAATAAAACAAATAAATAAATGATTACAAAGGGAAAAAACAAACAAACAAACCAATAATTAAATAACATTCTCCCATGAATGTTTTTGTTTTATAACGTTAGATTGTTAAGTCTCGATTGATATCAGAGCCTTCGTATTACTGGTCTATTTTTGTATTACCCTATACATTGGCCTTACCTGCCGTAGCTTACCTTTAAGGTGAGTGGGCCGCTCGTTAATATTTGATTACCGCTGGCTCATTTATTATGAGTAACATCAATACTTGGTATTTCTTACTGGTTTGTTTCTTTTCTGTATCTCATTCAAAGTTTGTATCACTTGACAGTTTTGGACGGACGTGATCTACCGAGCACACCTGAAGGAGTTACATATGACAGGTGAAAGTGTACAGGTATGGTAATTGGATGATGAGAGCATGTAGCATCGTTTTTTCATGGAAAAAGTAATTCTGGATTACACGAACAGACCAGGAGGTTTTTAATATTTCATGATCCTGCCATTCCAGTCAGCCCAAGTGTTACGATGCCTGGGTTGAGCCAGAGAAAAAAACAGCTCATCCGTACATTCCATTTTGAGGCTAGGAGACTTTTATCCGAGTCGGAAAGGAGAGCACTCTTCCATGTATTAAAGGAATTCCAGCGATACAGACAGATTGATAAGTTGGTGTTCGAACTCCGGGAATTACTTCATTCTCCAGAAAAGCTGGATTTGTTACGACACATCCGGGACTTAATCCCACGTGCCCACGTGAACGAGTTCGATGATTATTTTCGACAGTCTGCTGCCAGACTAGCACCGAGTCCAACGGTAACCCGACGGCGGCAAAATGGCCGACATTCTCCGGAAATCATCATCCGACCCAACCCTCATGGTAAGTAGAGGCTGAAATAGTGTAAATGTCACAAGTAACAAAGAACTATATGTATTAAACCATTGGTCTCAATGTTTGTGTGTGCAGTAGTACCTTGTTAGTCTGGACACTTTGGTTTGTGTGTGCAGTAGAACCTTGTTAGTCTGGACACTTTGGTTTGTGTATACAGTAGAACCTTGTTAGTCTGGACACTTTGGTTTGTGTGTACAGTAGAACCTTGTTAGTCTGGACATTAAGGTTTGTGTGTACAGTAGAACCTTGTTAGTTTGGACACTTTGGTTTGTGTGTACAGTAGAACCTTGTTAGTCTGGATACTTTGGTTTGTGTGTGCAGTAGAACCTTGTTAGTCTGGACACTTTGGTTTGTGTGTACAGTATAACCTTGTTAGTCTGGCACTTTGGTTTGTGTATGCAGTAGAACCTTGTTAATCTGGACACTTTGGTCTGTGTGTGCAGTAGAACCTTGTTAGTCTGGACACTTTGGTCTGTGTGTGCAGTAGAACCTGGTTAGTCTGGACACTTTGGTCTGTGTGTGCAGTAGAACCTTGTTAGTCTGGACACTTTGGTCTGTGTGTGCAGTAGAACCTTGTTAGTCTGGACACTTTGGTCTGTGTGTGCAGTAGAACCTTGTTAGTCTGGACACTTTGGTCTGTGTGTGCAGTAGAACCTTGTTAGTCTGGAAACTTTGGTCTGTGTGTGCAGTAGAACCTTGTTAGTCTGGACACTTTGGTTTGTGTGTGCAGTAGAACCTTGTTAGTCTGGACACTTTGGTTTGTGTGTGCAGTAGAACCTTGTTAGTCTGGACACTTTGGTTTGTGTGTGCATTAGAACCTTGTTAGTCTGGACACTTTGGTTTGTGTGTACAGTAGAACCTTGTTAGTCTGGATCCTTTGGTTTGTGTGTACAGTAGAACCTTGTTAGTCTGGACACTTTGGTTTGTGTGTACAGTATAACCTTGTTAGTCTGGACACTTTGGTTTGTGTGTGCAGTAGAACCTTGTTAGTCTGGATACTTTGGTTTGTGTGTACAGTATAACCTTGTTAGTCTGGACACTTTGGTTTGTGTGTACAGTATAACCTTGTTAGTCTGGACACTTTGGTTTGTGTATGCAGTAGAACCTTGTTAGTTTGGACACTTTGGTTTGTGTGTACAGTAGAACCTTGTTAGTCTGGACATTGTGGTTTGTGTGTAGTATAGAAACTTTCTAGACTACGGTGAAATATGTACAGAAAACTTTGTGAATTTCAACACTTTGGTGTGAACACTCAAGTAACTTTACGGAATGAAAAGACGTTTGGAGTAAAGAAAATTTGATAGTCGCATTATAACGATTTTTGTAGAATGTTTGCAGTTTCGGTTACCAATCAATCAACCAATCAACTAATCAATCAATCAATCAATCAATCAATCAATCAATCAATTGTTTCATTAAATTACAACACACATATATATATGTGAAATGCAAATGAATCCATTCATGTCAAATAATAAACAAAAATATTACATATTGAGAAGATAATGAAATTACCAGCCTCTATTGTATCTAAGACATGAGCATCCTCAACCGTTATTGGAATATAAGAGATTTAACAATACATATTAGCTGTCATAGCACATTGTACATATTTCCTTAACCGTTATTTTACGACATTCTTGAACCAGTTATACCCTATCTTCCTTGCCCGCGTTTTGAATTAAAACTTTTGAGATGCTCCCCGATACAATCTGTCGCCATTACTCGATACTTATTACTATAAAGCGATGTGTGAAGGGTTTGAGCTCATCAATACACTTATCAATATCCTATTCAGCTCATAGCCGCCACACACAAATCCAGTAGTAATGGTGTGACTTAAATGACTTTTACTTTTTTCGTTAAATCAACAATCAATACGATTAAGTCATTGGGAAATTTATCATAATTACTAAATATTCCTTCTGACGAAGGAAAAATATCAGGTAATAGCTAGGCAGAGCACATATTTTACTGACAGCACGTGACCATTCAAAGAATGCTGACAGGTTTTAATTTAAACAAATAAATTTTATCCGCAAGATCACAAAAAATCTTTTGCATTATATATGATAAATCTACCAGTAACGAACATTTTTCTTTAAACAAATAAGATAATTTTAGTGCTACATTATCAAATCTTTCAGTACATTTTTCACCGTACTATCTGTGTCAGTGAACGGATTTAAAACACACACCACGTCATTGGCTAGAATATCGATTACCGATTCAAAGATCCATGGTTGCCTTTTCTTTCTCTAAATGGAGATGGATTTATATAAGTTTTAAAATTTCTTTCCATATCCAATTTCATTGTGTTTGATGTTACTACTGGTGATATGTCAAGAGAAATTAAACAAAAGTTCATGATAAAGATCCAAGGTTCTAGTCCCTGTCTAGTTGTCGCATTTTCTACTTTTGGTGCTGTGACCAGGATTGTGTTTTTCGAAGGAAGTATTTGCGAAAATAAGGAATGGTGTGGCAAGTTTTTAAAACACGTAGAAAACATCTGTTAGTTTTTGAGTGGAAAGGATTTTATTCAAGTTTGGTCAATAAAACAGGAGATTTGAGAGTCTCTTACCTACATGTACAGTGTAGATTATGACGAAGCTCTAAATCCAAAATTATTTCTGTTGTTTTAAAGACAAGACAAACGAAGGCGCAACGTGCACTTCAGTTGACAAGACCAAAACAAACGCAACTACGATATATTTGAAGGTTATTGATTATTCTGACTTGACACATTTGAATATCAGCATCTTGTTTTGAACTGGAATCAATTTATAAACATATTCTCAGTTATCGATCCTTAATATTAAAGCCTATTTTGAGGATTTGATGAAGGTGTCATGGATGTTATCTTTCTAACTGCGAATATTGGCTTAAATCTGGTAATGAGGGTCTGTCACCACGACTATATAATGATACTTTGACAAAATCACATGTAAACTTATACCAGAGAGAGAGCTGTCAAACTTGGCGTACAGTGGCATTTTTATCAGGGCATGAAGATTTTATCAATTTTTTGTTTCCTATACCACATGGAATTACATAAAATTAAGTTCATAATGTGTACTATCTACCGATAAAAGCTGTTATGTTTTACAAAAAGCTGTGATGTTTTGCAGAACGTGTGTTTGACTCATTGCCGCGAGGCGACGTGGTGGTGGTCACTATACAGAAGGTGTCACCGGACCGGAACCTAGGATTCAGTGTGAGGGGCGGGGCTGAGCATGGACTCGGGGTCTATGTCAGCGAAATTGAGCCGGGTAGTCTGGCAGGTAGGTACCGCAGTAACACAGCCCGAGTGGTAGGGCCGAGCATGGACTCGTGATGGGGCACGCTATCACTGTGTGCGGAATGGAACCGAAGATTGAACAAATGGCACAAAAATGAACAACATATTTCAATACAAATTTAGATATAGATACAATAGAGCAAAATAATCAAACTACATAATACAGCTGTTTTTTATGACTTATTTTTTTTTCAAAATGTAGGAGGCGAATGCAAAATATTTAAAACCAAAGAATTTAACAAAGGAGGGGGAAGGGAGCTCTAACCCCATAATTCTATAAATTTCATGGTTCTCCGTTCTCATATATCTGATAGTTTAAGGAGAACGCCAAGTACATGTGTATGTATTAAAGCGTGACACACAGGTTACGACAAACCACAGTGACTAAATGTATATACCACCTGCATTCTGGAAGATTGTACTACACCATTGGTCTCGGGGAGTGTCGGTGAGATAGGGGCGGGCATGAAAGGACCGGATATGTTAAACAATGCAGTCTAACTTTTTAAATGAATTGTAATTATAAAGAAGTTCATTCAGCGTTGGTTTATTGAAGACAGCTTTCTCGGAGAATCATTCTAAATGTTTAGCGCGGGAGATTCTCTTGGCATTCCTGACGCTGTTTTCCTATTATTAAGTTCGTAGATGCAGTATCCCGTGTACGATTGGCAGTTTATGATATAAAATGCTCATTTGATTTTCCTAAGTGGACATGTCCAAATAAGGAACACTTTTCACAACGCCTTTTACATTTTTATATTATTGTTCCATCTTCTCAGGCCAGAATTGCAAATAAGCAAATCAACGAAAAACGCAATACATTGTTCGTAGGAAACATTGAAAAGGATTTCACTTAGAATTGAAAAAAAGATGAATATCACTATTTATCGATGTCATCGTTTAACACACAACCCGCTAAATATGTTTGTCATGGCAAATTCACTTTACCGATGATATGACTTTTGTACAGATTTTCATTTGCTTTATCATTTGGTTGTTGTGCAGAACAAGCAGGACTCGAACTTGGAGATAAACTACTGGAGGTTAACAACATAAATGTAGAAGAAGTGACCAGCAGTGGAGCGGTCAAGGTGTTGACCGGAAGTAACAAACTGAAGCTAGTTGTGGAACGAACTGGCCAGCTTCCGGAATGGCGACTGTCTAGAGAGAAAGTGACATGGTATGTATGACCACTGTCGTGTTAGAGAATACATGTCCTTTTGTTTCCTATTCAAAGCATTTGTACATCGAAAGTCGAACATTTTATTGTTTTAGGAATACTTAAAACTATTGAAATAAATTAAGTTGTGAAAAATGTCGAAATGCCAACAAAACCTTAATCATAATTCAAAATCGATAAAAACAGTTATCAAATGAAAATAAGAGCTTACAGGAGGGTAAACGTCATGTGCTTCATCGACAGCATCCTCCATGCAAATTTCATAATGTCACGTACTTAAAGTAAGTACCGGGATATTAACAATTAAATCACCAGACATTGTAGCTAGCATCGAACACATCGAACTTCATATTGTTTAACAAAATAAACTTTATCATATAAATTTAGTCATAACGACGACGGTCAGGTTTTTCTTTCCGCTCCATCAACTCGCATTTCTTGACACTACATCTTTCACTGGAATCGTGATATTCGAAACAGGGCCTAGAATATTGAATCAGCTGCTATTCACCAACCCTACAGATTGCGTAAACAGGAGGAAGCTGCTATCGAGAAATGGAAAACACGAAATATGTTCATCGTAGCAAAATGCAAGAAGCTTCATACTGACTCAGCTAAGGAGAATTTTACTGCGGCACCATCGATATAGCGTCCGTCGTGTAAAACAAATGTCTCGATTCGATCCCTTATTTCATAATGTGGTAACCCATGATACGTTTACCATAAAGCTAGTAATTTTCATGGGCCACTATTTTCGCGATTTCCTAATAAAACGGTCAAATAACATAATAATGAATGAAAATCCACGATCTGGACTCAAAACTTTTATTACACATGTGTCTCATTATTTTACGGATTAAATTATCATGCATCTTAGCATAACGCAAAATAGCGAACATTTCATCCCCGCGAAAATAACCGCGTATATGGTAATTTACTGACAGTATACAATAAAATGGATTGTCTGCTGTATTTACAGTTAACTATGTCCTTTACTGTGTATTCGTGGTACAGGTATAACAGCCACACTCGGCTCCTAATGGAAGGTGAGTATGAAGAAGGGGGAGGCACTGGTTACATCCGGGGACTTGACGCTGACTTCCCTGAAAGGAGGCTTACCTTGTCGATTTCTGGTCGGCATAAAGAGCTCGGATTTAACATTCGTGGAGGCATGGAATACGGCATCGGAATATATATCTCAAAGTAAGTTTATAATAAAGCAGACGAGTTTAACAAATAGTTGAAATAGTTTAACAAGTCTAGACTTCTTGAAATTTTGTAACAGTAATAATCATGTACAACTACCAGTATCAATGCAACGTAGTAACAACGTCAATTTGAATTTAATCAAAGTGGATCGTTAATGTACACATATATACTAAAATATTTATTCATTTTTCTGAAGACTGTCTCCGCAAAAATCATTGAATTTTTGAGACTCATTTGTGAAACATTTCCACACAGAGTGGACAAAGGCAGTATAGCGGAGAGACACGGAGTCAGGGTAGGTGACCAGATTCTCGAGGTGAATGGAATTTCATTCAGCAACATATCGCACCTAAATGCCGTGGATGTGCTGAAGAGCGAGACTCACCTAATTCTCACGCTGAGGGTAGGTAGACTAAGCTATACTATGACTCAATTCATTCTCACACTGTAGGTAGGTAGTCTAGGTTGTACAATGATTCGTCTCATTCTCACACTGAAGGTAAGTAGGCTAGGCCGATCAATGACTCATCTCATTTTTTACACTGAGGATAGGTAGACCAAGCTATACAATGACTCAATTTATTATCATACTGAGGGTAGGTAGGCTAGCCAGTGCATCATTATCTGTACTTCAGAACTAACGTTTATTGATATCGCTACCCTGAAGTTATATTAGTGTTTTTGTATAGGACATGGGGCGTTACCCGGCGTACAAGGAACTGTATGCGGAGTATTCCTGGAACACCCACTCTTCTACCATGTCATCGTCTACGAAAGGTGAGTCATCAGGTCAATAGTTCAATTGACAAGTCTGTCAATCAAAAATGTCGGCCATCATGCCGGTCAACATTAAAAGACTTACAAATGAAGAAATTTGCTGCAGCTGAAAATAGTTATTTGAAGAATTCAAACAAATATTTTTGCTCATTTTCTACCATGTGACTCTTTTTAACTTGTGACGATAGGACGTTTGGTTACCGCATGGCCCTTTTGAACTTGCGATGATAATTAGTTGTTAAGGTTACCGTGTGACTATCTTTACCTAGTTGTGATGATTGGCTGTTAAGGTTACCGTGTGACCATCTTTACCTTGTTGTGATGATTGGCTGTTAAGGTTACCGTGTGACCATCTTTACCTAGTTGTGATGATTGGCTGTTAAGGTTACCGTGTGACCATCTTTACCTAGTTGTGATGATTGGCTGTTATGGTTACCATGTGACCATCTTTACCTTGTTGTTATGATTTGTTGTTAAGGTTACCGTGTGACCCTTTTTACCTTGTTGTGGTGATTGGTTGTTAAGGTTACCGTGTGACCCATTTTACCTTGTTGTGATGATTGGTTGTTAAGGTTACCGTGTGACCATCTTTACCTAGTTGTGATGATTGGCTGTTAAGGTTACCGTGTGACCCATTTTACCTTGTTGTGATGATTGGTTGTTAAGGTTACCGTGTGGCCCTTTTTACCTTGTTGTTATAATTGGTTGTTAAGGTTACCGTGTGACCCTTTTTACCTTGTGATGATTGGCTGTTAAGGTTACCATGTGGCCCTTTTTACCTTGTGACTATTAGTTGTTTGGGTACCTTGTGACCCTTATGACCATGTGATAATTGGTTGTTTATCGTTTTATCATGTGTAATTCTATTGTGAAGATAAGTAGCCATTTGTATAAGTGTTGCCTACCATATCAACATATTTTACACATTGTGTATGAAATATTTTTTTCAATAATCCAAGGACAATCCAAGATAAAACAGACCAAGCTGCGAGACACGTGTTTAGACAAAGGGTCACAGAGAAATCGGGGTCTACATCTTCGTGTCCCCATCCAGTCCGCCATTTATTCGAATCACCAGGAATCCAACGAGCTCCCACTTCAATCAGAGATTTATTTACCGCACGTGCAGAGAAATGATGTCGCAAAGAGCAACAGTTGGACTTATGGTCCTGTGCAGATTGAAAATTTGTCAGGAGATTCGAGATCCCAACGGTCAAAGGTTACTGGATCGGTAAACCCCGCCTACCTTCCCGGTGAGTCGGAATCGGACACGATCAGTATTAGCTCTGGTGACACAGACGATTCATCTGGTGTACATGGTGAATATGATATAACCATGGATGATATCATTGCTAGGGGTGATGACCTTCCAGAGGTCAATATAGATATGGGAGATAACCCAGAAATGAGTGGTAGTGTTGAATTAGTTGATCTGAAACCTCAGTACATGGAGTCCCTGAGTGACCTTGACCTTTCTGACAACAGTGATGAAAATCATGACCGTGCAGTTCTTGTTCTCCATCCAGCTAGTCATACGTCGGACACTAGTAGTGTCCGGAGCGATGGTAGTATTCCTGACCACAGTGAAGATAGCATGGAACAGAATGAAGTGAAACAGATCAAGTTCGAGTTCAGTCCCCTGACAAATTCCATAGATATTGATTCTACCCAGCAAAGCGTTGCCCCTGTAAATGTCACTTCTAATAACAGCCTAAGTACTGTCGATAGAAACACTAAAACACAGGAAACTGAATCGACATCTAACGCACTGCCCTACATGGAGTCATCACTTTCTTACTCACATCAAAAGTGTGAAACAGATAGCGACGAGGGGTCCCGAGGAGACGGGGAACAGGATGACGGGGCCATGGCCGGGCGGTGGCCCGAGGACAGCGGGTCGGAGACTGCTGTCACAGACCCGTACGATATCGGTTTGGAGGATGAAGATTTGCTGTGTGTGATGCAAAACTTTGACGATCAAATTCGGGATTTAGAACAACGACAGTCAAATATCGGCTTCATAGAAATGACTTCGCTCTCACCAGAAGATCGACCAGGTACGAGTCATCCGGGTAAGTTAACTTTGATATGGGAAAGGTTAGAACAAATACACATATCTGTGATGTAGCCAACAAATTTCTTTCACGTATTTGTGTGTACATGTAGTTCAAGCATCACGGTTGTTTTCTTTTTCTCCGGACATATTTTGAGATATTACATAAAGTGGCTCAACAGTCACTAAAATTCAAGCATCGCTAAAATGCCTTCACTTACAGTATCAGGTTCGAGACCTACCTGTGGCAGTCGCCAGGTACCAGCCGCAGGTCGTTGGTTTTACTCCATAAACTCCAGCTTTCCTCTACCTCTTAAACCTGGCACATCCTTCAATTACCATGGCTTTTAATAGCGTAAAAGAATAACAGAGGATATAAACTTAATATCGTCAAATGATTTTTAAAATAATAATGAATTCACACGAACGTTCAGAGAAAATGAAAACAAGTTGTTACAACGCCGATAAACTTAAACAGGTCCGCTTGTCTAAATACTGCATAGTTGGAAATATACGCATTGGATGGAATTTCGCTGTATTCGCATCCTTAATTATGTACTCGGCAAATATTTCTAAAGTGAAAATTCTTAGAAAATGTGGACGAACATGTGATGTTTACTCCTAAGAAAGGTAATGCGCGAAATTTAATTCCCATGACGTAGCCTCATCCGGGTCAACCGCGAAATATTTGCTCTTTAAATTAAGTAACTACTGTGAAATCATTAATTTTCGTAGGCTTTTATTTTAGGTCTTTGCGAGGGCTTTCTTAATCAACGAACTCATACGTCAAAGAACTGTTAAAATAAGTATAAGATTTATTCGATTATATTGACCAAGAGCCCGCGAAACCGTAATGTTTTGAGAACTGAGTCACGCGAAATTATCGGATTTATATGTGAACCACACGTGAGGAGTATTTTTTGTAGTAACCGGAAATAACTCTAAAAGGAGGGAAAGGTTAGTGAGTAGTACGGCCTCGTTAAGGTTGATGGAGCGGAGACTGATCTTTGTAATGATTGCAGGATTGTGTATATAATCTAGTTAATGACCTAGAATGTCTATACCTATTTACATAAATCTACTGACTTTGTAACAATAGATTAACCAACAAACAGTCGTGCATTTTTTATGTCAGACATCATTACAAGCTTAGGCCGTTTTAATAGTATACACCATTCCGTGCAAGCCCGACGTGCTCAGTGTTTTTTACGTAATACGTATATGATATCCAACGAAAAACATTTTATATCAATGTGTCCTATCCCATATGTTTGACATTCCCAATAAGCATTCCCTATAAATCTGTCATGCTCCACAGCATATCATATCCTACAGATGTGTCCCATTCCTCAAGTGTGATCTTCTCAATAAATATGTCGCACCAAATAAGTCGAACGTTCCTTGCGAGTTAGTTATACCTTACAAGTCTTCTACACTAATTAAGTCATCATTTTGCCCATCATACATCAAATGCTAAAATATGTCATTAATTCCCAATACTCTGTATCTCCCCACAAGTCTGTCATACCCCACAAGTCTGTAATTCCCCACAAGCCTGTCATTCCCCACAAGTCTGTCGTGCCCAACAAGTTTATAATTCCCCACAAGTCTGTCATTCCCCACAAGTCTGCAATTCCCCACAAGTCTGTCGTGCCCAACAAGTATATAATTCCCCCACAAGTCTGTCATACCCCACAAGTCTGCAATTCCCCACAAGTCTATCGTGCCTCACAAGTCTATAATTCCCCACAAGTTTGTCATACCCCACAAGTCTGCAATTCCCATCAATGCTGTTATACCATACAAGTCTGCTTTTCCCTACAAGTATGTCCTACCCTACAAGTCCGTAATTCCCTACAAGTGCGTATTTCGCTACAAGTCTATAATTCCCCACAAGTTTGGCATGGTCCACAAGTCTGTAATTCCCTACACGTTTGTCATACCCTACAAGTCTGTCATACTCCACAAGTCTGTCATGCCTCACAAGTCTGTAATACCCTACATGTCCGTGATTCCCTATAAGTCAATAATTCCCCACAAGTTTGCCATGCCCCACAAGTCCGTAATTCCCTACAAGTCTGTCGTACCCTACAAGTCACTAACTCCCCAAAAGTTTGTCATTCCCAACAAGTCGTATCTCCATTCAAGTATTTTTTAACCCTACACGTCTATCATACTCCATTAGCCACGATCCTATCTATTCCACTCTGTGCGAAACTTTCAAAATCAACAATTGTGACATCAATGCTGGTGGTCTGCCCCCTGCTTCACTAGTCCATGTGAATTATGGCTGATACAGACAGTTTATCTTTGTGCTAGTTATGACGCCTAAACTGATCCCCTCAGTCTTGCAACAAGTAAAATACAAACCATTTATCTCAATGATCTGCAAAACTTCAACTTTTATTTCTTTATAATCTTGGGTATTTCAGACGGCCTTTTAGACGTGCCTGGACGAAAGGAGGACAGCATTATCAGCGGCAAATGGAAGGCTATCAAAGAAAAACTGAAGGGCAGTTTGCGTCTTACGAGTGAGAAATTTTTTGTAGCTTTTTTTTCTCATATATTCTGTATATTTGAGTTAATTTCCCTACTAGTGGTGAATGCGATATCATCATAGAAATGTTAAATCGATACAACAGAAAGTCCCTTGGTTACATTTCTCCGATATTCTGTAAATGCACATCTTGTGGCGGTAATCTTATTTTAACGCCTTTGGCACTGACAGTATTGCGCTAAAATATGTTTGCGTAAGTTGTATTTTATATGTATGATTTACATGACACGTAGATTTGCTATTTCGCCATAGTGCTAAATGGCCAAAAAGTGATAATGCGCTGAAATTTGATTGCACAAAATTAATCACGTGTAAAGATGAAAGTTCGTGAGCGAGATTAATTAAAGGGGAAAAAAGATGAAAAAATCACAAAATTAGAGTCCCACGAAAATATGAAATAAAATGCAAGACCACGTAATCAGTACAGACTTGAATATCTTTATAGTTATGTACCAATCAATTTGAAAAATTTATTTATACTTTATGTGCCGTTATTAGACTTTTTTCATAAAACCCAGCACGAAAATCTTTACTGTGTAGTTGATTTAGTCACTTTTGTACATAAACTGAATACATCATTAAATGCGTATAAGGTGAAATAACGCGATATGAAGTGGTTATCGATTTTGTTTCACCAGCCGTGACGTTCAGCAGCTGCAACCTACACAATGTATGCTTAGCTCATTATATAGATTGTGGATACATTTACATTTTTGTATAATGTTTGTGATTTAAGTCATCCAAAAAAAAGTATTGCAGTCAAGATATACATTTGATATGTAAATTATTTACATATATCAACCTTTCCCTACATAATATTACACAAGTTGTTTGATGGAGTTTGTTATGTACCGCAAAACAAATCCCTGTAGGGTTTATTTAAAGGTATGTAAACACCAACAATCCTACTCTTTCTTGAATTTAACGCATACGATTAATTAACATGTCAAAATGTTTCAGAATCTGATAAAGGCAGCTATATGAAGGACAAAAGTAAGCTATTTCTAATATTGTAGTACCAGTGTTCTCAAAACTTTTTTTTTCTTCACTTACCTGAAGTAGCACTTAGTCTTGCAGTGTTAGTGCACTGTAGTTTACAAGTGTTTAAGCACTCTAGTTTACCAGTCTTAGATCACTCTAGTTCACCAGTCTTAGATCACTCTAGTTTACCAGCCTTAGATCACTCTTGTTTACCAGCCTTAGATCGCTCTTGTTTACCAGCCTTAGATCACTCTAGTTAACCAGCCTTAGATCACTCTTGTTTACCAGCCTTAGATCACTCTTGTTTACCAGCCTTAGATCACTCTTGTTTACCAGCCTTAGATCACTCTAGTTAACCAGCCTTAGATCACTCTTGTTTACCAGCCTTAGATCACTCTTGTTTACCAGCCTTAGATCACTCTTGTTTACCAGCCTTAGTTCACTCTTGTTTACCAGCCTTAGTTCACTCTTGTTTACCAGCCTTAGATCACTCTTGTTTACCTCCTCTTAGATCACTCTTGTTTACCAGCCTTAGATCACTCTAGTTTACCAGCCTTAGATCACTCTTGTTTACCAGCCTTAGATCACTCTTGTTTACCAGCCTTAGATCACTCTTGTTTACCAGCCTTATATCACTCTGGTTTACCAGCCTTAGATCACTCTCAGCCTTAGATCACTCTTGTTTACCAGCCTTAGATCACTCTCAGCCTTAGATCACTCTTGTTTACCAGCCTTAGTTCACTCTTGTTTACCAGCCTTAGATCACTCTTGTTTACCAGCCTTATATCACTCTTGTTTACCAGCCTTAGTTCACTCTTGTTTACCAGTCTTAGATCACTCTTGTTTACCAGTCTTAGATCACTCTTGTTTACCAGCCTTAGATCACTCTCAGCGTTAGATCACTCTAGTTTACTAGCCTTAGATCACTCTTGTTTACCAGCCTTAGATCACTCTCAGCCTTAGATCACTCTTGTTTACCAGCCTTAGTTCACTCTTGTTTACCTGCCTTAGATCACTCTTGTTTACCAGCCTTAGATCACTCTAGTTTACCAGCCTTAGATCACTCTAGTTCACCAGCCTTAGATCACTCTAGTTTACCAGCCTTAGATCACTCTTGTTCACCAGCCTTAGTTCACTCTAGTTTACCAGCCTTAGATCACTCTAGTTCACCAGCATTAGAACACTCTGTTTTATCTATCTAAGAGCACTCTATTTTAACAATCTTAGACTTCTCTAGCTTATCATCCCTAGAGCTTTCCAGTTCAACGATCTTAGATCACTCTTGTTTACCAGCCTTAGTTCACTCTTGTTTACCAGCCTTAGATCACTCTTGTTTACCAGCATTAGATCACTCTTGTTTACCAGCATTAGATCACTCTTGTTTACCAGCCTTAGATCACTCTTGTTTACCAGCATTAGATCACTCTTGTTTACCAGCATTAGATCACTCTAGTTTACCAGCCTTAGTTCACTCTTGTTTACCAGCCTTAGATCACTCTTGTTTACCAGCCTTAGTTCACTCTTGTTTACCAGTCTTAGATCACTCTTGTTTACCAGCCTTAGATCACTCTTGTTTACCAGCCTTAGATCACTCTTGTTTACCAGCCTTAGATCACTCTTGTTTACCAGCCTTAGATCACTCTTGTTTACCAGCCTTAGATCACTCTTGTTTACCAGCCTTATATCACTCTGGTTTACCAGCCTTAGATCACTCTCAGCCTTAGATCACTCTTGTTTACCAGCCTTAGATCACTCTAGTTTACCAGCCTTAGATCACTCTCAGCCTTAGATCACTCTTGTTTACCAGCCTTATATCACTCTAGTTTACCAGCCTTAGATCACTCTTGTTTACCAGCCTTAGTTCACTCTTGTTTACCAGCCTTAGATCACTCTTGTTTACCAGCCTTAGATCACTCTTGTTTACCAGCCTTAGTTCACTCTTGTTTACCAGCCTTAGATCACTCTTGTTTACCAGCCTTAGTTCACTCTTGTTTACCTGCCTTAGATCACTCTTGTTTACCAGCCTTAGATCACTCTTGTTTACCAGCCTTAGTTCACTCTTGTTTACCAGCCTTAGATCACTCTTGTTTACCAGCCTTAGTTCACTCTTGTTTACCTGCCTTAGTTCACTCTTGTTTACCAGCCTTAGATCACTCTTGTTTACCAGCCTTAGATCACTCTAGTTTACCAGCATTAGATCACTCTAGTTTACCAGCCTTAAATCATTCTAGTTCACCAGCATTAGATCACTCTCAGCCTTAGTTCACTCTTGTTTACCAGCCTTAGATCACTCTAGTTTACCAGCCTTAGATCACTCTCAGCCTTAGATCACTCTTGTTTACCAGCCTTAGATCACTCTTGTTTACCAGCCTTAGTTCACTCTGGTTTACCAGCCTTAGATCACTCTCAGCCTTAGATCACTCTACTTTATCAATCTAAGAGCACTCTATTTTAACAACCTCAGACTTCTCTAGTTTATCATCCCGTGAGCTTTCCTGTTTACCGGTCTTAGAGCAATCCACATAACCAGTCTTAGACCGCTCTAGTTTAACAGTCTTAGAGTAATCTAGTTTACCAGTCTTAGATCACTCTTGTTTACCAGCCTTAGTTCACTCTTGTTTACCAGTCTTAGATCACTCTTGTTTACCAGCCTTAGTTCACTCTTGTTTACCAGTCTTAGATCACTCTTGTTTACCAGCCTTAGTTCACTCTTGTTTACCAGTCTTAGAACACTCTAGTTTACCAGTCTTAGAACACTCTAGTTTACCAGCCTTAGATCGCTCTTGTTTACCAGCCTTAGTTCACTCTTGTTTACCAGTCTTAGATCACTCTTGTTTACCAGCCTTAGATCACTCTTGTTTACCAGCCTTAGATCACTCTAGTTTACCAGTCTTAGAACAGTATAATTTTCCAGTCTTGGAGCGGTCCATTTCATTATTGTTAGAACACTCTAGTTTACAAATCTTATATCACTCCTGTTTGCCAGTCATAGAACGAACTAGTTTACCAGTCTTAGAACACTTAAGTTTACAATAGTCTTCGCGCACTATCTTTTACCATTGTCTGAGAGCACTTTAGCTTACTACAGACGTGGATTTGTTACCAAAGTCTAAGAACACTGTTATTTACCATGGTTAAAGAACACTTTAGTTTACATATTAAATCACTCTAGTTTATCATAGGCTTAGATCCCTCCAGCTTAGTTAATCATAGTCTGAGAAAAATCAAGTTCGAGTTTTGAGCACACACGTTTACTCTATATTTAGAGCGCTCTTGTATGAGTAATAACTCATGATCGCAGTGTTCAATAACCTATTTCTGAAGAAACCCTTCAAGATTTCCTAATTTGAAAATACGAAGTAGTTTGTCCACAGCCTAGAGTCTTAGTTTACCCTGCGAACGTGAAATAGCTTCCAAAATGAAAGCATGTCATTGTGCAACCAAAACGGTAAGAATCTCTTATTTACCTTCATTTAATCATTTGTAAGATATCCTTGTTCACACCTATTTTACCCAATAAGATAAAATACCATTATATCTATACCAGAATATATGATGATGTGTTCCCTACGTTACAGAAGAAAGTATGGATCCAAGGGGAGAGTACTACGGCAGCATGAAGCTACACAAAAATTCTATAAACAAAAACAATATGGCTGTACTAAAGGAGGAGTTTAGGAAACTTCTTAGTTCTGATGAAAACTCGGCTGCTTTGAGACATGTAGAAGCTGTAAGTAAACATGACACATCCGGCCAATACATAACACAATAATCCACAACTTTTGTCGACACCGCAGGATACTATGAGGCATCGGACTATTGTTGGTTTTTCGAGAAGAGTGCAGTTTCCTTAATTTCTATGAGTAACAATATATGTTTAAGTTAACTAGTAAAGGAAGTGATCTTCTTGTTTCATCAGTTCGTAATGTAGAAACTTAACACAGACTGTAAGGGAAGGAATACTAAGATAGCCTACACACGCCTTGTTAATATATAGGACTCAAGCCACTTAATCAGCCAATGAGCATAAGAATCCTGAAGGAAACTGTCTGCCAGGCAGAAATTGAAAAACAAAAACTATTCAATTCACAAAATTCATTGACAAGGCTTATATGGGTTATCGTTGGGCACATTTTTTAGCTCATACACAATCTACTTTCAGTATCACAGTTGCCGTGACCTTGACCGCATGATTCAGGCAGTTCTTCCTATTCTAGATAAACCAGAGAAGATGTTGCTTTTGCGAGATATCAGGTAAAACGTGATAGTAACATGGGATTTTAATAGAATTCCATGGTAACCGAAATGTGCAACAGACATAGAATTCGATGGTAACCAAAATGTGAAACATACATAGAATTCCATGGTAACCAAAAAGTGAAACACACATCTTATATACGCAAAAACCCAAGATAACGAAAATAAGTGAAAAAATATATATTACACAACAGATTGTGTAACAAGTAATCACGACTTATTCTAATCACTCCTGCTGGCCCTAATGGAAGCGTGCAACGGTTCAGTACTACCACTACGTTATATAAGATCAAGTGAAAAATTTGAAATCTTATTTAGTCCATCCAAATATTAAATATATTCTGTTTTTGTATTTGTGTACATCGGAAATTCCATATTATCAAACCCTGTAACCCACGTCAAATACACATCCCTCAAATAGTATATATTACACAAGTGTGATCCCTGATTGGGGAAAGGAAGTAGGTATTCATTGTGATTTTTCTTTAAGATAACCCGGAGGGAACAAATAAGATTTCAAAGTATTATTTTAATCATATGAAACGTAGTGGTAGAACAGTGGTAAGTTATTCGCTCTCGACTTTCAGTAATATGTGGCCAGCCAGTAACAAATGATTAAACCCTGGATGAGCTTTTGTAGCGATTATACATAATTCATAGAAAATGTGAACAAACGCTGAAAAAGTAATTTTATACTGAAATCACATTTTATAACTGTAACCAAACACCGAAAATGTAATACATTATAGTTTAGCACTAAAATCACATATGCTGCATCTTATTTACTGTAAAATCATTCATTTTTGTGGTTTTGTTTTCACCTTATTTTCGTGGATACGCTAAGTCAGTCAATTTATATTTTCATGGAATGATGAATAGATCAAAGCTGACATGTTATATATTATGAATGGATTTTGTGAAAAAGATTTAACCTCGAAATCTGATGCCAACGAAAATGTTTATTTTCAGGAAACTACGAAAATTGAGCACTGCAAAAATGTGTCATTTTTCAGTGCGACGAAAAGACGTGCATTTTTAAGTATGAAATAGCATTGAAGGAAGATTGGTTTCTGATGTACATTGTACGTTACATCTTGAAATACTGCGATGCTATTATGAAATGTTCAAATGCTGTGACTTCAGTTAACTATGATCACGTGTTTTCTTATTATTTAGAGGTGTTTTGTATGCGAACGATTTAAGCCGTTTTGACCAGCAAGTACATCGTATCGAGATGGAGGCCTATGAAAAGTTATCAACAAAGCTCCACCTACAGTTAAATCATGTAAACAAGGGGAGAAAACCCAAGAAGCACCTGTTGATGACAGAGACAGGTAATATTACAGAATCAAACATTTACATAGCTTTGCCCTATACACAAAAATATTTTCTTAACATTTACTAGAAATGGTGAAATATCAAGTTTAAAGCTGTCTGTATGTTTTGGACAAGTCATTCAGTAATTCTCACATCAGATGGCAACTCAAACAACCTTCATATTTGTGCTTCAAACTGAGTTGCAAAAAGTCTAAACCTGTGCATGGAAAATATCGTTATGATTGGATAACGACAATTACGATAGCAGTCACATCACTATGAAGAATACTGATTAAATTTCAAATTTCAAAGTTTTCCTTTAACAAATCCATATTTTGTTCCTCAGACTCGATATCAACAGTCGAACCAGCCAATATCCCAGCAGGTACATGTTGTATCTGGTTGTTGTCTTCACTTTCTGTGATAAGATAATATCAGTGTTGCACGAATATTGTTGTATTGCTTATTGTCAGTATTGTGTTTGAAGGTGTGACCGTATAACGTTTATTTTCATTATTTATATCTAATTCACTTTTATGTCTCTATACTGTAAAATTTGTTAATTTCGAGAGAATCTTTTGTTTTGCTGACAGAATAAAACGCAGGAAAATAAAAACCATGATAATAAAATTTATAGAGAATTTTTTTTCCCGGTAAATTAAACATTAGGAATTGGATGATGCTTTAATGTAAAATTGTGCCGTTTTCCGATTAATTTGTATCATTTGTATTTCTGTTATAACATGCTAAAATAATATTCTCTACAGAAATGATACAGGTTCGAAAGATTATAATTGTTTTGTGCGATACTGATATGAGATCTTTGTTTTGTGTCCACATGACCTTAACTGCAGGTGGTTGTTTCGTGTCCATGTGAACTTGACATCGGATATTTGTTAAGTGTACCAGAGTGACCTTGACCTGAGATTACTTTTTTCTGTGTCTGTGACCTGAACCTTGAGATTATTGTTTTCTGTGTCTGTGATTTTGACCTGACATTATTGTTTTCTGTATCGTTGATCTTGACCTAAGAATACTAATTTCTGTGCCTGTGACCTTGACCTGAGATTATTTATTTGTGGGTCTGTGACCTTGACCTTGATATTATTGTTTTCTGTGTCTGTTACTTTGACGTCACATTAATGTTTTCTGTGTCTGTGACCTTGACCTTGAGATTATTGTTTTCTGTGTCTTTGACCTTGACCTGAGGTTATTTATTTGTGTGTCTGTGACCTAGACCTTGAGATTATTGTTTTTTGTGTCCGTGAATTTGACCTGAAATTGTTTTTGTGCCTGTGACCTTGAGATTATTGTTTTCTGTGTCTTTGACCTTGACCTGAGATTAGTTATTTCTGTGTCTGTGACCTTGACCTTGAGATTATTGTTTTCTGTGAATTTGACCTGAAATTATTGTTTTCTGTGCATGTGACCTTGGCCTGAGACTATTGTTTTCTGTGCCTGTGACCTTGACCTCAGATTATTGTTTTCTGTATCTGTGACCTTGACCTGAAATTAATGTTTTCAGTGTCTGTGACCTTGACCTGAAATTATTGTTTACTGTGACCTTGACCTTTAGATTGTTGTTTTCTGTTGATATCTTTATATACAGACGAGAGCGGCCACTTTTACATCAAGCCGGTGGAACAACATGAACAAGAACAGAGAATTAAACAACACGTTGTAGACGTAATGTCGGGGAAATCCCAATGGACGCCACAAAATACGCCACCTGTTGGTCGGTAGGTGCAATAGGGGACATTCTGGTAACATGCTATTTATAGAGCATTGTTTTTATTCGTATTTCATTACATTGGCGTCGTTAGTGGCCAAAAGGATAGTGGTATACATGATTGTATCTCATGGTATAGATATTGCGCTGTATAGACACGGGCATTATAAGTGATATAGATATGGTACATAGTGATATTCAAATCACGACGTTTATTTAGAAAGAAATATTTACGAACTAGTGGCACTGACAGTGTGTATCCGTTGTAAGAAAATTGTTCGTAATCATATTATTGTCCAAGGGGAAATTTAAATCCCAGGTAAAAAAAATTAAGTTGGCATTGGTGAGCTTATGAATGCCAACTGGACAGAATTATATTAATCATGAAGCGCGTTAATTTAAACCTTAAATATTATTACGTAGCTCACTGTTTAATTCAATTTACACGTATATTTTAACTACAGATATTTATGAGATGTATATAAACCTATATCACCAGTCGATATTCTGGAGATCTATAACTCGTTGTAAATCTATTTATATTGTTCAGGAGGGAAATGGATATTGGTCCAGAAGAAGTGACGACCATGATTTACAAAGACAGGCCGACTCTTGGTAAACATCAAAACAATATGTCATTATTCATAATTACAAATGCTTGTAGATGATTTAATAAACACATGAATCCTTTGATAGCTAACTATACAACTCAGCTGGTATTCCTTCAACACCAAGAAATGTTTGTTACAGTAAGATGTTTGCTCTGTTTTTGTGAAAACCATATCCACAAGAAGTAAAATTAGGTCAAAATATGAACAAAAGAAATATTTACACGAAGACTCTTTAAAAAGTACAATTATAATAAGATCAGGTGTTCCGGAAGAGTAAGCGTCTTCTGCTTCATCGATGTCACACGCAATGTAAATTTTGTTCAATCAAAGTCAGTAATGTCACGTTTTCAAATGAGAACAATGTATACAAGAATTCAACCCTCAGGTGAGGGCTGTGACAAAGTTAAAATGCAGTCAAATGTAAATTATTATATATAATCAACTGAAACAATCCTTCGCCAGCTTGGCTGAATAGCAGTTGGAACATTTGATAACTTAAATATCATTAGTTCTTCTTGGAAACTCATCAGGTGATATTCCAGGACAACACTTTATTTGTGGATTTTCTTCTGTATATAAAATATGTATTGTTAAATAGTAGATAATTAAAAATTCACAACTTCATTAGAGGAAGCGGTAATTCTAAGTCTCGTCTTCATTTATTTGAATCGACAGTTAGTTTCAGGCCCCTAGCATCAATGACGAGTTCTAGAAGAACGAAACAGCTGTATGATGCAGTTTAAATCACTGTTTGGCTATACTCTTTCTACTTCTAAGTTTTTATTGAATGTGTTATTAACTTGATCGTCTTTTTACAACCTTTTAAGATCGTCTCCTCAAATCGTTGTTGTAGGGCTGTGTGTGTCTGGGGGAAGTAACAGTAAGCGACAGCCTGAAGTACGGGTAGACAAAGTACTGGAGAAAGGAGCAGCGGCCAGTTCTAATCTTATTCAGGTAGATACAGACTCTAACGCCTGCTAACTCCTCGCCCTGTAACACGTCCTGTCGGTATACTGTATACTGACGATGTTCTATGTCCGATGTTTGTAATTAGTGATGACTATTCTGTATACTGACGATGTTCTATGTCCGATGATTGTCTCTTGTGATAATCATTCTGTATACTGACGATGTTCTATGTCCGATGTTTGTACCTTGTGATGACCATTCTGTATACTGACGATGTTCTATATCCGATGTTTGTAATTAGTGATGACCATTCTGTACACTGACGATGTTCTATGTCCAATGTTTTTACCTTGTGATGACCATTCTGTATACTGACGATGTTCTATGTCCGATGTTTTTACCTTGTGATGACCATTCTGTATACTGACGATGTTCTATGTCCGATGTTTGTACCTTGTGATGACCATTCTGTATACTGACGATGTTCTATGTCCGATGTTTGTAATTAGTGAAGACCATTCTGTACACTGACGATGTTCTGTGTCTGATGTTTGTCCTTGTGATGACCACTCTGTATACTGACGATGTTCTATGTCCGATGTTTGTACCTTGTGATGACCATTCTGTATACTGACGATGTTCTATGTCCGATGTTTGTCCTTGTGATGACCATTCTGTATACTGACGATGTTCTATGTCCGATGTTTGTACCTTGTGATGACCATTCTGTATACTGACGATGTTCTGTGTCCGATGTTTGTACCTTGTGATGACCATTCTGTATACTGACGATGTTCTATGTCCGATGTTTGTACCTTGTGATGACCATTCTGTATACTGACGATGTTCTATGTCCGATGTTTGTAATTAGTGATGACCATTCTGTATACTGACGATGTTCTATGTCCGATGTTTGTACCTTGTGATGACCATTCTGTATACTGACGATGTTCTATGTCCGATGTTTGTACCTTGTGATGACCATTCTGTATACTGACGCTGTTCTATGTCCGATGTTTGTACCTTGTGATGACCATTCTGTATACTGACGATGTTCTATGTCCGATGTTTGTACCTTGTGATGACCATTCTGTATACTGACGATGTTCTATGTCCGATGTTTGTACCTTGTGATGACCATTCTGTATACTGACGATGTTCTATGTCCAATGTTTTTACCTTGTGATGACCATTCTGTATACTGACGCTGTTCTATGTCCGATGTTTGTACCTTGTGATGACCATTCTGTATACTGACGATGTTCTATGTCCGATGTTTGTACCTTGTGATGACCATTCTGTATACTGACGATGTTCTATGTCCGATGTTTGTACCTTGTGATGACCATTCTGTATACTGACGATGTTCTATGTCCGATGTTTGTACCTTGTGATGACCATTCTGTATACTGACGATGTTCTATGTCCAATGTTTTTACCTTGTGATGACCATTCTGTATACTGACGCTGTTCTATGTCCGATGTTTGTACCTTGTGATGACCATTCTGTATACTGACGATGTTCTATGTCCGATGTTTGTACCTTGTGATGACCATTCTGTATACTGACGATGTTCTATGTCCGATGTTTGTATTTAGTGATGACCATTCTGTATACTGACGATGTTCTATGTCCGATGTTTGTACCTTGTGATGACCATTCTGTATACTGACGCTGTTCTATGTCCGATGTTTTTACCTTGTGATGACCATTCTGTATACTGACGATGTTCTATGTCCGATGTTTGTACCTTGTGATGACCATTCTGTATACTGACGATGTTCTATGTCCGATGTTTGTACCTTGTGATGACCATTCTGTATACTGACGATGTTCTATGTCCAATGTTTTTACCTTGTGATGACCATTCTGTATACTGACGCTGTTCTATGTCCGATGTTTGTACCTTGTGATGACCATTCTGTATACTGACGATGTTCTATGTCCGATGTTTGTACCTTGTGATGACCATTCTGTATACTGACGATGTTCTATGTCCGATGTTTGTACCTTGTGATGACCATTCTGTATACTGACGATGTTCTATGTCCGATGTTTGTACCTTGTGATGACCATTCTGTATACTGACGATGTTCTATGTCCAATGTTTTTACCTTGTGATGACCATTCTGTATACTTACGCTGTTCTATGTCCGATGTTTGTACCTTGTGATGACCATTCTGTATACTGACGATGTTCTATGTCCGATGTTTGTACCTTGTGATGACCATTCTGTATACTGACGATGTTCTATGTCCGATGTTTGTATTTAGTGATGACCATTCTGTATACTGACGATGTTCTATGTCCGATGTTTGTACCTTGTGATAATCATTCTGTATACTGACGCTGTTCTATGTCCGATGTTTGTACCTTGTGATGACCATTCTGTATACTGGCGATGTTCCGTGTCCGATGTTTTTACCTTGTGATGACCATTCTGTATACTGACGATGTTCTATGTCCAATGTTTTTTACCTTGTGATGACCATTCTGTATACTGACGATGTTCTATGTCCAATGTTTGTACCTTGTGATGACCATTCTGTATACTGTCGCTGTTCTATGTCCGATGTTTGTCCCTTTTGATGTTTACTGACCATTCAAAATACATGTACTTAGAAACATCTATTCCATTTGTCTTGTAGCCTGGGATGACCATTCTGGCCGTGGACGGCCGGTTATTGGTTGGAGTGTCACACATGGAGGCGGTCAAGCTGCTGAAGATAGCTTTTAACGATCGATCGAAATCTACCATGGAGATCAAACTTCTTGATAATAAGTGATCAGTTCTTCATTACAAGGAAATATTTTTCCTCGTTATTATTACTTATCAACAATCGTCATAATAGGTCGTCTTTATTAAAGAAGCAATCTCATTGGCTGTCACTTTAAGAGACATTTTACATTCGTATTTAGTATGTGTTATTTTTATTCCTCAAATGTAGAGATGTGCTATGTGTGATCATGTGATTTACTGATATTTAGCACAGGATGAAAACTTTTGTCCGATGTCGTGTATGGTTTGTCCGTGGTCCGTCATCGGCCTAAAGACGAAGTCAGTATTTTTGAATACTTCTAAAATATCGTTGTGACAGTATCGTCAGACATTTGATAATTCATGGGAAACAGTAAAAATCAATCAAAAATATGAATTTTATGCTTTCCATTATTCAGAATGACATTGTTCATCATTTCAAATTTTACCTAGAGGATGCGATGAGGGGTAGGATTTGGTGATATAAAAAGGAGCATGAGTTACCATTCGTTTTACGGTGTAATGTGTGAAATCAGAGTCTAGACGTTTTTATTCTTTGTTACATTCTTCTTATAGACCCTAGCTGAATGCCATGGTGATATTTTATCAGGGGTATTTACTCGGGATATTCTATCCCTTCATGGCCAAAATATTGTAGTTCACGTCAACTACTGCAAAATCGTTAATTTTCGTGGGGACTTTAAATTCGCGAATTCATATGTCCATGAACTGTTAGTATAGTTGGCTTTTCTTGGGCTATATTGATCCCTGAAATCAAGTATCCACGAACAATGATTTTTTTTAAATCTCGAAAATGTTGAACCTCACAAAAATGTATAATTCTACAGTATCTCGCGATGAGAAAATGATAGAAAATCTATTAGAACAAAAGCTGTATGGAATAATGATAGCCTTGGGCAATGTGTCTTTCAAAGATGTTGTGAATGCCACGCACCCTGGTCTCGCCTTTTGTAAGTGTGGAGGGTTCTTGAAATTTTAATATCTAGCAAAAAAAAAGGAGTCAAAATATCCATTATTTAAAAGATAAGAAATATCACCTTTCTCGGTACTTATCAACTGCCAAGTTCACCGTTATACCAGCTTATAGAGTGAACGATGGAAAATAACTTCCTTAACGAAACTCTTTCATACTTTTCAATTGAAACGCGAGCTTCCATCAGGGACATTTAATATCATACGTCCCTACTTCCGTTTAGTACATAGAGGGCTTAAGATTTTTACAATGAGGAGTTTTTGGAACCGGATTCCAACTTCACTGATATGTGGAATAATTACTTGTCTTTGGTTTGTTACCAAAATGTCTGTGCAGATTTCAGTAACTCGTTGAGTACTTCATCAAAATTTTTAACACAGCCATTTGCCTTTGTTTTCATTTCATTGACGTGATTTTTTTTTTTGCGTGTAACCCCATTTTTGAAACAAACATGATCATCTGGCATCGTTTACTTTATTGTAGTTAACAGCTTGCGTAACGTTGCACCTCCATGCATCCTCAATATTCCAGGGTTTACGATCACTTTCGCTCTCTGCACTCCCGAAACATGTCATGGGAAAATTGAAGGCACAAGCGAAGTAATTTGATTGGTTCAGGAGAAAAAAAGTTGACCAATGACACACTCATACGTTCCGTTTGAAGATACAAAGGGGCGATAACCGTTATGCGACCTCGAGATTCGTTTGGTGTACATAAATGGATCAAACTATATTTTCGTCTTATCCACAAAGTGTTGCACCTTCAGTGATCGTAACCCTTGGAGTTTAGAGGATAACCTCCATGTGACATGTATGTTATTGTAGTTAGACCCGGTGTGGCTAGTTAGGATATTAGTCAGCTTGCAGTCATTTAGATAGTTTCTCTTTATACTTAAAAAAGTCCCTCTCTGAATTATGTTTGTCAGAACATCAAATAGTCTATAAATGGCTTTGATATAGCACTGACTGGATCGATTTTATTACTGTTAACTTTCTTGACACGATTACAGTCAAGTATAACTACTAGATTAAAAAATGTGCTTACAATTCGTTTGATTATGTGTAGAATTTGGACATACTGTACGTTGCTTTACCAGCATATGGAATACTTTTTTATTGGCCAATTACTGACATAGTTTTGTTCTGTTTTCATGACTAGACAGTGCGCTCATCAAAATAAAGATTCTTACCTATTTTTTACAATTACTAATTTGACGTGAATAAGATCACGAATCGAATAATCGCCTTCTTTATTTTTTCACTCCCAACTGTTCCACTTTGACAAATAACTGTACATGATAATAAAATGTTTTTAATTGAAAAATCATCCTGTTATCATGTTAGATGTGTTCAATAATTCTTTGCATGAAAAGAAAAGTAAAAACGGTCCAGATGTCGTCAATGGAACAGTGGACGCTTACCCTTCTGGAACACATAGACTTGTTCTCTTAAAAGAAGATGTAGCAGGTGATTATCTGTACCTTAGTTGTTTACTCAGTATATGTGTGTGTGACCAAAGATTTAATCATTTTAACTAAACGTTGACCTGCTTCCGATCAGTTGATATAAAAACGGGGAAAGGAATTAATGCAAGTCCTAAGCTTGTTTTTCGATCATATACGCATCGTATGTCTGTGTTAAATTGTTGAATATTGAATGGAAATATTGTTTAAACTCATTTCTAACTTACCCGAAATGACCTATTTCGATCATCTGACCTCGCCCTATCACTTGAGTTAGCCTCGAATTAATCATTCCGGTTATCGAACATACAACAACTTCATTTAACCTAAAAATTTAGCTGTTTATTTTTATTCATCTAACGCAGCCTCAACTTAGTCTACTTCGATCATTTGTACCAATTTTTTCAGCTGGCAGTCAAAAACAATTGATCTAAACCGCTATTGCTGAAAGACAAAGGTCAAAACGGTATTATCGGCTGCAATATACACTATAAATTAGCCAACACGGTCCGCTGGCTTCCGCAGACACCAGAACGCTGACCGAGGCAAAGTGGTGTTCATCGGCTCTATGAAAAACTGGATTTAGGTGTGGATACAAATACCTGCACTCACGCGTGTCTTAGCACAAACAGGTCATGTCAGGTAAGACATGATAGCCAACAGTCGGGTGCACGTGACGGGAATGATGATCGGTCATTGCCGAGTATCAATCCTACATACTTTTGACATTATACACTTGGAGTTTTATGTTTTACTACCTTGGCAAAATATGGATTTGGAAAAGATTTTATTGAATGGATATTTTTTATACTTAATAAGGGTTTGTGCTAAAAACAAACTATACGTAGGGAAACAAGACAGGAGTGTCTGTTGCCATGCTTGATATTTGTATTAGCTGTAGAAATACTGGTAAATCGTATAAGGAATGACGGAAGTATAAAAGGCTTTAAAATTAAAAGAAAACACATAAACTTACACAACTTACAGACGATACAACATTGTTTACGGAATATAAAGATATTTCTAAGGTTCTTAAAATCGTACAAGATTTTGGAACGGTTTCTGGACTAAAACTTGATAGAGAAAAGACAAAGGGAATATGGCGTGGACTAAACAAAAGACGAGAAGACATTTATGAGGGTATCAAATGGCAAAAGAATGTTAAATCTTTGTGAATCTATTTTAGTAGTGGAAGAAGAAGAATTGAATCGCTAGCTCCCATACTAGCATACGAAATCAGGTAAATAGGCCCACTGGCTCCCATAGACAAAAGATCCAAATTACCCTAATCGGCCCACTGGCTCCCATAGACACAAGATCCAGATTACCCTAATCGGCCGACCGGCTACCGTAGACACACGAACCGCATCGGCCCACTGGCTACCGAAGACACAAGATCCAAATTACCCTAATCGGCCCACTGGCTCCTATAGACACAAGATCCAAATTACCCTAATCGGCCCACTGGCTCCCATAGACACAAGATCCAAATTACCCTAATCGGCCGACCGGCTCCCGTAGACACACGAACCGCATCGGCCCACTGGCTCCCATACTAGCATACGAAATCAGCCAAATAGGCCCACTGGCTCCCATAGACACTAGAACCAAATTATCCTTATCGGCCGACCGGCTACCGTAAACACGAACCGCATCTGGCTACCGAAGACAAAAGAACCAAATTAGGCTAAGCGGCCCACTGGCTCCCATACTAGCATACGAAATCAGGCAAATAGGCCCACTGGCTCCCATAGACACAAGATCCAAATTACCCTAATCGGCCGACCGGCTCCCGTAGACACACGAACCGCATCGGCCCACTGGCTCCCATACTAGCATACGAAATCAGCCAAATAGGCCCACTGGCTCCCATAGACACTAGAACCAAATTATCCTTATCGGCCGACCGGCTACCGTAAACACGAACCGCATCTGGCTACCGAAGACAAAAGAACCAAATTAGGCTAAGCGGCCCACTGGCTCCCATACTAGCATACGAAATCAGGCAAATAGGCCCACTGGCTCCCATAGACACTAGAACCAAATTATCCTTATCGGCCGACCGGCTACCGTAAACACACGAACCGCATCTGGCTACCGAAGACAAAAGAACCAAATTAGGCTACGCGGTCCACTGACACCCATAGACATTAGGAATCAGTCAACTCGGTCCGCAGACCCCGACATACACATTAATGCATACATATCGGTACTTTTACATCACAAAGCCATACGGGAAATTAGTTATACGTAAATCAGTCCACTTTGTCCTCCATTACAAAACAGAAAATAAAAGCAATCGGAGTCTCTGAGCTAATAATGATTGGTTGAAAGATTTCCTTTAAAAAAACGCAGCGTAACGTCACCATGGCACAGATTTACTGACAAACAGATCCCACAAGGGCGCGTCCTTGTCTGTTTGTCAATCACCAGATTGTCTCAAAAATATCACGTTCATGTATGCGATATCGCTAATTCAAAATAAACAGCTAAGATCTGGTGATATTCCTGAGAAAATGAATGCATCGGGTATCACTGTAATGAATCGATATTATCTAATCATAATCATTTTTGTGTCATCGTTTTACATTGAATAAAAATTAAAACGGTGCCCCATAATCAGAACCTTGATGTATTCAACTCAAATAATGGAGAACGTACTTCATTGTAAATAGACTCACAGAATAACGATCTAGTGTAAATATAGTATAAAAATTTAAGTACTGACAATTTTAATCACAAGATTTTTACACAGCAGTGAGTTGGTTACTTTAAAATGTTGAAAGCGCATGAAAGAGACACATGTAACAAATTAACAGAAAGACTCTAAACTAAGTACGTTTCCAATATTATACATGTTAGGCTAAACTAGTCGATAATCAGAAGTAGCTGTAATTAAAATAACTTCCACTTTTCGGATTTTTTTGTCTGTACACCGGATATAGGTATCTCTGCAACATATGCTCTAACACGGACTTACGGATTAATGATTTGTATCGTATGAACCATTTCAGACATTAGTCCTGAAATGTCTACTATACAAATACAGTTATTTCTTGGAACCTAAAAACGATTTTAGCCACAAGGGCCAGATATGCCCAATTAAACACTAGATAAGCATTGTACACAACTGAACAAGATTAATTATCTGAGAGTTATACCACCGGGTGATGGGAAATGACTCGCTCAAGTTACAAGGCGTCAACCCAACGTATCATCATGACTTAAAAGAAAAATAACAAAAACAAAACAAAAAAACCTGACATCGTGAAAGTAAAGAAAGTTTTGTTATGACCTAAAGGTTATGAAAGTATGCAAGATCCAGATCCGAATACCAATTTGATTTGCCAAAATATGCTTTCAAAACAAATGATGAATTATTCTCAAATGAAAAGAGTGCGACAACATTTAAGATATTTAAGTAGTATCCTTAAAGTTTTTTTTCGTTAAGAATGATAATATAGTTTACGCATCAATGTTTTTCTTAGTCTTCGATGTAGCAATAAAAGTACGTTAAAAGTTAAAATATTTTAAGTAAATTTTACCAACATATACATGAATGGTTTGAAATGCATGTTGCCAGATAAGTGGTTTCCAGCTGTTTACCGTTGATTTCTGGTTCACGATCAGGGAAAACTTCCTTGCTCGTCTTCCGTAAACCGTTTGCGAACCACATAATTGTATGTCGTCTCTTATACAGAAAGTGCCGTCGGTCCTAAGATTTGGAATGAACTTGTTCATTAAATTGCATGCATATAAAAATATGTTATTCAACAAATTTTCATAAATCAACTTGTTTGTCACAACAATTGATTTAACAGTTATTTATATTATTGAATGTTATTTCAAACTCAGAAAGTTTGTTTGTCGGTGAATGAACGCATGTGCTACTATAAAGCTGTCACTTCCGAATACAGCTAAAATGTATAAGTGGCAGGTGTATTTCAACAATTGCAGTGCCAGTGCCAAAAAAATGGATATATACAACATGTATACACCTATATCAAGAACTATGCATTACATATATTATTTATATCAAGATGTAAGAAGGCCAACTGGATGGAATGAAATAGATAATCATTTAACACCACACCCCATTACTTGTGAGATAATGATAACTTAGCTCTCGGAAAATATCAAGTTGCAAACACTTCAGCAAGCCAAATGTAACCTCCTGCCCCCTCCCTCCACACACACACCTTCATATTTAGATGATATATCTCCTACATCGATCTTAAGTTACTGTAAAAGGGAGGGGATGTCGAAGAAAGATTATATTAGTCTACAATATGACGGTATGGAACAATCTTGAAATTTCATTTACTTTTTGACATTTGTATCTTGTAGCAGGTCCCCGTCTTCTTCGTCCTTTGAAGTGATTAACTAACCCACCAGGCCTATGTAGTCGATGAATAATGTGTCGTATGTAGCTGCATTTTAATAGGTTGCTAAAAATAGAGCAATATGGCAGTAGGATGCACAGCGAAGCCACTAAAATAACATAATATATTCCTACTCGATTTTTAGTACGAGCAGGCAGGTAAGAACCGACTTGAATACATTTATGGTTATAATGGAAATGAACCGTCAGCAGTTCCTGCTTACAGTGAGTTTATTGGTTTCCGTGCATGCCATACCTGTGACACCACCTCCCTTCCACACACACAGACTAATTTCTTGTCCTGGGGGTCTTGTAATTTACCTTTCTTGCTGTGTAGGCAGTATGCATTTGATTAAGATCAACATATATTCGAGGGAAATGCTCCTTAATAAGTTATGTTTATACACTGCAAGTAATTCAGGGGACGGTGAACGTACATTTATCAGGAGTTGGACAGACGTGTATACAGTATGTGAAATGTTATACTGTACTGTTTAAAATAGCAGCGATCATAATGATTATATATATTATTCTTTTTATTTTACTTTAGTACAAAAGTTGCATTTCATATATACAACACCCGATTCCTGGTATTGAACCGACTGCGGTTATCAGTTTGCGTCCCTTTATTTTAGAAACTCTAATACATCCAGTCAACAAAGCAGTACTAGAAAGGTATACACACAACTCTCGTTTCTTAGGAGGCTATGATAGCTCAGTCAAGCTACAACATTGGACTTTAAAACCTCAGATGAAGATCCGGGGTCTGTGCATATGGTGTGATGATCCTTAAACAACTTGATGTGGATTGGCTTTCACAGTGCGATCCTGTCTTGTAGTGTACAATATGTACTTGTGCCCTAGGTCAGACACTTTACCCTGATTTCTCTGGGTGACTTGTGGTGTGCCTCCTGTACATAATTCCATGAGGTAGTGATTTGCTACTACAAGAAGACTCACCCATCTCAAAATTATTTTTTATGGGGCATCAGAAATTTGGCAAATAATCAGATGTAAAACTTTCAAACAAACAAAAACCTATAGCCTGCAATAAACATCGGCCTATAAATGTGTAGCCCTTGTAAAATGCTTGCTGCAATATACCACTTGACTAGAGAGAACATTTCTTCAGCACAATCAGTTGAGCATCGGGCTATATAGCTGGTAGTCCGAGGTCATGGGTTTGAAATCCTAACAGAGGCATTGGTTTGAATAATGACCTTTAAACATGAGTGTAATTATTTAAAAATCTCAATGCCTTGGAAGGCAAATTGAAAATAAAAGATGCAAAATCTTAAGTACATTTCACTGCACATTTTTGATCTTTCAATACCTCAAAAATGACTTGGTCAGGAATATTTTTCTTTCTATCATTTTTAGAAAAGAAAAAAAGTGAGAAAATGTGAAATTGGACATAAATACTACTAACATTAATTACAGAATACATTTATTTTGGAAAATTTGCATACAAGCTTATTAGATTGTTATTTATTTCTTTGGCGAGTAAACTTCATTTATTTTACAAAAATTGTAAAATGAGATGTTCCAACGGATATCAATCACTCTTGTTGGCCGATGTAGGTGGGGAGGTGACCCAACGCTTTTCACACCAATTTGGGAAATGGAGTCTTGGTATCTAGGTGAAAGGTGGGTGAAATACTACTGCCTACTCAACAACCCATATACAAAGTTGTATGTACAAATAGTTTTATGTGGGGTAAAGATAGATTTTTTTAAGAATTGAAAGTACTGAAGCTGCTGCATGATGTTGAGTATATATTTGATATGGAATAAAGTTGATATTTTTCTGAATTTTCAGATGTAACCAACCAATGCTGCTGAAAATGGAAAAACTCAAGTTACGTTTTCACAACTACTTGAAAAAAATCCTTATAGAGGAGCTTGATTTTTCAGAAGAGATAAAATTTCAAGTGTCTTCAGATATATTTGTGGACAATTTTGAGAAAATTTCTTTTTTATGGAAAGATCAGTTTTTGAAAAGTACTCACAGGGAAGATTTTCTTCAAATCCAAAGAACAGTTTTACAAGATGTAGTCGGTTGTACAGAGTTATCTACCCTACGAGATTTGGGACTTGTATTTCTGAAGCCACTTACGAATGCAGAGATACAGACTGAACCAGATAGTTGTGTTCATGTAGAAATCCAGACTGATCATGATCATGAAAGAGTTTGTAAGACAGACAGACTGGGACTTCAAAAGGAAATGAGAATTTGCCAAGATGTTTGTACACAAACAGACACACAGGATTTGGTTTCACCCCAGGTGGAGCAAGCTGTCGGTACATCTTCGATCATTCAAGATTCTGTGTCAGACTCATCGCTGGACACTGGTCAACCTGCAGTTAGTCCTCCAGACAAAACTACAGCACCTCCACCTGGTAAGTATCAGTGAGGTCTCAGAATGAATAAATGTGAAATTCACAGAATAATTTGATTGGTGAAAAATAAAATAAGATAAAAACAAAATAATGTAAATCACTTATGTTGCGTGTCAGATTTATTTTTGTATTAATATGCAAGGAAAGTAAATAGCAATTTCAAATCCCTTGCGACTTTTACAGAAATAATTCCTGACGACATCTATGCTAATTTGGTTACCAATATCGAAGTCCATATATCTAATGACTCATTATTTGTAAAAAAATTATAGTCATTTCTAGATCGCCGCTTGCAAAATCATGTATTGGGGAATGTGTCTATAGAGGTAAGTTTGTGAAATAAGCTATTCACAAAATCTTAAGTGATTGATAGTACAAGGCATTGATTTGTGATTGAAAAAATATGATAACCTGCATTCTACATGTTAGTCAGCTTTGCAAATAATTTGCATGTGTAACTTATTGAAAATGTATTGCTATATATAACACATGTAGAGTTTTAAAAGCATTCTGTCATTATTCAGGTAAACGATTAAGAAAATTGACGATTAACCTGGTATCAAAACAGATCAAAACAGAAAAAAAATGTGATTCAGACTACGAACCCCCAGAATTTGGGGAAACAACAGACGATAATTCAGATACCGGTGAGAATCAAGACGTGGTGGTCATCAAACCAACACCAGTGCTCTCCCCAGACGACGAGAAATTGTCAACATCTCTTCGACAGGAAGAGCTTACATGTCCACTGTGTCCATCCAAATTCCGAAGTCAACAAGGAGCTGAGAAACATTTGAGAGTGAAACATGATATTGGAAATGTTTACATATGTAAAATTTGTCAGGATATTTGCCCGTCCAATACAGCAATGCATGAGGTAATAGGATCTGTCAGATCAAATTAGTCTGTTAATTTATTTTCTTGTGTACCAAAGTAATACAGAATCGGAACACCCATTCTGCTGTAAAAGTAGTTTTGTCTCATAGTATCGTAATACCTGTTTTTCTGTAAAATTTGTCCAATCTCATAAAATATGCAGTAATTTGTAGAATTTGCCCTGCCTATCACAGTGATAAATGAGGTGATATGTAATCTTGATTAATGATCTATAAAGATTGCCTGGACATCACAATGATAGGAAATATTATCTTTAAGCTGTTGTGGGAAAGTCTTTATTAATTTATTCATTCATTGTTTTAAATTTTTGTAATTATGAACGAAAAAACTTACCTGATTTTAAGAAATCTTTCATTTTTTTTACAATTTTTTCTACTATGTTACCTCTGGCGAAAGGGGATTTTTCCAGACAGCTGTACAATATAAACAGTATAAAATACTGACTGATGATATTAGATGAATCACTTTCTGACTTATCCATGTTCTAAACTTTTTCTATTTCAGCACATGACTATAAAGCATGGGGTAGCAGACTTACCTGTCATCGATAAACGTAGGAAAAGAAAGAGAAAAAATTTGCCGCAGACCTTTAAAAAAGCCAAAGTTTCACCTATTCAGAAACCTGTATCAAAGCTAAAATCTAAGACTAATCGTAAAAAGAGACCAGGTAGGACTGTTGATAAACCAGACGTGATCAAACATAAATGTTCCCACTGTCCAAAACTTTTCAATGCAGTGAGCGCCATGCAACGCCACATGCGGGCAAACCATCAATTTGCGACGGTGCAGAAATGCAACCAGTGTTCCAAAACCTATCTGTCAACGCGAGCTTTACGGCGACACATCACCACTACGCATCAGTTCTCACGGCACCAGTGTGAATTATGTGGGAAGGAGTTCACAAGTAAGGAATCCCTTTATCATCACAAACGGGGACTGCACAGCGATAACAAACCCTACAAGTGTGAACAGTGTGGTGCGTCTTTTAATTTCAATCACAGTCTGCGACTGCATCAGTTAAAACACAGTGGAAAACGTCCACATAAGTGTACACTGTGTGATAAAAGCTATCTCACTTCAAATCATCTTAAAATGCATGTTGAAGGAGTCCATGGTAACAAGAAGAAATATTCCTGTAGTATTTGTGGTAAAGCGTTTTCCTACACGACCAGTCTGCGTGTTCACGAGATGTCCCACGGTAATATTCGTCCCTACAAGTGTAAGTCATGTGGGCTTGGCTTTATCAATAGTCATGCCCTGAAATACCACACGGAATCCAAACATGCTGCTGATGTCTGGTTTAGCTGCGATATTTGCGGCAAAGATTACAAAACAGAATTTCTAATGAAGACACATCGCCGCCGCCATACTGCGGATGGAACCCGGTTTATGTGCGACATATGTGGACATCTGTTTATGTACAAAAGTACGCTTGAGATCCACGCAGCTGTGCATAGTGAAGAAAAGGCATTTCAGTGTAGTACTTGTGGAAAATCATTTAAAACCTACGCAACATTATACTCACATCAGTATGTTCACAAGACAGAAATGCCATATGAATGTCCAGACTGCGGCAAGGCATTTAAAACAAAAGAGAGGTGTAAGGCTCACCAACGGCGCCACCTGGGACTCAAACCTTTCGACTGTGATCAATGTGGTCGTTGTTTTCCTGACAAGGGAGGGCTCACTAAACACAAGAAGACTGTACACTGCGTGGAGAAGAAACATGTTTGCACCTATTGTGGTAAAGCATGCTCAAGGGCAGATAACTTACGTGTGCACATGAAAGTACATGAAAAGAACACAACAAACCAAAGCAAAAATATTTCCGGGTCTGGACCTGGTTTGTCAACTCCTGTTGTGAGGAAAAGCCGAACACTTCCCAAGATTGATGTCAAACTGACGACGCCCTCTGTTGACCATCAGATGGAATCTGTTCCAGTCTACAGAGTGGAGAATGAACTTGACCGAATAACCTCAGAACATGGTTATGAACGCCTGATAGAGAATCTTATAGATAGAACTATGGATAAAACAGGCGATCCTAAACTACCCTTTACCCAGACCCGGCCAAATGTGGGCGGGTCTGCTCCTCCTCCAGCGTCCACGACCCCGGGGGGCGAGAGCCTTGTGAGCAACATTTCTCCCGTCCCTATATCTCCACCCCTCCCTCGAGTGTATGCTGACCCAGGTCATTCCTATGAGTCTGAGTCGGCTTCCCACATTGTGCCCCTTCCTTTAGCTATGACTTCTCAGGATGGGCCTGCAAGCCTTCAGCAGACTCCTCAAGGGATCGGCACACCACTGCCTCCTAACAGCACAACGCTGCCACCACCACCACCTGCGGCTCCTTACATGTATATGTGGCCTTACATGCATCATTCTAACCAGAATACCAGTCAGTCCCATGAAAGCAATTTTTACTGAGTTTGTGTAACTTAGCAAATGTGTTCCATATTTATTCTGCAGAAAGCCTAGAGGACCAATATGTCCAAGATCAGGGGATGGGCTTATTACAAATGCATGAGATGTGGAGCAGAATACTCCTTCTGAATTCTTATTAGTGAATACATTCTATATGATGCATGAAGTCCAGGAGGGTTTGGGGGCAAGGAGGGGAAGACAATTCTGTTGACATCTCTCATGGTTCAGGGCTGGGCTTATTACAGGAACAGCACAAGATTTAAAGATTTATGTTGCAATGCAATCCTTAATTCCTTTTTCTGAGTAAGTGCTGGCATATTCTGTATAAGAGTGGCAATTAGCCTGTGCCTGGTGATAAGCCAATGTCTGGTAATAAACCCATATCTGGTAATAAGCCCATATTTGGTAATAAGTCCATGTCTGACAATAAGCCCTTCATATTGGTGTTCAATGCATTTACGATTAAATACTAATTGTCCATTCCCATCGATATTTCACACAAATAGTTTCAGTAGAAATGCCACAATATTCTGTGATTTGCTGACACTATACCTGCTTCCCTGACAAGTAAATATTAGTCCCCTCGGCTTTATTCAGAATAAATTCAGAGCAGTGATATATTCCTTAAAATACTCCATACATTTTCAGAAACAGGGTAATTTCTAGTGCTCATATAGTAAATCCTTCTTATTTGTTGACTGAAGTGGCTAGTCAATGTGTAAAATGTATAGTGTATGTAATTCATTATACTGTACATGTACAGTAAAGGTTGTTTATTTTCAATAAAAAAATTTCATTGTCTTTCCAAAAGGTTGCATTAAAACAGATGTACTTTCAAAGAAATAAATACACAAACTACTTGAAAAATTGATTTTCAAGGAATCTATTTGCTTTTTTTTCAAAATTCATTTCATCCTTTCAAAATAACTTAAACAGAATCCCTGAAAAATAGCAATCTTTACTGAGACAGATTCTGTACACAAAGTACAAATATTACCACTAATTAAAACATTAAGTATTGTTCAAGGCATTTCAGATGTATTGGAACTTTGTAACCAGTGTAATAGTAGCTGGTGAATTTAATTTGCATCCTGGAGATGTTTCAGTTTACTTCTGCTTGATGTTTTAATGAGTTCAATCTACTTGAATAATAATTTTATTTAAATTTTTCTTGTAGTTTTGGTTTATTGATTGACTTTTCAGTCCCGCTAAATGTTGTTTTCTTTGTTATGGAGTTAATCCTGATTACTTTTTTAAAGATTTTGCATATCTAGGTGGGAAAAAAATCTGGATTGGAATTCTCTAAATTTGTGGTTGTTCAAAATAAATGTATCTGGATTTTCACAGTGAGAGAGGACAAAAATGTAGGAAAAGATTCGTAGATATTTCTTGTATTTATTTAATCAAACCACTCACTTAATTCTAAAACATCATATTCCAGAGAAATATATATGAAGTTGATTTTTTATTATTATTTTTTTTTTTCTAAATCAGGGTTTTTATTTAACTTTTTAAAATTTTTACATTTTGTAATTAATGATATTTCAGTATGATTTCAGTACTGTTGTTTTTAGTCTCTCTGATGAAACGCAATAATTTTTCTTTTAAAATTAAAAATGAAAATTAAAATCGTTTTGATACAAGTTGTTAATGATATTTACATATTTATCATAACCATTAAAGATCAAGATATGATTGTAATACTTTAGGGTGAAGTGATGACCCCTAATATGAATTGATAGAAATTGATCACTATTGATTTATTGACCAGAGATTATTTTCTACTTAATGTACATTTCTTCAATATCTAATACTAGATATGGTAGCATTAAGACTTGCCAAAAAAATTTTTAGTTGAATTTAATTTTTTTGTGATACTGTGAAATCAATAATTTTTGTGGAGATTTTATATTCATTCATTTAGTGGATACTCATGATCAATGAAATTATATGTCTGTGAACTGTTAAAATAAGCATAAGCAGATTTATTGAGACATTTTCATGCATGGATTCAAGTGTTCATGAAAAAGGTCTTTTAAAACAAAACAGAAATCCACAAAAATTGAGCCCCACAAAAATATTTGATTTTACAGTGTTGTAATTTATTTTGATAGATCAGGTTTATTGTTATACAAAGTATTAATACATTTAATTGCTAAAATTACAAGGTAAAGAAAAAAGCATTATCAACTTTTAACAACAAAATATCTAGTGTCAAATATTTATTTCATGTGTTTATCATGTATACAAGTGAAACTTGTAAAATTAAAAAAATAATATATCCACACAATTGTAATATTTAGAATGCTTTACATGAATTTTAGTTTATAAGAAAATAGTATAAATTTCTACGTGCTTGGCTTGGTTTTCTCCCTTGCAGAGGTTTTCCAAGAAAATTATGTGTGGGACATGAAAATACCTCTTATTAAACAATGTATACCACTTGTGTTTTTTGGAGTTTTTTTATCGGTTTTTTCTGATCCTGAAGAAATGCACTCCCAAAACCTTGGTTTATTAATTACAAATCTTCTGTTTGGAATTTTTTTTCAGTTCTTAATCATGGATAGATAAATGACAATACTTTCTGCAATTCTGTACATCAAAAGGAAATGAAAATGAATTGATTATACACTTTTTTTTTTGTAGAAAATATAAATTTAAGCTACTTTAAGACCTTCAAATAAATGCATCTTCCTTCCCTGACTGTTCACAGGGCAATGAACCCAGCAAACAAACATATTATGTACTTGTGTCCAAGGTGACAGGGTTTGTCAGCATGATGTAAATGTTTCTTCCATGGTTAAAATATTGTAGTTAACAAAGCTTGAAGCAAAGAGAATTGATATTCAACAGAAATTGGGAAATGCACAATGAGTTTCTCGAACAATTTTATTTTCAAGGAATCTATTTTTCATGATTTTATTCCGTCCTCAAAAATAGTGAAAATAGCCTTTACAAGACATTTACAGGTTCAAGTTTGACACAATATTTCTGTGTTGACTATCAACTGATCAGTATGATTGGAATAAAATTGATTGTATAGTCTATCATCCAGTACAGTAAAATTTGAATCGGGAAACAGACTAGGAAGCAGAGAGAACAGCTTAAGCTCATGGTTAGCTCAAAATAATGCAAAATGTGGTTTCAAGGTGGTATGTTGTGTCATTTCTATCCTTGCAGAGATTTCAGAATATATAAAAACTAAGGAATGATAAGGATATTTTGTAAATTCTTGACAATATTTTTTTGACTCTCAAAAGGAATTTTAGACTTTTTGGTTTGAAGGGACATGGCCAGATTTATACACCTTTTGACTCTCTTAACTTAAATTGATTTCTGACTTTGCCAAATTTGAAGGATCAGTTGAATACCTTGTATAATTCTCTCCAAGTCGGGTTTCCAGAAGACAGTCACCATAACTTGTACATTATTACTTTAAAATCATATTTTCATGAGGCTCAAATTCAGCACTTTACTAAAAATATACATTTCTGTTGGCACTTGATTTTGTAGATAATTCTTCCCATCAAATCAGTTAGTCTTATAGCCAATGTCAAATTTTATTGTTAAATAATATGTGGACATATAAATTCATGGATTCAGAGTACTAACCGATTCAACGAAAATAAGTCACCAACAAAAATGAATTATTTTACAGCATATTATGACGTTAAATGAGACACAACTAAGGGAAATACATTGTGATGTTTTATTCTGTCATACTGAATGCAACCTTTCAAACCTACTGATAACTGTACATGAATGAATAAAATTTCTATTCTTTAAATTTTATCCCGCATAAATGTATACAAACACATATCTTAATTATGATGAAGTGAATTTGACCATATTTGGAATGTTACGATGAAACTTTGAACTTACTGGTATTTGATTGTATTGTAACATAACTAGATCTATAAACAATGGTTTTATGATATAATATACATGTACACATAATCTAGCTTTTTCTACAATTTCAATTACAACCCATTATATCTCCCAGTGGCTGGTGTGTTGTCTTTACAGGCCATATAACAGTGCACAGTGATTTGATCAAAAGACTGAAAGCTGTATTAGTAATGAACATATACACAATAGAAAACAAATTAAATATTAAATGATTCCATAAATTAAATGATCATCTTCATAAAGAAAACAAAATGATATCACATGCTCTCTCAGCCAAAGTCCCACAAAAAACTCTTTAAATTCAAATACTCATGAAAAGAAAGACTTGCAAGGTGGCAGGTATCATTCTGATGATTGTGAAAATACTGTTTTACATGGCAACAGATTTGTACTTCATCTATACAAACTATCTGTAGGCCATTATATAACAGAGGTAACAAGTCTTTGTGATCTTATTGCCACACTCTACATACTTTATTTCCACATATATTCTTCATAAAGAACCCAGATACATGTACATAAGATTCTCACATACACTCCCCATACAGTTCCCAAATACATTCCCGATACAGTTCCCAAATACATTCCCCATACAGTTCCCAAATACATTCCCGATACAGTTCCCAAATACACTCCCGATACAGTTCCCAAATACATTCCCCATACAGTTCCCACATACATTCCCCATACACTTCCAACTTTCAGTCATCATACAGATTGCACATACATTGTACAGTTCCCAAATACATTCCCGATACATCTGACAGTTCCCACACACTATCCATAGTTCCCACATACATTCATCTGACAGTTCCTGCATACATTCCTCATACCATTCCCACATACATTCGTCATACAGTTCCCACATACATTCGTCATACAGTCCCCACATACGTTCCTCATAAAGTTCCCACATACATTCTCCATAGTTCCCACATACATTTGTCATACAGTTCCCACATACGTTCCTCATAAAGTTCAGACATACATTCTCCAAAGTTCCCACATACATTCGTCATACAGTTCTCACATACGTTCCTCATAAAGTTCCCACATACATTCGTCATACAGTTCCCACATACATTCGTCATACAGTCCCTACATACGTTCCTCATAAAGTTCCCACATACATTCGTCATACAGTTCCCACATACGTTCCTCATAAAGTTCCGACACACATTCTCCAAAGTTCCCACATACATTCATCATACAGTATCCTCATACATCCATCATACAATTCCCACACACATCCTACAATGTATATAAAATTCCCATACACTTCATATTAATTCCTCAAAAAATTTGTTTCCCACATATCTTTCCCATGGTTTCCACAGACATGCCACATCTAAATTTTGGGAAATGATGGAAAACACAAGAACACAGATCTAATAGCAAATGGTAGCAAGTTCTGAACAAATAGTTATCATAATCAGTGGTTTTACACAATGATAAAATAGTTCAAGAAGTAAATCAGACTGGTTTATAATTATCAACACAACGATTCATCTTGTACAATCTGTATACCTCAGCGAATATACGATCCCTTGGTTATTTGTCTGATGAATGCGATGGGATATAGTCACCCAAGAGTCACACACATATTCTCAAACAACTTGTAATAAATTCACAAATTTCTCACTATTTCAAATTGTTGGAGATAAGTTCATGGCAAGTAAACAGGAATGTTGAAGTTTATTAATTCCAAAAGTTAAAAAAAATTAAGAAGTTGTGTGAAGTTCTTTTTATAATTAAACTGGAGACAAGTCATTATGCATATAAATACATTATTTACATAACAAGTCATGTTCAGTAATAAACCCACTCATCTCTTTTGTTTTATCATAGAATTATCTATACTGTTTCTTTGTCCGGTAATAAGCCCAGTCCCTTACTTTGAGTTAGAGGTTATGTGTTGACCATTGGGCTTATTGCAAGACAGAAATAGCAAGTATTAAACAACCACCTCCCCAATGATTCTCTTGCCAAAAAAAAAATCAAATTAATAAGTCATCACATATTTAACAAAGGAATTAAAATTGATCTTGTAACGGCTGACAGTTCGGACGGTTAATCTCTGTCAGTGGGACTCTTCCAGTTTCATGGAATTCTCCATGTTGAGTAGCTATATACAAATGTCTATATACAACAACCTCTCTCACTGTCTTCTACAACACACAGTCATCAATCAGCCATGTTGTTTACACTTTTGACATATTTCTTGCATCTATGATCAACTAATCACCCTTCTTGTACTATTTACAATTCTTATGTACACATTTTAAATTAAAATAATTTAATTTTTTATTTCATTTTTTTCTTTAGAAAATTGTGATATATTTTGTATTTCTGAAAATAAAGCACCATTATTTACAACAAACAGACAAAACACTACTACAAAAACTGACAAACATTTTTCAACAACTATCACTTTGGTATGATATCTGAGATGTTATTGAATCAAAATAAACAAGTTACCATATTTATCAACCAATAAGCCCATGTCTGCTAATAAGCCCACCCCGAATTTATCGTAGTTTTAGTAGATGTCTGTATCATTGTCCTGTTATAAGCCCACCTTTGTACTTATGTCAGCATTGATTAGACAGTTTCTGGGCTCATTGAATGATAAATAAGGTATACACGGCCAAAATCAATGGAGATGGTTATATTGGAACAAACTGATTGCACATATTCTTGTGATTTTGAGACAATGCTTCAAAAGACCTATCCATCTATCATTAACCCCTACCGAAATTTTACACAGACGTTTTGTCCTTGATTAACCTGTATTGACAAGGTTAACAAATCTCATCTACACCTCAATGGCAGAATGTTATCATTTAATCTATTTTTATGTTTCAGAATAACTAACAAAATATACGAGGAGACTGAAGACCTATTACTGAAACAACCAATTTAGACTGAGTACTGTAAATCACTTATATTTCATGTCGCATTTATTTTGTATTAATCTGTTAATCTGAGTAAATTGTGAATTCAAATCCCTCAATATTATTTGTACGAAAATAACTCCGAATGGCATCCATTTTAACTCGGTTACCGATTTCAAAGTCTTGCAGAGTCCTTGTCCCTAATACCTCAACATACCAAATTTTAAAAACATTTCTAGATCATCATTCGTAAAAAATGTATTTGTGAATATGTCTAAAGGTAAGTCTGCAAAATTAAATATTCGCGAAATCTAAGTGATTTTCAGTAGTCTATTTTTACACTTGTCATGTTTATAGATTTATGCCTTGTTCAAATTTCTTAGAAATAGAGAAATGCAAAAAAAATTCTCAAATATAATTTACCATAAATTGTAAGTATTGTTTGTGATCAGTACATAAACAGGAAAACATCAACATACAAACATTCACATCACCAATCAAACAGCTGTCCAGACAATGGCAAGTGACATCATTTGATTGCACATCATGTCAATATCTGCAGTCATATTAAGCTATCTGGTACCTGTGTCTTGTCATAAAGACTATACAAAAACCTGTCTGTTGTCTAAAAGTTTATTTTGAATGAAAGGACATCTTCAACAATGTGTATGTACTAATATAAATGTTGATATTTTGAACATATCAAAAATATTATCCTAGACAATACACAAAATGTTCATATTTTGGGTATTTCATTAAATATTCATGTTTCTTACACCTCCTTAAATGTTGATATTTTGAATAGTTTGGAATAGACCACAAATCATGAAATTTTTAAACATATCACAAAATGTTGATATTTGCGACATATCACATATGTTGATATTTGCGGCATATAGTTGATGAAGTCAGACAGTTTCTTCGTCAGTAATCACTGGTATTTATATAAATTAATCCTGCTTCAGATCAAGTATTACAAGTAAACCTAGGACCTCAAAAATCAGAAATAAATTTACACAGGCACGTTATCTATGTAAGGGTATAGTTTTCTCGAGCACTACATAACCAAAACCGTATACTTTATATTTTTAATTTAGGGGATAAAAAAAAATCAGTTGACTGGTAGCAAATCACATGTAGGCCTGTATTGATAAAACTCATGCTCAAAGTCCGTATTGAAACTCAATATTTTGTATCCAAAATTCATTTTGCACTCAAAACCAAGAATATTTTTTTTCCAAAACTCAAAGTTCTGTACATAGAGAACTTGATAATTTGTGTTCAAACTCATGGTTCTGCACTAAAACATGATATTCTGTATTTAATTTCAACATTCTAATCTTAAAACTCAAAAGTCATATACTCAAAATTCATAGTCCAGTACTCAAATCCATTATTTTGTACTCAAAGTTCTTGGCTCTATGCACACCTTATATCATAACTGTACAAATTTGTAGCCAAGTACAAATACGATCAATCATTACATGAATTAGATTCAGAACAGCAAAGTGACGAGAAAAAAACACTTGAGAAAAATTAAGTTTTCAGCTCTGTTTTAAAACTACAGGCCTGTTTCTTTCACACTCAACATATATTCACATTTTCAAGTAAAAAACCTCCAGATCAAGAACTAACACATTGATTCGATAATTTCCTATCATACACATGTGTCTGAATGTGTCTGGAAGGAATGTTTCTTAAATCTGTTTTTGTCTCCCTTGCCGCTGTGTTCAACACTCTGTTTTCGATGATGACCTGCAAATTTAAAGGATAATAATAGTGAAAATAACAAACAGGCAACTCTGATCAGGTCCCCAATAATTCAAATTACTGTTGAACATGTTTGATAAAATCAAGAAAATAGAAAAAAAAAAACAACAATACTAAGGTACTGCTTATGATGAAAGTACATCACAGTTAATTACACTTAAATAGTGCTTGAATTTTAGGTTGAAACAGTTAGACATGCTGAGCTTGTGACAAAAAAGCCAAGTACAGATCAGGATTGAGGCTTGACTGCTGAATCTTTGCAGGAGTGAGCAATATCTGTCCCATACTAACTGGCAATATACTGTTAAGTTTCAAAATTACCTCATGCCTAAATGCTGAGGTACATATTTCAAGAAAAGTTATTATATACAATACAAGGTAAATTCTTACTCCAGGTAGCAAATCAAGACACTGCCTTATAAGCTTAAACATTTCCAACAGATGTGTTTATTTATTGTTAAATTTTTCTGTGCTGCATGTACCATTTCAAGTTTAGGTACAAGTGGTCTGTGTTCTGTTTATATGGTATGGGGAAATAACTGGAAAGTTTGGTCTTACCCAGTGTGACCAGCGCACTAGCAATAGCTACCCCAGAACTCCCGCTAGGGGTCCAGTCCTCATCACCAGTAGGGAGTTGGACTATAAGAGTGAGCACTGCTGCCTTCTGGGTAATTAAAGGCTCCAGTGCCACCTGACTAGGTTTATTATTTATCTGAGGAGAAGATAAACACACGTAAATGGCGATCATTAAAATTAGGCCAAGTAAGTCAAATATGAATTACAATCCATGAAGTAAAACTGATAATATTCGTTTTTTATTTATCAAACACGAAATTTGAAGTCATGAAGTTCATAATACTTAAACCTTTCATTTAATGTATTAAAACATTGCAAAAATTCAACTTTTACTGTGTTTTATCGTCTTTACGGCCGTCAACATTTTATTAATACTGTGGAATATCCTACCTTTTTACGCTTTCTCAGCTCCAAATTAAGATCTTTCTTTTCTGCAATGTAATTATCAACTTTTCGTTCGATCTCCAAGGTAACTGAAGAAAATGGTCTACTGGCCATTTCCTCCATCTCGACAATCATCCGCTGTAAAATCAAAACATCACCATCATAAAATGTATCGACTTCTAAGTAACAAACTGGATCAACTCTACATACATTCATTGAAATTTTCTTCTCAGCCACTTACAACAATATAACAATCTGTCTGGAGAGTTTTACACAAATATGTGTGTACAGTAAATGTATCAACTTCTTAGTAACAAACTGGATCAACTCTACATACATTCATTGAAATTTTCTTCTCAGCCACTTACAACAATATAACAATCTGTCTGGAGAGTTTTACACAAATATGTGTGTACAGTAAATGTATCAACTTCTTAGTAGCAAACTGGATCAACTCTACATACATTCATTGAAATTTTCTTCTCAGCCACTTACAACAATATAACAATCTGTCTGGAGAGTTTTACACAAATATGTGTGTACAGTAAATGTATCAACTTCTAAGTAACAAACTGGATCAACTCTACATACATTCATTGAAATTTTCTTCTCAGCCACTTACAACAACATAACAATCTGTCTGGAGAGTTTTACACAAATATGTGTGTACAGTAAATGTTAGTTTTCAGGTGTAATATTTTTGGCATTTTTAGACGATGGAATTCATCTGCAAAAATTCTTTGAAAATGAAATTCTTGATAAAAAACGTGAACCCCACATCCCTTTTGTGTGAAACTTTTGGATAAAAAGTGGAAAAATTTGACCTATTAAAAAAAGCAATCATTACAGTATTTGAATTTATTCATTACAGAAGTTTTTTATCAGATGTAAAGTTTCTATCTAGAAATGGCGAGAGCAAAGTATGAATCGAAAAGGGTGGTGAAGTAACTATCATCCTAGCCACTGATTATCTACAATAACATATAGTAGATAATATTTGTAGGGATTTTATTTTGCTATATTCAAAGTTAATAAAGATATTGCAAAATTGATTATCCACCAAACATTTCTACAGTGAATGAAAAATTAAAAAACTAGAAAATGTCTGTAAGACATGAATATGCCCCCCCCCCCCCCCCCCCCCCCCCCGATGTGAAATAATAGCGAAAGGTCCGAATGAAGTTGTTAGGTAGTATATACTGATTTGGGACGCGACGCTACCGGACGGGACGGAACGGGACGGAACGGGACGCGACGGGACAGGACGGGACAGGACGGGACAGACGGACATGGGCAACACTATATGACCCCGGCCATAAATGGCGGGGGCATAAAAATCTGTTATGCATGTATACCAGTTCGCATACTTACAAAAAATTTAACATGTGTAAACTAGATAAAACCAAGAAAACCATGAAATATTAGCACTGTCAGATAATTACCTGTCTGCGTCTGTAGTTGTCATATTTGTGTTTGATCTTATACAGTACTGCTGCTATGATGAGCAGAGACAGGAAACAACTGAAATAAAAAAAGTATAACACTGGTTAGCCATAGATGTAGGAAGAGATATACATAATGGATCAGATTTTTCTAGCAACTGTAAGATAACAAATTTTTGTGGGCATTTTATTTTCAATGATTTTGAGGGCAATTTTCATCCACAATCTGATAAGTCCATGAAAAGATTAAGAATTAAATTTGATAGAAATGTTACCTTTAGTGTTAGTGATTTTGTGAGCACTATTTATTTGCGAAATCAAAAAGTCAACCCGAGCCCAAAATTTGAATCCCACAAAAACACCTGACTTTACATGTACAGCACCTATTTTTTAAACATGTTCAATTCTTCTATTGATGAAAAGTTTATTGATCATGTGCAGTACATTTTATAATCTTATACTCAATTACATGAGCATAAGATTTCTATTCACAAAGTTATGAAATTTATGAGAATATGTTAAGTGGAAAACGCTGGCCTCATTTAAAACATGCACATTTGACAAGAAAGAGTTTACTATGGAGAAAACTTTCTGACATCATTTTATGCTTTTCCTTCGCTTGTTTTTTTAGATTTATGATATTAACACATAACAGGATGGAATACTCATAACATTGAAAAATGACATAGACTTTGCGTAAACTAATTACAGAGAAACACAAATGCATAAGCACATTTATCTACAGATGGGACATACCTCCAGATCATAACAATTTATCAAATGTTAGCTAAATTATGTTTTAACTACATAAACTTAGTATCTACTATGAGAAAGACAGCATATGGAAAGAGGAAGAAAGTAAATTAGACATACTAAAGTAAAGATAAGAGACAGCTATGTAATCTGGATACACTTTCAGAATATAATTATGCTTTCAAAAATGAAACAAATTTGGCAACTGACTACAGCAAAATAACTATTTTATTCAGAAAAAAAATTCTCAGAGGAAATTTTAACAGTGATAGAGCATTTTATGAAACATGATTTTTTTCTAAAAGGAAATTCTAATGATTATTTTATGAATTCAAAAAATGAAATTTAAAGTGACAATTAAAACAATTATCCTGTAAATTTAAAGCAACTATTTATTCTCGAAGAAGAAATTTTCTTCAAGATGGTATTCTTAAGATTTCATTTTGAAAATCTAATAATTTTTCCTTATGAATCTAACATTATGGAAACATGAAATTTACACACTTGATCAAATATATCCTTGTTTCATATGATAATAAATTTGCAACAAAATTAATTTCAGTGTTTAAATACAGTTGGAACACATTCATTATTTCAAAATGCATATATGAAATTACTTGAATATATATATATCTACAAAACTGATAGATACCAACCTAGAAAAAAGGGTAAAAAACATAACCAGATTCAGAGACATGGATCTGACAAATGAAATCTGAAAGAAGAACCAATGTGTCATGCATTCTGATTATCAAAGAAAAACAAACCAAAACACCTGTATTCCAATTTGACGTCACTGGAACTCCATGCATGCTGGTGACATTTTTTTTAGATGGATCAATATAGATGATTTTTCCTGCCATTTTTGGGGTCAGTTACTTTGCATTACAAATCCTACTAAACTGATCAAGATATGTTAATTAAGAAAAGAGTTATTTTTTATGTACATTGTCTGCACACGCCCACTATACCCCCGGGTACAGTGACTAGTGCACAACTGTGTAAGAGGAATGCACTTTTTTGCATGGTTAGGTAAAAACGGTTGGCTAATATTACAGATTGAAAATTAAATGGAACTTATGACTGTATCAAAAAATTGATCTGTGATTATCACCAAAGTCATTTTTAATTTGACAGTTTTTTGAAATATCACTGGACCCTGCATTACCTAGTCTTTCGATTGTATACTTTCACACCCCACAAAGTGGTGAATGGTGTGCCTCTGGCTACAAAAATTACCTATATACTGGTATATAGTGTTAGGGCCAGGGATTTTAGATGATTCTTTACAGAGACAAAAAGAGATGTCCATTTAATGTTTACCTATATCTATAATGAGTGTCTGTACACTAACCCTTGTCACTTGTGGCGCTTTGTAAATAAAACACTTTAAATTCTGACTGTGTATAACTGTTCAGTCTGTAGCTGATAGATCTACATGAGTGCAACCTATAGATTTATGGCTTAATTAGGAAATAACTTACTTTTACTCATATGTATTTAGAAAACATCTATAAGGCATTTCTAAATTTACAACAACCATGATAGAATCGTTCATCTGTACGATAGAACTGTGACATGAGGTAGCTGACTTCATCCAGTTTTCCTATCGTGCACACATCTTGCAGACATCATGCACACATTGTACAACTTTGTGCGATCACACAACTGCACAAGCACCAAAATCTATCCCATACATGCATCAACACAGAGGAATAAAATTACTAACCAATCACCCAGAACACAGACCATTCTGAGCCATGTCAAAATGTCTACAGTAAAATTGGTATCTCTTGATCAACACATGCTGTATTAGGGTAGAATGTTAATTGTTTCTAAAGACAATGTTATTGAGGTACACAAGACACACTTCAATAACATTTACATGGGTCAAAGGTCAAAGGTTAAAAGGTAGGACTTTCACAGCATGCATGGATGATTTCCAAATAACCTCAAATATTAGCTAAGTACATCTATACATGGCTCACCGAAACTGAGGTAAAATCAGCTTTCTGGGTTTTATGTTAAAAAATTTCACCAATAAATTCGTCAAAATAATTTGATTCAAAATTCATACTAAGTAAAAAGATAGAAGTATTAATGGTATCAATTTTTTTTTCTAAAAACCAAAATTGTATTTTGGATTGTGATTTGTTTTATCCAGCATATCTGGGAGCCAGGTATGATTAGTTTTGACAAAATACACTAACTATAAAGTTACAACACATTCAACAAACCTACCTGAAAAAAGTCACAAAAAAGTGTAATAAATCTATTTTTGGGAACTGGGAAAAGGAGATCTGAAGAAAAAGAGACAATCAATAATAAAAGGTACATCTTATTATAGGACAGAGAAAATAACTCCTGTGATAGGCCAAGATGTCTCCAAAAGGTTTTGACAAAATGCAATATTAATCTGAAATTTGTGAATCCTGCACAAATCTAAACTCAAAATAGTAACAGTGCATTTTCATGATATGAGTTTATCCTTGCAAATTGACAACCTTGACTAAAAATAAACTTATTTTCACTTGCAAAATTATCTCTACTTATGATATGAAGAACTTAAATGCTGTGTCAAATAACAAATTAGTTATCCACTTTTCAAAGGTTAATATAAGGATTTGTCGATATTCCAAAGGTGATACTCTCCATAACGGCTTCGGGGAATATCATCTTTCTCAGGTTAACAAATCCTCATATTAACCTCAAAAAGTCAATCATTGTATAACATCATTACAGCACATGTTAATTCTCTATAGGGACACTTTGCTGCAGTTTAACTGTAGGTCCTTTCACGTTTTAAACAAAATGAAAAAATAGAGAGAGATTATAGTATTCTTATATCTTACAGCCAGACCATATCAATAATGAAATAACAAATGATATTTTCCAAATATGTTTGGAAAATGGGATAAATGCACTGCCTCTGTTGTACATACCTGTAACCAGAAGGGTGTTTGAAAGTTGTACACATAAACCAGGAAGGTTGTATTCTCTGAGGAACCAAACGAATAATCCTGATGCTCAAACTTGTCTCGGAAATAATTACATGAGTAACTCTCAACGAAGACCACCTCGTTTTTACTTCCTGTATGCAAAAATAATAAAAAATCCTAAATTCTACAGCATATACACATGTACTTGTACTAAAATTATCTGATATATGAAAATACGAAATTTATTTAATCACGGGGCTGCTACACCTCCCTGTCTAGATGTTGCCTTTTCTTTCGATCATTTTCGATTTTCCTTAATCACCTTTGCATCACTGAAGGATTAAACAGCTGTATGATGCAGTTTAATTCATTGTTTGGCTCTACTGTATCTAGCTCTGAATTTGTATTAAAAGCTGCAATTCACTTGTGTATCTTTCGTACAATCTCCTGAATTCTTTGATAATAGTTAACACACTTTTTCACCAAAATTTGATTTTCACTTTTACTTTAATGACTTGAAAATGTTAATAAAAAAATTTCATGAATTTGGAATTTTGTTCTCTGGAAAAAATGGTATGAATTATTTTCAATCTAATTACCTTTTCATCAATTAAAGTTTTATGCAAAATTTTTTAAATCAGCAAGTCAATTATAAAATTTTCAATCTAATTACCTTTTCATCAATTAAAGTTTTATGCAAAATTTTTAAATCAGCAGGTCAATTATAAAAGCACATCTCCGGATTTGTAATCACGGAAAAATAGAAGTGATTCCAACTTACGAGTTCGGACAGAAATATTTAGGAAAGCCTTGTCATCAGAGCAGTTCACTTTAAAATCCACATCTCTGTCACTCTGTAAGTAAAGAATGACAAAATAACAAAATAAAAACAAAACCAAAACATACTCCTAAGTATAGCCGCAAAGCCGCAAATATGAAATTAAACACTCCACACAAGTCACAATGTGCGTAGAAGTTGAAAGTAAAATACTTACAAGTCATAAAGCACTGTTGTATGCCTGACTAAATATATCCTCTATACATCACAATATATCTGTTTCTTTTATCATTTTTAAACAGTAACCTTAATTTTGTCCTTGGATACTTAAGTTCACCTCCCTTGCTCTATTTACAGGAAAATTTACTTTGACTTTGAACTCTGAAAATTCAATTTATTACTTTGTTGTTTTTTCAGAAGCCCTGGGAGGCATGTATCTCCTTGAAAATTAAACCTTGTGTTTAGTTAAACATTCATGAAACTAAGACTTTGTTCTTTACAGAACGAAAAAAACAAGCACAATACCATTTTACTTCTATAACAGATACTGTAAATGTTTCATTTTTCATAGTTTTTATTTTTGTTGAACTCATAGTTACTCTAAATCCACAAATTTCTATGTCTAGGAAATGACCGAAATAATATGAATTACGGCAAAGCCATTTACAACAAGCATAGTATTATCACTGATGTATTTCATTGAGGTAAAGAAACATGATTAATCATTTAGAGACAATATTCATTTAACCTAATAGAACTCTTCCTTATCTGAATAACTTTATCTCGTTCAGCCATACTCTTGTTGTCTGCACACATGATGAAGCGTTTTTGTGAGAGAGACTATTTGTCGCTATGTCTGCCATGTTGCTATGTTATTGGCGCAAAGCACTACTGGGAATTCCACTTGCATGTCATAACTTTATGACTGAACGTACGTCTTCAAATTTTGCAAACTTTGCAAGCATTCAAGCAAGGCTTACTATAAAAATCGACATGGATGATAGTTCTTCTGGATTTTGAACAAGATCAACCCATGACATGAAGCATTAACAAAAATCCAGTTTTGTAAAACCAAGAAACATGAACCCATTGAAAAGATTTGATTTTACAGTCTACAGATATGATGGATTTGTACTTACAGAAGATGGAATGTTCATGAAGTTTATCTGGGTGTAGTACTTGTCATCTCGTTTGGACAAATTGAAGGTAAACTGGTAATCTGTCACCAGGTCATCTGTTGGAAAACGGTCAAATCAGAATAACAGGTGACAAGTTGAAAGAGATACAGAATACAATAAAATCAATTACAAACATAAAACTCAGTGTAATTAAAAATCTTGCCTGTTAATTAAGTCCAACGTTCATATTCAAAACAATAGTATGAAGAATTATTAACCTATAGTCTAAAATGATTTCTCTTTGATCTGTTAATCTATTAAGATGTCAATATAATGATTACCAGGAGTATTTATTGTAAAAATAGTGACATATTACCCTGAGTACTAGAGGTAGCTGTAAGGTATGTGTTATATTTTATACTCACAGTAACAGGTGCCACCATTTCTGGGGTCTCCATAGTACTTGTGTGGTACATCACATCTAAAAGTATGATTTCATTATATAAATACAATGGGTTTTATCCTTGCGTTTGGTACAAAGTTGTGTGAGAATGATTGTAAATACTTTTCATACCTATCATCGACCACACCCCTTGTCCTACTGAAACACATCTCCAAACAGTTCTGTGTGACTGACTGTACTTACCACACCCCTTGTCCTACTGAAACACATCTCCAAACAGTTCTGTGTGACTGACTGTACTTACTTTTCATACCTATCCCCGACCACATCCCTTGTCCTATTGAAACACATCTCCACACAGTTCTGTGTGACTGACTGTACTTACTTTTCACACCGATCACCGACCACACCCCTTGTCCTACTGAAACACATCTCCAAACAGTTCTGTGTGACTGACTGTACTTACTTTTCACACCTATCACCGACCACACCCCTTGTCCTACTGAAACACATCTCCACACAGTTCTGTGTGACTGACCACATCTCCACACAGTTCTGTGTGACTGACTGTACTTACTTTTCACACCTATCCCTGACCACACCCCTTGTCCTACTGAAACACATCTCCACACAGTTCTGTGTGACTGACTGTTCTTACTTTCATACCTATCCCCGACCACACCCCTTGTCCTACTGAAACACATCTCCACACAGTTCTGTGTGACTGACTGTACTTACTTTTCACACCTATCTCCGACCACACCCCTAGTTCGACAGAAACAAACTCCAGTCTTATTATCACAGGTGTTGGCTTGTCCGTTACATTCACACACTGCAGAATAAAACACAGTATATCATGCATGAATATGATATTGTATTAATCCTACAATAAGACAAGCAACCCAAGGTAAAATCTGTGACAAGATATTTGTTGCCATTTTTACTTGATGTTGTGGGCTTATTTCCTGGCCTGGGCTTATTGATGAAAACAATACAATACAAACCCTTTGTGTAGTAAAGAGCAGGAAATGTATAATGCTCACCAAAAGAAGAATTTGTGACAGTAAATTAAAGTAAAGAATCATCAGTAAAGGTTGTTATCAAAGGTTCTGTGCTGATTTCTATGGTCAAATTTCTGATCTGTTTGGAAATACAATCCCCATCCAAGTGATAATGAGGATTGAAAATCACAAATTTCATCAAAGTGACCCATTACTTTTCACATCCATTTTTCAGGAAGTAATCTGTTTGCTTGCTAGGTTTATCTCCCTGTGAACAGCCCTTGGAGGCATAATCTCTTTCTAGAACCTGGTGACTACATCACTGAACAACATACAGGAGGCCCTTTGCATGCCATCAAGAGCAATTACAAATGGATGTCTTGCCTAAGGACATAACTATGTCACACAGGTGTGTTCTTAGCTTCCTGACAAACACTAACTACCCAAAGTTATCATCTACACAAAAATTTCAACAAAGTTATCTAATTCACGGGCATTGGGCACTGAATAAGGTACACTTGATATCTTCTTAGTATGAACAATGTATACACCAAATTTCATTATACTTGTTTAAATACAAGTTATGCTCTGAACACAATATCTTAAGAAGGGCAATAACTCTGTAATTAATAAGTTGTATGCCATAAATTTAGTACACTGCACAACCTCTTAGTATGACCAATGTGTACACAGAGTTTCCTTCTTAAACGGAGTAATTACAAAATCAATTGATAGGTTTGTCCTTTTTTTATATATGAACACATCCAGCCCAACAGACTTAATGGACAGATCAATCTCTGAATAAAGTTTGACCTACCTGAACATTTGCCACCATTTGTTGGGTCTCCATAATAACCGTCCACACATGATTCACAATGTTCACCTGGTAAAATAATGAAATGTACTACAAGCCATGTCAGGTGAGATCTGAGTGTGATCTTTGATAAAATATTTGTATTAAATGTTATCATGAGGATATGCTCTCCATTTTATTTCCTTTGAAAATGTACTGAACATTGGGCAATAGATTGGTTTTAAAAATAAATTATTTCCCATCTCAGAAGAACGTCTCCTGGGAGAAGATTTTAAAAAAATATTTTGCAGACATTTATTACAATATCTGCCAACTTTTTATTAAGTAAAGAGCATGACAAGGGCGACAGCTTGATCCTTACCAGTGGAAAGCATTACAAGGGAGATAACTGAAGCAATACAAGGGAGATAACTAACTGATACTGACCTGTGGTCATCCCATGACAGCTCTCACAGGCTCCAGTATCATTGTTGCACGTACTGTGACCATTACACTGGCAAGCTTCAAAGTATTTACAGCAAATAAATTAATACCCCTCAAAGAAATCTACCATTCAGTAATTTTCTTGGGTTTTTTAAATTTTCATGTGTATTTTTAATCCATAAATCCTATGTTCACCAAATTGACAAAATCAGATAACAAAATTGATATGATATTTAGTACTAGTGAATGTCTTCAGAAAGATTTACTTACAAAATCTTTTTTTTTCTTTTTGTCAAATAACAAAATTAAATCCCAATGAAAATTATGACATTATAGTAATTTCATAAAAAGAAATTAACATTTATGGGCAAATATTGTTCGATGATAACTTACAATACATACACCTTTTTTCACACTATATAACACATAATGACAGAATTTCTAAATGTTTAAAATAGAAATGGAATAGAATTTACAGAAAAGCGACTGCAATGAAGAAACATTTTCATACCTGGACACTGGGTGAAGAACCAACGGTCGTCAGGACACTGGGTGTTGTTGGCCTTTAAGGGGTCATGTCCAGGCCCCACAGCCCCACCCTCTAAACACTTTCCAATACCTGTATTACTTGGATCATTACACCAACCACACATTGGGTTAGACTGACACCTCTCACAGGTCAGCAGGTCTGAACAGCGTGTGGCTGAAATATTCAGGAATTGATTATTAGGATCAAAGTACTAGCATGTGGCTAAAGCATTGAGGTACTGTATAACAGGAAATTTTCATCATGGTTAATATTTCGCCCTTTCTGTTTATGAACAGGGAGGCCAATTCATCATGGGGGGTGATTTTTGTTACATATATATAACCCTTTCATAAATTCCTTACAGGGCAAAATGAACAGGAGACAAAATTGTGAATTTGTGAATAAGGTTGGAAATAACCCAGGATGAAATATCCCGATTTACAGTGTTTACTCTTACCAAAAGTACATAGACCTACCTGCACATCTGTTTTCACTCGTGGTCCATTCCATGCACTGTCCGTAAATGAATGAGGCCACGTAAGAATTGGTCTCCACACAGCGTCGCTTGTTGGCACACCACATACAGCTTTGGCGAGTACAGTTTTCGCAGTCAGTGTTGATATAACAGGGCTGAGCACAGGCTGTCTCACTGTTGTAGTCACTGTCCTTGGGCGTTTCTGAAGGTCAAATCACACTGTATAAACGCATGTCAACAGGCTAGCGCTACATCATAAACAGATGTATATTCATTACTGCATGTAGTGATCAATAAGCCCTGAAGGCTAAAACCTCTCAATTCAAAGGCAGCTTGGGGTAGGATTATTAGAGGCCAATAAATCAGAAATGTTGAAAATCAGATATGGGTTGGCTTATTAACAGACATGGACTTATTGCTGGATAAATGCAACTCCTCCAAACAGCCCCTGTAGTCTTAATCTAGTGAACATCGACAGATATGGGTGGGCTTATTACCAGACATAGACTTATCACTGGATAAATGCAAGTCCTCCAAACAGCCCCTGTAGTTTTAGTCTAATGAATATCAACAGATATGGGTGGGCTTGTTACCGGACATATACTTATTGCTGGATAAATATAGTAATCATCTGCATACCTAAGCCTTCGCTGAAGAATATTTTTACTCTTCTTTGAAATAAAGATTCCAATGACAAAACAAGAGTTCCTAAAGGGATCTTGGCACCTACTACTGTTCAATATTTATTTTGTGTTGAAAGATCTTTTCCCTTCTCTTCTTTCCTTTGATCTAGCTGCAATATACACGGGTATCATATGGAATTTGAACATTCCTCTACCAAATAGTGATAATAATCTTTATTTGTCAAACACAAAATGGTTGCTTGTTGGCCATTCTGTTTTTCTGATCAGTTACAAAATAAGAAAAGATAAAATCTATTGTAAACATTTCTGGACTCAGGGAAACGTATCAATAAAATCTGAGGAAGATTCATCCTATCCGTCCTAAGAAATAGCGACAAAAGATTTTTATAGTCACAATCCAAGATGGCAGCCTTCCAGTCGTTTTGTTTTTCTAATAAGTCCTAAAATAAAAAGCAATGAACTAATGAAATTGGGAAAGATCCATCAAGCAATTGTGAAAACAATAAACTATAAAAAATCCAAGATGGCCAGCTGTCAACCATTTTGTCTTTCAGATCAGTCCAAAAATGAGATAATGCATATCTAAAGGCCAAAGGGTCCCTACATATGAAATCTGAAAATAATCCATCCAGTACTTCTAAAGAAATAGCAATAGGAAGGATTGTTTAAGGACAGACAGACAGATGATGGACCACAAATGAACGAGTGAATTGAACCAGCCTACCATCTGATGATGGTGAACTGATTCAATTTTTGAAACGAATTGATACTACAGTGCTTGAAAAAAAATAAATATTGATGGTCGATGTTGAGAGTCAACATTAAGGGTCAATATTGAGAGTCAACATTAAGGGTCAATATTGAGGGTCGATATTGAGGGTCGATGAGCAACACTGTATGCCACCCTTAAAATGGCAGGGACATGAAAGACAACATGTGATTTTCATATATTTTTTTATCAAAAGCATAAACTGATTGCAGTGATAATACTGTGCTGTGATTACCTGAATCCATAAAAGCCATCGGTTGGTTTGGCGCACACTTTTTGTTCTTTCGGTTCCACTTGCAATGGTCAACGAGAGCACAGGCAAAGCAGTTGTGTATGGTATCACACTTCTTACTGTATTTAGATGGACACTGTGCTACATCGCTCACAAGGGACTGTCAATATAGAGACAAGGTGTAATTTAACATATCAGCCACCTCGGGCAGCTAGTCAAGCAACTATTGTAGGTAACGACACAAGGCTATGTCCACTTAAACAGTCTCAGCCTGTCAAAATGTTTTACATATGTAAAGTCTGTTGTTTACAAATCTGAGCCAAAAAGGTTTGAAATATGCATAAAAGTTTGGTGGTGAAAACTGAAACTCCAAAGAATTTTGAACTTGCATATTTCAGCAAACCTAAATATTGTTAGCTGGTGAGATCAGTAAGTTATCCAAAAAAGACTGTAAGTTACAAGAATACATTCATGTGACATATCAACACATCACTTGTGACATGTCAATTCATTCATGTGACATATCAACACATTCCTAGTGACATGTCAATTCATTTATGTGACATATCAACACATCCCTAGTGACATGTCAATTCATTCATGTGACATATTGACACATCTCTAGAGACATGTCAATTCATTCATGTCACATATCAACATATCACTAGTGACATGTCAATTCATTCATGTGACATATTGATACATCCCTAGTGACACGTCAATTCATTCATGTTACATATCAACACATCACTAGTGACATATCAATTCATTCATGTGACATATTGATACATCCCTAGTGACATGTCAATTCATTCATGTGACATATCAACACATCCCAAGTGACATGTCTACAAATCCCTAGTGACATATCAAAACATCCCCAGTGCCATGTCAATTTATTCATGTGACATATCAACACATCCCTAGTGACATGTCAATTCATTCATGTGGCATATCAACACATCCCTAGTGACATGTCAATTCATTCGTGTTACATATCAACACATCCCTAGTGACATGTCAATTCATTCACATGACATACCAACACATTCCTAGTGACATGTCAATTCATTCATGTGACATATTGATACATCCCTAGTGACACGTCAATTCATTCATGTTACATATCAACACATCACTAGTGACATATCAATTCATTCATGTGACATATTGATACATCCCTAGTGACATGTCAATTCATTCATGTGACATATCAACACATCCCAAGTGACATGTCTACAAATCCCTAGTGACATATCAAAACATCCCCAGTGCCATGTCAATTTATTCATGTGACATATCAACACATCCCTAGTGACATGTCAATTCATTCATGTGGCATATCAACACATCCCTAGTGACATGTCAATTCATTCGTGTTACATATCAACACATCCCTAGTGACATGTCAATTCATTCACATGACATACCAACACATTCCTAGTGACATGTCAATTCATTCATGTGACATATTGATACATCCCTAGTGACACGTCAATTCATTCATGTTACATATCAACACATCACTAGTGACATATCAATTCATTCATGTGACATATTGATACATCCCTAGTGACATGTCAATTCATTCATGTGACATATCAACACATCCCAAGTGACATGTCTACACATCCCTAGTGACATATCAAAACATCCCCAGTGCCATGTCAATTTATTCATGTGACATATCAACACATCCCTAGTGACATGTCAATTCATTCATGTGGCATATCAACACATCCCTAGTGACATGTCAATTCATTCGTGTTACATATCAACACATCCCTAGTGACATGTCAATTCATTCATGTGACATACCAACACATTCCTAGTGACATGTCAATTCATTCATGTGACATATCAACACTTCCCTAGTGACATGTCAAATCATTCATATGACATACTGACACATCCCTAGTGACATGTCAAATCATACATGTCACATATCAACACATTCCCAGTGACATGTCAATTCATTCATGTGACATATAAACACATCCCCAGTGACATATCAACATATCCCTTGTGACATATCTACACATCCCTAGTGACATATCAACACAGCCCAAGTGACATGTCAATTCATTCATGTGACATATCAACACATCCCAAGTGACATGTCTACACATCCCTAATGACATATCAAAACATCCCCAGTGCCATGTCAATTCAATTATGTGACATATCAACACTTCCCTAGTGACATGTCAATTCATTCATGTGACATATCAACACATCCCTAGTGACATGTCAATTTATTCATGTGACATATAAACACATCCCCAGTGAGATATCAACATATCCCTTGTGACATATCTACACATCCCTAGTGACATATCAACACAGCCCAAGTGACATGTCAATTCATTAATGTGACATATCTACACATCCCTAGTGACATATCAACACAGCCCAAGTGACATGTCAATTCATTCATGTGACATATCAACACATTCCTAGTGACATGTCAATTCATTCATGTGACATATCAACACATCCCTAGTGACATATCAACACATCCCCAGTGACATGTCAACACATCCCCAGTGACATATCAAAACATCCTCAGTGACATATCAAATCTTCCCTAGTGACATGTCTACACATCTCTAGTGACATATCAACACATCCCAAGTGACATGTCTACACATCCCCAGTGACATATCAACACATCCCAAGTGATATGTCTACACATCCCTAGATACATATCAACACATCCCTAGTGACATATCAACACATCCCCAGTGACATATCAACACATCTCCAGTGACATGTCTACACATCCCTAGATACTTATCAACACATCCCTAGTGACATATCAACACATCCCCAGTGACATGTCTATACATCCCTAGTGACATATCAACACATCCCCAGTGACATATCAACACATCCCAAATCCCAAGTGACATATCAACACATCCCCAGTGACATGTCTACACATCCCTTGCGACATATCAACATATCCCCAGTGATATTTCTACACATGTCAATAATGTCAAAATACTCCAGTCATCACATCTGTGTGATATCACTTTCAAAGATATCTGCTAATTTCCATGTCTTATTTGTACTATGATATTCTAGTACACAAGGTTTGATGACATGCTACACAAGAAACAACTCCTAATCATTTATGTGTCAGCAGCTGTATCCCATATGTGTCACCATATCATTAAGATTCTGCAAATTTCTTTAATATCTGTTGCAAGTGTCAGCTGACTACAGCTTGATACTTGTATAAAGTATGATCGGTATGGAGTACAGAACTTTAACATATGTTTTGTCAAAGATCAGCTTTGTCAAATTCTTGAAACCTTGATTGAATATTGCAAAGAAATAAAATTTGCGAAAAATGGCACATCATATATTTTAAGGATTTTCAGGAAAATCACAAATACCAAAAATAGCCTGATATACAGGTATATACAAATATTGGCTACATAGTAACAGAAAGCCATAACATTGGAGGTTTTATCAAAGGTGTACTGGACTGTATTACCAGAGGCAATCACTCACCAGTCTATCTTTCACTGAACATGCAGCAGTACAGTTATTATTGCACCACTGACAGTTGAATGCACTTGACAGACATGATGGACAGGATGTGAATTTGGGGCAAATATGGTCCTTTCCTGAAAAAATAAGAAAAAAACTGTCTAAATATAAAATTTTTTTTCATTATCTTACAAAGAAATAGAAAAAGCCAATGTTAAAAATGTTCAGCGTAATATTGATTAAAATCTGGACAATCCTGAAACAGATACACGTCTATTTCACAGGGAAGTCATCACAGTAAATTCTGATTCATTTTCATAAATATATGAGTTTAGAAGTAAATAGATGGTGTTTTATGGTATCATCTACAATATTTTAAAAACTTTCAGATTTTCAAGGACAATACAGAGAAAAATCCCTAAATATCACCCAACCATAGAGCTTTAAAATGCAATTGCATAATAATAATTACAACATTTTAAGCAGAAAATTCTGTGATATGATGTCTGTCACATTGTGTGTATATCTTTATTCAGACCAAAATGTCAGAGATCTGAGGATCACATGGACAAAACATGGTTGACTTGCATATATTGAATACTGTATTGATGGTAATTTTCACAGGTCAAAATTTTCCCAATTTGCAAATGAAAGTCAAATTAGATAATAACGAATGGAAATCTCACGACCTGGATGTTAAAGAACAGATCTTATTCAAGTGTCTCATTATTTCATAGATTAAATTTTTGTGCCCATATTTAGGTACAGCAAAATAGCAAAAATATCAACCCCGCTAAAATGACTGATATTACGATAGTTACCCTTATCGCTGTCACACATCTCTGAAGAATTGCTAAGCCCGTCCAGGACGGCATCCGGCTTGGAACTGCAGTATGAGTTGCTGACCCAAACACACTGGGTCCCTTGTTTACCTCCAAGGCAGGCCTCTTCAGTCTCGTAGAATGAGCAGTTACCTGGAAAGATTGTCAATATGTTATAAAAGATACAAAACACAAACAGGACAAAGATTTTTTCTAGATAACACAGGTTCTATTAATAAAAGTGATGAGGGCACTTACAGATGCTGTTCGTGATGTGTCAAAATAAAAGAATAAAGTAAAAACAGGGTATAATTTTATGAAGCATAAAAATGATTAATCTTACAAATGGAAATTACCAGGGGAAATGATATTTTCAATATATGGCATGTGTCATCATGACTCATGACAATGTAAAGTTTGAACTATGACCAAATTTGGGAGGTCTTGGCCATTAATTAACCTATAAAGCATTTGCTAGTCTAAGGTAGGTATATCTAAGTGAACATATGGAATTAAAATGCTGAAACATTTCTAAAATCTTGAAATCATTACTTTTTTCCTGTTTGATAAAATATGCATTTAAAAATAATGCTACTATACAAATGTTTAACAATGAGACAGGCAGTAGGTTCTATATGAGACGTTTCTTTTGATCACTCCCATATTTTACTTCCTGTATTTGATCACTCCCATATTTTACTTCCTGTATTTGATCACTCCCACATTTTACTTCCTGTATTTGATCACTCCCATATTTTACTTCCTGTATTTGATCACTCTCACATTTTACTTCCTGTATTTGATCACTCTCACATTTTACTTCCTGTATTTGATCACTCCCACATTTCACTTCCTGTATTTGATCATTCCCACATTTGACTTCCTGTATTTGATCACGCCCACATTTGACTTCCTGTATTTGATCACTCCCACATTTGACTTCCTGTATTTGATCACTCTCACATTTTACTTCCTGTATTTGATCACTTCCATATTTGACTTCCTGTATTTGATCACTCCCACAATTGACTTCCTGTATTTGATCAACCCGCCCCCCTCCCCATTTTATTTCCCATAACTAACAGACTAGCTGATATAACAGGACTATACATCTTGAGATACTAACCTGGTGTAAACTTGATCAGGTTGTTTTGCATGATGCCATTAAAACCACCAATAACATACATATTAGGTTTATTATTCCTGCAACAAACAAAATTTAAAACAATTATTCCAATTTCAAAAAAAAAAAAAAAAAAAACCGTCTGCAATATTTCAATTTTCCAGAACAGATTGCATTGGAGGAATTACACATAATAGAAAAAAACGGCTTCAAGAACTTGAATATGAAATTTTCAATCAGGTCTATATATACATACATTGTGTAGAAGACTGCGGTGTGACCATAGCGGGCTCCAAAGCTGGGTAGGGACGGTGCCTTGATGGTATACCATGAGTTACACTCTAGATAAATACAAACAAAAGCCAACATATATTACTGAATTTAATTTCCTGTCTTCACAATCAGAGTCTTGAATTCATTATAAATAATTATCAATCTTTTCCCGTATGAATAAATTAATTTCAGCTATTAAGAGCATTTTTATTTTCAATTAAGAAAATAAAGGTATTCATTTAGAAACATTCACTTGAAACAATGATGTATAGATCATACATATATCTTTTTACTGTTAAGGTACATATTCTAACAACCCTATTTCAACACTTTTTATGTGATGAAATATTGCTCTACAATATGATTGATCACAGTTTCTGTATTCTGTTGCATTAACTGTGGATGCACTAATGTAATCATTACCCCAATTTAAAAAAAAAAAAAAAAAACATAATATGAAAACTGATTGCACTTAGTTATATTTTTTGTAATAAAACAACAAATCACTTTTTTTCTAAGACTTTTTGCGCTTTTATGAACAATTTACTTCTGTATTGAAGACCAATTCATTTTTTCTTTTTTAAATTAAGATTTACCTTTTGTAATTAAGAACAATTTACATTTTGAAATGAAGAACAATATGTTAATTACTTATATTGTACACCATGAGATCAGAAGAGTAACACTTGGCTCCATAACTGATAGATGTATCGTTGTGAGTGTTCCCCCCGAAAACAAAGATAGAGTTGTTCAATATCGTTGCTGAATGTAAATATCTTGGACTGCCATTACTCCGAAGTATAACCCTGAAAATCACAAAAACAAATATTAAAGTTATGATATCAGATACACATCATATCCCTTAAACAAACTAAAGTAAAAAAAAAAGATGCAATTCCTAGTTATCCAATCGGACTCCAATGAAAATGAAAACAGAACATATCTGTATTTTCAGGTTTCATTGTCTTCAAAAGTAATTTTTCCTTTGAATACAAATTATTCTCAATATATTTTATTGGAAACTGATAATACAAGAAAATTTAGATTCTTACAAGTCCATTTGGCTTTAGTTTACTTCTCACTCGGCTGCAGTAGAATACTATGCATCTAATTGGTTATAATTACTGAATTAGCAGGTAATACAAGCCAGAAACATATTCAGTACTTAAAATCTAAAATTCCAGACCACTTCCCATTCTCAAAATTTAAATTTCACACTTCTAATATCAGTGATATCAGTGTTTTTTCTACCCAGTAGAAAGTACAGTAATATTTCTGGCAAAAATTTTTTAAAAATTTGTGATTTTTTATTCTTTTTTGCCCTAGAAAATAATGCATTATCCAGGATAATGAAATAAATCTATCACTTGATACTTACCATTTTCTCTGGTGAGGAATGAAACCAAACATCTGATCAGTGAGCTGGTAGTTAGGATGGTTGTCAGAATGATAACCCCCATAAACATAAATCATCTTAGTGACAGGGTCGTACACACTGGCGTGACCATAACCTCCCTGTATAATGGCACCACTGGTACGTGGGATGGACCATGACTTATTAGCTGGAACAAACACAACAGCAACGGATGTTGACAAATACCATTTTTCCGCATTAGTTATTATGATATCTATAATCTACAAAAACATGTGAAAAATTTGTATATCTCTAAAAAGTACACTTAGACTTGAGTAGTTGAGTTGCACAGTTGTAACAAAACCAACTTTCACCTAGGCAACTGAGGTTCCATTCCCATACCAGGCATGAAACTGTCAATATGATAATGACAATAAGAGGGATAAATATCAGCTATTATTTATAACTATCACTTTAAGTTAAACCAGAATTAACATCCTGTGGATAACTTATACTCCAAGCTGATGTACAGTAGGTATTCTTTTGGAACATGGCAACCAAAGGAGAAACAACATTTTGGACAACATTAACAATGAATATGCAATCCCCTTCACCAATTTTAAGCTTATTCAGACAGTTACCTTAAATACCTCAATTTTGACCAATAAAGAGCCTCCATTATATTTCCACAGTAGCAATTCCAGAAACATCTGATGTGTCAAATTGAAGGCTTTGATAAGTTTCACAATTTGATCAAATTTCATTAAATTTGATCTAATGACTGATGAGCTATCAGTCATTACACAAAACCTTGTGTATAGTGACATGGTTACTATAGCAACCAAAATGTATGATTTAAAACCTGAGTGCACAGCTGCATATGGTTTCTAACATTCCTGCCTAGTTTCATGGAAATCAGTTCACAAGTTTATAAGAAGTTAGTAGGAAAGATTAGTGGACGACACCCAGATAATCAGACATCCAAAACAGGTGATTCCACAGTACTACTCCTACCTCCAAAACTTAATTGCGAGTGGTATAATTAATGTAATTTACATTTCAAAGTTTTTGACTAACATACAAAATTTGGTTGAGAAATCAATTACATACAGCATGTATAAACCTATCTCAGACTCCAGTTTACTCCTACCCCTGCTGTCATACAATATATTTACCTAATAATAAGTCCAGAGGCTAACACTTGAACTTTGACCCAAAGTAGGGGATGGGCTTATTGTTAGACAATAATACATAATTTTCTTTTTTACAGGACATACAATTACAGAAATAGAAGGGTTTAATGCCAGATACACAAAGTAACCAAACACTAGCCTATCTTATTGCAATAAATACCATATTAGCAAACTCATATCTATTTCAATTTCAGGAATAAGGACAACAAATGCTACAACATTGTCCAGTAATAAGCCCACCTCGCTACATTGACTCCGATGTTAAGGTTCGCTTCCCTGGGATTACAGCAGACTATTGTGTCTAAACAAAAACAAATCTCTTGTGATTATATCCATTCTGTGCTTACCTATATTGTATTCCTGTATCCGATTTTTGTACCCATATATGGGACTATGACCAAAGATAATGTACATGATTCCGTTGATAATGTGGGCTGTGTGCCCTGCAACAGCTACAGGAATAACAAGTTCATTTTCCACAATGGTAACGTTCCATGTGTTTGTCACGATGTTGTAAACATACAAGTTTCGAGAGACTTGTGGTTTTTCATTGCCAACCACACCACCAAACATGTACAGGTTGTCCTGGTGATATAAAAAAGAGAAAAAAGATATTCTACAAGTTTTCTACCACAGCAGAGTATTCAATATATTTAGGTATTTTGATTGGTAAAGGAACCATCTCGGACATGGTCATATAAGTTGTCATTATAATGGTCTATAACCCTCTCAACTGATATCCAACCAGAGTGTGGCCATATATAGTGGTCAGTAGTAATGTCCATATCTATCTTATCTGATATCCAACTAAAGTGTGGCCATATCTGGTGGCCAGAAGTACTCTCCGTATCTATCTCACCTGGTATCCAACCAGAGTGTGGCCATATCTGGTGGTCAGTAGTAATGTTCATATCTATCTTATCTGATATCCAACTAAAGTGTGGCCATATCTGGTGGTCAGTAGTAATGTTCATATCTATATTATCTGATATCCAACTAAAGTGTGGCCATATCTGGTGGCCAGAAGTACTCTCCGTATCTATCTCACCTGGTATCCAACCAGAGTGTGGCCATATCTGGTGGTCAGTAGTAATGTTCATATCTATCTTATCTGATATCCAACTAAAGTGTGGCCATATCTGGTAGCCAGAAGTACTCTCCGTATCTATCTCACCTGGTATCCAACCAGAGTGTGGCCATATCTGGTGGTCATTAGTACTGTTCATATCAATCTTATCTGATATCCAACTAAAGTGTGGACATATCTGGTGACCAATAGCACTCACCATATCTATCTTACCTACCTGATATCCAACTAGAGTGTGGCCATATCTAGTGGCCAATAGCACTCTCCATATCTATCTTACTTACCTGATATCCGACTAGAGTGTGGCCATATCTAGTGGTTGGAATTACATTTCCTGTAGGTGTTAATGGCCTCCACTCATTGGTCAATGGATGATACCTAAGAAGAAATGTAAGAGGAAATAAGCACATCTTGTCTAATTCGAAATTTGAAAGAACAATCCGTTACTGACTGTGCATTGTCACACGCACCAAACTTTAAATGAAAAAATTTCGTAGAAGTGAAAAAGTTACAAATGAATCTCACATGACATAAATTGATAACATAATGTAAAATTCTATTATCCACAATATAAAATTGTTTTTGTTTTTCACACTTTGTTCTATTCATCTGATTAATATGTAGTTCTGCTTGAGCGCACCGGACATATTGCACTTGGTTACCTTGACAAGAATGACTGATGCGGTATAAAGCTGTATCCCCCTGCGACATAAATGTAATCCCCCATGAGAGTAGAAGCAGAGGATGCCAGTCCAACATCAAGGTCTGGGACAATTAACTCCTCCCACAATGCATCTGTGGCCGGTGTGCTGCAGTCCTTTCCTATAACCAACAAAACGTCTCAAATAAGATATCTGTGAGAAGTAATAGCCAATATTACATTTATAGATTTCTCTGTCCTGTAATAAGGCCTAGGGTTGAGGTGGGCAAAAGTAAATACTGACTCAAAGTATGGGTTACTATACAGCAGAAAAATAGAATATTTTATCCTGCAACTGATATCGCCATTGCCGGAATACACCTGCCACAAATATTTTTGCTGTATTCGGCAGTTACGGAAACCAGTGTATTTTAGCATGTTTGTAAATTTGACAGAATTACTCTCTGAATTTATTCAAAAATTATGTTCAACGATATAAATAACTGTTGAAATAAGTGATTTGATATGTTGTTATATACAAGTATATTTATGATAATTCATAAAATCGCTGTCATATCCATTGAAGTTTGGAACTACATTTCTGTGCAGAATAATCATTTTGGCATATGTCATCGGGCAAAATTCAGTGAACGTCAACAACAAGTAAACAAAGATTGGAAAACAAAATGTTTAAGTTTCAATAGTCTGATTTTCAGGATAAATAGCTGTATTTTGACTAGGGACAGAAAGACAAAAGTGACTCGCTAGAGGCTCACCACTTTCACCTTTCTTCACTCTCACCAAAATACAGCTTACTTTGTAAGACACTGACCATGTATTCTCTATATTTTTTACCGGGTAGTAATAGATATGACTGGGCTTATCATCAGGCATGGGCGTATTGGAAAAATGTTGTATATTCCTATCTACTATCAATAAATTCCAAATCTGACAACATTCTGAAGAAACTACAGCCAATTAATAACCATGTGTGTTGACATGTAGTTTCAGGAGGAAACAATGGTATACAGCCATCTCCATTTCAATAAGTCAAACAAAAAAGTGGTATTTGATCTCTTGAAGCCAGATTTGCAAATAGGAAATGATACTTGCACCTTGTAAGTTATCATTATCATGATATATATAAAGCATACAAGATAAAGTTAAGTGTGACATGGATCTGTCAAGGTCAGTCTGATCTCCAGCTGTGTCCTTACGGGCATGAGGTTAAAAAAATCATTGAGCAGCTTTAAATAAAAGCAGATTTAACTGTTAGAAAACCCGGTTATCTAGTATAGCACACCGTCTTACCTATGAAACCCGGTGAACATTGACAAATATCCTGGACACACTGGCCATTGGTACAGTTATTCTGACATGGTTCAATCTCACAGTAATCGCCACTGTATCCACTTTGACACTGACATTGACCATCTACACACAAACCCTTCAAAGGGCAATCCTTCTGACAGGTGTTGACACTAACAAAATAAAAAGTTATCCACATTATAGAATCATTGTACAGATCAATTTTTTCATGACAAAAATTCAAACAATTTGAAAAGCTATGCCTATTTCTATCCCGCAGTAAGCCTAGGATGCCAATAAGGTACTTCTTTCTAAAAGCTGGGGAGGGCTTCTCAATGAATAATGAAATACCTGAAGTTTAATATTTGACTGATCAGCAATATGTATAGGTGGGCTTATTACCAGACATGGACTTATTGGCTGATCAATATGGTATCTATCCTACATGAGATTATTTGCAATGAATATGTGTGATTGAAGCAGGACTTACCTTTAGGATAGGTTGAAGCCTGACATACCCGTATATACTGAGGCAGGACTTACCTGTAGGATAGGTTGAAGCCTGACATACCCGTATACACTGGGGCAAGACTTACCTGTAAGATAGGTTGAAGCCTGACATACCCCTATACACTGGGGCATGACCTACCTGTAGGATAGTTTGAAGCCTGACATACCCATATACACTGGGGCAAGACTTACCTGTAGGATAGGTTGAAGCCTGTCTTACCCCTATACACTGGGGCAAGACTTACCTGTAGGATAGGTTGAAGCCTGACATATCCGTATACACTGGGGCAAAACTTACCTGTAGGATAGGTGGACTTACCTGTATGATAGACTGACTTACCTGTAGGATAGGTGGACTTACCTGTAGGATAGGTGGACTTACCTGTAGGATAGGTTGACTTACCTGTAAGATAGGTGGACTTACCTGTAGAATAGGTGGACTTACCTGTAGAATAGGTTGACTCACCTGTAGGATAGGTTGACTTACCCGTAGGATAGATTGACTCATCTGTAAGATAGGTTGACTAGCCTGTAGGATAGGTTGACTTACCTGTAGGATAGATTGACTCATCTGTAAGATAGGTTGACTAGCCTGTAGGACAGGTTGACTTACCTGTAGGATAGATTGACTCATCTGTAAGATAGGTTGACTAGCCTGTAGGATAGGTTGACTTACCTGTAGGATAGGTTGAAGCCTGACATGTTATAGGCAGCATCACTGTAGAAGTAAATAAAAGCCTTCCCGGACGTGGCGGTTATGATGGGAATGTCGGCGCCAGCAACCAAATCCTGTTTTATCAGTCCACTGAAACAAAATTAATTAAATCAGAATATTTACTACACTTGGCTTTAGCAACCAAACCTTATTTGATCAACAAAATCAATTCAACCAGAATATCTATTAAACTTGGTGATGATAACTGACTTTGACATGTTTCTCATTGAATGACTTCCACATTCTGTCCAGCTAACTTTTTAATGCTCGCAAAGGGTTTTTTCAGAACATTTTCTTCATGTTGATATTGTCAATAGAACAAAAGTTCTGAAGACACATCAAGTAGACTCTCTCAGGCATTTGAAAATTTATGACTGTGAAACAAAGTGTACCTGAATCAACTACAATACATTGTTTTTATATTGTGTACTATTCCTTTTTACAATCTTTTCACCATTTTCTACCTTAGTGTACATAAGATTACAGTACGGCCAAAAATATTGGTTAATTTGTTACTGGTTATATTGTAAGAAATTCTATTTTATCAAAAGATTTTGTGGGAAAGATTGCTATAATCTGTTTCAAACTTTTGATTATACTAGAGGCTACCTGGCATCTGCTTTAACTTATATAGTCTGTTTCATAATTCTCCAAAAATACAACTCTCTAAGAAGTGTGTGGTCACATCCATTACCAATGCCTTGTCCCCTTATAAGGTCATATATGGTATGACATTATTACAGTATAGTGCAAAGGCCCAGGCTCACACACATGAACTCCTACTCTAAGCCTTGGTCACACACATCTTTTCCTACTCTAAGTCTGGGTCACACACATGGACTCCTGCTCCAAGTCTGGGTCACACACATGAACTCCTACCTACTCTAAGTCTGGTTCACACACATGATTTCCTACTCTAAGCCTTGGTCACACACATGAATTCCTACTCTAAGTCTGGGTCACACACATGATTTTTCTACTCTAAGTCTGGGTCACACACATGATTTCCTATTCTGAGTCTGGGTCACACACATGATTTCCTACTCTAAGTCTTGGTCACACACATGATTTCCTATTCTGAGTCTGGGTCACACACATGATTTCCTACTCTAAGTCTTGGTCACACACATGATTTCCTACTCTAAGCCTTGGTCACACACATGAACTCCTACTCTAAGTCTGCGTCACACACATGAACTCCTTCTCTAAGCCTTGGTCACACACATGAACTCCTTCTCTAAGCCTTGGTCACACACATGAACTCCTTCTCTAAGCCTTGGTCACACACATGAACTCCTACTCTAAGCCTGGGTCACACACATGATTTTTCTACTCTAAATCTGGGTCACACACATTAACTCCTTCTCTAAGCCTTGGTCACACACATGAACTCCTACTCTAAGTCTGGGTCACACACATGATTTTTCTACTCTAAGTCTGGGTCACACACATGATTTCCTACTCTGAGTCTGGGTCACACACATGATTTCCTACTCTAAGTCTTGGTCATACACATGATTTCCTACTCTAAGTCTGGGTCACACACATTAACTCCTTCTCTACGCCTTGGTCACACACATGAACTCCTACTCTAAGTCTGGGTCACACACATGATTTCCTACTCTAAGTCTGGGTCACACACATGATTTCCTACTGTAAGGCTAGGTCACACACATCTTTTCCTACTCTAAGTCTGGGTCACACACATGAACTCCTACTCTAAGTCTGGGTCACACACATGATTTCCTACTCTAAGTCTGGGTCACACACATGATTTCCTACTTGAGTCTGGAGTGGTCTGATTACAGGACAACAAAATATTGGATAAGAACTTTCCTTCATATGAGTGGGCTTTTTAACAAACATTACCGGATAAATATGGTACTGAAACAGTATCAAAAAATGTAAATTTTAGTACAGATTCATCTACTGAGATCATTTTGCTACATGCAAATTTCACCGTTTAGCTTCAAAACAGGAAAATCTTGTTTTAGCCACATCATATTTTCATAGTTGAAGAGCAGGAAGTTGAAATATTTAGTGTAATGCTTTCTCCATGAAAATTTATGAAAGTCAATGTTCACCAAACAACCTGATATCAGAGATACTGAAAATGAGATAATGGCCAAAAAAACACCACCACAAAAATGTTATAAGGTGTGCTGCACAATTGGATTTGTAGTATGGTGTTCATAAAATCTCTCAAGCAAACCACTCAGTAACAAACAGGCAGGAACTCCTGTCTATCTATTTTTTTATATATATACTGTACCTGTAGGCTGCCAACAGGGGCGAGAACACAGAGTCACCATCATACACATACACATGGTCCCAGCCACACTCCGTGGAGAACTGATGGAACTTGAGCTGGATACTGGAGTTGGGTTGACCAGTGTCCAACAGCCAGGTGCATTTGTTGTCTACGCTGTAATTACCATGGCCGTCCGTCACAAACCCAACAGAATCAGTCAACCTACAGTATATAAAACATACTATTACAAGCACATGATCAAACTCTAGTTAACTATTGATAAAAGTTTGGTGAAATTCTACATGCATTCTCGTACAGTTCAACACACCTAAAAGAGGCCACAATATCACAGTTCGTAGAGTATTGGCCTACGTAATCTTCGGCAAAAATCTTAGATGCATGGTTTCATGCTACCTACCTGCATCCTTTGGTTAGATAGTTTAATTACTCTACATGATTTGGATGGCATTCATGAGGCAGTAAACACAGCAATCAAACAACCCTTGAATGTCACTTCTATTATCACAAATACCTGTCATTACAATAAAAATAACCTCCAAATAGTACACATACCTGTCTATAAAGGTCAATTACATTTAATACCTGTCTATTGTGGTCACCTCTGTTATCACAAATACATGAGATCAAAATTAAAGTAATCTCCACATAGTACATATACCTGTCTATAAAGGTCACTTTTTAAATACCTGTCTATAGTAGTCATCTCTATTATCACAAATACTTGTCATTAAAATAAAAGTTACTTTCACATAGTACATTCACCTGTCTATAAAGGTCACTTCTATTTGATACCTGTCTAAAAATGTCACTTCTATTATCACAAATACTTGTCATTTAAATGAAAGTAACCACCACATAGTACATGTACATGTCTATAAAGGTTACTTCGATTTAATACCTGTCTATAAAGATTACAAATTTCTTATAAGCCTCCATGGGACAACTCTAAATGGGACTACCTGTTCTGTAAAACCACCTTGTGTAACAAAACAACTCGATGAAGATCACCTACTTTTAACAAGTACATCTGTTAATATATAATGACCACTTATATAATATTACCTGGATATTTAACACCAGATTTGTCCCATTTGTTTAATTTTCTGTTCCATGTAAAATTTGAACATCTAAAAGAGGCAGCCTTTGCTGTGACCTTAACAGACAAATATCAGGTTCAATATCAGTTTGCTCTACAAACTTGGTATACCAAAACCCAAATGAGGTTGGGAGGTTACACATAACTCAATGTTAGAGGATGGCTTATTACAGGACAATGAAATTTTGTTGGTAGTTTTACAATACAACATTGAGAAAAAGTAAAACCTGTCTATAAAGGTCACTCGATGGAGCAAAGAAAAGCAGCCTTTATACACAGGTTGACTCTGTACAGAGGTTCAATTACTATAAATTGTATTATGTTGAGAACCAAAAAAGTAACCTTTATAGACAGGTGGCCATTGTACAAAGGAGGCCTTTATAACAGATTTAACTGTATGGCTTATATTAAGCTATCAGAACCATATTTCTTGCAGGCAAAATCCCCTGCAAATAATCCCCTAAAATTTTCAGCCTATACAATTTTATTTTTGTTGGTTAAACATGTCCCTTCATCAACTAAATAACCCACAATAAAGCTTTATGAGTCGTCAATACTTGAGACATGGCATTTACAGCCTAATGAAAATGTTTACTACATAACAAACACAAGTTGAACGCCTGTACAATTCAGTTTTCTACATCTATCAGGCAATATGTCTATTCCTTTTAATAAGCACACCCATATAGTTGGGATTTTTTTCAGTAGAATCACAAACAAATGCTATCTCCTTGTCCTGCAACCACCCCATCTCTGTGTATCCAGTTAAAGCTACGTGTATATGTAACCAAGATATATATGGGTGTATATGTAACACCACAACTAAACCAGGTCAGTCAGTGAAGAACACACGTTTAGTAATGAGTCAGGGTATTACAAAAAATCAATATATACATGTAAGGAGGTAAACTGGGTAGACACCATTGCTGATGGTATAGACCAGATGGGCTGGCAGATCAACAGCATATCAACTATCTTTAAATGGTTACATGTACAAATACCTTCACCAGCATACTGGATTTATTACCCCATAAACAGGCAGGGTAATTTTAAGGTGTAGTCTCCTGGTAGTAGCTGATGGTATATATCTCAATGAAAAACATACATGGGGCCAATCGCATGCAATCTATTCTGGAGGAATTATATGGTAAAAAATGTGTTGTCCAAGGACACAACAACAAAACACAAACACAGCTTCCTGATAAACACAAACCATCAATGGTAGGAAGTGTAAAAACCAACCATACACTCAAGTTTGTTAATTGTAATTGCACATATATATTTTGTATTACAGATAAATTGTGTACATAATGTAGCTCAGTATGTGTATAAGAATACAGGTTATATTCAATGTATCATCCAGTGATAAGTCTATGTCTGGTAATAAGCCCACCCATATCTGTTGATGTTCACAAGACTAAGACTACAGGGACTCTTTGGAGGACTTGTATTTATCCAGTGATAAGTCTATGTCTGGTAATAAGCCCACCCATATATTTAGTTTCAGTACAAATGCTATGTAGGACTTCCTTATAACTAAGCTCACCGGACTAATTGGAGTCTGCCTTCGTCCTATGTTCACCCTCTGGACTAATTAAATTGATGCAGTATATTTTTATCCACTATAAATGCCAATGTTAAAGGCATATATATACAAACTAGAAAGGAGCTGTTATAGTTGTGTTTTAATTAATCAGCTTTGTCGATAACGGTTTTGTTACCTTTAATTAATCAAATCGTGACTAATTTCTAAAAAGGGAAAACTACAGGTACTGAGGCAAAATGACTCACATGAAAACCAAATGTCTATATATCTATATATGGCAGATGCTTTATGCAACAGAAAATAAGGTGTATCAAGGAAATGTTACCTTTTGTCAAAATCTGAAGACAAAAATCCTCTTTAGTCAGGTAAAATCTATTCACTTCAAACAGGAAATAAATGTAATTAAAATCATATCTCACATTTCACTTCAAACCTATAAAGATCTGATGGAGCCACTTTGTTCCACTGTTCCAATGACCTTTTAATGTTACCAGTAGAGGTCATCATCAATCACTGTCCAATGAAATTATCCCTTTCTCATGCAATGTGGTATATACATTTTTTAGTACAAGATAAAAAGAGAAATCTGATTTTAATTTTCATTCATATTAATGAGAAAATTATATTTCTCAGAAAAGAGAATATTTAACTCCAAATTATTCTATTTTTCAATGGTGTAAGTTATGTATAAAGCAACAGATTCAGTTAAAATCATATGAATCAATATGATTGACAAAGTGATTTTAGTGAAACTTGAGTTATTGTCCATTATTTATCAATGAATTTCCACCATGAGTCAATGTACATATCATAACCTATCTGTGATCACCGTGTGTCAGTACTACCAAGCTACATGAGAGGATATTTATGGATCATGAAAAATGAAAAAAATTTGAATTGAGAGATGCATATGACTTGATTCATATGAATGCCCCACCATCAACCTCGGTGAAATTTTTAGTGTCATTTGCCTTGTTAAGAGAAGCTCTCATGAATAAAATTTAAGTCCTTAATCAACAGAATTAATAATATAACATACTGAAACAGATTCATAGTTGTGCCTGTAGAATTTTATAATTCCTACTGGAGTTAGGCCAGACTTTCCAACATTGATTTTATCATTTTTTGTGTGAAAATTTCAATGAAAATCAACTCCAATGGTCATAACTCTAGAAAAAATTAACCACAACAAAATCATATTTGGACCTGCATAATATTATTATATTACTATTTATGTTATATAAGTGTACATCTGTTCTATATACATTGTATCTGAACTCGTTACAGAGTAAACAATCAGAAATATGAAATAATGACAGAGTGATGGACAAGGGAAACACTATACACCCCAGCCCAACCATGAAATGGTGAAGGGCATCAGTGATTCTTGTACAATTTTTTACAAGAGAGTCCAGAACACCAATTGAAAAGTTTTGATGAATCCCAATACTAAGATATAGAGTGGGTTCTCTAAATTTGAGTGAGTTCCACATGTACAGGAAAAGCACAAGTTACGTCAAATATCCGAGCCCCAAAAATCATTGGGCATAAAAAAACATCTCGCTGCTATCAAAATAATGCATGACTGCCAAGTTACATAATTCTTCCAGAAACAAAATTACGAAACAGGCATGTCCTTGACAGCGACCAGAAATACACGTAACCAAGTCCATGTGCATGGTGATAGACATTACAATTACATAATGTTATCATCTCAAATCCCTTGTATGGACACCTCCTATAAATATGTGACTATTGTGTTGTAAAATTTTCCTTCAACGCTAGGGCTCACATTACGTGCTGTCACTATAAGGCATGAGCAGGTCTCAATACCTGGCCCGAGCAGAGGAATGAGACTATATGTACATCAATAAAAGTCCGGCAATGTTACAAAAGTTTTGCTAATCACCTGTTCTATACAAATGGTATTGGAGGGAGTCATCTAATATACAGATCATATTGATTGTGTACATACTAAATAAAGACTAAAAATCTGCAGATCATGTGGCTAGCTACGAATGCATTGCCTGTCATCTATGATATGATGTTATACAGCACTAGAACAATGAGTCATCTTCAACATCACAAACATGATCTTCAGGTCTGGATTTGTTCCAGTTATACCATGAATATTTATCACTTTTTAGTGTACATGTACCCAGCTTAAGAGACAAAATGTAAATAATTTATATTATTGAATTATTGATTATGATAATGATCAAGAGGTCATGCAGGACTATCAGAAAAAGTTTATCATTAATTTATCAATAAGTTGAGTATGACAATGAAATTACAGGATTTTGTTACATACATTATGACTAAAGCATTACAACCACTTGTGTGATTATGAGACACAGAGTGACTTGTGTAACTTGTGGTTTGACTTAAAAGCTGGCAAAAGGGACCAACTGAAACTCATGACATACATGTTTAACTATATAAAATTTTGAACATGTTGAAGACATTTTGTAATTACGCATGTGTTTTTAAATATATAATATAGTGTATCTACAATGTAACCAAACCTTCAAAAACTTGTTAAGACATTTACCTTACATTTTTTTAAAATCTGACCCCAAAAAAGTACCTGCGCACTATACCCGCAAATTTACGATATATCTTATATTTTTATTAAGCATGTATTTACATATACCAAGTAACTGAGTCTACGACAACACAGCCAAACTGGTCAATTGTTTAAACCATTTCTTGCAACATTTAAAAAACAAAGTGATTTATAGTTTACCTGAGAATATCTTCAAATCTTAGATTCTAATTTGGAAAAAGTTAACTAACTCATGAATGATTTCTGTCAGCTGATAAATGAAAAAATATTGTAAGTCTGATCATGTGTCTGCCTAGCTTTATGTTTATATAAATGTGATTATGATATTGATTAAAAGAGTATATATCAATAGAAAAAGTGAGATTTTACCTTGAACTTATAATGAGTTTAATGATAATTTTGGATACCTACATGTATATGCAAGATTCTTTTTATACTGACAAATAATCTTTATATTGACTGTCAACTTAATTAATCTGAATATACCCCAAGTTACATGTACTGGGTACATATATACATGTATAACTATTTATGGAAATTTGAATATTTTTAACAATTTTGCACTATATGAATTTTGCTAGAGTGTCTCCTAGTGTTTTCTATCTGGCTCTTTTCTATATCTAAGTACAAGACTTGGATGACCTGTATCATCAAGAAATTATCCATGAAACAAAAGATGTTTGCCTTTTCAAGGGCTTCCACATGCATATCTGCTATGTACACACCCATTTTGTCAATTTAAGCGTTGGAATTTTAGGGGTTTTAACACACAGACAAATCTTTGATTATTGAAAAAAAAAGAAAAAAGCTCAGCATACTCCATTTCTTATTCATAAATCTATAAACAAGTGGTTGACTTGTGAAGAAATAGTGGAAAATTCTGGTTTGTGAAACATTTTTTTCCCAACTACAATATTTGTACATTCAAATTCCTTGCATGTTAACAGAATCTGTAATCATGCACAAAATTGGCAAATTAAAAAGATAACAGCACTAGACTCTATTTATTTACATATGTACTGTACTAGGGATTGAAATTCATTATATATCAAGGTCTATTTTCAATCATCTACTTCCTTGATAGCAAACAGAACACTCATTTACAATAACATGTATGAATTGTTTCATATTTTGTCACACTGAGTCTTCCTGATTGGTGAGTCACTGTCTAACCTACACAAGTCAATGAAGGTTGTTAATATGACCATTTTTTTTCTGACAGCCATAGGCTGTAAGAGCTTTAAGTACACATGACTGCAAATCTCTTTTAATTTTAATTGGTTTATAACAACAACTCTCATAAAGTCTTTAAACAGCATCAAATGTCAAAAACAAGCATAAAACTGTGAAATATGTCATAAAAAATGAATGGAAAATATATCTTGCTAATGAACCTAAATAGCTTTAACATGCACTATACATACATGTTACATTATTAAAAAAATTCTCCAAGTTATAATTCACAGCGGTATATAAGTTGCAGAGTCAATTTTTTCAATTTGGTACACATATCAGCTGCACCGGAATATAAGTTGCACCCTTTCTTATGATATGGTAACAATTATGTTGACCAATATTTGTTATTATAACGAACAACAGTTTGCAAATGATTTATGCACAAATAATCATTTAATTTATTGATTTTTAAAAAAAAATTAAACTGATCATTCAAAATACATAATATAGAAAATTTAAAACTTGTTGGGCTTCAGGCCTTCAAAGATTGTCTATGCACAGATATAGGGTCTGACGTTATGTATGGTTTACTAATAAAACAATCTTTCTATCCGTGTTTGTACTGTTAAATATTAATGAAGGCCCTTGCATGTTGACAAAATTATTATGGTTTTATATCATTTATGAATGTAAGTTACAAGTGCTCTAAGCCTTTCATTTCATAAACAAGCATGGCGATATTGCTTCAATGCTAATGCCTCTACCTGGCAGTCTCCTTCAATAACTTAAAGATGCTTAAATTTCATGTCTCATTTCTGCATATGAGGTAATTTTGACTATAATGTCAGATCATAAATATGTGCTAAATGATTACTTTAATTTTTTTTTAATTAATATACATTAAAATTCACTACTTTCTTATCTTTCATATTGATGGAATCACTTGCACAAATCTTATACTGCCAATTGCTATCTACATGAATGTACAGGTAAATTGATAGCTCGTGATCGTATTACAATCGACAAACAGATGAAACTTTACAAGAAAGCAGTAGCTTGTAAATAAACGATTTATATTCTGTAGACCAAAACGACAAGGACAATGACAAAACACTTAGATCAGATATGTAGATCGTGATGTTTGATGACAGTAACTATGCTAGACTTATTTTCATCAAATCAAGCGAATTTCACAAAAACATTCAGTTACTTAACACAATGAAACTGTCAATATCATAAACACCAATATAAATATCAAATTAAGAATACAAACGTACAGCACTCGCCCAGAGCAGTGATCACAATTGTCTCCTTTCCATCCATAATTACATCGACAGGTACCATTTACACAACTTCCTTCTTTGCATTGTAAACCATCACAGGTCACAGATTCGGATAAAGCCAGAGAAAAAATACTTAGAAGTATTCCTGTCCACACAAGACACATGAAAATTGTCCGATTGACTTTCATTCCTATTGAATAGTTAACGGTGTTCGATTCCCGTCTGTCAGCCATGGTTAGTAAATATAACTTCCGTAATTGGGCGAAAGTACCGGAAGTGAACGTTCGGAAATTTCCGTACGTTCTTACTAATCTTCGTTTCCGGATGTGGAATCGTACCGTTTTATCCGGCTTCAGAGTTTCTTGTCCACTTATTTTGTATACATTGGGTTTGCAAAAAAGATGTTATGTATAACAAAATATATACTTTGCAGAGCATGTATCCCTATATAGTCTTTTCACAGTTTGTCCAGCAAAAACTTCAGCGTCAAAATCAGTAAGAATTTATCAAAATTGTTTCCTTTTATTTTTGTGCTAAAACACTCAAGTACAAATGTTTAATTTTGGGAGCGATCTGATTCGTTTTGTGTCATGTTTGCATGGTTCTCTAGTATATTTATATATTGATTAACTAGTCTCAACTTATATTAGGCAAGTCTATTTGGTTAATATTGTTCTGTTTGACAGTCCATTCTTCAGTTTTGTACATTAAAAAAAAATCCTTTTGTTTTTTTTGGTCCTTTATCCATTTTAAAGATTTCGTCCTTGCTTATTCTATTTTCATCGTTCATTATCCTTTTCTTCTTCGTCGTTTCTTTATCGCTTGTATTTGGATTTCTCGCGGCTCTGAACAGTTTCCCACATGACATATTTCGACATTCAGTTTTCCATCGTGATTCTTGTTCTTTGTCTGGTCGCCATTTGATAAGGCTAAAACCCACGTGAGCGGGCATTCTGGGAATCGAACCCCGGGCTGCTAGTTGAAAAAGCGAGTGCGTTACCACTGCCCCCAACCACTCTCAACATACTGACATACTGTTATGTGGCGCGATATTCCTTTGATGTGTTTGATAGCTTCAAATTAGTCTTTTTGTCTTGTCCACAAGCTGTCGCACATGTAACCTTCAATTTTGCCATGACATATTCCAGGGGTGCAGAGAGCGATAGTAAGCGGAACTCCTGGAGTATCGAGGACAGACTCTTGTCATGGTAGACTTTTGTCATGGTAGACCCTTTTCATGGTAGATTTTTGTCATGGTAGACCTTTCTCGTGGTAGACATTTGTCATGGTAAACCTTTCTCACGGTAGATTTTTGTTATGGTCGACCTTTCTCATTGCAGACATTTGCCATGGTAGACATTTTTCATGGTAGTCCTTTGTTATAATGAAAAAACTAATCAAGATTAAGGAACGGTTTACAGATCATTCAAATTCAAAATTTGGTAAAAGTTGAAACATTAGGATAACTAGACGGCGGGGGATTTTGGACAATCCCAAATATAACCAATGTATTCAATACAGTGTCGAGAACCTATCCGTTTACCAAGCATTCCTATCGATGTTGAAATGCACAATGTATGTCAATATCAAACGCAAGAGTGACAGAATCCAAATTAAAGTGATTAAAACACTTTTTCACAGATTTTTAAAACAATTTTTATCACCAATCTTCAATATTGTACACAATACACACAAATGAAAACTATTTAGCAATACCAATAGACATATATTATGCTTTATTATGAATAACACCGTCAAACGAATCAATTCAATTGACGCCGAGAACTCAAATCCGCGACAACACTTTTTATCACCTAGCGTAATCTCAAAGAGTTGTACATAAAATCCCGCAGGAAGAGCATCTTTGATTTGCCAAAGTTCCCGAGTCCTTGCCATTAAAATCTTGTTCTTTTCTTGTTAATTTTTGTGTCAATGGATTACAGCAAACCGCGGTCTTAGTTGTTCGCAAATAAGCACTGACTAAGGTAAACATAGCTCCGTCAAGTGTGACGGTGACAACTGACAAAACAGCAAAAGAATATCAAACAATACAGGAGGTCGATACCAAATAAAAAGAAATTAACATTTCCCCGCGATATTGGAAAATGTTATCATGGAAATATAACATGGTGTTCCATAACAGTAAGCGTTTTTCGCTTTCTCGACTTTAGATTTAACTGTATAAATCGAAGTGATGTCAAGTTTTCAAAATGATAACCAGTTTTAAGTGAAAAGAGTCCAGTTAGTTTGAATAGGCGTAAATTCATAAAACGAGTTTTATTCTTTCGTGCTCAGTGAAATGATGTAAAGGTTAAAATGCACGTTGCAGATGCTGAATGTCATCTCTACTTCTCTCTTCAATACGCCGATAACAATTTCTCTTAAAATCTAAGTTTCTTTAGCTGTCAAGTGTAATTGAATGTATGATGTGAAAAATGAATAAAAAGATATATAAGTCAATCGATTGCTTGCGCAACACCAGGATAAGATCCGTAGTGCATAGTTCAACCCACCCGTAGTGGTCTCAGGAGCTTATAAACGAACAGGTTCAGAAACTTTACCCCTATTGCTCTGGATGGCATGTCATTGGCGTCCCGAATGTTGTACAGTAACATCACTAACATGTTATACAAGGATAAGTCGCCTCAAAACGACTGTGTTAACGGAGTTATACACCAAAAATAATATCAAAAATATTTTTCAATGATTAGGCTTTTTGCTATGATGAGAATGGAAGCACGGCGTAGTGTTCTTTATAAGACGCCATGGATGGATATACATGTATATTCAAATACAATTACTGTAAACGTCGCTATTGTCGAGAGGCTTTACTTCGCCATTATCTTGAATAGAATTAAACCGGGAAAATAAAAACAAAAGTAACAGAGTGAAACATTGTCGGATCATCGACTTCCGTGAAAAAAAACAACCCTAAAAGTGAAAGTGAATAACGCATTTAAATATAAGTTTATTGTTAGATAGTGCAGAGTCCAACTGTAATTCAAACTGCACCGTAAATCTGTTTCGTCCTTCCAGGACACGTTGGTGATGCAAAGGGCCCAAATTTTGAAGCCTAAGAGGCGACTGAGTAAAATCCAAAGTAGTCGAAAGCAAAGCCAAAATCTAGATAGGGAGATGCAACAGCGTTATATTTCCTTAAATTTCGTAATTTTCAAAGAAAAAGAAGTACATGTGTATTCTTAACCGTGCCACTATTCGAATGAATTAAAACGTGGAATGTAGGTTACGGCAAACCTCCGGGTACTATAAGTCTTTCAGCTGTGTCTACCACCTTTACATTATTACACGTTTTTTATTCATAAAAAACCCATATTCCTTGAACCTGAATTCTTCACACTTTTTATCACTTAGGGAAGAACACTGATAATTTTTTTTACATTTAGAAGCAATAATAATAATAATAAAAAGTATGAAACTGCAACGTTGTATTCTAATATTTGTTTAGGGAATCTTTTTTCTTTGAGAAATTAGACCAGTCTTATTAGCCGCCGATCAAAAACAGTGATACAACACTGATAGCATTCTGCTGATGATAATCAGACTTTAACACAAACGCATAACTTATAGAAATACAATACCTGTGACACAGAAACATACGTTCCAGCGTTGTCGAGAAAAAGTCCTACGATAAGAGAGCATACGGTGACTTTTATTACAAACATCTAAAATACTAGTGAAAGATGTTAACTTTAAATGTTGACGCAGTTAAAGTTTCAAAATCACATTTTTTAGTTAGTACTCAAAAACGTTCCGAAAAGAGAATTGGTACATTACATATGAAAAATAAGCATCATAATAACAATCTATGATGTGTCACTCAAATGATGTTTAATTCTTACTCATTGTCTTAAAATATTCTTCCCGGGTCGTCAGCTAGATATGTTTTTACCGATGTATGGTATAGATACAATTAAAAATATTTCGGAGAGGAAACTTCTTAACAAACGTATCTGGATATTTTTCTCCTACAATACGTTTACACGTTAAATTTGATTCGGTACATTCTTATGCACGGATTTTTACGAAAATTTTACTTTAAAAATGTTCTTTTGGTTTTTGGAAAGGTATTTTCACTTTGTTTTAGGATTAAATTGAAATCTTATTGATAGAATATCGTGAATAATGTTCGCGAAATATCATATTCTTATTTTAAAGTGGCTACAGACTTAATCATCTGCACAATGAGAGCCACACAATATGCCTAGTCCCACAGAGAACATCTCAATGCTAACCGCCGTGGGTAGATGTGGCAAGCCAAGACGTACGCTCAACCATTCAGTAAAGGGAAACAACTCCCGCTATATAGACCTACAATACAGAATAAACAACCTGTCCCGCGTAAGAGTGTCCATAGAGAGGCAAGCATATATTTGATACAGCTAATACCGAGACTGTTCCGAACAGCATCAAAGCTTCATCTACCTCGTTACCACTAGTGGCTAGACCGGTGGGTATCCTTCCTATCATTGAAGATATACCCGAAATTGAAATAAGAAACGTTCCCTGAACTGCTATAGCACTGTATAAGACAGCATAGTTCGGCAAATTCAGAAACATTATATATATTCCAAAATGGGCGAAAAACAGACTTCAACAGGCACTACATCCATAGTCCTGTCGGACTTAATAACCGCTTCATTGCCATCTGGATTGATTGTATGTATCTAATCAACCGTTGTATTGGACAATTCCAGACAACATGTCATTGACTTTTTCTTCTCTAATCTAAAATAAAAAGTTCCAAAAATACAGAGTTGTAAAGAAATTCCTGCCAGGATAAAGAAAAATCCTTTGTTTCCTAATATTTACCTCGTTTCCTGGATGACTGGAGAGAGACCCATCACACTCATACCTATACCCGTTAGGGCAACCCCACTCCCCAAGTTCAACTTCTCCTTAAAGTTGAAACCAATCACGATTACACTTTTGTATATGTTAAACCTGCGCCGGTGCCTATGAACGAGACAGAGAAATGGACAAGTGTTGCATCAATGTTTCTCTGATCTGCTTCTTAAACTTAAGAAATGACAATCTGAAGTATCAACATGTTACGTTATCTGTCTTTGGTAGAATGAAACAGATGACGTAATTTACCACATATTTACCCATACACTTGAACGGTAATATTATTTAGTTCAGAAATAATCATTATTACTAATATGCGAAT